CCTAAGGAAAGTCATCTGACTGCAGTCAAGAGAATCTTTCGTTACTTAGCTGGCACGATGGATCTAGGTCTATGGTATGATTGTGAGTCAAGTCTTGATTTGATTGGTTATAGTGACTCAGACTATGCTGGGTGCATAGTTGATCGTAAGAGTACTTCCGGGACATGTCAATTTCTCGGAAACTCTCTTGTGTCTTGGTTCAGTAAAAAACAAAGCTCTGTTGCTCTATCCACCGCCGAGGCTGAATACGTGGCCGCAGGCCTGTGCTGTACTCAACTTCTTTGGATGAAGCATCAACTTTGTGACTACGGGTTAGAAATTAAGTCCATGCCCGTATTGTGTGACAATACGAGTGCTATTAACATGGCTAAAAATCCCGTACAACATTCTCGAACCAAACACATAGAAATTAGGTATCATTTCATTCGAGAATTGATTGAAGAAGGCCAAATTCAACTTGAGTTTGTGCCTACAACGAATCAATGGGCTGACATTTTTACTAAACCTCTTAATGTCGATCATTTTCTAACCATTCGTCGAGAACTTGGGCTAATTCTTTCTAGTGAGATTAATAATTTAATGTGAAAATATATTGGCTTGTTTTTAAATGAATAGGTCTGTTTGAAATTACCAGAACCTAAAATTGCTTTGGGAACACTCTTTCTCTCAGCCTGGTCATGCGACCTCGGGATAAATTGTGTGGGCTGAAGCCTAGGTTCCTTTCTTTCAAGCCCAGGTTCAAACTGTTTTCAACCCCTTCCTATAAGCTGAGCTGGAGCCACTTACTGATCTTGTGGGCCTGAGCCCACTTTCGACCCTAGCTCCTTCCCTGCCCCGAACACCTAGCTAGCAAGATTTTTTTTTTTTTTTTTTTTTCAACTCTATACTGGAAAGGGATGCGGGCCGAGGCCCAAATCATTTCATCCGCTCCTCTCGCCGATCCAACCTGCTGCGATCCCCGCCGAACTATCTTCGTTCCCGGCGCGCGTGCTCTCTTGGGAATGAAACGATTCGGTATCCATCTTCCAGCTGTCGCCCTTAGTCCATCGTTCCTGATTTTTCTACTCTATCCCCAAGCTTCTCTGTTCGATCCATTCATCCCCAGTGTACCTATCTTCGACTTCCATCAATGGAAAGAAAGAATCTCGTGACTGAGATTTACAGTCTCCTAATTGATTCGCTGAATCAAGAGGATTCGAATTTCCCCTTCCTAAATCCCTTCCCAAAATCATTTCCGACCAGTCGCTATAAGAAGCCCTCATCTAGCTTCGGAATCCCTATCTCACCATTCTCATTCCAGCATCTCCACCAAAAGTAGCTTACCCTGCCCTTGACTCACCATGGCACCGAGCAATCCTCAGCTCCAAGTGAACCTTGCACCTGCTGCAATCTTCACGAATCGGGGATTCCGCAACTCAGAAGCCTACTCCAAATATCTGCGTAGCTTCTGTGATCGTCCTCTGCATCCCTCCTTCATCATCCCTCCTACCACATTCAATCGGTATGGACTGAGGGTCAATGGATTCATCAATGATCTTGGGTGGAGCTCCCTGCTTCAGAATCGGCCTCTTGATCAGTGCCCTGAAGCTGTAAGAATGTTCTACGCAAGTATGCAGTGCGGTCCTGGACGTTATCCGACATTCTTCACCACCACCGTCTACAATTTCAGCGTGACAATCACTGCTGATGTGCTGGCCTCTCTGCTGCGTCTTCCACACGATGGCTACCTCGCTGGGACAGCTGAAGATTTCGACAGCTATGGGTTCCATCCCATAGATACTATGTCGTATCTTGCTCGTGACTATGGGAAGCATCCCTTCTCCATGTTCTCAGTCGAGAGGATTCCAGATGAGCTGAAAGCCCTTCATTTCTACATCACACGTCTGTTTCTTCCTCGCGATGCTGCCTCAACCACAACTCTCGACGAGTCCGACTTGTGGATTCTGTTCAATGCCAAAACCAGCTGTCCGATCAGTTACGCAACTCTCATGTTTAATCATATGATTAAATATCGAGAAGAAGAGTGCAGTGGGAAGCTGCCCTTTGGTCCACAGATTACCTCTCTGCTGTCCATATTAGGAGTTGATCTTCGCGGCAAAATCTTCACCCGAGAAGTACATTCTGGTCTCCAAGCCCAGCACGTCCTACGTCGCACACTCTCGGCGCTCGGACCTCAACGACCGGTCAATGTTCAAGGGGGAGTGAAACCTGCTGCTGCTGCCCACTCAGAATCAGAGTATGCCTCTGATGACAATGGTGCAGCTGTACTTGTGAGACTAGACAAGGGAAAGGAAGTGGCTGAATCGTCCGGAAATCGCAAGAGAGCTTGGGATTTAGGACATCTCCAGGAAGGAATCAAGCTGGAGAATGAAGGGAAAAGGCTACTTCAAGATATGAGCATGGCATTGAAAGGAAAAGAGGGCAGTTCGTCAGGAAAGAAGGTTAGGAAGGTTCTGTTTGCGCCTTCGGAGGAAGAGGACATCGACCCTTCGGAGTATGCTTCTTCTCCGGAGTATACCTACTAGGGAGTTTCTTAGCTAAGACAACTTAGGGGGAGATCCATGAATGTCATCTTTGTCGGTTTATTAGGTCTGTCTGATTGTTGAAGTCAGGTTTAGAAGCTAGTAGAAAATCTGTTTTGCGATTAAGACTTGCTGAAGTCTTGTGTCTTGAGTCAGTTATGATTATGTTAGAGTCAGCCATGTTTTAGTTTCACTCTATGAATAAAATGGACTCCTGTTGCTTAGATTTAAATCGATAATGGTTGCTGGTTTGATTAGCGAATTGGACAGGCTGCACCAACGGTTTGTTCAGTGTGCAGGTTCTGAGTGTGAGCAGGTTAAGAGTGAACATTGACAAGTTGAGGAGGAATCTGAACTCAGGGACATCTAGTTCAGGGGGAGAAGTTTTTTTGCCATTGACAAGCTGAGGGGGAGAATGTTAGCATCAACTTGACAATGGCTGAATCTCATACAACTTGGAGACCAAGTCAAGATTCAAATTTCAAAGATGCACAGCTGGAAATCTTGTGGCTGCCCAAACCCGGTTAAGGCAAGTTTTCGAGGCAAAGGAAGAAAGAATTAGAACTTACCATACTTGAAGATTTCAAGGGAGAATTGATGAGCAACGGCTAGTTTATGGAGGCTATAAATAGAGGCAAGACTGAATCAGTAGGCAACCTTTCAAGAGATCAAAAACTAGCTAAGAACAAAAGGGGATTTTGTGTGAATAGCTAGAGTGATAGGAAAGGGGTTTCTCAAAGGGTTCGGGGAGAATTACTTTGAGGGTTAGTGTTGGGGAAACACTGTTACGAGTTGCTGGGGAAGCAATTCGGGGTTTGATAGAGAGATTTTGATCAATCGGGTTGAGATTGATCAAGGGTTCTTGGGTAGATAGTGATAGAACGAACTTCATCGAAATATTCTTAGTGAATCGTCAGAGATCACTCAATTGTGAGTCTCTGACCGTGGAGTAGTCAGTATTGGGATCCTTATTCTCCCAATACTGGAAACCACGTAAAAATCGTGTGTTGGATTTGTTTTCTGTTTTTCAGTTTCTGTGTGTATGTGCCTCTGCTTGCTTTTGTTCTTGGTCTAACTGTGCAGGGGAACTTGATCCAAGAACTGCCACTAAAGGCGACTAGGCTGAACAGAGTTGAGGAACTCATAAAGCGCAGAGAGTAACTTACCTGGGTTCTTTCGTTACTGGGTTTATCGTTGTGTTCTTCAGGTTCTGTTATTAGTTCATCACTCGAGCAGAAGCAGGTCTTCTGTTTGATCGAGTTCTCTGAAGCGGGAAAGAAGAATTGAGTTCAGTCCATACTGTGTCGTTTTGACTTGGTTACTTATAGATTGGACCGGTTTGATTATTAAGTTGGACTGGGTCGGTTTTGTTTTGCTAGACTAAGAGTGGGCCTTAAATCCTAGAGCCCATCGGTATTAGGCACTAGTGAGTCTGCAGGAGTCGGACTCGGACTGCTGTGCACTTTGGGTGGAAAGTGACTTTGTGGCATTCCTTTCTTTTATATTGTCATAATCTAAGTGAGACAAGAATTAGTTAGGATAAAACTAATTAAGGATTTCAATTATACTAACTCCTTTTGTGAATAAGATTTTGAAAAACAGGTATACAGTCTCGCGCTCGACGCAATCAACAAAATTTGTCTTGACGGTGATGCATGATGGATGCCACATTGCTACTGAATACACCATGGTTGTGGACGGATGAAACAAGCGATCGAGCTGCTTATAATCGACACCGAGGACCATATCAACCAGTTAAACATCCCTTGATCCCTCCTTGAACAAAATGAAATATTTTGTCGAGTTGGATTGTAAGGTAGGAATGGAGGACGAAGACTTGATGTAGGTTCTTCAATAAAGTGTGGGTTCTTCGATAGTATAAGATTTGATGTAGCTTCTTCGATAGAGATGGAAGACGAAGACGAGTTTTAACAAGCATCCCCATATCTTGGATAGAGTGTTGGTTTAAACTCTAGATTTGTATCGTTGAGGAACCGGAGATTAAAGTGAAGAATGACGCTAGAAAGATTGCTCACAACTCACTTGATCAATTTTTTTTTCCTGGAGAATGGACATGGTTGTTTTCCACAAATTTATTGGAACGACTAATCTTTTCCAGAAGATTTGCCATCAGTATGCTCACAACTCACTTGATCAATTTTTTTTCCTGGAGAATGGACATGGTTGTTTTCCACAAATTTATTGGAACGACTAATCTTTTCCAGAAGATTTGCCATCAGTAGGAAAACCTCGATATGTAGCTACTGTTGCTCGCACAATTCGACGAAATCCAACCACTATCGCGCTTTTCAATCATCGACCATCTCAACCTGAACTTGAACCAACTAGCATTATGCAGAGTAAGCAAAGAATTCTGCAAATACACAATTCTCCTCTACTAGTGCTGCATCATCTTTCAGTTTCTGTCACCGAAGGAAGACGGGTATATGCAGGAACCAGAACAGGGAGATTCAGATTCTGGAGATATTCATCTAAATAACTCTAAGTAATGGTTCATACATACTTAAGCAGAGGAGGAATGTAAAACAGTCAGAAAAACAGAAGTGAACCTAAATATCTCCAGAGAAATTCTGCATCTAGGTAGTGAAGAAGCAAAAACAGTCTCATTCAAGGAGAAAATAAAATACTGTAAACCCCTAAATATTTACTTTGGACTATGCCTTGGAACCAGATCAGTATGTGCACCATACATCATCCAAATACTTGATTACTACAACTTTTAACAGCATAAAATCAGCAGCGCTTTCTAATCAGCAAGCATCTCGAGCTTAACAAACTTTTCTTCAGTATTTGGAGAGCCTTCGAGAAAATATCGAATCACTTGATAAGGTATGTTTGGCGGGTACTGCTGGTGCGCACATTGTATCGTCAAGGTCTTCAATCTATTAAAGGGAGAGGCCTGGTGCGCGGTTAATGCCTTGATTCTGTTGAGAGGAAAGGGGTGCTCTTCCAAATCCCCATTCCATCTCTGTACCTGATATGGAAACACAATAATGTATTAATTCAGAACTATCTGCATTGACTAATTGACATTTGCATCAGTAAAAAGTACTAATAAGTATGGCCTCTGAAGAACAGAGAATTTGTACCTTGTCGAAACACAGCTTGAGAGATTCTACATTACACATACCACACAAGTAATTCAGAAATACAGAACTCTTCTCGGCCAATACTGGATCATCATCATCCCAACTATCTGGTTCCCACTTGAGGCGGATATTTGCATGATCTAGGCAGGGGAGATCCAACTTGGGCAGATATTCATCAACGTATTCACCCCATAAACGTAAAGATTTGAGTTTTGGAGCAATCAGTTCATAAAAGTGGTAGTGACTAGTAAACTCAACTTCAAGATCAAGCAGCTGAGGTCCTGATATCAGTAACGTACAATCAGGAATGTCTATAAAGCAGCGGATTAACTTCAGGTACTTCAAACAAGGAAGATCACCAACCAAATCAAAGGGCAGACCCTGACAATCAGACGACAGAGGGCATTCACGGAGTTCCAGAGTTGTCAGCATCTTGAAGCCAAGTGTCGTACACGATTTGAAGCCCGTGTCATCAAATCGGACACACCACAGCTTGCATCCCTCCAACTTCATACTCTTAAGAGATGCAAAATGATTACTGGCAGTGATGTTCTCATCAAATCTGCTGAAGCACACATTCTCGTCCTCGCCGATGATGGACAAATGGTCCAGACCGCCACCACCATGAGAAAAAGCATATTTCACGATCTGTTCTATTGTTTTCGTAATATGCCCCCGTGTTTCATCTCTCTTAATACCTCGTACATTGAAGATAACTTTGCGAACTGGAGTACGGTGGGAGCGGAGAGACAAGAGCCTGTATACGTGCTTTCTGAAACTTGCCAGCTTACCGAAGGATTTTGGCAGGAAATTGAGGGCCAGAACATCCTTCCACAGAAATCTCCATCTCCTGGACAGAAGGCTGGTTCGAACTGCAGACTTGGTGTCGAGGAAGGACAGAATGTAATGGAGAACCTCGTCAGGAAAATCGCTCAGTTTAGCAATTTCTTTATCTACATGGCTCGCCTTGGGTCTCTTGGACTTCCTCGAATTCCCAGCCATGCCTTCCTCCCTATGACAAAAACGGGAAACCGAAAACAAAATCTTGCAAAACCGAGTCAATGAGAAGCAATACGGATCAACAGAAAGAAATATGCCCAGATTCCCCTGTAATTTGGGATGATAACACAGATCCCTATTTGTGAATCTAACCGTCGCGAACAAACATGCAACGCCAAGGCTACACAATCTGAGCCCTAACGCGAAAGAAAATTTGCAATCGGATCGGACCAGGAAACCCAGAACTTTGCAAAACTCACCGAGGATCAAATTAAAAGGAACCCAATGACATTCATCCAGGTTGAAGAAGACCCAATTGAGAATTCAGCGCTCTGCTTTGTTTACTGTAGCACTACTGAAACCGTCGGCTCTGGAGGCGGAAACCATCAAAACTTCAATTTCTGGGAACTACGAGGAGTTAAGTAGATGATTGAACATGGGGAAATCGGAATCGGGAGGTGAACATGCCCTAAGAGAACCGAGTTACGGTTACTAGCGAGTGGGCGAAGAATTGGGGAAGCGGCGGCGGTTTATACTTTGTTTTCGCTCCATTTATGTGCAGCAGTTACATAAAAAAATTCTTTGATTACAAACGTTACATTTTTTTTGCGTGTTTACAAATATTGGCGAAGGAAGACAAACTACATATCAATCACTGAACTTAACAGGTTATTTCTAATTAGTCACTGCACTTGAATTTTTAACCTATTAAAATTTGAATTATCTGTTGTAAAACATCATTCGACTCGATGAAAGTACACAAAACTTAAAACCAAAACGTGCAACTTGAATACCACACCCACCATGTATTGGTACATGGCTGAGTATTTAGGTTTGTAAAGGTTCGTTCTCGTGTTCGTTGATTCAAATATTCAAATTATTTTTATTAATTTCACATCAACATCTAATAGTTTGGTATGTTCCGTATGACTAGTAAGATATAAAAAAAAAGTAAGTAAAGATGAAATAACAGTAGAGCAAGCACTATTACACTAATTACTCAGAAATCCGAAAATATTTTGATCGTTGATCAACGTTACCGAAGTTCATTGCCGCCACCCTGGTTACTAGAGCTTTTCTTTTTCTACAACCAAAATTCAAAACTGTCACATTGAAGAGAGAAAAATAATTATTTGTGACGGAGTTATGGTGACCAAATCTGAGAGCAAAATGATATGGTTCTGAATGGTATTCGTGACCAGCGGTGTGCTTTTAACGACCATTTTTCATGGTAGAATCAGAAAGAAAATCAGAACTCTTTCCTTTGACGATTAAAGTAATAAAACGAAAAAAAAGATTTGGCGGCAAAACTTAACCGACTTTCAGTTGGCGGTGACGAAGGCTTGGCGCCAAAGTCTCTCAATCTCCTAATCATCTCTATAAATAATCATCTCTCCAAAAACCTTTCAACAACGAAGCTAAAGCAAACAGAGCTGCATTATCCTCTGTTTCCGCCAAATCAAATGGCTTCCAGTGTCGTCCTCCTCGGCCCACCGGAGGCGAAACGGAAATCTCGCAGCGCCGCCGCGGTCAGCTCTGGCCACGGAGACCACCCCAATCCCCACCGCGTGGCCGGAAAGAGATCGACGGTCACCAAACCAGAGCTGGCATGGACGGAAAACGGCTCCCGCACTTTCAAGGCCACCGGAAACCCTTGCCTGGACTTCTTCTTCCACGTGGTGCCGTCGACGCCGGACGAGTCGGTGGTGAAACGGGCGAGAAAGGCGTGGAAGTACGACCCCTCAACGACCCTGAAGCTGATCTGCAACCTGAGGGGAGTCAGGGGAACCGGAAAATGCAACAAGGAGAAGTTCTACGCCGCTGCGCTCTGGCTCCACGAGAAACACCCGATCACTCTGGCTCGCAACGTGAGGACGATCGCCGAGTTTGGCTATTTCAAAGACCTGCTCGAGATTCTGTACCGGCTGATGAAAGGCGGCGATGTGAGGGACGTAGCGAGGAGCGAATGGCAGGGGAGGAAGAAACAGAGGACTCTGGCGACGAGGCAGGGGAGGAAGAAACAGAGGACGACTATGAGGACGAGGAAGAAACGGAGGACTGGCGGAGTGGTGGTGGTCGATAAGAACCGGCGACCGGTTCCCAGAAGTGTGAGAATCAAGCGGAATCAAGCCAAGGTGAAGGCGGAGAAGGCGGAAGCGAGTGCCCAAAGGAAAGAGAAGAAGATCTCCGAGGCGAGGGAGGCGTCCTTCCGCTACAACTCCGATTCCAATTTCCGGCTCCTCCACGATTCAGTCGCGCAGATGTTCGCCTACTGTCTGAAGGAAGACATGGAGAATTTGAGCAGTCGCCAATTGCGCAAGATCAGCCTGGCTGCCAAATGGTGCCCGTCGCTCGATTCTTCGTACGACAGGGCGACTCTGATCTGCGAGAGCATCGCCAAGAGATTCTTCCCTAGAGAATCACATTCTGAATATCAAGGAGTGGAGGACGCGCACTATGCTTATCGAGTGAGGGATCGGTTGAGGAAGGAAGTTCTTGTCCCTCTCCGGCGAGCGATCAAGCTCCCGGAGGTGTACATGAGCGCCAGGCAATGGCAGCAGCTGCCGTACGACAGAGTCCCTTCGGTGGCGATGAAGAACTACAAACTCCATTTCACGAGGCACGATGGGAAGCGATTCGGCAAGTACTTGGAGGATGCAAAACAGGGGAAGGGGAAATTGGCAGCAGGGGCGCTACTTCCCCACGAGATCATCGCTTCGCTGAAGCATGGCGACGGAGGTAAAGTGGCAGAGCTCCAATGGTCAAAAATGGGGGAGGATATGGCGAAGATTGGGAAATTAAAGAACTGCATTGCCGTGTGCGATGTGTCGGGGAGCATGTCAGGGGAGCCAATGGAAGTGTGTGTGGCTCTGGGGTTGTTGATTTCCGAGCTGAGCGAGGATCCGTGGAAGGGGAAGGTGATCACGTTCGACTCGAATCCACAGCTGAATGTGATTGAGGGGGAGAGCCTGTTGGAGAAGACGGACTTCATAAGGATGATGAATTGGGGAGGGAGCACGGATTTCCAGAAGGTGTTTGATAGAATCTTGGCGACGGCGGTGAGGAATGGAGCGAGCGAGGAGCAAATGGTGAACAAGGTGTTTGTTTTCAGCGACATGGAGTTAAACCAGGCATCTAGCCATGACGAAGGATGGGAGACGGATTACGAGGCGATACAGAGGAAGTTCAGGGCGAAGGGGTTCTCGAGGGTGCCGGAGATAGTGTTCTGGAACCTCAGGGATTCGGAGGCGACGCCGGTGCAGGCGAAGCAGAGTGGGGTGGCGCTGGTGAGTGGCTACTCCAAGAACTTGGTGAAGCTGTTCATGGAGGAAGGTGAGATTGGCGATCCTGTTTCCATCATGCTCAAAGCCATCAGTGGGGAGTTATATCAGAGATTGGTGGTCTGTGATTAGGTTAGATTGAAATGATCGTAGTAATTTCCCCTGCATTTTCCCCTGTTTATTTACAAGCTGCTGTTATTTGTTAGGTTCCTGATTTCACTATAAATGTTTCTATTTCTTTTTCATCCTGATGAAGTTACAAGTTAGTCGACGTTGAACAATTTCGTTTTACTAAATCGAAAGTATCATTTATGAAGTAGAGTAAGCCACCATCACCCTATCCTGTAAGCTGATATTTGAATCAATAAAGCTGCTAAGATGTTCCTTGCAAAGAGCAGCCAGTTCGTACCTTGTCGAACCGTAGCTGGAGACACTCTGCATTCGGCAGACTACCCAAAAGATTCATAAATGCACGAATCTTCTCTTCCGATGCTTCATTATCATATTTCAAACCAAGACGGATATCGGCATAGTCAAGAGCAGGGAGTTTCAATTTGGGGAGATATGGATCAATGCCAGCATCCCATAGACGGAAAGATTTTAGCTTCGGAGCTATCACTTCATAGACGCCGTAGAAGCTTAAACTCTGCATTTCAAGGTCAAGCAACTCAAGCCCTGATATTTGGAAGCAAGTCCCATTGGAAATCACAATGCATTGAATCAACTTCAGGTAGTTCAGACGAGGCAGATTACCAAACGGATCAAACAGCTGTGTAGAATAAGGTTCTAGATGACAAACCACGCAGTTCCAGAGTTGTAAGCAATTTGAAGCGCGAATCAAATTCCGTCCAGATACAACATTCCTTCAACTTGAGTGTCTTAAGAGACCCGTGATGATGAGAAGCGGGTGATGACACCGGTCGCGTCTCTGATGTTGAAACCCAAATACTCGTCGATGACGGACAAATGGTGAAGACCTACACCACCATGAGAGTCAGCATATTCCATGATCTTTTCAAACGTTTTCATTAACACCTCCCCACCTCTCTCCAGATACGTCAAAGGTGAGGCTCCTAACGGGGATACTATGGAAGCGGGTAGACAAGATCCCGCCTGTGTGCTTTGTAGAACTCGACAAGTTGGGGAACTAAGGAATTGGTGTCAATGAACGAGAGAATATGATAGAGAACGCTGTCAGGAAGACGGCTTAGTCTGTCAACTGCACGGCGCCTCTTGGGTTTCTTGGACTCTCTAGCATTCCCAGCCATTATCTTCCACCCTTTTCTCCAAAACGTTTGAAATCACAAGAATCACAACCAGGGAATAGCACAGTTCAATCATTTACACATGGTCAAATCACGAGAGGAAGCAATGCTATAATCTACATACTGGGTACTGCTCAGCATCCCGCCACTTCTCAGGAATCACAGTGAAACAATGGCATGGTAAAGAAGCCCAATAGGAAGAAACCCAGGTGAGAAACTACAAAATAGGGCTCACAAGACAGTAGTTCTACGACGGTCAGCTATAAGCCTATAACGTTAACTAGAAGATGGATGAACAGTTACCTGGAACCCTTTCGCAACTGGCGGGAGAAATTGTTTCCGGGCGCCAAACCATGTACAACTGTCACGCCCTTACTCTTGGTCGTGCGGCCCTAGCTCTCAATTCCGTTAGAGATGCTAGGCAGCCTTCTCACAAGCTCTCAAATTCACTCAACTCACAAGAACAAGACACAAGAAGATGGGAGAAACTCTAGAGTTGTATTGCTCACAAAAATGATGGATGAGTTACAAGTGAGGGAGATGGCTCCTTATATAGGCCTCTCCTCATACAAGGCATCAATGCCCCTCATAATGTCCCTCTACTACATCAATACACCCCATAAAGTCCCCCCCATAATGCACCCTAATAATGCTACCCATAATGTAGCCCATAAGTGCACCATTAAGCTCTCATTTAGGTGGGTGGAGAATCCTAGGAGCATCTCTATGCTACTAGTCTTCCATACATGCCACATGTGCAGCCGCCTTGTTGTCACCTTGTTGGCGCCATGTCATCGGCCACATGTGACATCCTCCCCCACCTATGCTCGCGACGCCCTCGTCGCGTCCTTGCTACGAAATGCCTCCATCGACCTCGAGCAGCCTCTCTCGACTCTTGAGCCTCGTTGGTGACATTCTCCTCCACTCAATCCACGACGCCCTCGTCGTGGCTCTTTGGCAGATGCCTCCCTTGCCTTAGCCTCATTGCTTGCAAGGTCTCGTTGCACCTTCCTCCAAACCAAGGATGACCCTGGCTCGCTCTCGAGCCTTGTACTCCCATGATGTTGCGCACTCCTCCGCGGTCTTCTCCGTCGCGTCTTCGAGTGTCCCGCCTTCTCGATCATGGTGGCCTTTCCTTGCTTCTCTTGGCAAGTCGAAGATGACCCATCCTCGTCTTTCATGGCTTCACGATGTTGTGCACTCCTCCTCGTCCTTCTCCAACGAGTCTTCGAGTGAGCCGCTACCTCGACCGTTGTTGCCACTTCTCGCTGCTCTTGCCTTGCCAAACACCTCTTGTTTGACTCGAGTTGCTCTCTTGTCATGGGAACCGATCTTGCTCCGCCATTGATGCAGAATCTATTGGCGTATGGGATCGGGAAAGCTTTCTCCCGCACCATGAACTCCATGCCGATGATGACCTGATAATCATCCAACGACACCACCTCAAAGTCCGCCACCCCGGTCCATCCTCCTAGCTTGAGTGGCACCTGGCGCGCTACTCCATGAGTTCTTGTGGCCCTTGAGTTGGTAGCCTTCATCCACCCTCTTCGCTTCTTCTCGTACGTGATGCCCAGCCTCCGCGCTTCATCTACGTCGAGAAGGTTGCAGCTTGCCCCGGTATCAACCAAGGCTTTTGTCTTCCTTTGGTTGAGCTTTGCCTCTACGAAGCATTGACCGTGTTGCTCAAGATGGGGAGGCTCTTCCGTCCGCTTGATGGCGCTCAATCTCTTCATGCAACCAATCTTCGCGACATGGGGCTCCACTCTTGGAGTCGCCTCCTCCTCCTCTTCCGAGCTCGAGCACTCTGCTAGTACGGCCTTCATTGCCGACAACTTGTGCTTTCTTGGGCAATCTCTCACACGATGCGGACCATCACAAAGGAAGCAAGTAAGTGGTTTCTCAACCTTATGACTACCTCCTTGGTCCAGTCTACCACGCCTTCGTGTGTCTCTGTCATAGTCGCGTCCACCTCCATTGCCTCCGAACTCCACACGTTCCTCCGGCTCGTGGTACTCGACTAGGGACTCGGCAATCGCCATTGCCTCGGCAAGACTTTGCGCGCCTCGCCGTTGTAGCTCCAACTTCGCCCATGGTTGGAGGCCGTCAAGGAAGGTGAACATGGCCTCCTTGTCGGTGTAGTCGGGGATCTCGAGCAACAATTCAGAAAACTCCTTCACATACCCTCGAATCTCTCCTTCGTGAGCAAGCCTCCTTAGTCTCGACCGGGCTTCAAACTCAACATTCTCTGGGTAGAATTGCCTCTTGATCTCCCTCTTGAAGTCATACCATGACTCCATCACGCACGTCCCTTTACTGATATCGCCTTGGGTCCTTCTCCACCACAACATGGCAACATCACTCAAGTAAAGAGGTGCAGTTTTTACCTTGGTATTCTCATCTCGAATACCCGAAGCCTCGAAGTATTGCTCCAAGCTCCATAGGAAGTTCTCTAACTCCCTTGCATTCCTCGACCCTTGAAAGCTCTTTGGTCTTGGAATCTCCATGGTTGAGGCAGGTTGTGCGATGGCAGGTCCATTAGCCATGGCCCTCTTCACAAGCGTCACTTCGCTTTTGAGCTCCGCAACCTCCTCCTTCAAGACGGTCACCTCCGCAGCAGCCGCCTCCTTCACTAGCTCAATGGCATCGTTCATGGCGGTGGAGATGGTGTTTTTGATGAGGGCCATGAGCTCACCTCGAAGCCCTTCATTGCCAACTTCCAAACTCGTCACTCTAGCCGCCACACTTTGAACATCGCCTTGGATTTGGGTGAAGTTAGCTCCCAAATCCTCCATGACGGTGACATCTTCGGAAAGCTTCACCTCCACCCTCGAGACTCGCCTCTCTAGAGACTTGAGAGGATCACGAGTGCTCGACGTACCTTTCGGCCTTCCGCCCGGAGTAGGATCTCTTCCACGTTGCTTCTCCGCATCGTCATGGACTTCTGATCCAGCCATCTTTGGTGAGGCTCTCGCTCTTTCTTATCTTCCTTCTTGGGGAGTGAGGACACCGGTTCTTCTTTCAGAACCAGGCTCTTATACCAACTGTCACGCCCTTACTCTTGGTCGTGCGGCCCTAGCTCTCAATTCCGTTAGAGATGCTAGGCAGCCTTCTCACAAGCTCTCAAACTCACTCAACTCACAAGAACAAGACACAAGAAGATGGGAGAAACTCTAGAGTTGTATTGCTCACAAAAATGATGGATGAGTTACAAGTGAGGGAGATGGCTCCTTATATAGGCCTCTCCTCATACAAGGCATCAATGCCCCTCATAATGTCCCTCTACTACATCAATACACCCCATAAAGTCCCCCCCATAATGCACGCTACCCATAATGTAGCCCATAAGTGCACCATTAAGGTCTCATTTAGGTGGGTGGAGTATCCTAGGAGCATCTCTATGCTACTAGTCTTCCATACATGCCACATGTGCAGCCGCCTTGTTGTCACCTTGTTGGCGCCATGTCATCGGCCACATGTGACATCCTCCCCCACCTATGCTCGCGACGCCCTCGTCGCGTCCTTGCTACGAAATGCCTCCATCGACCTCGAGCTGCCTCTCTCGACTCTTGAGCCTCGTTGGTGACACAACCCACAAAGCACAATTGGGAGGAAAGCGACGGTGTGAGACTGTGGAGAGAGTTCTTCGCACCCTTGCTCGCTTGTTTCTATAGTTAGGGTTCAATTGCAGAAATGGTCACTCAAACTTTTGGACGACAAAATTGTGACTTTTAACAAAATAGTCATTCAACTTTTTATGCTACTCTACCCTGTTTGTGGAACAATCGGTGAGCCCATTTCTCCGTTGCGTTTTTTCTTGCCATCTGTTAAAAATGGATTTGTGAGTTCATTTTTTAGCCTCTAAGCCGAGAACAGAGTACTCTGTTTCCTCTGCAACTAAAATGGTCGAAGAAAGCTCTCTAATTTCATCAATACACACTAGCCCCCAACCCAACCACCTTCAAGAACATCGTAAAATAGACGATTCATTGAAGCAAAATCCGCATACACTAATTCAACAAGAAACCACGCACAGAAGACACCAGCATTAGTACAAAACCAGGAAGAAGAAGAAAAAAAACAGAGACAAGCTTCTCGACACTCAAAACCCTCAAACGATCAGCCAACCCAACAAAATAAACAAAACCCACGCACATTTATTGATCAATCCGTCAACAAGTGAGACTCCTCAAGCGATCTTGACCTCAATCGTCTTGGGCTTCTTCGGCTCAGGAGGCGGCACCTTCTCCACCGTCACCGTCAGCACCCCATCCTTACAAACCGCCGAGATGGCATCCGTATTCGCATTCTCCGGCAAGACGAACTTCCTCATCAGCTTCCCAACCCTCCTCTCCATCCTCACGTACTTCGCCCCTTCCTTCTCCTCCTCTTCCCGCTTCCGCTCCCCGCTGATGATCAAAACGTTGTCGTCCTCCACCTGCACCTTGATGTCCCCTGACTTCAGCCCCGGCATGTCGATTACGAACGCGTACGAATTCGGGTACTCCTTCACGTCGGCGGGCGTCGCCGCCATTGCCTTGGCGTCCCTCACGTACGTCCTCGTCGGCGCGGAATAGGAGGACTTGCTGCCGGCGCCGGCGCCGTTCGCCTCTGGCTCCTCACCCATGTTGTCCATCATGTGATGCAGAGTCTGGAGGACTGGGTAGTCGAAGCCCACGAATCGGAGATCCATTTGCTCTGTTTTGGAAAACTGCTTCTTTGATTATGAAATTGCTTCTTGATTCTGAGATTGCTGCAAAGATTATTGCTTTTTGCCTGATTTTGGTGGAAAGGTGATAGGTGGAGAGAGCTTTATATAGGGATTGGAAGTGGAAGTTTGGGAAATTTTGGGGAAATTTCTGGATGGATGGAGATGGAGCTTTGGAAGAGGTTACAGAGAGTTCTAGGAGGTTCTTTTGTAAATTTTTAGCCTGGGAAGACTGGAACTTTGTGGAAGGTTTCTTCTTTTTTTCCCCTGCTGACTTGTCAACGCTCCTGCTCAAGAAAAGAAAGTCCTTTCCTTTGTTCGAGGAGAAAAAGAGCGGCAAATATATTAACGGTATTTTTGGAATATTTGCAATTTTTTGGATTCAAATTTGTTATTTTGGAATAGGTGGTTAATTATAAGGTATGAGAATGATGAATTTTAGTTTTAAGTTCTTGTAAATGGGAAATACAGATTGTGAATGGTATGAAAAGAACGGTCAAACCTGTTCCTACGTTTTGATTGATAACTTATACGTTGTGGTCGATCTGATGATGAAAAGATCCATGTTCAGAAATAAATCGATCAACCACGTCATGGAAATGATAAGTTAGGGCAAGAGATATCTTCACAGTTGAAGCCAAACTTCATGGAGAATATTCTAAAGACAATGAACCTCGTGATTTCAATCTTCAAATGAAAGATCGATTGGACATCCGACATAGTCGACATCTTTTTCTTCTTCACAACATCAACATCTTTTTCTTCTTCACCAAGCTCAATATTGTTATTTATAGAGGTTTGTGTTGCTATTAACTCGGGTGAAGTGGTAGCAAAGCCTTTGTCGAGTACCGAAACTTTTCTAGTGATGAAATCTTGTTTCAGCACCAAATAAATAAATAATTAAATTGACAAGATTAACAGTCTAAATAATATTTTTAATGATAACGGTTAACTATTGTAATAAAATCATGATAATGTATAATAAAATTGCCATAAGAACATTTTGCGAACCGATACAAATAAACAAGAACACTGGAAGAAAGAACAAGTGCTTGTGATTTTGTATACAGCAGTGGTTTAAATTTCACAGTTGCCTGCGGGCGTAGATACAAACTAATTACAAGGCTTATGTATCATCTTCCAATAAGTACTGTTTTAACAGTTTACAGATCTTCCAGTCCAGCAACTCTTAAATCCTGCTCCAGTCTCCCGTGGTATTGTGTTAAGTCAAGACCATTGCCAGAAGAATTTGCGAGGAAATCTCTGTACCAGAGTGCAGATATCTTGGGGATACGTTTAAGTGTCGTTCGATCGACATAATACAATCCGTATCGCACAGTATACCCATCAATCCACTCAAAGTTGTCCATCAAACTCCACGCGAAGTATCCTCTAACATCAGCTCCATCCCTGCCATTTTTGTGTTCGAGTTGTTTCAGTTCAAACATTGCCAATGCAGTTTGTTTTTCAGTCCATTTACAGATCGACAGCAATCACGGTGGGGAGGTAGCTTCGACGAATCGGTAAAATTTACCTTATGGAGCTGGCAACAGCAGCAAGGTAGGACTTGTGGTAGTCGATTCTTTTGACATCATGCAGTATTTGATTCAGTTGCACTTCTTCACCTGGTGGCGGCGCATATCCTGCAGTTCAGGAAAAAAATGGAGGAGAAATGGGTTCAAGACTTGAATCTTGAAACCACCCGATTCACTTACAACGAGAACTCGAAAGCTTGAAGCCATGGCTTACCATTTTCAGTAACATACATTGGCATGTTATTGTATCTTTGTTTCATGTAGTTAACAATGTTCTTAAGCCCTCCTGGAACCACAAAGAACCTTGCATTCCCTGTCTGCAGTTGGATCAGTGGGAAATAACTAGTTGACTTGGCTTCATTTTATACATTTGGAAAAAGGAAGAAATTAACAGCATGATTCATACCGGTTGACCTATCGGGACCCCATCACGGTCTCCTGTGGTGTAAACATAGCCTCGGATAGCATGATCCGATCCCCCTGGAGCGCAGGAAGAATGGAGGCAGTCTTTTGCATACAGTGTTAAATAATGGTTGATACCAATGTAATCTATGCTTCCTTTAAGATAGTCCATTTCATCAACTGTGAACCTTGGCAGTGCATCTCCAAGGAACAGGCGCATTTCGGAAGGATAATCTCCATATACCAAGGGATCTAATAACCTGAATAATAACGAATTCCATCGGATTTTGCATCAAATGATTGATCAAGTAAAAGCTGAAGTTAAAAAGCACATACCAACCCACACCGAAGGCTAACCCCCGAGTCACAGCTTGCTGATCTAACTCATTATTGGCTCTTAGTGGCTCATACCACATTGCATGCAGAACTATCCCAATGGAACCACCTTGCTTTCCCTACAGAAGACTCGGCATTAACTCTGTTGAACTACTTGGAAGCATCAAACACTACTTGCCTACTCGGTATTTGGAAGCACAGGAGTTTAGCAAGTTGTCAAAGCTGGAAACATGCAGTGTCTAACCTGAAACTCTTGGCGATAGATCTTAACTGCTTTGCCATGGGCCAATATCATGTTATGCAGAGCAATTAGAGGCTCTACGTCGGAATTTCCAGCCGAGCATTTTCCAAATGGAGGAGAACAATGAGATGGTGGGTACCATCCCCTAATATAGGCCATGTCCACAAACAGGTTTGCCTCGTTGATGGTCGCCCAATGCTTCACCTTATGCCCAAAACTCTCGAAGCAAATTCTGGCAAAATGCACAAAGTCTTCCCTGCAGGATAGTAAGCAAAGAAACATGAACAGAAACTTAAACTAAGTGTGTGCTTCAGAAAACAGGCAAACCAAACCAGGAAATGTTACACTGGGAATGAATCAACACAAAAAATAACCCTGATAGAACTACAAGCAAGGAAAGGAAAGGACTGCAATTCAATTACTGCATTAGAGGACTGAGCCATCCCCCATATCTGTCCGCAAGTTCCTGTGGGATGTCATGGTGGTGTATTGTCACAAATGGCTCAATCCCTGCAGGTTTGTTGTATTCTCAGTTCTAGAACTATAGCACAAACTAAATTTGGTTCATTTCGAATAGAATTTCAGCTACAATGCTTGGATAGAAAGTGGAGTACCCTTGAGTACAAGATGGTCTAGAATACGGTTGTAGAACATGATCCCCATTGGATTTACTTCACCATATCTCCCTCCTGTTACCATTCTCTAGGAATGAGCTAAATATATATGGAAATCTATCATAGTACAAGGAAGAAAGGAGACATACTGGGTAGAATTCTGGTCCATGAGATTGACAATCTATATGCAGTCACACCAAGGGAATGCATCAATTCAATATCTTCCTGCGCATTCGAAATTTGATTCAGCATCTATTCAATTCAATGATAAAAGTTGCAGGGGAAACAGGTAAGTCGACCAATTGATACCAAGAAAAGATTGTAGTGATTGTCAGCAGTGTCCCCGTTGCCATTCTCCTTAATGTTGCCTGGGAGAAACCCAGATTTTCAGCCATGAAAAAGGGGAGTGGGAAAAAAAAAAACAAAGGAAAAAGGTCAAAAGGGTAGTTTACCCGGAACGTGACAAAAGACATCCCAGTTGCTGAGACCCTTTCCATCATCAAGATAAGCTCCCTCAATCTGCGAAGCAAAGGAGAAACCAAAAAGGCGGCGACTTTTCAGTTCCAATTCTCATGGGAGATGCGCAAATGAGAGATCAATTAAAGGATAACCCAGAAACCTGGTAAGCAGAAGTAGTGGTGCCAAAGAGAAACCCATCTGGGAAATGAGACCTGCTGACGATTTCTTCTTCTGCTTCGACTGGTTCAGAGAGAACAAAGCAGAGCGCAGAAGAAGAAAGAAAACAGAGCAGCAGAAGTCGCCGATGGGTCGTCGTTGCTCTACTGCTCTCCGGCATTGTCGTGACTCGTGGTGGCTAGTGTGTTACTGTGTTCGATTTGGCGTGTGGCAAATTTGCCTAATCAAGAGTAACAAATAACAACTGATTCTATCCATATATACGAGGGAAATTGACTGTGCACATATCCATTTGGCATACATAGTTTATCGGCTGTCTCTAGTCAACAAAAATGGCTTTTTTTCTTCTCCTCTTGGCATCCTTTTCCTACCAGCTCACCACCTACCCTTTCGGCATTGCATTGACAACTACAGGGATGTTTTCTTATTCAATTATCATTATCACAATACCTTAAAAAAATAAAAATGGGTCCAATTTTGTGTTTTAGACAGAAATAGAAAATAATAAAAGCCCATCAAAAAAAATTATAAAAGATTAATATCAGCAATATATTATATTAAAATAATACAAAAAATTTATTGAATAAATTCAAACAGTAATAAGTACGGTCATTAACCCAATAATAATCACCGGCCTCTTACGAATCTTCGACTCAGGTGGAGGAGCTCCAATCTCGACTCAAACTTAAGACAAGTCTCAGACAATTCAGATCTATTGTGTATCCCCGGTCTCTCACTTGATCAATGGGTCTGCAAAGGGTCCTAGAAATCATATATGGGGTTATTGGGCCTGAAAGGTATCTTAGGCATTCCACCAAGTAATCGTGTCTGGGGGCGCCTGGAAGCAATCTCGTACATGTGATGGACCTAGATATCTAGACACCCCCGACTCAATTTCCAGGTCTGCTAGACAACCCATCGAGTCATCAGACACATTAAGACTAATCCAGGATCTAGAAAGAGCCCTAGGCACCTTGGAATAGTGAAGCACCCTTGGTGCCCTAAACTAGGAACTAGGAAGGGCCCTCTTATCTCAAATTTATGGGTGTATCAAGACCTCCAATGCCACCCTATGACCTCGGAAGGACCCTTATGTCGAGAAAAATTGACTCACGAGTCACGACCCCAATGTCTTTTTCGGCACCCTATAAACGCGTGTTCCGACCACGAGTCACCCGATCCAACCACAAGTCTATGCACCGTGGCACATCACTACCACTATTTGTTAACCCTTGAACCTCTGGCTTAACGTAGGTGACTCCTTGTCCTCCCATAGAATACAACACCTACAAAAGGCCCTCATATTCTTTTTGGCAAAAGTATGCAAACAATGCTTCCGGAGGAGCCCTGCAATCATTGGCTACCATTAGCGGCGACAACCACTCTCTACCCGGCTTTGTTCCTCTATCCAACTCCTTGATTTTTGAAATCCCGCTCGAATCATATCGTCGGACCGACTTGAGCATCTGAAAGTGTCTCAGTAGAAGATGATTGGAGCTAACATTATAAGCATAGGTCGAGTTTGACGGTCGTCATCAACCAACTTTGGTGCCCCAACAGAAAAAAGTTCCACGAGCTAAGTCGCTGACCACAACCCACAAACCAACACTATCAAAATATTACGAACCAAATCCCGAAACTAAAATACGATTCAATATATTGTTTTTGACTGCATTATACCAACTGGTAAAGAATTTTCTTTCACATGTCCGTTCCTTATCGGCATGCCGGTGAGCAAATGAGTTTTTTTCTTATCGATTTTACCACGGTATGATCTGAATCAAATGATATTATTATGAACTAGGAAGAGTACACTAAAATACCTCCTATTGATTTTGCTTATGATAGGAAATTTTTCTGGTCGAACTAGTACGATTTTTCGATTCTCGCGACCAGACACTTAGCTAAGAGTCTCCCTTCCCGCCGGCGTACGGCGTGGCAATCAAATACAAGTGATTCTTCCTCCCCACCACCCCTCCAAAAGTCTCTGTCATGTCCAAATCCTCCGGGGGAATCCCGCCGGGAATCTCCCAATCGAAGTGGCAAAGCAACTGCGCCAGCGGGAGCTCCACGTTCGCCAATCCGAACGACATCCCGGGACAGATCCGCCGCCCGCCGCCGAACGGGATGTACTCGAAGTTGGCGCCTCCTTTATAGTCAATCGACCCGCCGGCCGCCGCCGCGGCGAACCTCTCCGGCAGGAATTCGTCGGCTTCGTCCCAGTACTCCGGGTCCCGGCCTATGGCCCACGCGTTGACCAGGACGTTGGTCCCCGCCGGGATGTGGTAGCCGTCGATCTCGCAGCCTGCGTTGCTCCGCCGCGGGGCGAGGAGCGGGAGCGGCGGGTGGAGCCTCATGGTTTCTTTGATTACTTGTTTCAGGTAAGTGAGCTGCTGGAGGTCTTCCTCGGTGATTCCGCGGGATCTTCCGGCGAATACCCGCCGGACTTCGGCTTGTGCTTTTTCCATGGTGGGTGGGTTACGGATCATCTCCGACATTGCCCATTCGGTGGTCGTCGATGAGGTGTCCGTCACGGCGACGAACATATCCTGTCGTGGTAAAAAAAGACGACAACAACCAAACAATGAAATTATGATTTGGCGCCAAAATTTAACTGTTCTTGTTGTTTTTGTTGGATGTATTTGAACACAAATTTTTTGAACCAGACTGGATGCTAAACCGAAAAAGTAAGTCGTTGATGGTTCATCGGTTAACTATTATAGAACCGTTGGTTAATAGAACCGTTCATGCGCTATAAAATAAAAGACATAGATAATACACTGGTTAATGACTATTTTAAATTATAGTCATTAACCAGGATGACAATCCGTAGTTAACCAAATAAATCCCACAAAGATGTTGGGAAATGAAGAAAGGCAGCATAATCAGAATTTGTGGTTGAGATTGGGTGATTTTAATTTAAGTTGAATTTTTTTTTTATTCGTGGTTACAACAGTGAATTATTGGACTAGTTAAATCATGGTGGTTCATCTAGTTTTATAACAAATCTTTAAAAATCATTCGATGAATCTCTAACCGTCCAATCAAATTAACCGAATGATTAAAAAAAATATAGCCTAGTGGTAATTTGGATTAAAAAAAAAAAAGGCGTGAAAGGGAACCAACCCAAAGTACGGCTTTGACATTGTCGATGGTGATCGGACACTCCAGCTCCTCGCCCTGCTGAATCTTCAGCAGAACATCAACCAACGTCTCTTCCTCCGCCGCCGTCGTATCCTCCCTGCCGCCGTCCTCGGCCGCCAATTTCAGTCGATGCTCGTCAATTATCTTATCCAACACCATATCCAGCTGCTGCCTCAGCGCCTCCAACTTCCGCCGCATTCCGGTCAAGCCCTGAAGAAACCCCGCCGACGGGAAAAGATCGACCAAATCGAAACCCCCGGCGAGCGCCAGCGACCTCTCGGCGATCTCAATCACCCTCTCCTGGTCCTCGCACTCGTCCCCGAACGCCGCACGCGCCACCACGTTGCTCGTCATGGCGTAGATCCTCCGGGTCAGGTCCAGGCCCGAGCCCGATCGGGATCCCGGGTCGGACCCGACCGAGACGACGAGCTTCCGGGCCTCGTCGTCCCGGATGACGGAGAACGACCGGACCCGCCTCGGGCCCAGCATCTCCGTCTTGCAGATCCGCCGCATCTGGCGCCAGTAGTCGCCCTCGGAGAAGGCGAGGTCGGTGTTGTCGTAGGATATGATCTTCGTGGTGAGGAGCTCCGGCCGCTGCCCGAAAACCTGGTCGTGGGTTTTGAACACCTCGTGGGCGAACCGGGGCGAGGAGACGACGAGGGCCGGGACCTCGCCGAGCTGGAGGTGCATCAGCGGGCCGTCGACGGCGGCCAGGGAGCGGAGGGCGCGGTGGGGGAGCTCGCCGGAGAGAGCCAGGTTGTGGAGGTTCCCGATCACGGGGAGCTTCAGGGGACCCGGCGGGAGCGGGCGGGTCGGTTCCGGGTCGGGTTTGGATTGGAGACGCGTGATTTTGGTTTTGTTCTGACGATGGAAGAACGGCATAGGAGTGGGGTTTTGAAGGTTGATCGGAAAGGTGAAAGTTGCCGGGGAAACTAGAGATTGAGCTGGTTTTGCCGCCATTTTTTTCCTTTCCCGGGTTGGTTACCGGGTCGAGAATTGGGCCTTTTTCTATTTATAGAGAGGAACCCTTTTTTGAAAGCAAGATTGCTGCAAACTGACAGCTTTATTCATTGATTGAGACTGATCTTTATACATAGATCCTTAACAGAAAGCTCCTAAGCTTAGGATCCCAAACGGCTATCAATCCCAATCCCTGAGGAGTAGCTAAAATCCTCAACCAATCTGAAACTAACCCTGCAACGGCTAACTGACCATTGCAAGCAAGACACAAACAATAAGGACCAAACTGAAACAAACCAAAACGACACAACATCAACTTAAATGAAAGACAGACGCAGCCTTTTCCTTCTCCTGTTCGGATTCGGATTCAGGCTCTTCAACAGCAGCAGAATCTTCAACAGCCTCCCCTGAACTGAAGCATATCTGATTAGCTTCAGTTCATCAATCTTCAGTCTTCAGTTCATCACCATCGACCAGTCCAAGCCTGCTGCGCAGCAACTGAAAGGTTTCCAACTTCAAAGGCTTTGTCATTATGTCTGCAACTTGTTCACCAGTTCTGCAATGTTCCAACTCAATCACTTCATTCCTGGTCAGCTCCCTTAAGAAATGAAAACGCACATCTATGTGCTTGCTTCGACCATGCATGACAGGATTCTTAGAGAGCTTAATAGCTGAGCTATTGTCACACATGATTTTGGTTGTTCCTGCTACACATTCCAGCCAACCCATCTGAGTTATGATCCTCTTGAGCCACACACATTGAGCTGCACAGAAGGCTGCAGCTACAAACTCTGCCTCGGTTGTTGAAAGAGTGACCACAGGCTGCTTCTTCGAGCTCCAAGAAATTGCTCCTCCTGCAAGAAAGAAAGTGTAGCCACTGGTGGATTTTCTGTCATCTAGATCACCAGCATAGTCACTGTCAGTGTACCCCAGCAACCAATCTCCTTCTTCTTGTCTTCTGTACAGAATTCCAAACTTCAGTGTGCCCTTCAAGTACCTTAGCACTCTTTTTGCCGCCAGCATATGTTGTCTTGTAGGTTTATCCATGTACCTGCTTAGCATACAGACTGCATACATGATGTCTGGTCTTGTAGCTGTTGCATATAACAGGCTTCCAATAACCTGTTTGTATTCAGTTGCACTGGCCATAATTCCATCTCCAGCTTTTGAGAGTTTAGTTCCTGGAGCTATAGGATTATGCACATAGTTGCATTCTGCTAAATGAAACCTTTCCAACAGTTCACTGATATATTTTTGCTGAGAAATGAATATACCAGAATCAGACTGAGTTACCTCCACTCCCAGAAAGAACTTCATCCTTCCCAGGTCTGTCATTTCGAATTCTGCTTCCATGGACTCCTTAAATTCTCTCAATAACTCAGAGCTGGTGCTGGCATAGATCAGATCATCAACATACACACTGACCATTAGCACTTCCTCTTTCCTCTTCTTCACAAACAAGGTGTGTTCAAACTCACACCTCTCAAAACCAGTGTTGAGAAAGTGAGTCTCAACCCTACTGAACCATGCTCGAGGGGCCTGTTTTAGGCCATACAAAGCCTTCTGCAGTTTATACACCTTTCCTTCTTCTCCAGGGATCTCAAAACCTTGTGGCTGTTCAATATAGACTTCCTCTGTGAGTTCTCCCTGCAGAAAAGCACTCTTGACATCTAACTGATACACAGTCAGATTGAATTGTGCAGCAAGGGCTAAGAATGTTCTGATGGTGTCCCATCTTGCTACTGGTGCAAATACCTCATCATAATCTACTCCATGTCGTTGAGCATAGCCCTTTGCCACCAATCTGGCTTTAAATTTGTCTATGGTTCCATCTTCCTTCAGCTTGGTTCTGTACACCCATTTTACTCCAATTGGAGTTACTCCTGCTGGCCTTGCAACTAGAGTCCACGTGAGATTTCTTTTGATAGCATCAATCTCCTGTTCCATAGCCTTCCTCCACTTTTCTTCAAGTACAGCTTCTTCAAATGTGGTTGGATCTCCACTAACAGCAGCCAGAGCCCACCAGTCAGTCTCAGCAAGTGCCAGATTAGGCATTCCTTCACAATCAAATCCATCAAAATGCCTTGGAAACTTGCGAGTTCTGGGCCCTAGTTCACTGCTAATTGGAAGCCCCAAAGCATCAGTCACATTTTCTTCCTCTTCTTCTTCTGGATCTGCAGCTGGTGTGACTGGTTCTGATGTTTCAGAACTTGTGTGAACTGAGGTGGTCTCAGTTCCTCCCTCAGCTGTAGTTCCTTCTTCTCCATTGTCACCAGTTTCCTCCTCAGCACCACCAGGATCATTATTATCCTCTCCTTCTTCTCCCTCTTCTGAATCATGCCAGTCTTCTTCTCCTCCTTCCCAAACCAGCTTTGTCAGAACAGGTTCTTCCTCAGCTTTCCAGATCCATCCTTCCTCTTCATTAAAGACCACATCTCGGCTAATGATGATCTTCTTTGATTCTGGATTGAACAGCTTGTAGGCCTTGGACTCTTTAGACATTCCCAGAAAGTTACACTTAACACTTTTATCATCCAATTTCTTCCTCAAACTGTCATGCACATGAACATAGGCTACACAGCCAAAAACCTTTAAATGATTCACTGAAGGAGGTTTACCAGTCCACCTTTCTTGAGGTGTTTTACCATCATTGGCTACAGTTGGACTTCTATTCAGAATGTGAGTAGCCCAATCCACAGCCTCAGGCCAGAAGGTTGAGGGGACCTTGGTATCCTCCAGTGAACATCTAACCATGTTCATGACAGTCCTGTTCTTTCTTTCAGCAACACCATTTTGCTGAGGAGTAAGAGCAGCTGTCAACTGTCTTCTGATGCCTGCTTCATCACACAAATCTCGAAACTCATGAAGCAGAAACTCTCCTCCTCTATCAGTTCTGAGACAAACAATTTTTCTCCCAATTTCATTCTCTACTTGTGCTTTAAATCTTCTGAAACAGGCTAAGGCTTCTGATTTTGCAGATAGGAAATAAATCCACAACTTTCTACTGAAATCATCAGTAAGAGTCATGATATACCTCTTTCCTCCATTGGATGCAGGAGTAATTGGACCACATAAGTCAGCATGCAGAAGTTGAAGTGGTTTTATGGCCCTCCAAGCTCCCTTCTTTGGAAACTTAGCTCTGCACTGCTTCCCAATCAGACAGGTTCCACATACTCCAATATCTCCAGTAAGTTTTGGAAGCCCTTGTACCAATCTTTCTTGTTGCAACTTCATCAGATTGACTTTGCTGAGATGACCAAAACGTCTGTGCCACAGGTGCAGTGTGTCATGCTGCTCAGCATTAGTTTGAAAGCACTGATTTCCTTCTTTCACATGATGTCTGGCTTGCAGAACAAACATCCTGTTAGATTTCATGGATGTTTCCAGCAGCAGACCATGTTTTTCATGGTAGATTCTGCAACTTCCATTCTTGATTATAAATTCCAGATTCTTCTCCTGCATCTGACCCACACTCAAGAGATTTGATTTTAAACTGGGTACATAGAAGACATTCTGGAACACCAGAGGGACTTTTCCAACAATCATCTTTACAGAACCTTTCCCTTGCACCTCCAGTTTGCTGCCATTGCCTAGTTTGACATCACTTTTGAAGCTGGTATCAAGCTTAGAGAACCAGCCCTTATTTCCACACATGTGGTTGCTGCACCCACTGTCAAGAAACCACCAGTCATCATTCTTCTTCATTGCTCCATTTGGAATCATCTCTTCTGAGTAAGCCATCAACAGAACATCATCTTTAATGTCATTTGGACCCCAGCTCGAGTAATGAGCTTGCCATTCAGGGCATTCTCGACTGAAATGCCCCATTCTATGACATTTAAAACACTCAATCTGATCCCTATTCCAGATCCTTCCACGTCCTCTTCCTCCTCTGCCTTGATATCCAGTTCTTCCTCCTCTTCCTCTACCATTTCCAAACACTTGCAGGACTTGCTCTTCCCCATATGAGGATTTTGCAAACTTTTGCTCATGCACAAGCAGAGAGCTTTGCAGAGCATCCACAGACATCTCAGCAATATCTTTGGATTCTTCAATTGAACACACTATGTAATTAAACTTTTCAGTTAAAGTTCTGAGCACCTTCTCAACAATCTTGGAGTCATTCATGTCCTCGCCACAGTTTCTCATTGAATTTGCAATGACCATTACCCTGCTGAAATAGCTGGTCACTGTTTCCCCATCCTTCATTTGAAGCAGCTCAAAGTTTCTTCGAAGTCCTTGCAGATTGGCCTTTTGAACACGCTCGTTGCCCTGATATCGAATCTTCATAGAGTCCCACAGCTGCTTGGAGGTTGCCTTCTGAGTGATTGTCTTGAGAATGCTCTTATCAATAGAGCTAAAAAGGAAGTTCTTAGCATTCAAATCCTTCAGCCTGGTTGCCTCCAGCGTCTTTGTCTCTGCTTCAGTCAGCTCAGAGTCTGCATCAGCCTCTTTGAATCCAGTCTCTACCACAATCCATAGTTCCTTGGATCTAAGCAGATTTTCCATCAGCATGCTCCAGTGATCATAATCCCCATCGAATTTGGGAATTCCTACTTGAGCGAAGCTATTATCACCACTCATTTTCTGCTTTCTCTGGATTTCACTCACCAATAGTTGGGATCCTCACCTTCACTCGTGTTTCCCAAACCCAAAATCTTTCGCAATTTCACACAGCTCACACTCTCAATGGAACACGCTCTGGTTACAGCCTGCAATTGCTCTGATACCACTGTGAAAGCAAGATTGCTGCAAACTGACAGCTTTATTCATTGATTGAGACTGATCTTTATACATAGATCCTTAACAGAAAGCCCCTAAGCTTAGGATCCCAAACGGCTATCAATCCCAATCCCTGAGGAGTAGCTAAAATCCTCAACCAATCTGAAACTAACCCTGCAACGGCTAACTGACCATTGCAAGCAAAACACAAACAATAAGGACCAAACTGAAACAAACCAAAACGACACAACATCAACTTAAATGAAAGACAGACGCAGCCTTTTCCTTCTCCTGTTCGGATTCGGATTCAGGCTCTTCAACAGCAGCAGAATCTTCAACATTTTTTTTCCTGTGTCTCTGTCAACTTGGAGGGAATAACTTGGTGTCATTTTCCAGTCATATGCCATTGATGCCACTCCAAAAGGGTTACACTTACACCAAAAAACGAAGATGTTAAACAAATAGAGATGAGATTAGCAATGTTGAAGCTTTGTTTCTTTTTTTCTATTAAGTGGTTACCAACTCTATACAGGACATAGAAGGTTTTTCTCGTACCATCAGGGAGTTGTCTAATTGGCAGTTTTAGGTTCAGCGTAAAGCTATAATCCTATTTTCATAACCCGATAGATGGAGACTGAATCAAAGAACAACCCTTTGGGCCAAGTGAACTAACACTAACTCAAGACCCAAGTAGCTTGACACCCAGGCAAGCCAACTCGATTACCGACTTATGAACGAATCAATCTATATCTTATGATTTTAATTCATATGACTGTTAAATTATATATCTCGCCATATATAAAGTTTAACACGTTGAGTATGTGAGCAAATATATCATAGTTTCCGGTTTAAAAAGAAATTATGTATCATAGATTGCTTCGATACTATGAAATAACATGATTTTGAGTAGTTAAAATTTATTAACTAAATGATATGTGATACCAACAAAGTATAATATGACTTGAGATTAGCTAACAAAATAAATCCTATGTATAATGATATACAAAATGAAGTACCAAAGAATAGTAAAGATTTTAGTAAGCAAGCTAGCTCGACCTCGACTCGGCTTGTTTATTAACAAGCCGAGCTCAAGCTGGGTAAAACTCAACTCGACTCGGCTCATTTGCAAATTATAAATATTGGGATGCAAAGTATAAATTATTAATTGTATCAAAATCACAAATTATTGATTCATTCTTATTAATTTGTTATGAATTTATTATAAATGTTAGTCAACTATCATAATGCCTAGTTGGAGAATTGCTTTTGTTGGTTGACCCACGACCCAACCACACTCATCCGCCACCCACCCAACCCAACCCACGGAAGTATGTGGGTGAATTGAGGGTCACAACTATTTCAACTCGCTAGTAAGCGGGTGGGTCAATTTGAGACCAAACCTACCCAACCCGCCCATTGCCCCTAAGATTAACCACTTAAATATTTTTTAACGGACTAATCATAGTTAAATATTGTAATACAATCATGATAAATACAATACAATTGCCATAAGAACATTTTGCCAACCGATAGAATAATGACGAACACTTGAAAGAAGAAAAAGTGCTTGTGGTTTTGTATACAACAATGGTTTAAAATTCACAGTTGCCTGCGGGCGCAGATACAAACTAACCACAAGGCTTATGTATCATCTTCTAATAATCACTGTTTTAACAGTTTTTATAGATCTTCCAGTCCAGCAACTCTTAAATCTTGCTCTAGTCTCCCGTAGTATTCTGCTAAGCCAAGAGCATTGCCAGAAGAATGTGCGAGGAAATCTCTGTACCAGAGTGCAGATATCTTGGGGATACGTTTCAGTGTCCGACGATCGACATAATACAATCCGTATCTCAATGTATACCCATCAACCCACTCAAAGTTGTCCATCAAACTCCACGCAAAGTATCCTCTAACGTCAGCTCCATCCCTGCCATTTTTGTGATCGAGTTGTTTCAATTCAAACATAGCAAATGCAGTTTGTTTTCAGTCCATGTACAGATCGATAGCAGTCATGGCGTGGAGGTAGTTACTACGAATTGGTAAATATATATACCTTATGGAGCTAGCAACAGCAGCAAGGTAAGACTTGTGGTAGTTGATTCGTTTGACATCGTGCAGTATTTGCTGCAGCTGCACAGCTTCATCTGGTGGTGGGGCATATCCTGCAGTGCAGAAAAAAATGGAGGAGAAATGGGTTCAAGACTTGAATCTTGAAACTACCCGATTCACTTACAACGAGAGCTCGAAAGATTGAAACCATGGTTTACCATTTTCAGTAACATACATGGGCATGTTATTGTATCTTTGTTTCATGTAGTTAACAGTCTTCTCAAGCCCTCCTGGAACCACAAAGAACCCTGGATTCGCGGTCTGCAGTTGGATCAGTGGGAAATAACTAGTGACTTGGATTCCCTTATCATTTGGAGAAAGGAAGAAATCAACACCATGATTCATACCGGTTGTCCTATCGGGACCCCATCACGGTCCCCTGTGAAGTAAACATAGCCTCTGATAGCATGATCTGACCCCCCTGGAGGGCAGGAAGAATGGAGGCAGTCTTTTGCATACAGTGTTAAATAATGGTTGATACCAATGTAATCTATGCTTCCTTTAACATAGTCGATTTCATCAACTGTGAACCTTGGCAGTGCATCTCCAAGGAACAGGCGCATTTCGGAAGGATAATCTCCATATACCAAGGGATCTAATAACCTGAATAATAACGAATTCCATCGGATTTTGCATCAAATGATTGGTCAAGTAAAAGCTGAAGTCACAAAGCACATACCAACCCACACCGAAGGCTAACCCCCTAGTCACAGCTTGCTGATCTAACTCGTTATTGGCTCTTAGTGGCTCATACCACATTGCGTGCACAACTATTCCAACGGAACCACCTTGCTTTCCCTACATAAGACTCGGCATTAACTCTATTGACCTACTTGGAAACATCAAACACTACTTGCCTACTGGGGAATTTGGAAGCACTGGAGTTTAGCAAGTTGTCAAAGCTGGAATCATGCATCGTCTTACCTGAAACTCTTGGCGATAAATCTTAACCGCTTTGCCATGAGCCAATATCATGTTATGCAAAGCAATGAGAGGCTCCACGTTGGAATTTCCAGCCGAACAGTTTCCAAATGGAGGAGAACAATGAGATGGTGGGTACCATCCCCTAATATAGGCCATTTCCACAAACAGGTTTGCCTCGTTGATGGTCACCCAATACTTCACCTTATGCCCAAAACTCTCGAAGCAAATTCTGGCAAAATGCACGAAGTCTTCCCTGCAGGATAGTAAGCAAAGAGATATGAACAGAAACTTCAACCAAGTGTGTGCGTCAGAAAACAGGCAGACCAAACCAGGAAATGCTAGACACTGGGAATGAATCAGCACAAGAATAACCCTGATAGAATAGAACCACAACAAGCAAGGAAAGGAAAGGACTGTAATTCAATTACTGCATCAGAGGACTGAGCCATCCCCCATATCTTTCCGCAAGTTCTTGTGGGATGTCATGGTGGTGTATTGTCACAAATGGCTCAATCCCTGCAGGTTTGTTGTATTCTCAGTTCTAGAACTACAGTACAAATTCATTCACAAATTTGGTTCATTTCCATTAGAATTTCAGTGACAATAAGTGGATAGAAAGAGGAGTACCCTTAAGTAAAAGATGGTCTAAGATACGATTGTAGAACATGATCCCCATTGGATTTACTTCACCAAATCTCCCTCCTGTACCATTCTCTTGCAATGAGCTAAACATATATATCAAAATCTATCATATCATAGTACAATGGAAAGAAGATATACTGGGTAAAATTCTGGTCCATGAGATTGAGAATCTATATGCATCCACTCCAAGCGAATGCATCAATTCAATATCTTCCTGCGCATTAGAAATTTGATTCAGCATCTATTCAGTCCACGGATAAAGGTTGCAGGGGAAACAGGTAGACCAATTGATACCAAGAAAAGATGGTAGTGATTGTCAGCAGTGTCCCCGTTGCCATTCTCCTTAATGTTGCCTAGGAAACACACGGATTTTCATCCATGAAAAAGGGTCGAGGAAAAAACAAAGAAAAAAGGTCAAAAGGGAAGTATACCCGGAACATGAGAAAAGACATCCCAGTTGTTGAGACCCTTTCCATCTTCAAGATAAGCTCCTTCAATCTGAGAAGCAAAAGGAAGCCAAAAGGCGGTGACTTTTCAGTTCCAATCCCATGGGACATGCGGAAATGAGAGACCAAAAAAGGACAACCCAGAAACCTGGTAAGCAGAAGTAGTGGTGCCAAAGAGAAACCCATCTGGGAAATGAGACCTGCTGATGTCTTCTGCTTCTTCTCCTTCGACTGGTTCAGAGAGAACAAGGCAGAGCACAGAAGAAAGAAAACAGAACAGCAGAAGTCGCCGGTGGGTCGTCGTTGCTCTACTGGTCTCCGGCATTGTCGTGGTGGTTAGAGTGTTTCTGTGTTTGATTTGGCGCGTGGAAAATTCTCCTAATTAAGACTAACAACTGATTTTATCCATATATTAGGGGGGAATGGACTGTACACGTATGTATTTTGACATGCGGAATGGACTGTCTGGCTTCTTTTCCTCTGGCCATCCTTTTCCTACCAGCTCACCGCCGACTCTGTCGGCGTTGCATTGAACAAGTCAACTACAGGGATTTTTCAAACCGTAATAAGTAATAAACCCAAAATAAAATCATTCTCACTTTATTTGTTTCTTGCTTTGGAAAGGGATGTTGCTTCGAGGTTGTGATTGTTGATGTGGGATCTTTATGATGCATGTATTATGAAAAAAGGAATCGAAGAACAAGCCTTAGGCCAAGTGAACTACACTAACACCCAGAAAACTGTAATATTGTCTTGAAGACCCCATGAAATTAAGCCTGAACATATTAGTGGGTAAAATTATATTTATAGGCTAACTGGTTCATGTTAAGTAAGAAAATGGGGACAATCACAGCTGCACAGGCACCTGCAGCAAAGGGTCTTTCTGCTCTTGCGACAATGTCGAGAATTCACCTCTATTTACCACAGAAGCCGACCCCTGCTTCGTACCGTTACCGTCTCAAGGTAAGCGTTGCTTAGAGCAACATTCAGGAGAATATCTGCTTTGGCACATATCCCTTCGTAACCGTCCTAGCCAACACTAGGCCTGCTGTCAGAGCCACCCCGAGCAAGGCATGGAGTCTCACGCAGTAATATTTTGCCATAAAAATTTTACCCTTGTCCTGTAAAAGATTACATTTGAAGGTGAGTGAATCTAGTGATAATAACAGCAGCAGATAGAGCAGCTGCAGATAAGAGCACGGCTATCAGAGCGCTCACATTGTGGTTTTCTTCAACAAATCTGACCACCCTAATCCCCATTGGCAAGGTCAGGGCGGAGAGAAGCTGGAAAAAGACGTGACGTTTTAGACAGTCGACAATGGCATGTGGGTTCGAGAATGGAACTAGCAACGGAAGACTGTCTTTACAATGGACACTAAAAGCTTGAACATTTATGAAGAACTTACAATGCAAGTCAAAGGAAGAGCTCCACTTATGCCGAAAGCAACCAAGAGAGAGTACAGAGTCACAACTGCTCCTTTAACTAGTATTGCACCTCTTTTGGTGCCCAGTCTAACCTACATTTTCCATGTCAAGAAAGGAAAAAAGATTAACCACTAAACAGTACACAGTAAGTAAGTACAAAAAGATTAAAGAAAGAGCTAGGCAACTTGAACAGACCAAGGGTGATATTTTGTCAACAGCTTTATCTTCTTCGATCTGCATTGGTTAAATTTCATGTCAAAAAGATTATCCATGATTAGCAGAAGAAAGGGGAGTAAAAAACGAAGACCAAACCTGGTGAAAGTGACTACAGAAAAGGATTAGAGTTGTCGTGAATCCAACGAGAAGTGATACTGAGAGAACTGTTGCAATTAACTCAAAATTGTGCGTCCCACTGAGTCGAAAACTAAAGTTAACAATGGATGGAACATGGTAATAATCAAAGGAAAACTTCAATATTGAAAACTTAACTGACCTTGTCACTCGCAGCAATAAGTAAAAAGCAGTGCTGGCAAATGGACCGAATGCTGCAAAGCACAAGGGCTCACCCAGTCCTTGGTAACTTAACCGGAAAGGAGGGCACTGCAGGCCAGGGTATGTATTACATGGTCAACAGATGAAACATAAGTTTGGCCTCGTTAAATATGAATAAACTAAAACCACACAAACTAGACATTTCAGCAGCATATACGTTTTTCAAACAGAATTCCAGGATCTCATACCAAACCTGTTAAACTGTACCTGATATATGTAGCCACAGATAATCGCCCAAGTCAATAACAAGTTTGCACGTATGCTTCCTGAGCTCACCGACGTCCATGTAACTCCCATGAAACCGATAATGAGGCAAAAGTAAGCTGCAATGAAGGCTCCTGAACGGCTTTTCCAGGGGCATCAGAAGTAAATCAGCAGTACTGTCCTCTTTTTGCCTGCTAATCATATTCACAAAAAATCAAGACAAACTCACCTTCCAAGCAAGTTAACAACTGATTCTTTCTTGTTCTTGTCTGCTCCTGTATCAAAATCATATACATCGTTGCTGGCCATCAACCAGATATCGAGAATTGTAATAAGTCAGATGGAGTATGGAGGACAGATTTTAAGTGCTATGGTAAGCAAGACTTAAGATGACCACAGAATATGAGAAAAATATGGACAAAGCCCTGCCCTTGAGTCTAATCAGAGTTGAGAATACAACTGTACACTCCCATTCTCATTATTCATAGTCATCTAGTATTGGCTATTTCACGTGACAAACTGTGATTCATTAACACATGTCAGCCACATTCAAAGGTAATTACTATCACTTCACTAACTAATACTAGACCATCTTCAGCAGCTATGGGAAGAATTTGAAATAATATATAACATATGTGTTTCACAAAGCCACAATGGATATTTACATGGTAAAACCAGCCATTAAGAATCTTCATACAAACATAGCAATAGATAAGGTAATACAACCAAACAGCTCCAGAATCTAAAATTGCAAAACTAACCTTAAATTGAGCCACGTTATAATAAGGACTGAAGAAATCAAGAGTGTGAAATAGCGTTTCGCAGAAAACACGCCCGTCTGCAAATAAGCAGCAGCAGCACCAACCTGATTCCAGAACATAGAAGCTTTAAGTGAAGCAAAACGTGTGTTTATCCATCCATCTAACTGAAACTGAAATGCTTACATGCAATTTACACTGCAAAGATGACAAAGGCGAAGAACTCACCGTGAGAGGAACTAAAGCAACAGAATAAATGGGTAATTTGATTGCCCTCCATATCAGTGTTCCTCTAGACACATCATTGCCTTCTTTCCCATTGACACTGTCGCCTGATGTGCTCTCCGTTACAGCTTGTTGAGAAAATCTTTGGATTCTCATCTTGAGCTGCTTGTTATGAATTCCAGACAGTAACCCTCTACCATAGAAATGTGACGATATTATGGAAGCATTTGAAACTGGAACACCCGTACATGCTCTGAGAAAACATGAACAGATCATCAAATCCATCTTCAACCAAAAACCCAGAAGAAATAAAGTCAACTGATATCATTGCCAGAACCCAATTGCAAGAATTGTTCAACATCCAGCACATAGTAAATTCCAGCAAGAAATGCCCCCAAAATTCAGGCTCCAAGCACAGTGGAGATGCTATGCTACTGTGTGAAACATTTGATTAGCCCAAACCACTTTAAGGATTCAAGATAGCCTTTGCTGAAAAAGACCTACATTGCTGTAGTTACTAGAAAGAAAGAAAAAGAAATCAACAGACTAAACGATTCAAGTCTCGAACTTTATTCTACCCAAAAATCAATGGAGACACTCCAGGGGATTACTGGAGAAGTAGCATACAGAAAAATTACCTGAACCGTGTTGTCCATTCACTGAACGGAGGTGTACACGTCGCGTTGGGTACGAAACCGAAGGTAAGCCCTGCATGACTCTGCATATGCTAGAATTGTGGGAACGCCGGCTGGAGGAAGAAGAAAGCTGTTGGTGAAGATGGGGGAAGGAGACGAGTTTGGCGTCCTCTGCTGCTTTCGGAAAGACTGTCAAGAGTAGGAATGTAGGATGTGGACGGTGGTTTACTCTCTGCAAATGAGAGGGAAAAAGCTGTAGAAGAAGAAGAGGGAATTTCTGAGAGGATTGGGTCGCCGCTGATCTCTTGACAGGTGCTCTGCTCTCGGATAATGAAACGGTGTCGTTCCCCTGGTTACCGACCAACCGGACGGAGCAGGCACGTCCACGAATAAAAAATAAAATTTTGAGTTAATAGCACTTTTTCTACTTCTACTATAAATTTCTGAATCGTGTCCTTCAACAATGATTAAAAAAAAGCTCGGCTCGTTAATAAACGATGCCAAACTTATGCTCTACCTTGTTCGGCTCGCGAAGCTCGTGAACTAGTTTGATTAGGTGGCTCGTTGAATACAACTCATGAACTGTCTCGTTTTGAGCTTATGAGATGTCCCAACATTGTGACTAGAGAGCCAACTCGCCTAGAGCTTATGACAAAATCAATCTACATTTTATGAGTTGGTTTATTAATGATGCATATATAATTATTAAATTGTATATATCGCCCTCATATGTTGTTTAATACATTGAGTACATATAAGCAAATACGTCTCATATATGACATAACATCGGGTAATCACATGTATCATATATGACATATAAATATTAGGGTATTTATATTATAAATTATCCTAGAGTTGAGCTCGAGCCGAACTTTCGATCTTAATGATGTTTCAACATTTAATAAATGAGCTGGCTCGTGTTCGACTCGACTATAAACGAGCCGAACATGAACAAGAGGGAAAACTCGGCTCGGCTCGGCTCATTAACAGCCCTAACAGTTTGAAATATTTTCTCACAATTAGAATACACATTATAACTTTATATAAAAACATTGAAGAGAGATTGTACCACCCTTCCGAACTTATATGTAAACCGGACTAAACACATGGTAGTCACAGTCCAATAGCGAAAGACATCATAGAATCAACTGCCAATTCGGTTCGGTACATATAATGGAAAAAACGTGGAAAATGCAGCAAATAATAATACTCCTTTTAAATAACAAAGCAAAACAAGTTGCTGGAACTCTCTGTTCACAGAATACTGCCTGAGAGTATATCATCGCTCCACGACCAAACTGAAGCTCTATACACCTTTCTCCTCAGCAGTCCACCAAGCCAAACAACAAACAAACAAAATTGCATTCACACTGTCTCTCTTCATAAATAACCCCGGCATCAGAGCTTCATCAACAATTCAACATCTCAATTTCCTCTCTCACTTGCCGAAACAGACACATCGAAATTGATGGACAACGGGCATCATCATCATGATCAGGACGACACAGCACCGGAATCTGATCGGAAAATTGGTGCCGGCGGTGGTGACGGGAAGAAGAGAAAGCTTGGTGGCATCAAAACAATGCCCTTCATCTTGGGTATATGCTTTAAATTATTCTCCGCCGTAGTACGTTGAATTTATGAACGAAATGTGTATGTATGTAACAACTTCGGTCTCTCTTTGTGTGCAGGAAATGAAATGTGTGACAAGTTTGCTGGCGCTGGGTTCCAGGCGAACATGATAACGTACCTGACCAAAGTCCTCAACTTGCCGATGGTGAAAGCCTCCAACACCCTCACCAACTTCGCCGGCACCTCCGGCTTCACCCCGATCCTCGGCGCTCTCGTCGCCGATTCTTTCGCCGGCCGATACTGGACCATCATCGTCGGTTCCATCATCTACGAGCTGGTATACATACATATATATTACATACTCCGTCAATACTGATTACGTGAAGGCGAATACATCTGTCGCGAACAAAATTGTCAAAATTGAATTAAGTCATGTGTGAGAATTTAGACTCGTAATGAATAAAACATAAGTGTTTGCAAAATTTTGTAAAGAAATAGATCGTCTAGGAGGTAATAATTTATACAAACTATTTTTTTTTTATTGCGAAATTCGAAAAAAAACTATCACCTGTATGTAATTTTTGCAACCTCGCTAGCTACAAGTAATCCTGGTAAAAGTGTTACGCTAGAATGTTGCAACGAATTTAGTCCGCGGCACAATTTAACATATGGTCATGATTAATGAACTATACAGGGGATGATCAGCATCACTCTCTCCGCACTCCTTCCATCCCTCCGCCCGCCGCCATGCTCGCCGTCGCACTGCCAGGAAGCCTCCTCCCGCCAGCTGTGGATCCTCTACGCCGCCCTAATCCTCACCTCCCTCGGCACCGGCGGGATCCGCCCCTGCGTCGTCACATTCGCCGCCGACCAGCTCGACATGACCAAGTCCGGCGTCGCGTCCCGCCGCTGGAACTTCTTCAACTGGTACTTCTTCAGCATGGGGGTCGCCACCGTGACGGCGCTGACGACGGTGGTGTACATCCAGGACAACGTCGGCTGGGGATGGGGGCTCGGGATCCCGACCGCCGCCATGGCGGTTTCCGTCGTGGCGTTCGTTTTGGGCTCGCCGCTTTACAGGAAACTGAAGCCCGGCGGGAGCCCGTTTGTGCGGCTGGCGCAGGTCGTGGTGGCGGCGTGGAGGAAGAGGACGGCGGTGGCGCCGGCGGAGCATGGGGAGTTGTATCGGAATAAGGAGCTCGATGCGGATATTTCGTTGAATGGACGGCTGCTGCATACTGATCAGTTCAGGTAAGTGAATTATTTTAGCCACCAAATAATTTTATGGTCGCCTATACTCCAAGAAAGTAAACAATTTTTAGCCACCAAATCAAATTCTGGTCGCCTTATACTCCCATTTGTTTCCAAGACAAACTCAGACCGGTGTCCCGGTGGCTAAAATTCCGATTTAAATTCTAAAATCTTATGATTTTATGATATTAATTACCTGTTTACGATCCTGATTTTCACTATAAAATCTATGAACGTTAAAATCACACGGTATTTTTGTTGAACTCTGACCGAATCGAATCGAGTTAAAAGGATTAATGTTATCTTATTGTTATCCATATCATTTACTTATATTTCTCTAAAATAGCAAAAACCTAACACCCGTTTTTTCATTCTTCTCCGTCGATATCATCTATTTTTTTCCTCCTCTCTCACTAGACACTATGTACCGATCCCATCATCAATATTCACATCAACTCTCTTTAATCAACACCGATTCATCACTTCCTAACATTAACCTTGAGAAAATGGAATATTAACGTTAAAAATTATCGTGCTACGTTTCATTATGCTGTTTATGATTTGTTGTGTTAATATTCCCTAATTTTGATTTTTTACGTTGATTTTTCGAATTTACGTAAAATCCCGACATTCACTGCGTTTGCTCGTAGGTGGCTGGATAGAGCTGCAATCATAGTAGCAACAGACGGCCACGACGGCGAGTCGCTGATCACCGCCACCTCAACCACCACCAAACCCAACCTATGGCGGATCGCCACCGTCCACCGGGTGGAAGAGCTGAAATCCATCCTCCGGATGCTACCGATATGGGCCGCCGGGATCCTCCACTTCGCCGCCTCCTCCCACCTCCAGAGCTTCGTCATCCTCCAAGCCTTCTCCATGAACCGCCACCTCTCCTCCACCTCCACCTTCCAAATCCCGCCGGCCTCCCTCTCCGTCGTCGGCGTCATCACCACCACCTCCGGCCTCGTCCTCTACGACCGCCTCCTCGTCCCCCTTCTCCGCCGCGTCACGGGAAACCCCACGGGCATCACGTGTCTCCAGCGGATGGGCGTCGGCTTCCTCATAAACATCGTCGCCACCGCCGTCTCCGCTCTCGTCGAGGTCAGGAGGAAGGAGGCCGCCGCTCGCCACGGGTTGCTCGACGCGCCGGAGGCCGTGATTCCGATCAGCGTGTTCTGGCTGGTGCCGCAGTACGTCCTCCACGGGGTGGCCGACGTGTTCATGACGGTACGTAGTATTGTCGTGAAACTTTACAAATAAGTCCAATCTTTTGGTACGAGGAATTACAACATTAGTTGTTGCTATATATGGGGTCATGGAGTCAAAAGTGACTCTACCCTAAATTTACCCAACTCTACACGCCCCGGACAAGACCAAAAAATATTTGTTTCTAAACTGGTCTTATAGACAAACTGATTTAGCTCGACAGTTAGGTTCGGATTGAACGGGACCTGGCTGGTGGGTATCTAATCAGGGTCAATTTTACACCTCTACTTACACGCCTCTCAAACGAAAGCCAACTTACGGGTTTGAAATTTGCATGGGCCTACCATACTTTGTGATTAAATCAAACTATTAATATTGGGATCGTAGAGATTTGAACATAAGAACATTTAGGCAAATCAACTCTGCTGCTGATAACATGTCACAAACCAGTTGGTCTCAATAATTCGAATTGTTGGGTTGGGGAAAATTAACAGTGGATCTCATACTACTCCCTTGCAGGTGGGGCACGTCGAGTTTTTGTACGACCAGTGTCCGGAGAGCATGAGGAGCACGGCGGCGGCGCTGTCGTCGCTGACGGGGTCGTTCGGGAGCTATATCGGGACGGGGATGGTGTCGTTGGTGCATGAGTATACGGGGAAGGAGGGGAACTGGCTGCCGGATCGGAACTTGAATCGGGGGAAGTTGGATTGCTATTACTGGCTGGTGACGGTGGTTCAAGTGGTGAACTTTGTGTACTATGCGGTGGTTGCGTGGTTTTATGTTTACAAGCCGGTGGAGGAGATGGTTGATGATGGTAATGATGTGGAGGGCGACGGCGGGGGAGATGTTGGCGGCGGAAGGGTTCATCGTAGTTATAGTAATAATGACACGGTGTGAGACTGTGAGGTAAATGGTGGATGGAGTATTAGAAGGGTGTCATAATTAGGAAAAACGTTGTATTAAATATTAATGGTCTGTTTCATCAGTGTGGTTGAGTAAGTAAATAAAGGTTGTTTGTAAAAAAAGAATGGGGTTATAGGTATAATATGCCCCTCTACTAGAACGTTTTATCAAACATGTCCCTCTACTATTTTTTTACATCAAACATGTCCCTGTACTTGGTAAAAATGATCAAACATGCTCTTTTGTTAAAATTTTCATCAAAAAACCGTTAACCAAGACCGAACTTTAGTTTGGGCGACACAAATGACTAAAATATCCCTGAAAAATTCACTTTTTGAATTTTTTTGGTTTGTTTGTATAATCAAATCATTCAAATAATTTCACTTTGAAAGACCCAGAGAAATAAAACAGGGGACAAAACTGACATTTTTCCTCCCATTTGCCGATGTCGGGTCGTCTAAATCTCGGTTCAACCATGATTGACGATTTTTTCAATGGAAATTTTAACAGAAGGGCATGTTTGATAATATTTTTAAAGTACAAGGGCATATTTGATGTAAAAAATAGTAGAGGGCAGTAGAGGGGCATATTATACCTATAACCCAAAAGAATGGTGTTTGTAAGATGCACATTTAGCTCTATTTCAACAAATTGACTTATTTGAACAAATTGATTCCAAATATGATACATACGTAGGTATTCAACGCTAATGAGTTGATTCATTGGATATTTTGATCTAATTGTCATGATTTATATGAGGATATTCAAATTGACTTATATATACTTTTATTGGTTTGGAGTTTGAATTGGTTCCAATTTGAGTTAACTGATCATTTTGGTCAGACTCATGTGGATCGATATCTATCTTTGTTCAGATGATTGTACACACAAAAGATAATATTGAATATCACATTAATCGTCGTCAACCCTTATTACACTTTTAGTGTCGGTGTTTCCATATTTTTGTTTGGTTCATAAAAAAAATAAGGCACAATCTGCATTCAAATAGGTATCCAATTTTTTGTACTACATACTATATGTCCAATTTAGACCCAAACTCAAAGTTGGGTATGAATTTGTAAAATTGTCTAAATTTGATTTGACTCATAATGAGTTGGGCTTGGACAATACTCAAATAACGGGTCATTTTGACTCATAATGTAAAATTGCCTGCTCAATCGCTACCTTCTAGTTTAATATTATCTTCCATTCATTGATTACACCCAATAAACTTCGTACATTCTTGCAGTAAGGCAAATGTATTGGGAGGGAGACCTAACAAGTAGTGTAGTCCATCTCAACACCCCACTGGCAAGATTTCATTAATCTCTCTCTCGTAATATCTAAATTAAATATGGGTATATGTTATATAATCCACAAACTGTTAATGTGTGTATTAATATATTAACTCGTCGCTAGATTCAGTAATTCCTCCCCAACCAGTATCCTAACAGCTGGTCAGGCTGACATCCTACTTTGTAAACCCATGCACCTGCAGCACCAACATTACTAATTTTGGGTGTCTATTGCTATAAGATAGCTTTTTCATGCGCAGTTCTGTTGCATCTAGCTACTAATGAATTTTGGAGGGTGATATATATAATATATATTGCTGGTCTTCTCTTTACCAGTTTTCCCTCTTTCCTTCTCTCATGAAAAAATAAATTATGCAGCTACCTAGCTAGGGTTATTAAATCATAGCTAGGAAATTCCAAGTCTGGATGCATGGTTTCTTCGACAAACGAAGCCGTTTCAATTCGATTGGTAGGCTTGGAGGTCGATTCACGGTGTTAGAAATTGATTTCGAGGGTGAGGATGGAAGGAAGTTCGACGACGATAGTTTCTTTTATTTTTGGGTAAGATGATAAGAGTTTTCGATCGTATTTCTGATTTTTCTCTATATTCATTTTTGTGGGTTCTTTTTTTTAGGGAATGGTAAGTGTGTTTTGTAATTTTAAATCAAGTATAGAATAAAAAGTAGGTCGAATACCCATCGATTTACGTTCAATTTGGACTCAGTTGTAATAAGTTAATTAATAGAAACAATTTTCTTCTTGTCCACCCGCTATGAGACAGATTCACACTAAGCAAGCTCTTGATTATCCCCCTTGACATCTATTCATGCTTGGACTTAATTATTATAAGTAAAATAACTAGAACCTTAATCGCGCATATTAACTTAAACTACCAGTTGTGGCCGACAGAAAGCGCGAGACTTCTTTCTTATTTTCTCATTAAATTCAGAATTGTTTTGAGAGCGGTCAAACTGTGATAACGCATGATCGCCAGTATATACGAACAAAGTCCACACGATTTCTCGTCGTGTATGACGCCGGCCACTGGAAAACGGCAAAGGAAATGAATTTTCTTTTAGTGAAAATTTAGTTTTCACCAATATCTCATAACGATACTATATTGCGAGAATAAACATTTTATACTAGCACAACAATCGATTTCTCTACTAATGACCGTTGTATATGCAAAAAAATCATATATTCCATATGAAGAGTAGAGATATGCATGAAAAGAAATCACAACCCATATGTGTAGATGGAAATTTACAATCATATATATAAAAAACTTGAGGTTTATGACCAAATGAAATTTCATGATTTACACATGTGCTTGGTAATTGGTATAAATGCTAATTTGAAAGTCGAGTTGGTTGTTTAACATCACACGAAATTACCAGACATGATTGTTCGGCCATTCCTTCACAAACTTGGCATGTACAACATTAGTTACATGTTAATTTTTTTCCCCATGAATTTGGTTTGCTTTTTGTTATGGCTTCCATACTTTAATTAGCAAATAGTATCAAAATTAGTTTATGATGATATGACTTCCAATTTTTTTTATATATAATTAAGGGATATGGTTTCTGTGTACAAAGTACAAACGCAGCTACGTGTCCCCTTTGACTCACCAAACTTATATTCCAAAAAAGCGAGAGAAAAAAAGGAAAAAATAAAAGCAAAATTAAAATTCTCATTCTCTTTAGCCTTTTCCACCTCCACGCACGTAATTTTCCTCATGTTTTTGTCGCTTCTGCCGGTTTGTACCTCAATATCCAAATTATAGAAAAAATAATTCGATTTTTTTTTCTTGTACGTTAACGGTAAACCCTAATTCGAATTTCCTCAAACTTTGACTTCTACTATTCCATTCAATTTTGAATTGGTCTTCCATTACAACGTAACAAGCAAGCCATCCTAAATTCCTAATCCATTATCACCATTTTTTACAGCCGTCATCATAATAATCAAAATAAACAACACCGCGATTGAAGCCATCGTTCGATCAACATTTCGTAGCGTTTTTACTTATGCATGATTGATGATTTCATCAACTTATTCACAAAAAAAGTACGATAAAATACACGTAATCTTGTAAGGTGTATTATTTCGTCCCACCTTGAATTTTACACTGTACATCTAAAACTGCTGATCTATGCTCTTTAAGTATGCACATTAAACAAATATGTTATCTCTAATAAATATTGATCTCACCAAATAATTAAAAAGAGGAAAACAACTTTCCGGAAAAAAGAACATACCTGAAGATCAATAATTCAATATGGCCATCGTGTCGAAAATCGAAATGACACAGCAGCCATATCATTTCCCTCGTTTAGAAAATTAAATAAACTTTATTATCCTTGGCTTCGTAACTTGACAAATCACGCATTACGTCAAGCCTAACTTGACAGCTACACATCCACGTGTCGGCATGCCAGCCCACGCCGTCGACACATATATCCCCAAGTTCAAGTCTCCCGTCAGTCGACGTTTTATTTTATTATTATTATTATTTCTGATCTGCTGCAGTCAGGTCCATGCCAAAAAAAGTAGGTACCACTTTTCTCTGCTGATTTGTCCCATTCTGTAACACACTTCCAGAACTCCAACACGTGTCCGCGTCTTCACTCTACCACCTCTTCCCTTTCCCACCTTTGGCCGCAGGTTCATGCACCCCGGAGAAAGCCACTCGTTAATACGTAACGTGCTTACATCGTTGGATTCACGTTGTACAAATCTCATCGTAACTAGACGACCACACTACGAATTTTCATCTACGCATGCGCAAAACTTTGGGTGAGTTATTTTCGTGATAATGCATATATATACAACGAGTCAACTATTACAAATGGTCTTCGTAGCTGAGCTAATACAAGATTAATTTAGTTTAGACTTTTATTAGGCTTGGAATTTGTGGAAATTTGGACACGTGAATTTGGCCATCCATCCACCTTGCGGGCGGGCGTGAGGGCTTTGAACCTGGGCCTGACTGTTTGGATAAGGTCGGCCGGAAGAAGGAGGCACGTGGGCCGACTCCTAACCGTCAGATAGAAAGTAAACCCGTGGGCCCATCTGCCCAACCAGTGAGACAAGGACGACCGTACTTCTCTCTCTCTCTCTCTCTCTCACGTTCTACGCCGCTCTCTATATATACCGTCGACACGCAGAGAAGGAAAAGAGAAAAAGAACAGTTGGCGCCCAAATTGACAAGCCAGCCATCAAGAAAAAGAGTCTCATCTGTTCAAAGTTCAAATTCCGATCCGGATTTAGAGAAATGGGTGTGCAATACAAAGATCCGCTAGCTCAATTGAGCCTGCCGCCGGGATTCCGGTTCTACCCGACCGATGAGGAGCTTCTGGTTCAGTATCTCTGCCGGAAAGTCGCCGGCCACGCGTTCTCGCTGCAGATCATCGGGGAGATTGATTTGTACAAGCACGATCCATGGGTTCTGCCGGGTACGGTGATTTGATTGAATTCAATCATCGATTTAATTTCATTTCCCAACTTCGTTGTTACGAAATTGTTTTGCTGATGATGCTGCTACTGCTCTGTTTTCGTTGCAGGGAAAGCTATGTTCGGGGAGAAAGAGTGGTACTTTTTCAGCCCCAGGGACCGAAAGTACCCGAACGGGTCGCGGCCGAATCGGGTTGCTGGTTCGGGCTACTGGAAGGCGACCGGGACCGACAAAGTGATCACGACCGAAGGGCGCAAGGCCGGTATCAAGAAGGCTCTGGTTTTCTATGTTGGGAAAGCTCCGAAAGGGACCAAGACCAATTGGATCATGCACGAGTACCGCCTTCTCGATTCCTCTCGCAAGAACGGCAGCACGAAGGTAACAAAATTTGACCGGTTTTAATTTAGAGAGATCAATTTCATTTTTTTTTTCTGTGTTCGGTTTGATTCATTTGGTTGGTTCGGTTGCAGTTGGACGACTGGGTTCTATGCCGGATCTACAAGAAAAACTCGGGCGGCGGGCAGAAACCCATGCCCGGTCTATCCACCCAAGAGCAGAGCAACAACGGTTCCTCCTCATCGTCCTCGTCCCACTACGACGATGTCCTCGACTCCTTGCCGGAGATGGACGAGCGGCTCCTGAACCTGCCGCGGCCAGGATCTGCCGCGAAACCGATGCAAGTGGACCGAAAGCTGAGCTTGAGCAATTTGGGATCGGGCAGCTTCGACTGGGCCAGTCTCCTCCGGTTCAACCCTGCATCTGAACCGGATCAAAACCAGACTCAAGCCGTTCCAACCGCCGGTCCCAACAACGACTTCTACGTCCCTTCCATCTCGCAAGCCACAACGACCGCAGCTAATTTCGACGTGGAGTACTTATCCAATACGCTGAAGATGAACAGCAGGGCCGCCATGGAAGAAGAGGTTCAAAGCGGGCTAAGAAGGCAGAGCCAGAACCAGAACAACCAAACCGCCGGCCTCTCAACTACACACAATTTCATGTCATGGAACCCATTACTCGACCCGTACGCCGGGTACGGGTACCCGGCCAAACCCGGGTTCGGGTTCGGGCTCTGAAAAAAAAAAAAACAGTGGTGATTTATGGGGGACTCTGTAAATAAACTGGGATTCTTTGGGTCTGACTAACCTTTGGGATTTGGTTTTACTTAGCTATAGCGTTGTAGCAAAGGTGATGATGATGATGATGATGGGTTTTTTTTTAGAGGAATGGGACAAGGAATTGGATTCGAATTTGATGTGTAAAACAAAGCCAGAACCCCTGTTTTTGTAACAATTCCACTTGTAGCTAGTACTTGACCGATTGAGATGATATCGGTCCATCTGGGATCTGATAGTGAATCGGTAGGTTTGTGGCTGTAGTCGATTTGTCATATTAGTGGTAGCGATTGAATTGCCAATTTGCCAAATTTTTGTCATCTCCTCTCTGTCTCCTTTCCGTCTTTGCCTGCTGACCAAATAATGCGGCCGGAAGCTGGAATCAATGAACCCAAAAACAGAGGAAGGGACAAAGGAGAAACAAAGTTGTGAGACGAAATATGTCACTCTCTCTGGTTTTGACTTTTGATTGATCAGTTCACATGCATGAACCAAAATCATAATTCAGTTATTAATTAATTAATTAAGGAGAAGCTAATTAGCAGCTGCCTAGCACGTAACACTATAAACACTGCCCTTAATTAACAAACCCCATTGATAAGAAAGTAATCAATAATGGGAAATATTAAGGCTCTGTTTTCCCTTCTCCTCTTCCTGGTTCTTGTCTGTGCTTTTGCATCCTTCCAGCCCTTGGATGCAGCTTTAGACGAGGATGGCAGCAGACGAACGATCATCATCGGCACCAGGAAGCTGTTGCCTTATAATTCTACTGGCAAGTTCCCCAGCTTAACCTCCCACTCTCTTTTACTTCATTCCAGTTGCTGAGCTGAAATGGTTTTTTAAGATGATCGCGATCGATGATATGAAAGTTTTGAATGATTTATGATTTTTGAGTGATAACGTTATACGAGGGAAAGAAATATATGATTTCCTTGTAGAAGGTGAATCCCACTGGGTGGTTTTGATCATTTAAGTGTGTCGCGAGTCGAAGAATTACGATAAACAATTCGTTTTTTGGGCTGCTTACATGGACTTGAGTTATAATGCTTAGCATGTTAATTTGGAACTATTTTATTCCATTTGAATTTGAATGCAGTTTTTGACGAGAAGAACCAACAAGTGATCGTCACCGTCACCGCCACCACAAGAAAGTTGTTGTGGGATTGGGGCGAGTTTCCCTTCATTAACTCTTCTCTCTCTACAGGAGTAAAATACAATCATTCTGGGTAACAAATGAAAAATAACATCTAAAAGCAATGAAACAGTCACAAACAAGTTTTTGAATTGCTATTTTGGTGTTTTTTTTTATTCTTTTATGGTCATAAAAGCCTTTTTCAATTATTATATAACTCATTCCAGTAAGATTTATTATTGAATCTCTAATACACTCGGAGTTCAACTATTGGAGGGTAAAATGAAGCTTAGTTAAAATGCCCAATATATCTAAACCTATATGCCATTTTGAGTTTGGATGTCATATCATTTATTTAAAATATGATATCAAAGGAAATCAATTATGCATCAATGCATCACTTAGCTTATCGAGATTTGAATATTCATGACCTTTCTTTCAACCAAATATTTTTTCACATCATTGTCAACACTTAGTTCTCCAATCTAACTCTTGATTATCGAGAGTAGTTTGAAATTAGAAGTTTAGAACTTATATGATTCTTCTATGATAGATAATAATATTTAAATCTTTTTCCTTAACTTTTTGGTCAATTTGTTTTCCCGAACTTAATTCATATTGTGACCAACAACAGGTATGCATTGTGGGAAAGACAATTGTTGCTATCACAGTATAATTTTTGGGATTTGTAGAATCTGTTGTCAGCCGCCAGTGCCTGGTCAGTACTCTCTACAAAAAAAAAAAAGAACTTTTATGTGGTATTATTTATTCAGTTACTAATAATTACTGAATTTGCTATTTTTGCGTTTCAGAGGCGAACTCGAACAAACAAGAGAACTCTACATCCGTGAAGAAAACAAAAGAATAGACTGATCGAGTAAAAGCAAAAATCATGTACGACGAATTGAATACCGATGATGATTGACGAGGTGGATGTGGAAGAACGACTTTTGAGCGTTTCCGTTGATGGGTTTGTTTATTATTTTATGGATTTGCTTCCCCAGCCTCGTTTTGTTTTTGGTGGATGGGGATGAACGACTTTATGTTCTTAACATTTAATCCCTCTGCAGAGGAGGAGAACTGGTGCTAAATTGGTTGTTTCATTGTGTGTCTAGACCTTATAGCAATATATGGTTGTCAGAAGTGTTATTTGCGACGAAACGAGATCGTCCCTAAAAGTCAAACATGGTCGTACGTTGTAAAGAAAGTCGTACTGGTCGTCGCTATTATACACTGGGCCAGCCCTTTCTCACTCCACCGGGCCTAGGTAGTAGCGGCCCAAGCCCATATACAATAACCCGAAGCCCAGCTAGAAGGACTGGGCCGCGTCGCTTTCTTCCTCACGCTTTGACCACAACCCAACCCCCAAACCAATTCAACGGAATAACAATTCTTTCCTCACTACCAGCCCACTACCTAAACTAAATAACTCCATCCGTGTTTGACCAACGCCAGCCAATAGGAACAAAGTCAAAGTCAAAGTCAACACATTCCTCAACCGGCTTCCCCTCTGTATTTCCCTCCCACAACCCAACTACAATCTATATAAGAAACCCCGCCAACAATCTCAAGCACCAAAAAGGCAACAGAGAACAAGGCAAAGAGAAGACTGCAATTTAGATCAAAATTATGTCATCAAACCATCTCAGAGCCAAGATGAGCGGCGTTCACAGAGAATACGGCAGGGAGGGGATCAGTAATAGTCATGGCGACGTTGGTGGAAGCAGAGGAGGAAGAGGAGCAGCACCGTCGCCGAGGGTGATGAGGACGTCGGCGAGGACCGCTGGCGGCGGTGGGCGGAATCGTCACGCCATGCCTCCGAGCAGCGGTCATGAGAAGTTGAGGAGGCATCCGGCGGCGGGGAGTAGGGAGGTGTTGAGGAGGGCCTTGATGCCGGCTAGCCGGCGGCCCAGCCTCCGGCGGTGGAATAATTTCCGGCCGACTCCTAGTCGCCTTTGTAACATGTCCATGGCCGCGGAATCAATGTAAACTTGATTGATATAAATTCTCTGTATCATCGACGTCTTGACATCATGAGTTGTATTTGTATAGCCTGGCTTCTTCTTCTTCGTTCTTCTTCTCTTTCCCTAATCTTCTGATGTATAGCTTTGTTGACTCCTCTGTTTTTTAATGTGAGTTGAAGGGAATCGTCTATCTTGATTCCCAGAACGCCATTCTTTGCCTTCTCTTCAATTTTGTACTAGTTAGTTCATACCATGGCTATCTGGTACAGTTCTGAATCTAAAAAAAGTTGTCTTCGATCATTGCCAGCCTGCGAATCTGAGCGTGATCTTTTCTCTCAAGTGCACAGCTCAGGGCTGCTGCTGCCTGCTGCAATATTCTTTTGTTCATATTTTAGTGACGAGCACTCGAGGCTTCCAGGGCAATTGACATTTGGCATCACTGAATCATTATACTTATGCACACTGATCATCATTAGACTGTCACCAGCAACTGATATTTAATGCCATAGCTAGTGACCATGGGAAGCTTGTATGACAGCTTCAAGCTATAACAGAGAAACATTGACTAACTGCAGAAAAGGATTGGAGTTCATTGCAGATGATCTGATCCGAGAAGTACAACATAACTGCAGCAGGTAGCAATTGCACGACCAACTCGGTTAAGGCGCAGCCGCTGCTTCACCTCTGTGCAGACTGCACTAGCTCAATCGCACCTCTATAGCCAGATCAGAGGAAGGAAGATGCTTGATGTGGCCGAATTGGGTTTGGCCAATCTAACTGAAACAACTAATCTATACTGTCTTATAGAAACAAGACGCAGCTAGTAGTTCTATCTTTGATTCGTGAATCGCATAAGCGAATCTTTAGACCATTCTGCCGACCGTCGTACCAAATGGGAACAGAAGGATTGGCTTGTGGCGTTTAGCTTTTGGTTTTACAAAAGAAATGACGGCCAGGAAACTTCCCCCCAATCCAAAGTTCCAAACTTTACCAGTTTCGCGTGCACCAAGTCAGGAAATTGATCCCCTCACTTCCTCCCCCCACTGACCACTACCCTCAACTTTCGCTTCCTCGCTCGCGAAGACTTCATGACGCGGTGACCTCACAAAGTCTCCCTCCAGATTGCTAATTTATAGCAGCAATCTCCTCTGTTTTCATCCAAACCCAAATCCCCAACATCGAAAATGGAAGCAGTCTATTTGCCACCGGAAATCCTACTCGACATCTTCCACAGGCTGCCAACCAAGTCCATCCTCGCCTGCGTCTGTGTCTCCAAGTACTGGCGCTCCCTGATCAAAACCCCTGATTTCATCACCACCCACTTCATCCAACAGTCGGCCATTTCCGCCTCGAACCCAAAACCCCTGTTCCTCCTCCGCCTCTGTTTCGGCCCCAATCTGGAAAACCACTACTCCCTTCACCAAGACGACAGCAAATTCACCCACCACGCCGATATCAAACCCCCTTCAACCATCAACAACCAGTCATTCTCCGTCGTCGGGTCGTGCCGGGGCCTTGTCTGCCTGATGCACAATCTCTACACATCCAATTACACAATCGCCCTCTGGAACCCTTCAATCGGCAGAACCTTCACTCTCCCCCGACCGGGCGTCACCTTCGAGACCCACGGCGGGTTCGAAGCGCTCCTCGGATTCGGGTTCGATTCGTCGACCCAGGATTACAAGGTGGTCAGAATCGTGCGACTCCTCGAGTACGACGAGATCGAGATCGAAGTCGAGGTCTTCTCCCTGAACGCCGGATCGTGGAGGAGGATTACCATGGTGGCGCCGCAGTACAACATCGTGGAGCGCGGTTCACAGGCCTTCGTGAACGGTTCGGTTCACTGGATAGCGACCCGGGGGGACGGCAACGGCAACGGAGATGAGAATCTTATTCAGGTTCTCGATCTGGAAGGCCAAGGGCGGTTCCGGGAGCTGGAGCTTCCGGTGGGGTTGAGATCGGAGAGCCCGATGTTCCTGACGGTGTGCGGTTACAAGGAATTGACGATTGCGGTGTTCAAGAGGCGTTATTTGGGGGAATCGGAGAGTGAGATTTGGGTGATGGAAGAGTACGGAAACGCGGATTCGTGGGTGAGGCTGCTGACGATTGGGATGTACGATGGCGGATTGCCAAGGGCGTTGGGGTTCAGAGGGAACGGGGAGATACTGTTCGAGCTCGCCGGCGGGGAGATTGTTTCCGGTGATCCGGAGAGTTTCGAGGTTACGGAGTTGGGTTTGTGGGGAGAAGCTGGATACTCGTTTGTTGGAAGTTTCACGGAGACGCTTGATCTGCTTGACAGGACGAGTGGTTTTTCATGATGTATACAAATTGGGCTCTTTGTAGGCCTGTTTTTGATTGGGCTGAACGGCCCATGTGGCCTTAAAGCCCTTTATTCTGGCGTGGGATATTTACTTTCGATTCGATGTAGTTTCCGATCCAATTAGCCCACACATTTTGGGATTCACCATGAAATCGTTTCTCGCCAAACTGTTCCCCTGTTTCTTCGCCGGCGAGCAGCATATTTGCGATCGGCTGCCGGAAGAGCTATGGACGGAGATCTTCGGCAGACTACCGTCCAGCTCTTTGTTGCAGTGCCTCTTGGTCTGCAAGTCATGGCGCCGTTTCATCACAAGTCCCTCTTTCGTTTCCAGTCAACTCGCCAAAACCCTGCGACCTTCGACTGCCGGCGACGGCCGTCGCCGACCGCTTCTGCTCTGCTATTCCGAAGGCGGAAATAAGTTCTCCTTGCGCTTCGACGACGACGGTAATTTTGCTCTCCTCTCAGACGCCCTCGTCCCTCCCGTGGCAGCGTTTTCTACGCTCGGCGTCGTCAACGGATTGGTGTGCCTTCGCAATCGAAGTAGCCTCATCCTCTGGAACCCTAATATTAGCAAATTCTTGACTCTCCCGCCACCTCGAAAACAGGAGCCCGATCTCTCCAGTCAAATCAAGACAATGACCGGGTTCGGAATCGGTTCTGGCGCCGACGATTTCAAGGTTTTGACGGTTGCGGCTGCGTCGTCCTCCGGAGGCAAGATTACCCCCCTCGTCTCCGATCTCTATTCGCTTAGAACAGGGTCGTGGAAGAGCATACGTTCTGGTACCCTCAATTACGAGCTGATACCTTATCAGGAGAACAATCTTGCTTTTGCGAGCGGGAGGCTTCATGGGATCGTCCAAACAGATGGGAAGTCGAGGAATTTGGTATTGGTGTTTGATTTGAGAACTGAAACGTTCGGTGAGATCATGCTCCCCAAGTGTTTGACGAAAGTCCGAGCTTCTGAACTGTGTGTGAAGGCTTTTGGTGACTCGTCCACGATAGCGGTTGTCAGGAGTGAGTGGAAAGTGCTTTCAGTGGAACAAGTTTTTCGCAGAATGGTTACGAATTTTGAAATATGGGTGATGGGCAAGTATGGAGAAGCTGGATCATGGGACAAGGTGTACGATGGCGTCCCTTTCCCGGGCGGTGGCCCGGCCTCGTTGCTGTCTTTCAGGAGGAAAGACGAAGCTTTCGTTGCAGTGGGCACGACGAGCGTGTTTACATTGTTGGAACTAAAGGGCAGAAGCCATAGAATGGTTAGAGATCTGAGTGGGGTAAGAACAATGCCCTCCTTTATTGAGCCTTACGTAAAGAGCTTGGCATTGCTGGACAAAGGAAAGGGTATCGACCTGAATCGATACCCCAGAAGGCCATCGTGGATTAGCTCTGCAGCTAGTTGGTGTCTCGATCATCTACGTGCATTACTGATGTTGCCGATGAATGCGATCAAGGCGTTGGGAGGCTTCTTTCTGGCGATCATCGAAATTGTTTGTGTGGTTCTATGTTCGGATCCCGCTTGCTTTGAGGGATGTGTTGGGGCATGTTTACAAGCATGCGTCGAAGTTTTATTGACAGCTATTTTCGAGGCCTGTTGTGGTCCATTATTAGATAGGTAATCAACCAAAGCTACTGTCTTTTCTACTGTTTGTGCAAATTCCGAGTTATGGGTGATGAGGAAGTATGGAGAAGCAGAGTCGTGGGACAAGGCCTTCGGCGGCCACTCAGTTCCCGAACTTCAGAAGCAGAGTTTCTGCTATTGTGAGCGTGTGTTCAACGATGGAACAGAGCATAGTTGGGGATATGGGTTTGTTAAGCATAGCGCCCTACTTCTCTGGCAAGTACGTAAGGAGCCTAGCATTGCTCGACAAAGGAAAGGGTATCGATCTGAATCGATACCCGAGAAAGCCATCTTCTTGGTTTAGGACTGCGACTAGTTCGTGTCTCGTTCTCCACATGGTGGTGTTGCTCATGAACGTGATCGTGGCAGTGCGAGGCTTTGTTCTGGACTGCATCAAAGGTGTTGTTGTGGTTCTATGCGAGGATCCCACTTGCTTGGGGGAATGTTTTGAAGCATGCGTTTAAGTTTGCTAAGTACGGTTTTTGAGGCTTGTGGTGATACATTCGATAGGTAATCAATCAAAGTTACTGTCTTTACAATGTCAAAGTTCTTTTTAGATTCTTCTTATCTGATAATTAATGGGAAACAGTTTGGGAATACCTTGTCAGATAATATATGCTTGTACATTACACTAACAGCGAAGGGTTTCTCCATTTTACTTGTGTGACACGCAATAGTACAATTGGTAACCTGTGCAAATGTCTCAAAGAGGATCTTGCTTGCTATGTACCATCAACTCCTCTGATCTGGGTTTCTAGGGAGCTTGACTAGGCCACGAAACGGAGGGAGTGTTTTAACGCGCGCGATATATTAAACATATATACAGATATATGCAGTGTTTGCGGGTACGTGTATTGGCAAGCTGGGATGCATGCCGTTGTGCAGTGTAATCTCTGAACCGAGATGGCCCCATCCTTCCGAATTTCGAAGGCACCAGATTTAGAAGTAGCTCCTAACCTGCCTAGTAAATCTCTCATCTAGCAGTCTCGAATTGGACACTAGGAACCCTGATTAGCTTGTTCTTCCTTTACCTCTTACTTTGACAGTCTCCAGGTCCTCTATTCCTGCACCAATATGTTACAATATGAAAGACAAGCCCAGGTTTAGCGAAAAGAAAACGCGATCTTTCTGTTTAACGAGTGATACCTCATGACCGTGTGGGGTGACTGGTGCAGAACTAGAATCGGAACTGGAACTGGCTTCAACTGGTACTTCTGCTATTCTAGCTTCTGATTTTTCATTTGAATACCTGTTAAAAGACGGAAGCAGGAACACGATCAATCAAAGATCGAAGGAAGCTCAGGTGGGCGGCAACTAGCAAACATGATTGTAAGTGGAAGAATGCTTAACCCTGTAATGAAAACAGAAGAGGGTGGTGAAACTAATTGATCCCTTTCCGAAGGAAAAGGGTAGGGAGGTCGAAAAAAGTCCGGTGAACAGGACAAAATGGCTAAGGGACAAACAATTTGGCCCTGTGAGGTGTTGTCTACCAAAGAGAAGACCCATCTCTAATCGTATCCATATAAGCGGGAAACACCACAGACCACAAAATAAGGTATGAGAAACAGAACACTTGAAGATTCTAACCAATCCAGTAGGTGAGAGATACTCTGCCAACAATTTAATATAATAATATAGATCCCATTTCAAGAGATCTAGAAATTTTAGGGATCAATCTTCCTTAAGTTGTGATCCAACAAGTCAAATATCCAAGTTGGAGAATGGGCGACGACAGTGACAAATGCCAGAGCAAAACAGTCCGGAAAACCAAGGAGAGCATAACTTACGTGGAGAGGATTGTCACCCAAATGAGCTCCACACAATCCACCCACAGAAGCCTTTGCTCTACCGGGACGACACCATAGGTAATAAGATGAGCAAATGGCCACAGCTTCCAACCTGCCTGTGAACAGAAACACAAAGTATAAAGTTGAATTCAGTACGAAGTAATGAAGCAAGAATCAAGTTCCCAAATTCAATCGGTTGGTTCTTTTGTCATGAACAACAACACTTGGAAACAACTCAACTGTTTTCTGCAATGCGGGATGAGTGCAGATGGAAGAACAAAAAAAAAGCAATTATCTTACTGTAAGCATGGGGAAAAATGTAGCCCTCAATTCATCCAAAATGGCGAGAGGAGATTCCAGCCTCAAGAATCCCAATACAGTGAAATAGATGCTATTCCAAACTGCAGACCAGGCCGTTTGATCAAAGGCTACTTTGATAGGAACCGCCCACCAGTCGTGAAATGGAAATAGCTCCTGAAGATGAAATAACGAATTGAATAGCAAACGTTAAGTTGCCGAATTTGACCAGCCTGTTTTCAGCAAAGGGAGATGAAAAAAAGAGCAATTACCTCACAGAATTGGTAATAATAATGTGAAAGAGAGCCGTGCAACGTGAAACCAACAATGCCTGATCTGAACATGCGCGTGCGATCAAACTCAAATAGTGGTTTACCTTCAAAACACTACCGGTGCCATAAACCAAATGGATATCATTACAAAGCAAATAGAACTAAAGCTCTTTCCATCCATTATTTAAAAAATCACTCACTTACTTGTGCAATCCAATCTCCCAAAGAATACACCACTCCACTGATAACCATTTTTGCCAAAACTGGGTTTGTCTTCAGAGCCTCCTCATAGGCAGACCAGTTGTGCTGAGGTGCATATCTTAGTATCTCATAAAGGGTCCATCCCTGGAACAACAAACAAAAGGTAACAATAGGAAAAGGATTCCATGACGCACGAGTTCAACAACCAACAAGAAAGTAAAAAACAGATGTCAATGAAATTAAGTGTTCATTGACAGTTGCAACATGACACGAACAAACAAGATCAGTACCACAAATTTCACCTCGAAACAATTTTTAGCCAGACTAAATACAAGCTCTACAAAGTTGGACTTCACCAAGCTACCAAATCAAAGTTCATGACTACATCCTATCACTTAAACTAAAACCTCCAATCCTAACCTTTTGGTTCATATCACCTAACAACTGTAATGAAAGCCAAAAATAGATGTCAATGAAATTAGACTAGGAACCTATTTGAGATTGTGGACAAGATTAAGAATCTCCAGAATTACTAATAGCATCAACCAAGCAACCTGAATCTGCAATCAAGTATCTTATGATCAACTCCTGTAAATAGTATGAAGTTCCTCTGATCCAGCAAAGCCTCATGCTTTCATGTACTGTTTTGTTCTGTTTTGTTACCCACTTACCCGACTAAACTATGCTTGCATCATCTAACTCAACCTCACATGGACACAAACACATGACGCATGTTATACAGCCTACTCTCATGCTTCTGCATAATGAGATTCTGATAGGAAACAATTGTACTTTCTCTTTCTTCAACCAAGACATGGATTCTTAATCGAAGCCACAATTACTAAAAAACCATGATGACCACACTTGCTCATGTTGCACGAGCTATTTAGCCAACTTCTCATAGATCCATAACTCAGCATGGCTCTGTCTACTTGCATGTTCTCCAGACAAACCATGTAATTTAGTACAAAATTAGACAAAGAAAGCATTTTCCCATATGCATAACAAGGTCCTCGATCATTAACAAGCCCTGATATTAACCAGGTAACATTAAGATAGGAAAATAGAGAAAGCTTCAGGTAAAAATACACCATGGCAGCAGTCAAGATTAAGGATTCAGCAGGCAAAACCCGTAAAAGCAACAAAAAGAGCCCATCAAGAGAACATTCAAGTACTTCTACTCAGAATTACACAGACCAGGGAAATAGAGGGACTTACATGCCAGTAATCACGATCAATTGTGACCAATTTAGTAATAGCATAGCTGCTGGCGGCAAGAACAATCATGGCGTTAATCGTCCGATCAATCAGGCGCTCCATTTCCAGCTCCTTCTCCCTCTGATCACCTTCCCCATCACCACAACCACCACTACCACCTCCTCCAACAACGGAGCCAGAAACAGAAGTGAAGCCTTCCAACGACAACTGACCTTCACTCGCTCCGAACCCGCTCACCTGAGTCACCACCACCAACTCGTTTCCTTCTCTCTCCACTTGGCTCCCCACCACCGCCATACCTTCTTGCCGGTCCGTGCTATCCCCGCTCTGCACCGGGACGACATCGAATTCGTCCTGCACAAGCGAGTTCGCCACCAACCTGTCAGCTACCTGCTTGCTTCTCGAGAAAATCCGATTCGGAAGGAGCCTAATTGGCCCGCTCAGGACTTGAGCAGTAGGAGCAATTCTGTGATTGGAGAGAGGGAGGAAGCTGTGAGGAGAAATTGCGTGGAGGGAAGCCATTGGAGGCTGGGAGGAACTGAGTCGAGGCGACCGAGTTTTGTCAATCCAAACTGAATCGTTTGCTCAGTTAATCTCCTCCAAGTTTCGAGTTTGCAAACGAGGACTTTGTTTTATACGAGAGGGCTCTGATTCCCTGCGATATAGCCCACTGTGTGCCCGCTTGACCTCTGCCTCACAGCCAATGAAAATTAAACACGTCTGCAGAAGTCCCTTAATTTCACAAATTAGTTTTCAGAAAAAAAAGGAAAGAAAGAGTTTTCTTGGATTGTCGCCGTCGGCAAACTCAAAAGTTGCCGGTTTCCTCCCTTTTCCCGGCCGAATTCTCGGCAAGCAAAAGCGAAATGTCCGATCACCTTCCTTCTCGACGTCTGCCCAAAAGCCGACACCTCAGGGCCACTACCAGACAGTGAAGAAGACGTATCCTTCAGAGAGGTCTCTGTTCCGATCACAGCAGGATAAAAATCATCGTACAAATTGGAGCAGTGACGTGTCGGCCAGAAGCAAACCGATGGCCGGATGTCAAACTCAAACCCATCTTCAGAGGTGGAAGTATCGACAAATCCACAAATATTTCTCATTTCCCACCCAGAGGTGGAACAATCAACAAATTTAGAGAGGATAGATAGACCTGGTGACTACTGGTGTTAGACATTTGTTACAAGACCAAAGAAGAAAAAAAATGATCGACATTGTTGTGTGTCTATCAAATTACCAATGAATTGAGCAAGTGGGTCATTGGGAGATATGATCAGAGATCTTCATCGTACCCTGTTTGGAAAGAGAAGAGAAGAGAATCAAGCTGGTCGTGTTTTCAGGTCTCAGCTCTGGGTTGGTAGTATAAGGCGATCCTGACCATCCACAATCTTTGCTGATTGAATCCCTTCCGCTAGTGGCATATCTGCAAACGCATTTACAGAACAGTGATTAAAGCTCAGCACAGTGAAACCTGACGTGCAGAAGACATTAGGCAGGGCCTCGGAGACATACCCGAAAACCGAGAACTGCCCTTCGTTCAGAAAGATAATCCTCCTAAGCCAGACTGTCATACAAACTGACAAGGGGAACCAGTGAAGTGGTGAGTTTCAAGAGAGAAATTCTGAGCTCTACGGAGTTTGGATGGTGCTTGGTACTTACATTTCTCTTGTCGTAGAGGTAGAAGAATAACTGATATGGAGCTGAGTATGCTTCAGACACATTCACTATGTGCCATTGCAACTGCTCCGTAGACTGACATCGGAAGAACTGGCAACTCCCCGTGCTTTTTTAAGACAACATGAAAGTGATAAACATTTTGAAAAAGGTGAGAACTCTTTTGGCAGCTCTAAATTGGCCTGATGAATGTATTGTATCAGTGTATAGACAGTATGGTGTTACCTGGACACTTGATTTTGTTCGGCACAGTGGCTCAAATTGTCCTGAGGGCATTATTTCTAAGGGTATGCTGTAACTGGAGTTCTTGTCCAGTCCAGTATCGGTTATGATAGCTTGGTTAATGGTGTCGAGCTTTGCTCCGTCGTATGCCCCATGCACTACCTAAGACGATCAATGTTTGCATATCGTTCATGAAAGGTAAAAAAAAGGTACATAATGAGGAAATTAGGACTGGCTCGGTTGTTGATTCAAAACTCAACCAATTGAACCAGTAAAAGAAATGGAATTACCATTAGAAATGGATATTGCATGAAGGTCAAGTGAGGTTCAGCTACCTTACCAGTTTTGCGAAATTCCCTGCTGTCAGTGGTGCTGACTGCTGAATATCCACATACAGTTACCTGTTTGCGCATAATTTAATTTTTATTGTAGATATAGTTAATGATAGTACGAAGAGATAAGAGAGCAACAAGGTATCCAGAAGAAAAAAAATTAGATGAAAGAATGGAAGGCACACACCCAGAATAAGAACTAACTAGTTGCAAGCAAATGTCATATCCACACATCCAGCAGCAGGAATAAAATAGTTCAAGCATGTAGGAGATTCAAAGTAGGAGCACATATCAATGACAGTAACTTTGCTTTCTCATTATTGCAGATTGCTTATCAGACCTGAATTTTGACTGTCTTTCTTAATTCACCACCCACTTCAGGGGAAAATGCTAAACCATCTCCTTTCTCAATGGTAAATTCAAACAGTTCCTCTGCCATTTAGCCTGCAGGTCCACAGATTCTAGTCAGGAGATAAAACTAATCCAAAGTTTGGCTGTCACTATTTTTGTGCCTGTACCAATAAAGTTGCAATACAACATATCACACAGGGATGACAAATGAAAGGGCTGACCTTGGATAGTTCGTGTATTGCTCTGGCAACAAGAAAGAAAGTCCTGGAACCTGTTACAACCAAAAGGAATCTATTCAATTACCATTTATACAACGCTCTTGATCCCTGAAAGGAATAAATTGGTGGAAATTGGTGAACTTGACAAACAAAAAAAAAAACATAATTTGCTATCTTTATGAGTCATCCATCCACAAAGTAATGCATAATATGGACCAACCATTTCTGCCTTTATGTGAAATGGAGACTGGTAAGTTGCTGGATTGATAAGGAAGGAACAGTGCTAAAAAAGGGAGGTTACAGTTATTGGATACAAATTTTGAATCGTAAGAAACATGAGAGGAAGTCTTACATACGGATACCTGTAGCAACTCAAGCTCAGAGATGGTATCAAGTGAAGATGCCAAGGCTCACGGAAACTTTGTCTTGGTCCCGGTCCTTAATGTTTTTAATCAGAGCTTGCAAACCACCCTTGAAATGGAAAAGGTAATTTAGTATCCTTCAAAATTGAACCACTAGTTCCAATGAAAATCTGTCTTTAAGCCAGTCACTGGTTTAGCGTTCCGATAATGAGACGACGAGACACCAAAGCAACGTTGAGCAGTTACCACATTCCACCACATTACAACCACCTAAAAGTGTCATAACTTTCCATCAATTAGAGATGCATATAATGAGGAACCCTTGTTCCCAAACTCTGCAGGTACACTTGCCAAAATGGAGTTCTTTTCCTCGGTTGCAATCTGAAACCATAGCACCATGTTACAGGAATATAGAACATCAATGATCACACAACAAATTCCTTTAGCTGGTACTGAACTTTTAGCATGGTATATGATTATTAAAGCTTCACATAGATGGCGAAAAAGTCCTTTGGCTGATGCCACATACCTTAAGGGCTTTTTTTTCACATTGCCTTCCATGGTTCCGTATGGCTTCCTCTGTGGTGTCCTTAACAAGTATGAGATATCCTCCAGTGAATCCTGGAACCCAAAAATTGCAAGACGATCCGTAAGCTGCTCACCCTTACAAGTAAAGAAGCATACATAATTCATTCACTGAGAAAGGACCTGTATGGCCTTCATGTTTGCATTGGCTGGAATCGCCTTCCTTAAAGCAAGTTCTCCAGTTCTTCGAACCTTAGTGTCCGGCAAATACAGCACCGCATTTGCTGGTGAAATGGGAAACGGCTCCCAGCCGAAGTAAGGCAGAGGTGAAGATGTTTGAACAAACATAAGAACCGCAGCTATCAGACCCTCTAAATTCTTGTTTCTAAGTCGAGAACTTGGCGTGCCTGCTTCAATTGAGAAAGGAATCCCCTTCTCCATATCCTGCGTAACTGCTGGAGGGTTATAATCTTTCCAATTGTCTCCAATTCTCCACAACCTAACCTAGCTATAAAGACACTAACTTTACAGGGTTTGCTAAATGGAGTGGAAAAGTGTCCAAAATCCAAATCACATCACTGAACTAAGAATGTGCAGAAACTATCAAATAAAATGGAATGTGAAATTCTGGTATCTGAAGCTAGAACCTCTGAAGTGGGTTTTGCAGGAGGATAACTCTGAACCCTGTAATCGGCAGAACGCTTGGCGGCGGCTGGAGGGCAGTGGAGAGTTGGAGTTGGATTGAAGCGAAATGAAAAATGGGAGGATGAGAGCAACAAGTGCTGCGACGTGCGAGCTGAAGAAGGGGAAGAAAAGAGCGAAAGCCTGTGGACGCCAGAGGCTGGGATAAGGTTAATATCATATTATTTTTATTTTCAATGCGCCACTAAGTTTAATACAAAGTATCTTAAAAATTTAAGATGGAATACATTTTATCTTGATATTTTAATTTCACATTTAGTTTGTCTCTAGGTACTTTCACAGAGTTGTTCAATTGTGACAATGTTTAAATATCTAAATAAATTTTTTATAACTAAAATGGAGATATTTTAACACTAAGTCATAGTTAAAAAATATAAAAGTTTAAACCTATGTTATTTGAAAAAATAAAATATTAATTCACGAAAACAACTACCCGGCCAATCGGCCGGGCGACAATCTAGTTGTTTATGTAAACGATAATCTTTTGATCGGGTTGTATTTTGTAGGTGGCCGGTGGTACTTTATTTGTTTTATGGTAGCAATATTAATAATATAATAATAGTTATATATGTTACTACTTCTACTGTGAATATAATTACATTGGTTCATGGGATTGGGATAAATAAATAATAAAATCAAATTGGAGGTAGTGTGAACAGAACAGGAAACATTTTTTTACGTGGATATACACTAATAACATAAAATTTAATGTTTACCAGTTAATTATGATAATATTACTCATGTTATATATATTATTTTTCAGGAAAAAAATAAAGTATGAATTATAATAATATAATATTAACGCTCTGTTCGCGCTTTTAATATTAATGTTTTACAAAATTGACGCTCTCACGCTCTCGCTCCCGCTCCCGCTCCCGCTCTCGCTCCACGTTCTGGTTACCTAAGTTTGGTAAGCCTCTATTTTTACAGAATTACGGTATCGTTTGCTTGTGGGATTTGGATGATGAATTTGGCACACAAATCCTAAACATCAAGGATTTGGTACAAATTCATTGTTTGCTAAGCGACACAAATTTGTGAAGCTCACGGATTTGGACTCTTTTTTTAGATCCAAACACGTGGACCCCACATATTTGAAAATCTCACATTTCAATTGGGATTTGATAATGGAAGTCAAATTTGTCAGACAAATCCATGATAAAAGTTAACTAAACAAACAATGTACTCTTCCAAATCCATAATGCAACAAATCCATCATAAATACAAAGGTTTTTAAAACTAAAAACCCTCATTTTCAAATCCAACAACCAAACAAGATGTATTCTTAAAAAGCATGTATTGTAGAATACATGATTATACTAAATGGCGCGTTAATCTAATTAGCTTGACGCCACGCGTGAGGTAAATAAAATAATTTTAAAGAAAAAAATTAGGTGGTGGCATACCAAATATGTGAACTACGTTGAAAAATTAAATATTGTTAATTTCATAGAGCCGACATGTTCAATTTGACATTTCAGCTTGGACGTTTAGTGATCGATGTTGATATCATATAATTATGTTCAAATAAAATTGTTTGTTATCTTACAACTGAAAAAATGTCGTTTAATAACTTCTTTACAAATTTCAACAATAGAGATATTCTTTTCTACGCGGTGAATGGTGTGATACTAGAACTGATCGATGTCAGGATTTCATATATGTTTCAAGACTGTAACTTTTTCTTTATGAAAACATGTAAGCAATAGGTTTGGGACCATCAATCTCTTTTTTAAAGATGGAGACGAGTCGATCGATGTTGTGATAGGAATATTACTGCATCACCATTCTTATAGATCGATATTCGTGGTTGTGTGCTCGTAAAAGAACATATAAGAAGTAGTATTGTATTTTGCTTCTTTTTTTTTTCAAAAAGGAAGTGTCTTCTGATTCGTTGCATGTGTTTTTGGCAAATATAGGAAACACATAAATGAGATTCCTCTCATTTAAGTTCTTGACATAAAAGTAATCATCACATAACACTTGTTGAGATATGACCTTTTTCTTCAACCTTTTTAACCCGTTACTTTTCCATCCTCTTCACTCCAAACAAATCTACTTTTCCATCCTCTTCACTCCAAACAAATCTAGAAAGTAGTGGTTCTTCCAATCTAAAACCCAAGTTCAAGAGAAAGGTTGCATGGTAGGCTGGAAGAAGAACTACCTATATTCGTTTGCCCAAGGCACCCAAGCACCACCATCAATGGATGAAAACCACTTCAACTACCATTTGGATAATTTTTGGATTAGTAATCCTGTTGAAGAATTGAATCATCTGGTATAATTTAGTTCTTGTATATAAACTATATGTCTTAGATCTAGAAGCAGTGTTTGCACCTTTTTACAATTTGCACAAATTTTTTCTCCTGTGAATACTGTTCTATCTATATCAGATCTGGAATTTTTTATTCTGTAAATTTGCATGTGGGTACCAGTGTTAGATTATATATTTCACTATTGGTTTGTTTGGTTCATTTTGAAACACCTTTCCTAATGCCTTTTCCTTTGTCTTTAGGATTCAGTGTTAAACACTCTCTGCTTGTTTAGTCAGTTTTCATGTTAGAGTTGGTTCATATATGTGTCATGATTGGTTTGTGTGATTCAGTTGGACCCCAACGTCTCTTCCCCACTCTACATGATTTGGTATTAGATGCTCTCTGCTTATCATATATGAGATTTTGCTGCTTAGTAAATTTGCATGTTGGATCCAGTGTTGTTGTTGACTTATATATGTTTGTTGTTGGTAGGTTTGATTCATTTTGAGACACCTTTCCCAACATCCTTTCACATGTTCTTAGAGTTCAGTGTTAGATGTTTTTCGCACATCAGATCTGGAATCTTCTAGTGTTTAGTGTTGAGTTATATTAATTTAGGATTTTTTTTGGCTCATTCGGCGACACCTTTCACAATGTCTTTTACCATGCCTTTAGTGTTCAATGTCAAATGTTCTCTACATATTTGAGATCTGGAATTTTATGCTTAGTACATTCGCATGTTGGTGTTGGTTTGTATATGTTCATTGTTGATTTGTTTGGATAATTTTGACGTCTTTTACCCTGTATTTAAGGTTTAGTGTTGGATATTCTCTATCAGATTTGAAAATTTTGCTACTTTGTAAATTTGCATGTTGATGCTGGTATTGGTGTTGGATTATGTATGTTCAATATTAGTTTGTTTGGTTCATTTTGAGACATCTTTCACAACGTCCTTTCACATGTCTTTAGGGTTCGGTGTTAGATGTTCTTTGCATAACGGATCTGAAATTTTCTAAGATTTAGTGTTGACTTATATTAGTTTAGGATTCAGTTGTATCATTTTGAGACACCTTTTTCAACACCTTTTCCCCGTATTTAGGGTTCACTGTCAGATTCTCACTACATATATTAGATCTGAAATTTTCCTCCTCATTAAAATTACATATTGATGTTGGGTTGTATATGTTAATTGTTAGTTTACTTGGTTCATTTTGAGCCTAACGTCTCTTTCCCATTCTTTAGGATTTAATGCTACGTATATGTACTCTGCTTATCACATCTGAAATTTTGTTGATTGGTAAATTTGCATATTGGTGTTTATGTTGGCTTATATATGTTCATTGTTGGTTTGTTTGGTTCATTGGACACGTCTTTTTCTACATCCTTCACATGTTTTAGGGTCGGTGTTAGATATTATCTACATAACATATTTAAAATTTTCTAGGTGTAGTGTTGGCTTGTGCTAGTTTAGTATTTGTCTGGATATTTAGAAATAGGGTTTCCCTTTTCCTACTCTTAAGCTTTGGGCTTGTGTTATAGACTTTCCAACCATATTTTTTTCTTCTTTTCTTTTGTTTCTTTTCATGAGTTTTTTTTCTTTCTCAACTTCATCATCTCGTTGAAGAAAATATCAATAACACTTGCAACGTTAACAAACGAAAAAGGTTAAGAGAGTCATATGACGCTTGGATTAGATCATGCATAATGTGAGTTCTTAATTAGTTAACTGTAGTTTAAAATATTTGAGTAAGTTTACATTAATACATGTTGTGTCGTCTTAATTACTTCGTCCGAAATATTTATGAATGAATAGTCTTTATTGATTAACTTTTTTGTCCCATTGGTTATTCTTAGTTCCTTCCGCCGAGCATATATCCGATGGAGAACTATGATTTGCTTAATCAGAACATGAATCAGACAGAGAACTCTCCTAAACCACCAGAAGTGGAACCCATCCATAGAGAAGATGTACCCATCCTATCCAAAAACCCTTAATGGTTCTTTTTTACTATTTGCTGTTTGCTAGTCTTCAGTCTTCACTAATCAAAATTATTGTATGGTTGGTTCATTTAAGCAGATTAATAAGGACATAAATCCAACAAAGGATTCCTCCACCATCCCAGAATTAGAGCACAACTATGTCGATGATGCAGCCATTGATCTTAGAAATGAAAATATAGTAAATATTATGAACTTTTTCCCACTATTTGGAGTTTGCTGGTACTTGCTAGTTTTAATTTTTCCCCGCTAATAACATAAGCAGGTTAATCAAGACATGGGTCAAACAAAGAAGTCACTGGAAACACCAAAACTGGAGCTCAACTATAAAGAAGAGGTAGCCACCCCATCCAAGAACCTAAAACAACATGTGAAGGTAAATTTTGAAACATCTTCTCTAACATATTTACACATATTTTGAGACATCTTTTCATATATTTTTAGAATTCAGTGCAAAAATTTCTCTATATAGCATATATTATATCTGAAATTTTGTTGTCTAGTGAATATGTATGTTGGTATTGGTGTTGTTTACATATGTTCGTTGTTGCTTTGTTTGGTTCATTTCGAGATACTTTTCCCAACGTCTTTTTTCCCATGTTTTTATGGTTCAGAGTTAAATGTTCTCAGTATAATCATATATGAGATTTTGTTGATGAGTAAAGTTGCACATTGGTACTTTAGAGTTGGCTTATATATATGTTTATTTTTGTTTTGTCTCGTTTTGAGTCACTACATTTCCCAACGTCTTTCCTCATGTCTTAAGGGTTCAGTGTTAGATGTTTTATGCATACCATATATGAATTTTTTTGAGTTTAGTGCTGACTTATGCTAGTTTAGGGTTTGTTTGACTATTCCAACACACCAACAATCTAAGAAAAGAAAATCTTATGAATTTTGCCCCCACTATTTAGAGTGTGCTAGTACTTTCTAATTGTTCCCCACCCATTCACCTAAGCAGATTAATCAAGACATGGATCAAACAAAGAATTCATTGGATATACCAAGAAAGCAGCACAAGTATAAAAAAGATGCAGCCACCCAACCCAGGAACCATAAACAACAATTGAAGGTAAATTTTGAGACACCTTCCCCAATATCTTTTCCCTTGTGTTTGGGGTTGAGTGGTAGAGGCTCTCTACACAACATATATGAGATTTTGTTGCTCAATAAATGTGTACGTTGGTATTGGTGTTAGATTATATGTGTTTCTCGTTGGTTTGATTTGTTGATTTTGACTTTTAGAAATACCTATCACAACTTCTCTTTTTACATGATTTTAGGATTCAATGCTATATTCTCTGCATATCATATTCGAAATTTTGGTGTTTAGTGAATTCGCATGGTGTTGGCTTACATAGGTTTGTTGTTGCTTTGTTTGGTTCATTTCAAGATACCTTTCCCAACGTTTCTTTTTCCTTTGTTTTCAGCATTCAATGTTAGATGCTCTCTGTAAATCATATATGAAATGTTGTCGGGTAAAGTGGCATATTGGAGTTTTTTGAGTTGGCTTATATATGTTCATTTTTGTTTTGTTTGTTCATTTTGTGTCACTATCTTTCCCAACGTCTTTTGTCTCGTCTTTAGGGTTCAGTGTTAGATGTTCTTTACATACCATTCTTAGAGTTTAGTGTTGACTTATGTTAGTTTATGGTTTGTTTGGCTCATTTCGACACACCTTTTCCAATGTCTATACTTTCATGGGCTTTTCCTCAACTTGATAATATCATCGAAGAAAATATTGACGATACTTTCAACTTCCATAAATGATAGGCTAAGACCCGTCAGGTGATGATCGAGCATGCTAAATCATACATAATGCGATTTCTTTATACAGTAAGTTGACATTCAAACTTTGAGTAAGTCTACATTAATACCCGACGTGTCTTCTTAATTACTTTACACCACAGTATGTATGACTGAAAGGTTTTTTTTTTATCAATTAAATTTTTCACCCCATTGATTCATCTAAGTTGCTCCAGGAGAACCCAAATCAGACAGAGAACCCTGCTGTTTTGCTCCATCAGAACACAAATCAGAAGGAGAACTCTTCTAAACTACCAAAAGTGGAGCACAACCATGCAGAAGATGTACCAACCCTATCCATGAACCTTAAAAAAAAAACCCCTCTATTGATCTTTTTCACTAGTTAGAGTCTGATATTCATTCACTAATCCAAATTATGGCATGATTGGGTTCATTTAAGCTGATTAAGCAGGACACAGATCAGACAAAGGATTCATCTGCCATTCCAAAACTGGAGCACAACCATGTAGAAGCTGTAGCCACTGATCCAAGAAATGCAAATATAGTGGATCTCACTGCTGATTCACCTAAGCAGACCAATCAAAACACAGCTCAGGCAGAGGATTCCCCTGCCATACCAGCAGTGGAGCACAACTATAGAGAAGCTGTAAAAGCCCTACCCCAGATTCTTTATAACCATTTCAAGGTAATACTTTATATTTATGTTATTCTCGTATGTATTGTTCATTATCTATATAGATTCAGATCAAAATCAGAATTCTACTCTTTCCCTTGTTGGTTTTGCGTCTGCTGTAGGTGGTCAAAAAAGAGTCGAAGGATGCATGGTTGAAGAAGTCATCAGGGGGAAATGTTATTGCAGCAGAACCCATCGCCTCCAGTCTACCAGAGGGATCTTCCAATGACAACATGGTACATGGGTTAACAACTTATGTTGGACAGTACTACTATGTTCTTGTCTGGTGGATTTGATAATATTTTGAATGTTTCTGTACTGGCAGCCTTATCGGATCGAGAAAAGGGAGCAGGAACAAGCTGCTGCTGAATCGTCTGGAGAGAAAAGGAAGAAGAAACAACCTGCTATACTTTGTGGAAACTACCCAATGTCTTTAGGCCTTCCTGAAGAGTTCATGGCTAACCTGCAAGCTTTTGAAAAGGTATTAACTTTCTGCAACATAAACATGTGTGTTTCTTCTTGCCAAAATTGTATGGTGACTTTAAGGTTGTCCATGTGTTACTGTTTTCTCTGAACAGTGGCTGCTGAATCAAGAGGTGGACGAGGATTTGATCGAACGTATACATCCAATTCGACTGCCTATGGCTAGAAGAGTAGAAGGCTGGATTATGGAGCTCAAGAAACGAGTGGAAAGTAAACTTTTTGATGCGGTAATCAATATTACAACTTTTCCTATGTGTTCTCATGATGAATGTGTACCAAAGTTCCTCTGTGGGAAGCTAAAAACATGTTGGAAATGTGTGTACACCTGCAGTATTTTCGCCACAAGGAATCAGGCTTGAAATTTCGCTCGGCGCGTGAAGTGTCGAAGTACCTGCTGTACAATGCTGGTCCTAAGCTAACCAATGATGACAGCAGCAGCCTCCAGGGGAAGAGGGGGAGGCCGTCAATCGATCATACTCCCGTAAGTACATTTTTACCATACAATCCTGTTGGTCATGGAGATCACATCCCAACATCAAGATGCTAAAGTTGTATGTTCAGATTGGCTACTAACAAAAATGGGTTTGATTAAAATTCAGGAACCCAATCCCAAGAAGAGAAAGATAACAATGGCTGAAGAAAAGGAAGTGCAGGTGGGCACATCCAACAATCTGCAGAATGTTGCTGCTGCTGCTGCTGATGGAAATGGGTATGACAGTGAAGCAACCATTTCTGATAACTGAGTTGCTTTCTGAGAGTTTCAAAAACTATGGTTTGTCATGTTTTCTGAGCGTTTCGTCGTTGGACTACAGTTGTGAGGAGTTTGAACAAGTTTATTTTCGAAGAGACAAGGGTTGGTAAGATTGAGTCAAGTTAGTGGTCATGAACGCTATAGCGTTTGGTTCGTCGTTGGATTACAGTTATGTGGAGTTTGAACAAGTTGTTTGGTTAACTCTTTTTTCAGACAGCTAAATTGTTGTTGTCCCAATTCTGGTTTCTGTGTTTGAAGGTTGCAGTACTGTGCTTAAGATTTTTTTGCAGGATCCAAACTCCATATCCCGCTGCCCATGCCCCAATATCTTTATCTACCCACCAAACTGTTCCCTCCAGCCTACAAAACCCATTAACCCAAAACAGTCCTAGCCCATTCCTTCCTTCAGCCCATCTGTTGTTTCTGAATGATTAAAATACAGCAACTGGGAGAGGATTCATGAATGCTGCTACAGTTGCAGACGAAAATGGGGGTTGAGAAGTCAAACTTTTCCATTTGGGTTGAAGATTGGATCGAGTTAGTGACTTATTGGTGATGAAACTAGCAAGTTGTAGTTTGGATATTGCTCCACAGCTAGGATGCAACTTCCCCACACCTCGATCAGCAGCCATGCCCATGATGAATTCAATCCCCTCAACTAGCTAGCTGATAAGTATCTCTTTATCTTTATGACTTTACATATTCCTTTTGCTTCTCCAGTGGGGTTTTTTTAATGAAGATTTCCTTGTTTTAGGTTTATTTATGCTCCCATTTAGATAATGGTCTTCAAGTTTGTGGTATGTTTACTAGCTAGGAATTACAACTATGAAAAGCGGCGGGAGCTACGTAGGTATAATTTAGCGAGAATTTGGATTTGGTTTGATACAACAACGTGTAGTTACGTATATGTTGAACAAATATTGGATAGTGATAGCGTGGTGGGCGGGGCCGACATTAGCCTCTCTCATTCAAGACCTAATTATGGTCGGATGACGTATTTACGAATTATTTATTATTCCTTTTTAGTTCATAATCACTATTAATTCTAAATTTGTCGTTGGTAAATGCTAAAGCGAAAATTCAGAAATGAAATCAAATTGGTTCCTCGAATCGAATAATTGGTACACTAATTGATGTCATTGCAAGAAACCAAAATTCAAATAAGGAATGCATCATTAGAGTAGGGGGTGGTCTAACAAATGAACTTCAAGCTTGTACCTCATGCATCATTAAGTGAAATGCATGCTTGATCTAACTAATATTCTCTTCCTTTTCTTTTTGGTTGATAATCATGATCTAATATTTCTTTGGATGCTTCATTCTCACCTCATGATCAGTACCTCAAACTTTCCCTATTTTGTTCCACCTAATGATGAGGTAACTCAATGATGTGTGAACTGTAGGAAATCTGAAAAGCTCTTGCATCTTCCAAATTTTTGACACCACAAAAGGTAATTATTGCATTAGAGGACCCATTAGACTCATAGGAGCATATCATACACATCTTCCCCCAATTTTGCAAAAATGTTTACAACCCATTTGTGAGAATACGCTCATAGGTTAGCTGACCATACTGAATCGCGAATTGGCAATCCGTATCTAACTGAATGGACGCAAAGCGCCCTCGTCTGATCCGACGAGCCAGCACGCTTGTAAAATCGATCTCACAGATGAACTGCGACGAACTGTGAGCACCATAGCCGGATAGATATCTTCCCCCAACTAATAAACTAGCTAGGCCCAACTGCAGGGCGAGGGAGACTCCACAGCAACGCCGACACACTCCCCTGTTTTTATGCTTCCCCTGTTTCCTCCATAAAACCCTCTTCTCCACGTATCCCAACTACCACAAGTACCTGAAGCCTCCTCTTCGTCTAGGTTTGACTTCATTCAGAAAAGAAGAAAAAAATGGTCTAGGACTTTGGCTCATATTGACAAAGACAGCCACCTGCCCGGCCGCTTTGAAAATGGTGTACTGCTCTGTTTTCTCCCCCACCTTGCCATAAATATGCAACCGCTCTGATATGTTCAACGTGGAAGCATATCAAACTACAGAGACAGAGCACTGAATTGTCAATGATCGAATGCCGCGCAACCATAAATTAATCAATGCCAAATTATTTAGGAAAGAGTACTAAACACATCTGCATAGTTTTTCCCATAACGAAGTACAGAGCTGTCGAGGTGGGACTGCACAGTTTATAAGGGAAAATGCACAAACTTGGGAGAAGATCGGGTGGCAGTTGTGATTTCTCTTTCGAAGCTGTTGTATGGCGCACATGGTTCTGCTGCAACTGAAGAAGAGAAGAGAATAAAAGCACACATGCTGCAATTAAGATGGTTGCAGTTGCCAATATATAACCAACCAAGTAGATGTTGTGTTCCTTTGCGTAAGTTCTCGTAACGGAACGATCAACTCCGGGCCAGGGGCTTGGTATTGGCAATAGCCCCTTGTCACGTTTGGGAGCTATGGTGTTGGCGGAACAGAATAGAAAGAAGGAGAGGGTTAAAGAAAGGGCCGGGAAGAATTAGGAGAAGAATGGGGAGCAGAAGATGAAAAGGAATTAAGAGATGGGTCACAGAACTAGAAGGAGAAGAGGGAAAGAATAGATAGATGCAGTGGAGAGAATTGGGGATAAGTTACAGAAGAAAGGGAGAAAGAAGGAAGAAGAAGCAGAGAGGGAGAAGGGTGATAGGCGTAAGCCTCCAAAAGGGGTTTTAACAATAATATTTTTCCATAATCTCCAACTAACGTAATCTTGCACTTAAATAACAAAACAAAGCCTAACTACTCCCCTAATCCTACTCCACGTTCAGGAGAGTGGAACCATGGCCCTAACCAACCACTAACAATATTTCAAATTGAAAATTAAAAACAATAAAAAAGGCACGTGACATTCCTTCCTCCTTGAGAGGATTCTTGACCGCAAGAATCAGGAGTCTTCCAGGTCCATATCAACCTCATGATCGCCACCTCTTTCTATGGCTTCAATCAGAAAAAGCTTCTTGCAGCGATGCGCTGGATGGAAGGTCTCGTTACATTTGAAGCACAAACCTTTCGCACGACGTTCATTCATCTCAGCAGGGGTAAGCTTCTTGACTGGCAGAGGGGTTCGAACGCCTTCCATGGCCCTAGCATGGGCCACCGCTGGACCCTCCCCTGGGTGGCTTCGGACGTCTTTAGCTTCATACAGCCTTGCTAGACCAATTGCAGCAGTCAACGTAGCGGGTTTACAAGCTTGGACGTCGATCCGAAGAGACTCACGTAAACCGCTAATGAAACAGCTAACCTGCTGAGCTGGCGTAAGATTTCCAGCACGAACTAGCAACCTCTCAAACTGTGTTTGATAATCTCGAACAGTGCCATCTTGTTGCAGCTTGGTCAGGTCTCCAAAGAAGTCTTCGAATTGGGTTGGTCCAAATCGAATATGCATATCTCTCTTGAACTCCTCCCAGGTGAGCTCTTGTCCTCCTTCCTTAAGGACTTGCAACCACAACTGCGCCTCCCCCTCCAAATTAATTGAAGCCACCATGACCTTCTCTTCGTCAGGAGTTTGACAATAGGTAAAAAACTGTTCAGCCCGGCAAACCCAAATGGTGGGATCTTCATCCCCATTGAATTTGGGAAATTCAATCTTCATCCTTGGCGCTTGCAACTGATTCCTTTGGTTGACTCGTGGCCCTTCATTGGCCCTATGAGCAGCCGGGGCGATCTGATCGAAACGAGCATTCATCGCTGCAAAACTTTCTTGCATCTCCCGCAGCACTGTCGCTTGTGTCGTCATTAGGTCCCTGAAGTCAGCTTCGAGTCGGGCAACACGCTCTTCCATGGTTGCAGCGGTGGGTTTCAGCTCTGATACCAAGATGTTGTGTTCCTTTGCGTAAGTTCTCGTAACGGAACGATCAACTCCGGGCCAGGGGCTTGGTATTGGCAATAGCCCCTTGTCACGTTTGGGAGCTATGGTGTTGGCGGAACAGAATAGAAAGAAGGAGAGGGTTAAAGAAAGGGCCGGGAAGAATTAGGAGAAGAATGGGGAGCAGAAGATGAAAAGGAATTAAGAGATGGGTCACAGAACTAGAAGGAGAAGAGGGAAAGAATAGATAGATGCAGTGGAGAGAATTGGGGATAAGTTACAGAAGAAAGGGAGAAAGAAGGAAGAAGAAGCAGAGAGGGAGAAGGGTGATAGGCGTAAGCCTCCAAAAGGGGTTTTAACAATAATATTTTTCCATAATCTCCAACTAACGTAATCTTGCACTTAAATAACAAAACAAAGCCTAACTACTCCCCTAATCCTACTCCACGTTCAGGAGAGTGGAACCATGGCCCTAACCAACCACTAACAATATTTCAAATTGAAAATTAAAAACAATAAAAAAGGCACGTGACATAGACCCACTTGGATCCAATCAATCACTGAATCAATGGTTCTTTGCCATTGATGCAAAAGATCTCTCCCTCCCTCCCTCTCTCCCTCTCTCTCCCTCTCTCTTTCTCTGTAGTTTGGAATTTGGATCACTATTGAATTGCAGTCTGTCGGTTCTGCAGTTGCCACACACGCAAGCTATATTCAATAAACAAAGCTGCCACCTTTCTCTACAGCTAGATCGCTCACTCCAATCCGCCGCAAGTATTGAATAATCAGATAGCTAATTAGGTGCAGAGGGAGACTAAAACTCTGACTTTGAACTCACTTTCTAAATTCTAATGGTCCAAAACTCTGTTAGGTACAGAGAGCTATAGCTATATATATACCAGAACCTTGTCATATCCTTCTGCAGCTAACTTTCAACCGAGAAAATGGGAGAAGGCCACGAAGTAGTATGTGGTAGGGCTGGACAATCGGTTAGCGGTTAGTGGTTAACCGATCGGTTACAACCGAAACCAACCGGTTATTCACTAACCGAAAATTGGTCGGTATTCGGAGGGATGGGCGAGATGCTTTTGGTCTTGGGGGCAGCTCAGTTAACCGAAAATCGAAGCCTTAAGGCCTCTTTTCGGTCGGTGATCAGTAGGTTTGGGAGGTGGTTCGATGTAATCGATAACCGAGCTTTTGGTTTTCGGTTATAATCGAATCGACCAAACTCCACTCCTGATAGGTGGGTTAGACTTTAGAGGATGCAATCTCAATAACTCGATGGATTGTAAGTAACATCAATTCAAAAATATATTGCTGACTAGATAAGATACAACTCATTCACAAATATATTGTTTGGATGAAAGGCAAAAGACCTACTTTTAATATGACCCCAAAAAAAACCAACCTAAGGGCTCGTTTGCTTGTTGGATTTGAAAATGAAGGTTTTGAGTTTTAAAAATCTTTGGATTTATGATGGATTTGTTGCATCATGGATTTGGAAGAGTACATTGTTTGTTTAGTTGATTTTTTATCATGGATTTGTGATGGATTTGTCTCACATTTTTTCCTTCTATGGTCAAATCCCAAATGAAATGTGGGATTTACAAATCCGTGGGGTCCACGGATTTGGATCTAAAAAATGGGTCCAAATCCGTGGACCCCACGGATTTGTGTCCCTCAACAAACAAAGGATTTGTGTCAACTCCATGATGCTTGGGATTTGGGTTCCAAATCCATCACCCAAATCCCACAAGCAAACGACCCCTAAATTCACTGCTCAGCTACCCACAACAGCAAACAGAAAACTTCATCACAAAACACAGACATTTGACCCCATAACTCATCATCTCAAAGACACTCTCTCACTCTCTCTACCCCATTCTGTTTATATCCTTTTAGCCAGGCACCCTCAGTCCCTCACATGTCTTTTCTTCCCCACCCTCTTGCCTCTTTTCACACACTAATCTTTCTCATCTACCCATTTTTACTAGAAGTGGTGTTTGGTTTCGAAATTAATCAAAATCGATTCGGTTTTATAGACTTATCGGTTCCTCTTAATTGGTAAAACTGGTAAGTCTTTAATGGTTTCAGTTAAAACAAAAATTGATAGAATTTTTATTCGGTTAACTGAATTGATGCCCCTAATATGTAACCCAACTTTACTATAAACTTTATTGACAAATCGTGAATCGTGCTAGGATGTCCTAATTGATCATTAAAAGCGCAGCCGATAGCTTTTCTACGAGGAAACAATTGCTATTCCATTCGGAACATGATGGTTTGGTAATAAATCTTATTTGTGTAAAAGATTATACAGACTTGAAACTTGCGTAAATTCAACACCTTAATTGGTTGAACTACAATCTTATTCCAATAATGATCCTCTAATCTTAAAGTCAACCATATTTACACTCTTATATTACATCAAATTCCAAATCAATCAAATCTAACAAGGTATGCCATCAAGACCTACACCTACCATCTTCAAAGCTAAGCATAGATTCCTCAACGTAGGCTACAATATTGAATAACACCCACCACCAGAAAAATGCATACATTAAACATATTAATCAAGATTAACACATTTAATCAATCATCAATGCTCTCTTTCATTGATAATCATCAATACATTAGATAACGTATAGTGATATCTAATCTTCTTAAACACAAGCATCTGGATCGGCTTCGTCTCCCCAGATCTAGTTCCTCTTACCCTTTTTAACGTATTAATATTCACTTAGTCTACTACCGTTGACTAATAACAGCTGCTAATTAGTAGAATTTAAACACAAATTTTGATTATAAATAATAATACCTTAAACATTAATTAATTGAAAAATCTCCAGTCGAGTCGGACCTCACCCAAGCCCGCCACGTGTTGCTGACTCGGCTTCCTGAACGAAACGATGTGGCTACTGACCATGAACGCCGTGACCCGCTCCGAGACCCGAATATCCTCCATCCTCAGCTCCTGCAGCCGCCTCACGTACTCGGGCACGTGATGTAGGTCCCACACCACCCCCGTCCCACCCGGTTTCAATACCCGACCCATCTCCCCTAGGACCCGCATCCGCTCCGCCGCCGCCTCCACCGTTCGGTGACCGTACTCCTTCCCCACCGTGTGGAGGAACACCGCCGAGACCACCACGTCGAAGCAGTTGTCCCCAAACGGCAGGCTCCTCACGTCTCCTTCCCGACACGTCACGTATTCCCCCACACCTGTCGATCAGAATTCGTCTAAATTTTCAGTTTGATGTAAAAAAATAGAAAAGAGTAATTAAACGTGCTTGTGACGAGAGTAATACTAAAAAAGTGACCACTTGGAAAAGCGTAGTTTCGGAGCCCCGACCCACCTTCCATGTTGGCGGTACGGAGGGTGGAGAGGGTGGTCCGTTTGGACCGGTCCAACCCAACGACCCGGCCAGAGCTGCCGGTTTTCTTCAGCTGGGTCGCCACGGAGTTGAGCAGAATCCCGCGGCCGCAACCGACGTCGAGGGCTAGCTTGACCGACGACCAGTCGCTGACGTGGCCGACGATCCTCTGCGCCATCTCGTGCTGTAATGCGACCGAGCTGTAGAAGAAGTTGCCGGCGGCGATGAAGAGGCAGACGGAGGAGAGGGCGGCCACGCAGCCGGTGAATCCTGCGGCGAAGCGGGCGGCGCCGCCGCCGGCGGCGAAGAAGAGAGGGAAAGTTTGTTCCAGGAAGCTGCAGAAGGGGTCAAAGTAGAGGAGGAAGAGGAGGGATAACAAGGAGAAGAGGAAGGCGTGGAACAAGAGAAAGAGCAGAGTGTGCCATTGATCCATTCCGTAGATTGCATAGATCTGCGTCCAGTCTCGGTTCGGCGGGCTGGTTTTCCCCATTTTCGGGGTTGAATGGAGGGCGTGAGCTCGGATTAGTAGCGACATTGGACCTGTGGAAGTGGATATTGAGCAAACAAAAGAAATTAAAGATCAAGTGATGCTGAAAATGACTGCAGAAACCCAAGCTAGGTGAGGAAATTTCAGAGCAATGAGGCAAGAGGGATCAATTTGGATTTTGGAGAGAAGGGGAAAAGAAAAAAGCAGTAACTGGAAACAGAAAATCTTCGTATGGGTCCTTACCAGAACAGGGAAAAGATGCGAAAAATTCTTCTTTATTGCAGAGGAGATGGAACAAAGGGAATGACAAACAGGATACCGAATGAATCAAAATCTCCTTGCTCCCAAACTTTATTTTTCCGGGCAAGCAAACAGAGAACCCAGTAAGAAGAAAACAGAGTACTTTGTACTGATTCTTCTGCAATCAATCTCGGCAGTACCAAAAACGAGCCTTAACTTGTAGCAGCCACTTCAAATTTCAAAATCAGACACCATCATCACCATCGTCGGCAGAGATCCATTTCGAGTCAAGAAACAGAGAATAATTTGCTCAACTCAAGAAGCCAAAACAGCCGCGAAAGGTCACGCTACCGATACAAAACAAGCAAAAAGGAAGAGTGGGGAAAAGAGCAAACCCCCTGCAGCAAATCGCCACCCAATCGTTTCCCAAATCAAAAGGGTAGTACTAGTATTCAACTTTGCGGGTGATTCGGTCACTGAATATAAGAGGGGAGAAGAAAGAGACAAGAATACAGCCACTGCCAGAGCTAATTTCTCGAAATACGGTTGGTTTCTTCTTGCAGAGAGTGTCAGAAGAAACCGAATGATAGCAGTAGTCTCCTAATAATAGCAGCGCTAAGCTCAAGCAAACAGCAATAGGGTGGGGGAGGTGGTGACGATGATGGATGGTTTGTACTCAACTAGTGGATCACCATTTTCACGCGCTTTTCTGAGCAAGCAGGGGAGGGATTGGTTCGTCGTTTTGCGGGGGTTTCAAAATGCTGCTGGAGAAAAAGGTGGGAACTTTTTGATGGGTTTTTTCTCCCCTCTTTTCCTCACTGCTTTACAGGGAATGAACGACGGGAAAGAAAGAAGAAGAGAAAAGAAGGTGATTGGGAGGGAGCGGCGGAATTGGGGAATTTGGTGGGTGGGAAATCGGCATCCGGTCGGTCATGTTTATGTGAAAAGGTCGCGGGGGAGGAAAAAGAGGGAATTTGAAAGGGTAAACTGGGAATAAACTAATCTTAAATAGGATTCAGTCTCGGAAAAGATAAAAGACACCGTCACCGGCGCCGTACTATTTCTGCGACTGGACTGAAGAAGACGACTCGAGGTGCAGCTGGGTTGACGACGGTGGTCAAGTTATGGGCTATTTTGTATGGGCTTTTAGTTCATTAAATAAGAGATATGGGCTTCATGCTATAGTCCATAAATTTCCTCCAATAGTGTGATGCCATATCGGATCGTCTCGTCTTTTATTTATGAGATCCGGGATTGAACTCGATTTGTGAGGATAAAAAATTTACTTTGTAACTACTTATTTATTTTTGGTTAAAAAAAAATACTAATTTAGAGGTGATTTGTTGTGGCCAATCATTATGAATTTGGACAATTGCATCAATTAATTATTTATTACGATAAAAGTTTGGAATACAAGTCTATAGGATCCAACGAATTTAAACATTTTCTACAAACTCCATGACTTGGAAAACTCCCATCCTTTCGTCCAATTTATCCCAATCTTGGATGTAGAACATTGTATCGAAAGATTTATTCGGGACATTTACCATTAAGTAATTTCTATGAATCATTAATCTTCCTTTCATGGATCTTATCCATTATTCATATGGTTCCATATTTAAAAAAAAAACAAAATTATTTAAGCCCAATAACAACGCCAAGTACTTTCTTTACACAAGGATTTGCTACTTCGGGTCTTTTAACTAATATGCACCAATCCGGCATCTTAGTCCCTGCCCTTCAATCCCAGTGGTTGATGATGACTTTATTGACTTTACGACCTTTTTGTCTTGTCTTTCCTTACGATCTTACTTTTACTATTGAAATCAAATTTATGATATACCGTAAGAGAAGAAAACTTCAAGGAGTTGATCTAATGGTAGTATGAGAACAAAAATATCCACCGCATTCTAAATTCAGACCTTGAGCTAACAATTGTAAGACAACAATTGCACATGCAGATCATCAAGAACATACCTAGGAATTATGGTTGGGACTTGGGATCATAATAGTAGATGAAGTTTGCAGAAACATTATAGTAGTGACTGAAAATTGTCATTTAGCCGAGAAACAAAAGCTGCACAAGTCAAAGAAGATGGCGCTCGGTGGCAGACTCTCCATCACTTCCAAATCAAAATACAAAACCATCCCAATCCATCTGCTAGCCCAAAAACAACCCAGAAAATGGACAGAAAACAAGTACTCCCTCTGCTCTTCTCCTTCCTCCTCATCACCATCACCTTCATCTTTCTACTCCTCAAACCATGGAAGAAAGGAAACCCTTCAAAGGCAAGGCAGCAGCAGCAGCCACTTCTTCCCCCGGGACCAAGAAAGCTTCCAGTCATCGGAAACCTGCACCAACTATCCAGCTCCAAGTTGCTCCCACACCGCCGGCTGCAGGAACTGGCCGAAGCACACGGCCCTCTGATGCACCTCCAGCTCGGCCAACTCCAAACCATCATCGTTTCCTCGGCGGAGGTGGCTAAACAGGTCATGAAGACCCACGACGTCACCTTTTCCAACCGATCGTTCCTCCTCGCAGCTGAAATCATCTCCCACAACCGCAACCTCGTGTTCGCGCCTTACGGTGAGTACTGGCGACAGCTCAGGAAGGTTAGTGTGCTGGAGCTTCTTAGCGCCAAGAGAGTTGCCTCTTTTCGCCCCATCAGGGAACAAGAAGTGGCCCGGTTGGTGAGTGACATTTGCTGTAGACAAGGTTCGGCGATCAATGTTAGCAGGATGATTATCTCCCTGACGTATAGGATCATATCAAGGGCTGCATTTGGGAAAGTGTACGAGGCTGGGTCGTCGTTCGTACCGGTGGTCATGGAGATCGTTGAGGTTGGGAGTGGGTTTGGTGTTGCTGATGCGTTCCCATCTTTCAGATTCCTTCAGAGGGTCACTGGGGTTAGATCCAGAATGCAGAAATTGGAGCGAGAATCTGACCGGATACTCAGTTGCATAATCGATGAACATATAGCAGCAGCAGCAGCAAAAGCAGGGGAAGGTGAAAAGGAAGAAGGAGTAGATGATCTTGTGGATGTTATGTTGAAGCTTCAAAAAAATGAAGACCTTGGTTTCACATTAACAACTGAGAGTGTCAAATCAGTACTCCTGGTGAGCCAAATTCCCCGCGTTGCACGTTGAGGGAAATCATGTGTATAGGAAGAAAGCCTGTTTTTAGACTATGGTGCATAGTATTCACTCTTAGACTATAATCATGAAATTCAACATTTGTCTGTTAGCATTTGTCTAAGCGAATTTATGAACGTGTACTTAACGAATTTAACACGCACTAACCTCTTGTATCAAATAATACTGGTTGCAGGACATGATCATTGCAGGAAGCGAGACTTCATCCACAGCACTGGAATGGACGATGTCAGAACTGATTAGAGACGAACGAGTGATGAAGATGGCACAAGAAGAGGTTAGGGCAGTGTTTGCGGAGAGAAGGAAAGTCGAGGAAACAGGGATTGACGAATTGAATTACCTGAAGATGGTTATCAGAGAAAGCCTGAGGCTGCACCCTCCTCTGCCTCTGCTTATCCCACGGGAGTCCCTGGAGCAATGCGAGATGGAAGGGTATCGAATCCCAGAGAAGACGAAGGTGATAGTGAATGCATGGGCTATTGGGAGGGATCCAAAGTACTGGAGTGAACCTGAAAGATTTTACCCAGAGAGGTTCATGGACAGCAACAGTGTTGATTACAAGGGGAATGATTTCGAGTTCATCCCGTTTGGTGCTGGAAGAAGGATCTGTCCTGGAATATTATTCGGCGTATCTAGCGTTGAGACTGCAGTTGCTAATTTGCTGTTCCACTTTGATTGGAGGCTTCCTGAAGGGATGAAACCTGAAAGTCTGGACATGAGTGAACAACTTGGAGCCACGGCAAGAAGGAAAAATGATCTGCACTTGATTCCAATAGTTTGGCAGGCATGATCCCTTTTCTGCAGCAGATAATCAGAAATGATTAAACATGATTATGGTAGCAAGATCGTTCATCTAGGAAATAAGAATCAGCTCAAGCAGCAATATAAGCTGATGGTGAATGATGCTATGAGGCATGCTATCCTACTGTATCAGCTGAACGCCTGAACCTTTCTCTGTCTTTTTTTATTTTTTGTTTAAATAAAACTAGTTGACCAATAAATGAAGAGAAAATTGCAGCAATAAGAATGAGAGTCTAAGTTTTCCCATGGGATGCTGGTAAGGAAGATTGATCCTAACAAAATTGCAGGTTGGTCCCATGATCATACTGGTTGAGAAAGAAATTCATCTCTGCTTATTTCTGATCTTGGACCAAATGTTACCTGTACACAGAGCAAAATGTAGCCCTCAGTTGCAAATTCAACATTCCATGTCTGGATGGAGACTCCATCCATCGTATACTGCAAAAATGGCGGCAGCATCTGGTCAACTTGCGGTATAAAAAAAAAACAGGGACGGTATGGGCCATAATGTGGGATTGCATTTATATATTATGCACGTTGGAAAACAGGAAAGAATATAGAAAAACGTTGGTGCAGATCAAAATGAGAGATCTTCGGCAGAGAATGCGAGATGGTGCTGCCTAAATGACGAAGTCAACTGATCACATCTGGTTGAATTGGATCTGGAGAAACACAGTACAAAGTCATATGCTAGCTCAAAAGCTACAGTGCATTGGGTCATCATCGATCTCCATCCAGCCAAAGAACAGAAAAAAATGGATAGCAGCAGCCACCTTCCCCTGCTCTTCACGTTCCTTTTCATCACCATCTCCATCATCTTTCTACTCCTCAAACTATGGAAGGCAGTCTCGAAGCAGCATGAGGGGGTGGTGCTTCTTCCCCCAGGGCCTAGAAAGCTTCCGATCATAGGAAACCTGCACCAACTATCCAGCTCCAAGCTTCCCCACCACCGGATGCTGGAATTGGCCAATGCACACGGTCCTCTGATGCACCTCCAGCTCGGTCAACTACTGTTAGAAACAAAGTTTCTAACGGGATTTGGATTGGGTGATGTTTGAGAAATTAGGGATTGGGAAGATAGAATTAGGGATTTGGGAAAGAATTGGGGAAGAACAGAAGGGAATTGGCCTAGGCCTTTAGAGGGATTGAGATCGAGAATTGGGAAGATAGGGAGATTAGGGTTTAGGAGATTCTTTGATAATTCTTTCTTGACTCCCTTAACGTAGACTCAAAGTACATATTTATAGGGAACACTAGGAAACCCTAATAATAAACCTAATCCTTCTAAATAACTACTACCCTTATTGATACTTACCCTAATAATAATTATATTAATAAATAAAGAAACCCTACAGAAATCGGTTTCTAACATCTCCTCCCCCTTCAGACCAACCTTGCCCTCAAGGTTGACCAACTTGACCCATTTCTTCCAACCTGCTCGCCCAATCCGATCTTTGCTACTTCGCTTCTTGTGCCTCCTTTTCTTCCAATCATGCTCTATCTTCTTAATTAGACTTCTTCCCTTGACCTTCTTGTGTTGATCAAAAGCTGTAAATTTCAAGTTTGAGGGCCCAACCCATGGTTCCTCGAGAAACTCCAACTTTACTAACTCTTCTTTCATTGTCATCTTCCTTCCTAAGCTCAAGAAATCCAAAAATGCTTCCTTGCACAAGAATCCACCCATAGGAATCAAGCCGTCAAGAACTTCAAACTCCGTATCGACGGCACATGCGAATCTGATCCCTCCAAGAGGTCGAGGCTCTAGACTAGAATTGGTCTTCCGTTGCCCATCAGTTCCCATAGTTAGCCCTTTAATTGCTCCTGGCTCACATTTCCTCGTGAGCTCACTTGCTAAACCCATGAATTCATCCCTCTTTTCCCTGAAGCCTACTTTGTATAAAAGTGTATCTGCAAGACAACCCCTTTTTAATCCAAGCCTTGTGAACTTGGCCCATTGCTCTCTTTTAATTGCTTCTGACTTGGCCGAAGACCAAGCTCTCTCTCCACCCATTTTATAATTAGCTTCAGCCCACTCAGTCCAATACCACTGGTTATACTCCGGATCAGGCTCAATCCAACTTGGTTGGCCATTTCGGCCCAAAACGGCTAGATCCATTTGGATGGCCTGTTGTCTTGCGCGGCCCATTGAATCAAGTTGGTGTGTGATGCTCCCTAGGGTTGGCGGCCCATGGATTGCCACAGGAGAGGCAGCACCGCCCTCCTCCCTCTCATCCTTCTTCGATTTCCCTGCCGCCGGCGAGCGGCTCCTCCTACGAACAGCCCAACTCGTTACCGACTTCTCTTCCTTGTCGGCGGGCGCCGCTAAAGGATACGACGCCATCCTCCTCCTCGTTTTGCGTCCTGCCATCGTCATCCCTCTTGCTGGTGGCGTTTCCGTGAATGGATCTGGCTTCTCAAGACATGGTTCCGGCAACGAGTCCTCTGCCAGTTCCAAGTCCGTCGTTGCCCCGCCGCCGCTAACCGTCGCGACGGATGCTGCCGCAAATCGCCGCGTTCCGCCTGCGATTCGCAGCACCGGCGGCTCATTCTTCTTCTCCGACCCGTCGCTGTCCATCAGCGAGACAACCCGGCGACTATGAGTCACGCCGAATCGTGGCATCGTAGGCACGATTTGTCCCCCCGGTGAAGGAATCCTGCGAACCCACCCCACATCTGCTTCGATTGACGCCGAGGCTGGAGCCAACGTCGAGTGCGGGTCTCCATTCTCGAGCTCGGTTGCCGCCTCTCCTGTCCCCGCTTTCTTTCGGAATTTCCATCCATACTCATGGACCCGTTCTTTGAAATTTACAATGGTTGGCGGCAGGAGGGGAATTAGAGAATCCACCTTATGATTATCTTTGGCAGAGGAAATGGTGACTCCAATCGCTGCAGTAGGCACCACCGCCTTGTCAATTGACAATGGCGTTTTCTCCATTGACGCAGCAACGCCGCCCGGAGCTAACTCCACGGCAGCAGGGTCTTCTACGGCTGCATTGTGAAGGGCAGGAGCTTCCGGGTTGGGATCCGTTGTTGAGACCACCAGCCCTTCTTCCACGTCGTCCCCAACCAGCTGCCGAGCCTGCTCCTGGTGTTCGACGATTGGGATGATGCTTGGGGTAGCAACGGCAGGACTCATGAGCTCTCCGTCCGCGACGATCGTCGCGGGCCTCTGCTCGGGTCGTCGTCCGCCTGCACGCGAATCAGCCTCGGCCGACGGTGGGGGTCGCTTGTGGTCGTCGGCGTGAACCACCGCCTCTGCCTTCGTGGTCGCCGACTCCTCGGGCAGCCAACGACGTCCGATGCGGCGGGCCCGGTCCCGCAGTTCTGCCCATGAGAGGTTCGAGAGTCGTGTAGAACTCATTGACGATCACAGTTGTAGAACTCGTCACCGGTTGAGAGTTGTGAAAAACTCAATTCTCGAAACCGGGCTCTGATACCAAATGTTAGAAACAAAGTTTCTAACGGGATTTGGATTGGGTGATGTTTGAGAAATTAGGGATTGGGAAGATAGAATTAGGGATTTGGGAAAGAATTGGGGAAGAACAGAAGGGAATTGGCCTAGGCCTTTAGAGGGATTGAGATCGAGAATTGGGAAGATAGGGAGATTAGGGTTTAGGAGATTCTTTGATAATTCTTTCTTGACTCCCTTAACGTAGACTCAAAGTACATATTTATAGGGAACACTAGGAAACCCTAATAATAAACCTAATCCTTCTAAATAACTACTACCCTTATTGATACTTACCCTAATAATAATTATATTAATAAATAAAGAAACCCTACAGAAATCGGTTTCTAACAACTACAAACCATCATCGTTTCCTCAGCGGAGATGGCTCAACAAGTGTTCAAGACACACAACCTCACCTTTTCTAACCGACCATCTCTCCTCGCAGTAGATATCATCGCCTGCAACCGCAACCTCGGGTTCGCGCCCTACGGTGAGTATTGGCGGCAACTCAGGAAGCTGTGCGTGTTGGAGCTGCTAAGTGCCAAGAGAGTCCATTCTTTCGGCCCCATCAGGGAACAAGAAGTGTCCCGTTTGGTCGCTGACATTTGCTGCAAACAAGGCTCGGCGATCAACGTTAGCAGGATGATTTTCTCACTGACATATAGGATCACATCAAGGGCTGCATTTGGGAAACTGTATAAGAAGCTGGAGTCATCATTCATACAGTTGACCACGGAAATCAGCGATGCTACGAGTGGATTTGGTGTTGCTGATTTGTTCCCATCTTTCAAATTCCTTCAGCTGATCACTGGGATTAGGTCCAGATTGCAGAGATTGAAGCAAAAATCTGACCGAATACTCCATATCATAATAGATGAACATATAGCAGCAGCAGCAACAAAAGCAGACAAAGGTGAAAAGGAGGTAGTAGATGATCTTGTGGATGTTTTGTTGAAGGTTCAGCAAAATGGAGACCTTGGATTCACATTAACTATTGAAAGTATAACAGCAGTACTCCTGGTAAACTCGCTACCCTGCGTTGCATTATAGTTGATACAGTTTTTTAAGTCACCCTAAAATTGAAGAACATTTGTTATACAACATAATCATCTAATTCGTTTCAAGAAATTTTAACCTTTCGGATGAACACGAAAATATGTATGGATTTGCATCAAAATAATTTATGTGTAGTATTCTTGTAATTTAAGTATTTTAAAAATTCCCGAAGTACACCTCTTACATTCACCCATGACCATCATACGGATTTATCACTAAAGGTGCATTGAAAGTCAGTGCTCTCATCCCAAGGCTTTTATGTATCAATATATGTCAATATATTGACTTACCTCTTAAATCAAACAATTGTGTTTTTTGCAGGACCTTTTCCTTGCAGGAAGTGAGACTTCATCGACAGCACTGGAATGGACAATGTCAGAGCTGGTTAGAGATGAAAGAGTGATGAAGAAGGCACAAACCGAGGTTAGGGCAGTGTTTGGGAAAAGAGGGAAGGTTGAAGAAACAGAGATTCATGAATTGAATTACCTGAAGATGGTTATCAAAGAAAGCCTTAGGCTACACCCTCCGCTGCCTCTCCTAGTCCCAAGAGAGTCCCTGGAGCAATGCGAGATGGAAGGGTTTACAATCCCGGAGAAGACAAAGGTGATAGTGAATGCATGGGCCATTGGGAGGGATCCAAAGTGCTGGAGTGAACCCGAGAGATTCTACCCAGAGAGGTTCATGGATAGCAGAACTGCTGATTACAAGGGGAATGATTTCGAGTTCATTCCGTTTGGTGCTGGAAGAAGGATCTGTCCTGGAATCTCATTCGGTGTATCTAGCGTCGAGACTGCGCTTGCTAATTTGCTGTTCCATTTTGATTGGAAGCTTCCTGGAGGGGTGAAGCCTGAAAGCCTGGACATGGATGAACTATTTGGTCTTGGGGTAAGGAGGAAAAATGATCTGCACTTGATTCCAACAATTTGGCAGGCATAATCCCTTTTTCTGCTGCAGATAATCAGAAATGATGGAACATTATCATGTTAGCAAGATCTTCCGAATAAAAAGAAATAAAAATCAGCCGAAGCAGCAATTAGATGAGTCTAAGCACTAAACTGATGATATCCTACTGTTTCAATTGTACCGTCCCATATGTTTTTTGTTTAGTTTAAATGTACTGGTTGAAGGCTTCCTACACCATTTTGCCTCAGAGACTAGCTAGATCTCAACCTCACAATACCCAGTCCTCTTTGTTGTTGCTGTCATCTCTTATGAACTCACACAAGCTTTTAGGAGTCTCTGCAAAGAGAGAAAAAGTCAGTACGGCCAATCACTTACAGTAAATATAATAGCATGAGTAGCATCGAGAAGTTGACAGAGATAACGCAAATCCATCATCGCCACAGAGCTAGGAATGCAGCTGCTAATAGGGATGGGTGAGGCTAACTGCTTCAGAGGATGAGAGTCTAAGCTTAAGCTGATGGTGAATGATGCTAGAGAGGCATGCTATCCTACTGTATCAGCAGAACGCTTGAACCTCCGTATCTCTTTTTGGTTGTTTGTTTGTTTAATAAAACTAGTTGACGAATAAATGAAGAGAAAATTGAAGTTACAATAAGAATGAGAGTAAGTTTTCCCATGATCATACTCGTTGAGAAAGGAAATCCATCTCTGCCATATTTCTGATCTTGGACCAAATGTTACCTGTACACGGAGCAAATTGTAGCCCTCAGTTCCAAATTCAACATTCCATTTCTGAATGGAGACTCCATCCATCGTATACTGCAAAAATGGCGGCAGCATCTGGACAACTTGAGGTATAAAAAAAACAGGGGCGCTATGGGCCATAAGGTGGGAAACGCATTAATATAGCATGCACGTTGGGAGACAGCAAAGAATATATAAAGAGAAGTTGGCGCAGATCTCTTGGTGGCAAAATGAGAGAACTTCGGCACAAAATGCGAGATGCTGCTGGCTAAATGACGAAGTCAACAGATCACATCTGGTTGAATTGAATCTGGAGAATCACAGTACAAAGTCATATGCTAGCTCAAAAGCTACAGTGCATTGGGTCATCATCCATCTCCATCCAGACCAAGAAAAGAAAAAAATGGATAGCAGCAGCCACCTTCCACTGCTCTTCTCATTCGTACTCATCACCATCTCCATCATCTTTCTACTCCTCAAAATATGGAAGGCAGTCTCAAAGCAGCATGAGGGGGTGGCGCTTCTAACTAGACCCTCTAATTAAGCAATTGTTCCCCTACCCTCTACTGCTCCAACTTCATCTACTCTTGCATACTAAATACCTGAATTCCCTGTCAGTCGATTGGTAGCAGAATATAATAAAAGAGAATATCTGGAGTGATGTCACAGCCAGGAATCATTAGGTGGAGAAAGGGATGCAATATGCCATTGCAGCTACACATACAAGCAGACAAGACAAGAGAGCTCGTGTCAGGCAGTTACAGTTGGTAGTATGTCACGATCAGCATAGCTTCTTCGTTGAATCAATCAATCATCATGCAGACCTCAGTAGGGCTGCGATTATTCAGCCGACTACGAACAGTAGTTAAATAAACTTCAACCTGATTGGTCTACATTCTAATAAATCGCTAAGAATCTTATGAGGTCAGCAGTAAAAGCTACCTGAGATGGCTTTCAAGGAGCTGGCCGTTTGTCTTTTTCTTTGTGTATGTGAGGGATAAAGATGCTTTTATCATTCTTAAGAAAGGGATCAAGGCTTGCCCTATGAAAACTCCTTAGGGAAGCCAAAAACCAGATCACTATATAAAGGCTGGATGCATGGGATATGGGATATCAAGTAAGTACACAGAAAGAAGAAATGGAGTTCAAAATTCTGTCTTTACCTGTTCTGCTACCATTCCTTTTCTTTATCTCGATCTTACTGAGAACATGGAAGCAAGCAAGATCCAGAAGCTCAAGGATGCTGAAACGGCCACCAGGACCATGGAAGCTACCGGTAATAGGGAACATCCACCAGTTGGCTGGATCCAGCTTACCCCATCGCCGCCTGCAGGATCTGGGGAAGAGATATGGACCTCTCATGCATCTTCAATTGGGTGAGGTGAGCAACATCATTGTTTCATCTGCAGAATGTGCAAGGGACATATTGAAAACCCATGACATCTCATTCGCCTCCAGGCCCTATCAGCTTTCCGCAGACATTGTTTCTTACAACATGGGGGATATCGTATTTGCGCCCTACGGGAACTTCTGGCGACAGCTGAGGAAAGTATGTGTGTCGGAGGTACTAAGCTCCCACCGCGTGAGATCTTTTAGGTCAATCAGGGAGGAAGAGGTTTCAAACCTGGTGAGAGGCATAGTAGGAATATGTGGTGGGGCCAGGTTATCGGCAGCACAAGCCATCAACCTGAGCAAGAAAATATATGGCACAACTTACAGCATTGTGGCCAGGATTGTGTTTGGCAAGGCGTGCGATGAGCAAGAGACATTCTTGCCTCGTTGTCAGGAAATTATTGAAGCCTTAGGAGGTTTCAGTATTTCAGATCTGTTTCCCTCAGCTAAACTGCTCCACCGATTGAGCGGAACGAGAACTAGACTGGAGAGGTTGCACCGAGAAGCAGACAAGGTGCTTGAAAGCATCCTGGATGAACACAGAGCCAGAGCTCTTATTAGCCCGCTGGTAGCAGACGATATTGGTGGCAACAAGGAAGACAGTAGTGCTGATCTTGTAGACGTTCTTCTCCATCTTCAACAAAGGGACGACCTTGGATTTTCATTAACAACAGACAACATAAAAGCAGTCATTCTGGTAAGCATCCTGAATTTATTATCACTCTGAACAAACACACCCAATCCGTGAAACTTGTGTAGTCGAATTCTTTATGCTACAATAAGCTTACCATGGGTCGTCACTCATTTTGTTGGTCAGAATATTTTCCTAGCTGGAAGCGATACTTCATCTACAACTGTGGAATGGGCAATGTCAGAGATGCTGAAGAACCCAAGAGTGATGGAGAAGGCACAATCAGAAGTTCGGGAAGTCTTTGGTAGGAAAGGGAAAGTTGATGAAGGTGGGCTTGAGGAACTAAATTATCTGAAGTTGGTAATTAAGGAAACTCTAAGATTACACCCCCCAGCTCCCTTACTCGTCCCCAGAGAATGCCAGGAAGAATGCGAGATTGAAGGATACACTATACCTGAGAAAACCAAAGTTATTATCAATGCATGGGCAATTGGAAGGGATCCCAGGTATTGGGTTCAAGCTGAAGAATTCAAACCAGAGAGATTCATCAACAGCAAACTTGATTACAAGGGCACTAACTTCGAATATATCCCATTCGGGGCCGGCAGAAGGATTTGTCCAGGAATAATATTTGCAACACCAAATTTCGAGCTTCTTCTTGCAAATCTACTGTTCCATTTCAACTGGGTACTCCCTGGTGAGGCCAACCCTGAGCTTCTAGACATGACTGAATCCTTTGGAGCGACTGTAAGAAGGAAAAATGATCTGCAATTGGTGCCTAGATTGTGGCATCCCCTGCCTGCAGAGTAGCTGTATATATGATGCCATTATCAAAACCTTAAATCTTCATGCTGAAGTTGATGACGCACTAATTCTGATGAATATGATTTTCCCAATTTCTACCTGAATCAAACCAGAAGAATCTCCTTTCATAGAATCACAAGTTTCTGGATATGGCGTAGCAATAGCATCAAAGGTTCTAGATATACTTCTTCGAAACTAAAACAAACATTGGTGGGAGGGTGAAAATTCGCCATACTTCTACCCAAAGTAGACTGGACTCTGTTTAATTGTACAAGATGTGGTGAATCACTAGAATCTGCCAAAAACCTAGATCCCACAATTTAATCCGTTAAACAGAGTCGGCCTCCAGCTCGAGCACCAGGAAACTCTTTTGAGTGATCAATTCTCCTGTGTCAACCAGCTGCAAAACACAAATGGAACGAGAACACATGAAGAAGCATGAAATTGCTGGGGATCCAATCCAACAACCATCTAGCTCAAAGTCAAAGTTAAGGATCAGAAATTCTTGTCTAACTTCGTTAAGTAGACTCTCCTTAAACCAGCTTTGTTAGTTTGTAAATGAACCTCTCATCTGATCTATGGCTGATTCTATGGCATGCAAGTATTAGAGATTACAATAACGATGGGCAAAATGGGAAGCTAGTTATAGATAATCTTACCAACCTAGTGTATTTAGATTGATGTCTCGGAGATCTATATTGCGAATTATTAAAGCCCCTTCAAAGGTTGGAAGAGTCCCTCCAATCGCCATTATAAAAAAAAAAAGGTTGGAAGAGTCCCAACTAGCATAAACAGCTCCAATGAATCTTTCACGTAGTTTGGCACTGCAGCAAGCAACAATCCCCCGGTCGAGGCCTTCTAAGTAAGTTCCTCTCGAGAAGTCCAGAGGACGCCCTCCAGCATCAGTTACTACCCCACCAGCTTACTCTACAATGACCACTCCTGCAGCATGATCCCATATCTTCTCTTTGTAACCACACCTTGCAAATTTCATGAATATTTCTGCATCTCCTCTAGCAATGGCTGCATATTTCACCATGCTATGAACTCGCAACGGCTGGTTTCTGCCATCATAAGATTTTCAAATGAGGCCCCCGAATCAGAATGAAGTGATGAAGATCAAAGACATCAATTCAAAAAGGAAAGCAAGATTATATTGAACTAAAGCTTCTAGGAATTCAGATGACTAAATCGTATTCTTCCAAACTTCAATGTCAACTACATCTACATGCATTCACATTCAAAATTATTCTGCTAGGACTTATCAAATGTGTCAACTGTTAAATGTGGAAAATCAGCTTGGGAAAAATAGAAAAGAGAGCAAACAGAACATACTTGAAACCCATACTATGAGCAACTCCAGCAGTGAACGAGTGGTTTGAATTAGCCTTCTCCACTGGTTCACAAAAAGTAGCTAGGCCGGGGTCATCAATTGATGAGACCTTGATCTGCTTCGGGGAGTTTGGCCATTCAAACGTCTTGTTCTTGTGGACCAACGGCTGCATCCATGCCTTACCACTGCCCTTCTGTGCATAAATCACACATCCTTTATCCCGTGTGTCAGTAGCAGTGGAATACATGCTTTCATTGTAACGATGATGATGATGGTTTAGCCAACCATTCTTCATAGGGTAGTTAGGACATCCTAGAACTCCCATCATGACTTTTCCATCCTCAATCAGAGACAGCATACTGATCCCCTCGAACAAACCCTAACGTTCCATCCACCCGGTCAAGGACCCAGTGTCTGCCAGTACGGCCACCTGCTGAGTTGCATCTGCTGATAGCCTCGAGAACTTCGGATGCTCCCAGGGGCTTCTTGGGACTTTGGAGACCATATTTTGGTACCTCGGCTAAGCTCTCATTAACAATCGTTGTGACAGATGCCAGCAAGTCAGCTAATTCAGCCTTTGACAGTGTTTGAATATCTTCTTCAGCAACTATGGAGACATTTTGATCCTGGAATGATTCTGCCAGTAACCAACTAACTACTGCTTGAACACTCCAATCTGTTAAATGCTTCGACAGGATGGAAATCAGTGGATAACTTAGGCGCAATACCATTGTAAAATCATAATGAGCTGGAAATATCGATCAAAGATGGTGATAGTTATGTAATAAGGGGGGAAAACTCAGTAATTCTGAAATGAACAATTCCTTAGCGCTGCTACAGAGTCTTCCAAAGGATAGTAATAGATTAGAAAGAATGGCCATTCAGTAATAGAATATTTCCATTTAAAATACTCGGTAGTTGCAAAAATTTCCTTCATTTCATGATTAGAACAGCAATTTCTTGAAAAAATCCACTATAGAGCCTAGACATTAAGAAACCATTAACTACAATGCAATTGATCTTTACCCATCATTTCACCAACTCATAGTCCACATTTGATACCCAATTACGAACTTTATTGGCAACCAAACACTACGAAACCTAAAAACCACCAGAAAGGGAACTACCCCCGAAAATGGGAAAACCAACTGCCTCGCCCTGTCAACTACTCAATTCAGAAAGACAAACCCCGCCAAAGATATGGAACCCATTGCAGCAAAGTACCTGCAACAGTAACAGGAGAATCATCATCCTTAGACTTGACCTGCCCGGTGCCGTGAGAAGCCAACCCTGCTCGAACTCTCTGGCAAAGAGCGCAAGCCATATGAACAGCGCGAACCGCTACGTCCAATTCCCTCGCGTACTTAGCGTCTCCCATTGATTCCGAGACGCTGTGCCCTCCCTTCAGATTGTAACCAAATTCAGTACCGCATGCAAAATTTGAGAGCTCTGGTGTGGTTTTCACACTCTCGCGGCGGAGTGTCGCGAACCAGCATTGAGAGAGCGGATAAAGGGATTCAAGGAGATCACGCCGTGTGATTGATTTCTGTTTGGTTCCTGAGAAAATCAAAGAGTAGTCTCTGTCGAATTGCGCCAAAAGAAGAAGCCAGAGCTGGCTTGTGTTTGCCGTCTAGCCGTGTAGTGGTTTAAAATAGTTTTAAAAAATTATATAATTAAATTACCCCACCAATATGCACTTTTGTTACAGCTTACGAGAACACTAGAAAATGAGATTAAGAAATAATAATTCAATTAGATTAAGAATCTTGATTAAATTACACCACCCAAATTTGCTTTTGTATTGAGGACTCGAAAGATAAATTGTACAAATGCCACATTTAGTCACTGTGATTACTAAAACATGTCATGTTTAGTCACTCGAAAAAATTAATATCATTTTTGGTCACTTGAATTACTAAAACAATCCACATTTAGTCACTCTCTGCTAACATAATAGTTCACCAAAGCTCTTCCCTGATCTTACTCACTACGCCAACACTTCCACAAATGGGTTTAGATTCAACGAAAACTCATCCTCCTCCTCCATGGAATTGGGTCGGAAGTTCATCGACGACCCACTAGTATTGATTGATATGGATGGCAGCAACTTCACTCAACCTTCACCTTTGGCAAGCACAAAAGGGGACACAAAACCCATATCCAAAATCAACCACCGTTCCAAATCTCATTGCTCGGCTCATAGTTGAAAACCTCAAAATCGACCCCTACAACCTGAAATCCTAGAATCCCCAATCGACAAAGGATGATGTGAGCGAAGGAGATGAGGGAGAGAAGAAGACGATGGGATGGGATTGGCTGATTGGATCGTCGTGTGTCTCGATCTGCTGCTACTGTCGTTATGTTGTGATGTGCTGCTAATGTGTCGTTGTCGATGTGTTGTTGCCTATGATGGATGAAGTGAGCGTAAGAGATGATGAGCAGGGGGAGGGTTCTTAGTGGCGGAGACGAAGAGGAGGAAGGGTTATGAGCAGCAGAGAGTGAGACGATGGAGAGGAGACGATGTGAGTCTTGGGGATTAGGGATTACGCCAACGATTGAGAGAAGAGGATGTATTTCATTCAGAGGCTATCCCAAATCGAAAACGCTAGAGATGGAAAATAGGGTCGGGTTCGGTTTATGGGTCGGGTCGGGTTGAGCTGGGCATATGACATGGAGGGTTTAGTGACGTGGTGGGTCGAGTTTGACTATTTTCGGTCCAAAACGATGCTGACTAGGCGATTTCGTTAGCCATGTCAGCACATAACATACTCCATTAACGGAGTTGGACGGAGTCTAACGAAGAGTGACTAAATGTGGACTGTTTCAGTAATTCGAGTGACCAAAATTGATATTAATTTTTTCGAGTGACTAAACATGACATGTTTTAGTAATCCCAGTGACCAAATGTGACATTTACCCAAATAATAACTACCATTTCATCAATCTACGACGCACAACATCAAGACCATTAACAACGGCTATACAAATAAAGTATTCATGATCAGCATCCAACAATCTCAATTGTACCATAAAAGATGAACAATATTCTTTAGCTAATTTTTCATTTTAAATTGTAATTTTGTTTCATTTCAACAAAGGTGGGTCAAATGATGATATCAAATCGACAATCGAACAAGTTGTGACTGGAAACAAACCAAATGCTTTGAAAACATATATAAGAAATGTTAAATCTTTATGAGAGGCTAGCTTTTCATATTCGTAGCTAAGAATATGTAGGAATGGAGTGTTGGTCATAGTCACAAAGTCAATTATAGTTAGATGATTGTAAAATGTGCCAAAACATTATGTTTATTTTTCATGATAACAACACGAATAAATATTTAGTTTGCGTTCGAAAAGAGAAAACAAGTATATCACATCTTATCACATCTCATTTGCGAATGTGAAAATGGTCGAAATTTGTGCAAACATATTTTCGCTGGCTGCAATAAGTAGTATAGTTCAGACTCAATGATGTAATGATTTATGGAGTTTGAATTCATGATATTTAGTCGTTAAAGGACCTCTTAGAACTTAGAAGGATGTTGGGAATCAAGAAGGAGAAGTTTGAGGTCAGATCGTCAAAATATAAAAAGTTTAGTACCATGTTGTCGTGGAGGAAAATTTTAGGTATTGGAAAAGTAGTTCTTCTCCCACCATTAGTAAAGCGAGTATCCATTAATCCATCCCGCCGTGATTATTTCATAAGCCCTCACTCCTCCATTTTCCCGCTCACCGATCTTCTTTTGTTTTTTTTTTCTTTTCTCATTGATATTCTTCTACCTAGAGAAACCCTACAGCGAGCACCGAACCTCCGTCCTCCCGAGCCAGCATTTTCGCCGATCATGGATTTGAGCTCCGGTTTCCTTGCCCAGTGTTGCCTCGACACTTTGTCCAAAGACAGCGAACCCCGTAAGGCCGCTGAACGACACCGCGAACGCGCCCAATTTCGCCCTCGCCGTCCTCAACTTGGTCGGGACGCCGAACTTCGACGAGGAGATGGACATCCGTCACGCCGCGGCTGTCAATTTCAAGAATCACATCCGTCAGCGTTGAGTGGCTGTTCAGGATTCCGAATTCAACCCGATCCCCGACGATTAGAAGAACCAGATCGGAACCCTAATCATTCCGAGTTCATCCCTCGCCGTCCTCTTCTCCTCACGTCCAGTCGCAGCTCAGCGAAGTTGTTTACCTCATCGGCAAGCACGAATTCCCCATATCATGGCCCTCTTTGCTCCCTGAGCTCGTCAGCAATCTCGGCTCGGATGCCTCGAACTACAATTACGCCGCCATCAATGGTGTACTCGGGACGGGCAAATCGATCTTCAAGAAATTCAGGTATCAACACGCGGATAATGATCTTTGCATTGATTTGAAGTACTGCCTTGTCAATTTTGCTGCTCCTAGCTCGAAATTTTCCTTAGGACCGCCGCTTCTATATATGTTTGGAAAGTATCATATCAGTGAATGGATGCTAGAGTTTGGATTTGACCTCCACTCATCCTGCTGTTCCCGATGAGCTTAGAGTTGATGTGTGTGAGAAGATTATTCTATATACGGAGAAGGATGAAGAAGCCTTCCACTCCTACTTGAATAGCTTCGCAGATGCTGTTCGAAATCTGTTGGTGGATGTGCCTAAGGATCATACCCGTGATGGGTTGGCCGCCACTGTGATTAAGTTCTTAACTGCAGTGAATACCAGTGTCTACCATGCTTTCTTCAGAAACGATGATGTGATACGACCGATTTCTAAAAACATTGTGATCCCCGAATGTTCGTTTGAGGAAGGATGACGAAGATCTGTTTGATATGAATTTTATAGAACATGTCAGGAGGGATATGGAGGGTAGCGATCTCGACACAAGAAGGAGGATTGCGTTTGAATTGCCGAAAGGGTTTGCAATGAATTACACGGGGCAGGTAACAGCTATAGTTTCTGCTCATGCCAACGGTGAATTGGAAAAACAAGCACTGTGCAATGTATCTAATTGTGTTTCTAGCGAGCAAGAAATCTAGGGGGGGGGGGGGGGGTCGATGTTTTAGCTGATGACATAGTTAATGGTGAAAACTTCTTTGTCTCAGAAATAATTCCTGAGTTACAGAGCCAGGATATTAATCCATATCCACTGCCCAAAGCTGGTGCCCTTAATTTCTTCAGAGTGTTTAGAAATTAGTTACCAAAGCATCTTGCAATTCAGTTGCTCCCAGATTTGGCTCGGTTCCTTGGGACAAAGTCGAATGTAGTTCACTCTTTTGCTGCCTGTTGTACAGAGAAACTGCTACGGTCAAGGATGATGGATCCCGGGCAAGGTATACTGCAGCTGATTTGTGTCCATTCATTCTAGTGCTGATGAATAACCTTTTTAATGCACTGAAGGTTCAATAGTCTGAAGATAATCAGTATATCATGAAATGTATCATGATAGTGATTGGTGTGGTAGAAGTGTATCAAGTTTGTGAAAATCCCAAAAACCCCATCTTCAACCACTATCTCTTTGAGTCAGTAGCCGTTCTTGTGAGGCGAGCATGTAACCGGGACATCTCTCTCGTACCAGCTTTTGAAGCAAGATTATTCCCGAGCCTTGAAATGATCTTGACCAAGAATGTGGTTGAATTCTTTCCTTATGCGTTTCAACTCTTGGCCCAGCTGGTTGAGTTGAATCAGCCTCCTATTTCTCCTGGTTACATGCAGGTCTTTATGCTCCTTCTCACTCCTGAACTATGGAATACAGATTCAAATTTTCCTGCCCTTGTGCGTCTACTTCAGACTTTCCTCCTGAAAGCACCACATGAGCTTAACCAAGAAGGGAGGCTGAGCCAGGTGCTTGGAATTTTCGAGCGGCTTGTATCATCTCCTAGTACCGAGGAACGAGGCTACCATCTTCTAAATACTGTATCGAGAATCTTGACTTTGCCATTATCTCTCCATACATGGTTCACATCTGGGCTGCCCTATTCACCTGCCTGCAGAAGAAGGAGACGGTAGAGTTTACCAAGTCTCTCGTGATCTTCATGTCGTCGTTTCTGATCAAGCATGGTCCTGCAAACCTCATTGACTCGAGAATTCAGTTCAAGCTGGCATATTCACTATTATTCTGAACAAGTTCTAGATTCCGAAACTCAAGTTGATTACCGGGCACATTGAGGTCAAGTTAGTCGTTGTTGCATCGTGCAGACTCATCTGCAAATCTCCTGTTCTCATGGATCCAGCAGCTGCTTGCCCTTGGGGCAAAATGCTGGACAGCATTGTCACACTTCTCTTCAAGCCAGAGGAGCGCAGAAGGTGGGCTATGCTGCAGCGTTTGTCAATCTTTACAATGCTGGGAAGGAGGATGATCCTTTGAAGTACATGAAAGGACCCCAAACAGTTCTTGACGGCTTCACTGTCGAGGCCTTCGGCTATTTCCCCTGGAAGGTTCCTGCAGATAATCAATCAGAACCTCGAGTCGGCAAATCAAAATGCAATGCAGTGATGCAACAACTCTCCAGTTGTTTGACATTGTATGCAGAGACACATACAGGTTTGATATATTCTTGGCAGAAAAATGTTTCCTTGTATTTTTTATTAGGGGATCGTATCCTTCGTTTTTGTGTCGTTTCAAATTTGTATTTTTGTTATGACAGACAATTTTAGGGTTCACATTCGAAGTACCTTACTCTATAAGTTCGAAAAAGCGAGCAATCCAAATTTTATTTCGACTTATGTTATTGTCTATTAGCAGTTGACCGATTCCTTTTGGAATAATGAGAAAGAAAAGTGTGCTGAGCTAACCATTTCTTTTTCCTGTGTTTCTCCAGACGCCAGCCATTTGGAATAAAAATGTAGATACGAAGAATATGAAAAGGATTAGAGAGAGAGAGGGGGTAGGGACAACTACCACTACGGTGGCCATGTGCCCACCGCCAGCGGGATTGACAGGGCAGGGGTTTCCTCTTGACGTCAACAACGGCGACATCAATGAATGTTCGGTATGTGTAATTCTTGCTTCAAATTTTGTGACGAAAATGCAGGTTACAATCTTCATATTTTCACACTTATATTTCGAGTTAACGCAAAAATGCTCTAATTGAAGTATTCAGATAAGGCATCAAATGATTCTCGTACTAACCTTAGACACTCTGAAATCCTTTTTTTCAAATCATCTCCTTCCATCTCGAATTATCGAATCAAGAGATAGATAAATTGACACATCGAATTAGGTACAAACTTGTAAATACTAAACTAAACATCGGAGTTGAGAAATATTGCCGGGGGAGCAAGCAGCTGTCAGTGGCAACTTCCCCCTTCCCCGCCATTCTCGGCGCATTTGCAGATTGCAATTGCCGCGTTAAAGCGGGACCCGCCCGGCCGCAGGATTGTTGGTCCCCAGCGCAGCATTTAGCAGCAGCAACCAGAGAGTACCAGGCCAGACCCCATTTCGCTTCCACCAAATTGCTTCTTTCTCTGTTTCTGCAACAGAAAAGGAAAAATGGAAGAATAAAAAGCTTCCTCCCGGCAGCTTAATTCTACTCCGAAACTATTCCTACCTGCATTAATAAATAAAATCCCCAAGTTGGAATAGCCATCCATTTCTCCGCCACAAAGTTCCAATCTTGGCAAAGATTTTCACAAACCCACATGCCCCAGCGACCGCTTTTCCCTTGGTTGTGTGGCTCTTTTTATATGTTTTCCTATTCTTGCTCTCTGGAGCTGTGTGGGGACTTATTATTTTCCAGTTTCTCCATTTGGGCAGAGGTAAAATGACAGGCTGATCAACAGCCTGGACAGTGCTGTTTGTCGTTAAGCTGCTGCGATGGTTGCCCACTCGCTCACTTACATATGCATTTAACGGCTTCCTCCTCCCCACCTGGGTTTTTCGGTTTTCTCTTTCTCCCCCCTTCTTCCATTACCTTTCTTTCCCCAATTCGAAATGCCCACCAGGTGTTCGATCTTTTGACTCAGAGAAGCTTCAATTCCCCTTTCTCTCTGACAGCTTCTTAACATTTCTGCCCCTCTTCGAGGTAAGTGGTCTGCACACTTTGGAAGCAGGGTCGTTCCTCTCTCATACCATTTCTAGATTATTTGTTGTAGTCTCCTGCAGAGGTATCTTGAGTTCTGTAGTTGGAGTCTAATTTTGGGGGTAGGATTGCGAGGAGTTCTCCATTTTTCTAGCTCAGAGAAATTTAAGCATTCTTTTGGGATTTGTGTGTGTTTACTGGTGGGAATGGTGAAGATGAAGCTAGAAGCTTCGTTTTCTATACTGCTTATAATTCTTGTAGTGGAGTTCATTGGTCAGAATGGATCACTGGCCGCCTTCACTCCACCTGATAACTACCTGATTGCTTGTGGTTCAACCAAAGATGTCACTTTCCAAGGCAGAACTTTTGTTCCTGATTCTGAGCATCCCTCTCTCACATTAAAGACTGCAACTTCCAGTGGTAGTAGTAATGTTGCTACCTCTAATGCTAGCTTCCCATCTCCGATCTACCAGTCTGCTCGTATCTTCTCCAGCGTTGCTACTTACAGCTTCGACATTCAGCAACAGGGTCGGCATTGGATCCGCCTTTACTTCTACCCTGTTCCAGGCTCTGCCCAGAACTTGACGTCTGCATCCATCACTGTCGTCACAAAGGACTATGTGCTCTTGCACAATTTCTCATTCAAGAACTACAACGGCACTTACATGTTCAAGGAGTATTCAGTCAATGTGACTTCAGACACTTTGACCCTTTCTTTCATTCCTTCAAATAACTCGGTGGCCTTTGTCAACGCCATTGAAGTTGTTTCTATCCCTGATGTAGTTCTCCCTGACCAAGCTTGGACTCTCAACCCCTCCACCTCTGTTGATGGCCTTTCTGACCTGGCCTATGAAACCGTCTATCGGTTGAACATGGGCGGCCCGTTGATCACGTCTGAGAACGACACTCTGGGGAGAGTGTGGGAGAATGATGCTGAGTATCGTCATGTCAACAACTCTGCTGTGGATGTTTCGGCCAATCCTGCATCCATAAGGTACCCAGCTGCACTTAAACCCGAGACAGCTCCAAACATGGTGTATGCCACTGCTGTAGCCATGGGAGATCCAAGTGTGACGAATGCCAACTTCAACATGACTTGGGTTCTTCCAGTCAACCCTAACTTCAGGTACTTGGTTCGAGTCCATTTCTGTGACATCATCAGCAGAGCTCTGAACACACTAGTGTTCAACCTTTATGTAAATGATGATCTCGCCCAAGGCCTCGATCTCTCAACGATCACTGGTGGCTTGGGTGTACCATACTACCGTGACTTCGTCTCCAACTCATCGACAGAGTCACCAGATACATTGATGGTCAGTGTTGGTCCTGATACAACGGCAGACATCACCAACGCAACCATGAACGGGCTGGAGATATTGAAGATCAGCAACGATGTCAAAAGCTTGGATGGGGTTTCCTCAGTGGAGAGTCTCACTCCACAATCCCACTCAAGGAGCCATAATGTAGGAATCATAATCGGTTCCACATTTGGAGCTATAGCTGCATTCGTCATACTCGGTCTCTGCTGCATCTGCAGGAGAGCTGGCAAGAAGGCCCCTCGTCAGCAGCAGGGGGGACACTCATGGCTGCCTTTACCCTTATACAGCATCTCCCAGACCATTTCAAAAATGTCCACAACTTCACACAAGAGTGCCACAGCCAGCTGCATCTCACTGGCTTCCACAAACCTCGGCCGATTCTTCTCGTTCCAGGAAATCATGGAGTCGACCAACAAGTTCGACGAGAGCCTCCTTCTCGGGGTTGGAGGGTTCGGGAGAGTCTACAAGGGAACCTTAGAAGATGGCACTAATGTTGCAGTCAAGAGAGGAAACCCAAGATCAGAGCAAGGAATCACAGAATTCAGAACAGAGATCGAAATGCTGTCCAAGCTCAGACATCGACACCTGGTCTCTCTCATCGGCTACTGCGACGAGCGCTCTGAAATGATCCTCGTCTACGAGTACATGGCCAATGGTCCGCTGAGAAGCCATTTGTACGGTACAAACTTGCCATCCTTGTCCTGGAAGCAACGGCTAGAAATCTGCATCGGAGCCGCCAGAGGACTGCACTATCTCCACACAGGCGCAACTCAGAGCATCATTCACAGAGACGTCAAGACGACCAACATCCTCCTCGACGAGAGCTTCGTGGCCAAAGTCGCCGACTTCGGGCTGTCGAAAACCGGGCCGGCCATCGATCAGACCCACGTCAGCACCGCCGTGAAGGGCAGCTTCGGCTACCTCGACCCCGAGTACTTCAGAAGGCAGCAGCTGACCGAGAAATCCGACGTCTACTCCTTCGGCGTGGTCCTAATGGAAGTGCTCTGCACTCGGCCGGCTCTGAACCCTGTTCTCCCGAGGGATCAGGTGAACATCGCCGAGTGGGCGATGACATGGCAGAAGAAGGGAATGCTGGTCCAGATCATGGACAAGAACCTCGCCGGGAAAGTAAACCCGGCGTCGCTGAAGAAGTTCGGCGAGACGGCTGAGAAGTGTCTGGCCGAGTATGGGGTTGATAGACCGTCGATGGGGGACGTGCTGTGGAACCTCGAGTACGCGCTGCAGCTGGAGGAGACTTCGTTGGCCGCGGCGCTGACTGAGGCCGACGACAACAGCACGAATCATATACCGGGGATCGCCTTGACGCCGGTGGAACAGTTCGACAACAGCGTGAGCATGATGGTCGATGGAGGCGGGAATTCGGGGACCGACGACGACGGCGAAGATGCCACGACCAGTGCTGTGTTCTCGCAGCTGGTTAATCCACGGGGGAGATAGGTACATTTTGAAACACGGTGATTGATTCGAGATTTGTTGCATTGTTTAAGTGTATTTGGCTTCTGTTACATTTTTTTGTGTTTCTTCTTACTTACATGATGGAATTGGAGGTGGTATAGGTTGGTTACTTGTTAAAGGGTTTGTGACAATAGATGAGGAGGGCGGTGGTTAATTGTTCCGTGGCTATATGGTTGAAGAAAGGTGTATCATAGAGAATGATTTTGTGATTGCCGCTTAGCAGGGGAAAGTTAATCTGCTAACTTGAAGATTCGTTAGTAGATACTAACTGATATTTAAATTACATGAACTAATATCCAAGTACTAAAGTATCTAGAGAGCACAAACTAGTATTCAAAGTTTGCTAACTGATATCCACCATGAATCAACTATTATCCCAAATTCACAAACTAATATCTAGACAACACAGAATAGTATCCAAACAACACATGATTAGTATTCAGATAACACATAAAAGTATCCAGATATTCCATACGAGTATCCATATTGAATATTAGTTGGTTGATTGTGGATATTAGTTGGTATCTGCTATCTGGATACTAGTTTGTGATGTTTTGAATACTAGTCTGTGCTATCTAGATACTTAGCAGACTTTGATATTAGTTCATACATTTTGGATATTAGTTAGTATATACTAACGAATTTTCAAGTTAGCAGAATAACTAGGTTGTAGCAGCATAACAGGGTTTGGGTGGCTGTCAGCTCCATGTTACTCTTGTCTAACGACATTAGTGCCAGACATTTGAGTGCAAATAAGACAATTGTTCATACTTTCTTATCGGCTTTGATTCGAGCAAATGTCTGTACAAGAAAGTTTTTTTGGGAGACAGAAGTCACTTGGATTGGGGTTTTGGCATCAAAGTTTATGGTAGGGATGGCAAATAGTGACAAAACAAAGAGAATACACTTAATTAATTTAAAATAGTGATAATATAACGATTAATTGAGTATAAATAATTGAAAGATCAAATCTTGCTACTATTTAAAGCTTTATTGGGTGAAACTATGATTGAAATAGGAGAAATATAAATAGATATGGCAAACAACTGATTCAGGATGTGTCAATAATAAGGTGGAGCGGGACAAGGCAGATCTGAAGTAGTAACTCATGCACGGCCTCATGTTTTTGCTAGTCGGGTAATACCCACCATCGCAAGTTCAAATTTTCATCCCTAATTTAATGCCTATCTCTAAATGGACAAGTAAAATGGGAAAAAATCCAAAAATACCACTGTTTAAAAAAAAAATTCCAAAAATAACACCCAATCCCAAAAAATTCCAAAAATACCACCCTTTTTCAAAAACCGCCACCCCACCCAGCGGTTTGGTCGAAAACCGCTTGTCGGGGGCGCGGTTTTGGACCAAACCGCGGGCCTAGGGGGCGGTTATAAAAAAAAAAAAAAATTGGACCAAAACCGCTGGGTGGGGCGGCGGTTTGGCCCAAAACCGCCACCCCGACCAGCGGTTTGGTCCAAAAGTTCGGTCGAAACTTCAAACGAACGTAACTTTGCACTCGGGTATCCGATCGTAGCGATTTTTTTTTTCATTTCGCATAACTTTTCAAGATCTACAACTTTTACTAGGATGAAATTTTCAAAACAGGAACTATTTGTGGATATACGGGACCTTGAGAATAACTTTACCTTTACTTTTCAGAAATCCATGTACATTTTGAAATTATGATTATATTAAAAGTTGTAGATCTTGAAAAGTTATTCAGAATAAAAAAAAAATTCATGACATTCGGATTTTGGAGCACAAAGTTATGGCCGTCCAAAGTTTGACGAAATAAAAAAAAAGGTCGTTCGGGGTGGCAAATGACGTTTTTTCGAGACGAAGACGGAACCCGACTGTTTGAGACTTGCAAGATCTCAAAAAGTTATTCGGATTCAAAAAATGGAGGCCGCAAACTTTTTGAGATCTTGCAAGCCGCAAACCGCCGGGTCTCGCCTTTCGTCAAACTTTGGGCGGCCATAACTTTGTGCTCCAAACTCCGAATGTTATGAACTTTTTTTTGATTCCGCATAAATTTTCAAGATCTACAACTTTTAATATAATCATAATTTCAAAATGTACATGGATTTCTGAAAAGTAAAGGTAAAGTTATTCTCAAGGTCCCGTATATCCACAAATAGTTCCTGTTTTGAAAATTTCATCCTAGTAAAAGTTGTAGATCTTGAAAAGTTATGCGAAATGAAAAAAAAAATCGCTACGATCGGATACCCGAGTGCAAAGTTACGTTCGTTTGAAGTTTCGACCGAACTTTTGGACCAAACCGCTGGTCGGGGTGGCGGTTTTGGGCCAAACCGCCGCCCCACCCAGCGGTTTTGGTCCAAATTTTTTTTTTTTTTATAACCGCCCCCTAGGCCCGCGGTTTGGTCCAAAACCGCGCCCCCGACAAGCGGTTTTCGACCAAACCGCTGGGTGGGGTGGCGGTTTTTGAAAAAGGGTGGTATTTTTGGAATTTTTTGGGGTTGGGTGGTATTTTTGCAAATTTTTTTTTAAACAGTGGTACTTTTGGATTTTTTCCAGTAAAATGAGTCTCCAAAAAGAGTAAAATGACATGTTATTAAGTTAAAAGTCACATACGGTAGAAGAGCTCCTCCAACTACGAATACTGCATCTCTCGCTGGAACTCGACACCTCACAAACTGAACTTTCAGTGGATTTGACCTTTCTTGCACAAGTTTTTGGTTGCTTCTGCCATTTTCCTTTTCTTTTGTTCTTTATAACAACTCAAATTGCTCAGTGAGGCGCTGGCATGGCATGTACATGTGGTAGGTGGATTTTGATTCCCCTCTCCTCAACTCTCGCCAAGATGGAAGGAAAACAGATTAAGCAAAAAGTCATCAAGAGAGGGAGCTACGAGTGAAATGGACAGTGGTGCGTGTTGTTAAAAAAAAAAACAAACACAATAATGTCTCCAATGTAGAATTGCTTAGGAGAGTTGACAATTGGCTATTTTATAGTGGCAATGCAGCACTTTTCTGTGCAGCTATTTGTAAACCAACATATTTTAGGCGACATGTATCTTCAACGGTTTGAAAAATGTTCAATCTAAAAATAAAAATAATCTATATCACTCTTATCTATTTTTTTTTTTTTGAGAATGTCTCTATCAACGTTTATGATTGATGTACATTTCAGCACGGCCTAAAATCTTGTTGATATGGTTGAATGATGGATCTTTCAATAATAAATTATTCATGAACTTTTATTTGACAACCACACTTCTCAATTTTCCCATTGCAAACAATTTTCTTGTCCAAATTTTCAACTTGCTAGCACTATGTCTCAGATGTAAGGAAGTGGTTAAGCACCACACACGCCTGTATAAGATCCAACTTAACCTTCTTCGAACAACTCGAGTTATTGGGACCAACTGGTTTATGACATTAGACAACTCCTCATTCAACTTATGAATCATGATGGTATCTTGCCTAAAATATCATCAATATAAAGTAGAAGGATGTTGAAGTTATCATCAGAAATCTTTTGTAGTTATATATGAACATCCACAAACGAATCAAAAGTACGGCTTGAAGCAATAAAGACGGTCCTTTCCTTTAATTGTAAAGTCATGTTTCTTTCTCCTTAACTTCACTATACATTTTTAACGTGTAAATACTCTACTCAATATTTAGAGGAACTAATAGTTCTAGTATAGCTCGAATGAATCGCATCTTCATCATTGAAGAAAGCATAACATCGACATAGGAAGTTTTCCATCTTCTCTCTCCACTCTTAAGTTTGAACTTTGAACACCCATTTTTTCTCCCATGCTATTCTACCCTTAAGTGGATTCACTATCTAGAATAGTCATCATCTTGCATTTATCATAACCATTTTGTTAATGCATGAGACTAAACATTCTCTCAAACAGTCACACTCCTCCTACCTAATCATAGGCGGGTAACTAATAAGAAATAAATCTCGATTGAATTTGATAAGAATCCCCAATTATTAAGATTTAAAAATACTAAATGTAGTCTTACTTACCCTATTTGTAACCTCAGTTGCATGCAAATGGAAAAAAAAAATGGATAGGACCTACTGAACTACTCGGGCAAGTATCGAATATGGGCTTTGTAATTGCGTTTTTTTTTTGTTAATCGTCTGGGCTTGAAACTGGAATGTGGAGAGTGCTGAATATGGGCTTACATCCAGCCCAGCCTGTTAAAGAAGAAGTACTGGTTGGTTTATCTTTTCTCTCTTATCATTTACTGTTCTGCTCTTAGTGATATGATGATTGATGGACGCCCAGTTGAGAGAGTGATGCTGTTTCTGCATGCAACGTGGAGCAGAGAGCCCAAATCAATGAATTGAAGAATCCACCCAAAAGCTTGCATACATGCATTCATTTCAATGGGACGTTTACCTAATTTCTTGCCATAGAGCAATATGTCTGGTTTACTACTTTCTGCCTCTGAAGGGGGGGAGGCAACGAGATCTGGTACACATTCAATTGATATTTGGAGTAGTGATAATTGATCGAAAACATAATTCGAATTTCGATTAACCGATTTAATTGGGAAAAAATATTTTCAGATCACAATCGAATCGAACCAATTCAAATCACATGTAATTTTGATCCGACTCTGTTCCTCGAAAATGTATCTTCGTTTCTCATCTGATAACATGTTCTAATTTGATACCTTGACGTGATGCAATAATATTACGAACAGGAAAAGTCAAAAAGAGATGAGCAATTAACCATGATGTTCTTACAAATCTTGACTTATGATCATGTAAATGTTTGAAAAAAAATGATAAATATGGTAATAGTCCTAATAGTTAAAGTCCTTTTTGTTGGACTGTACACTTTGGAGCTAATAGTCCTAATAATAAAGTCTTTTTGATAGTGATATCTAAATTTGCAACATGAAAGGAAAGCCCTAAACGAATGAAGAACTCCTAAAAAATGCAAGTGCCTAACTAATTAATCCACTCTCAACCACCCAGCTTTGCTCTAAATTTACATCAAGAGGGATGTAAAGTAAAAAAACAAATGAAAACCCCAAATGCTCTGCAATATATGTATCTAAGCAAACACTTGTAATCTGGGTCAGACTAGGACCAATTCGAATCACATGCAATTCAATTGGTTTAGATTGATATTAAGATTGTTAATCGAGCACATAGCTCGATTTGTTTTGATTTCACAACTTCTTAAAAAAAAATAGAAAAAAGCATCTAAATCATAATTCGACTGAACCAATTCGAATCAAACGCTAGATCTTGATCCTCGGAAATTATCCTACGTTTCTCATATGTTCGGTTCAACATATTCTAACTCGGTTCGATTTCAAGTTAGACCAAACCACGACCTAACCCTAACATGCACTAGTGTGTACAACTTAGCTTAGAAGGTAGAAGCAAGCAGGATCACCATGTCCAATGTCTATACCTATTTGCATGAAAATTTTAATTTATGTGGCTTTGGTCTATGTCTCTTATCATTCTCCATTGATTCTCACCATGGTTGGGTAATGAAATTGGGTGGCTTCAATTAATGTTCTCAACCTAAAACGTAAGCAAAGCAATAGAGAAGACATGCAACTTGCATCAACCAACTTTACCTTAGCTTCCTCTGCTTATAAAAAAAAAACCCATCTCCCTCAAAAGAAAAGAACCACCTCGCTCTGCTTCATCTTCATCTCTCAATCAGAAGCAGCCACCCAATCCCCCCCTGTTTTCCACACCATAACTCCCCACCTCTCTCAAAACTGCCTCCTCTGTTTTCCACCCATCGCCATAACTTCCCTCCCCTGTTTTCCCACTTCCTCTCCTCGATCGGAAAAAAGAAAAAAATGTCACCGCCGGCTTCTTCCTTTCACCTAATTACCAGCGTTCTCATTCAATTCCTGCTTCTCGCTCCTCACTTCCCTCTGACATCGCCACAACTTCTCAAAGGTTGTGGCTTTTCGGCCTTGTACAATCTCGGCGATTCGTTGTCCGACACCGGAAATGCACTTGTTCACTTCGATTTCGGCGGAAACGGCAAGTATCCCTACTACGGGGTGACCGTCGGGGAGCCAAGTGATGGAAGATTCTCCGATGGCTTGCTTCTGATAGACAGAATCGGTGAGTACTACTGCAAACAACCACTAACGTACACCATTTTTAAGTTTGGTGTTGTTCCATTTTGTTTATCTTTGTTTGCTTCTTTGTCTGCGTCTACCTCCTCTGGCTTGTTTTCTGTTTCCATCAATTAGGGTTCCTTTATTCTTTACGTACCTTCTACTAAGTACTAACTCGTTATTTTTTTTATTCAATTTTTTTAACCAGCTGAGTCGGCCGGGTTACCACACTGTAACCCTTACCTTAGAAAAGTTCGGCATAAACTACACCTACTCTCAAAGCGCCCTCGACGTGCAGCTCAAATGGTTCGTCAATTTCTTAAAAAAAGCATTCCACAACGAATCAGGTGATCATATTTAGTTATTCTAAAGTTAAGAGATATGTGATCATATTTTCATTCGATTAGACTGCCCTTTTTTATGACTAATTTATGTCTCTTGAATTTTCAGCCCGCAAGGCCAACTTCGAATCGGCCCGGTTCGTTCTAGGGCGGCGGAGGGAACGATTACAGCGGGACCTCTTGTTCTCATTTGCTGTAATGATGGTTATCTTCCTTTTGTTTTTGTTTCATGAGGCGTGAAGACATTGGGCATGATTTGACTCTTTAAGTTTAGCTTATATTGGGCTTTTAAGTACTTGTTGCCATGCTGTAATGGATCGTGGTTATCTATATGTAGTTTGATTGAGTCGGAAGTGTTAGGTTATGAGTTAATTTCAAGGGCATGTGAGTTAATGGTGGTTTCTTTAAGTAACTTGTTGTCATGCTGTAATGGATCGTGGTAATCTGTATGTAGTTTGATTGAGTCGGAAGTGTTAGGTTATGAGTTAATTTCAAGGGCATGTGAGTTAATGGTGGTTTCTTTAAGTAACTTGTTGTCATGCTGTAATGGATCGTGGTAATCTGTATGTAGTGTGATTGAGTCGGAAGTGTTAGGTTATGAGTTAATTTCAAGGGCATGTGAGTTAATGGTTCTCTACTTAATGAAATTTGCAACTTGTTAAGCCCTTCATAATTTATTGCAAATGCTTCATTCTGACCATATGTATATCATAGTCATATAACAACTATTAGAAAAAAGAAAGACAAATAATGAAAGCCATTATAGCCTGTAGGTTGATATCAATAGTATGTTTTCGTAGAAAACATTTAAGATCGACATAAAAGTTTTCACAAGCTGAGCACATTACCATGATTTTCAAATCAATCTGGTGTACGCACAATAGAAGTGATATAAGCATGATGATCTATAATGATCAAAGTACATACGCATCTAAATCACGTGTTTTCTTGATCAAACTCGAAGTCAACTCGAACACGAACAAAAACATGATAATTGGGTTTGCGAAAGTGGATTGTCGTTCAATTCCACACCTGAGAAAAATTTCGAACAATATCAAGTCAAAACTCGGCTACAATCAGTTGTGATTCTTGATTGATACGAAGCACACTCTGTAATTGGAATCCACCAATTCACAAAGCACAATCCAAGAGTAAACACTCAAGAACAAAGGGGTAAAATTTTCATTAATCAAAGATGTCTTTTACAACGAAAAAGAAGGCTACTTGTAACCATAATAAACCAATTACAAGTCTAGACTAACAAGGACATGAAATCAAATAGAAACGGTAAAAGAATTCTTCCCAAACAAGGAAACTTAATTGGACTCTAAGCAACTAACTTCAAACATACAAGTATATCTATCCAGATAACCAGGCTCCATATGAATTTGAGCTTCAGGGAAATGACCTTCTAGCTTCTCGAACTCATCCAATGCCTTTACGTGGTTTAAAAAGTTTTATAGTTCATCTTCAACTCTTCTCTCGGATGTGTCCCAAACATAACGAATGAGCCTCCAAAGTAGGTACCCTGAACATAGTTTATGACTTAGCCAAATTTTTGATAGTTTCATATTCAAACATATGTCCATGCAATCTTCAACAGCTTCAATAGAGACACATAAAGTTTGATATCCTTCAGACCACCATTTGTCTATCTTCACCAAGTGTAATAATACAACTTCCAAGCGATGGATTCCCTTCATAAGCATCCATGAAGAAAATATGACCCTCCAAAGTAGGCACCATCCAGGATCACATAAAAAATCATTATATATGTATTGATATGTTTGAAAGCTAAAATTGTAAATTGTGGTATAAAAATGTCGTTTATATAGTGCTAACCTCATTGGTGTGTAGTTAGAAATTTGTCGGAGTAGGGTCCAAAAAACAAATATTTTATTTACTAGCTAGTAGTCTAGTAGTCTAGTATACAATGATATTCTATGCTATGTTTATCTTTTTTTCAAACATACGCCGTTTGCAATCGTTTAAAATCAAAGTTTAATTGCACATAAATGATAAAAATAAGTTTTAAATTTCATTAAACGCAGCATCTCAAATCGGAAAAGACTCAAAAACCAATAGTCCAACACCTATATTTGTCTTAGTATCAAATTTTTATATGGATTCATTCAAAATGAATGATTTCAAGCAAATTTTATCTAAAGGGAACCAGGATCCAAAATAAATTATTATCTAACCACTTATCAATCCTAATTTCCAAAACTTGACCCCACAATCTATAATATGGCTTCGCCAATAGCTAACGATTTAGGAGATTAGCAATTAGCACGCAATCTCGAGTTAAATGGTTGGGATACTATTAAACTTTGATAATTGGTGGAACGTATATACCACTTTAATGGTTGGGATACCGTTTTTCTTGGTGCAGCTGAGTTCCGACTGTTTGCTTATGCTCTTGTTCCGTTCTTATTTTAGGATTGTTTTGTTTGTTTTGCTTAGTGGTTCATGTCTTATGGGCCACTTAGCCTTCTTGTCTTTGTGTCACAGTTATTGCACTCTTGTTTCTGTAGCATTGAATTGGAAATGATGATTGAATGATTCAGTTTCTACCATTCAAAAGATGTTTTAAAAATTTATGGTCCTAATTAGTAAGTACTACTTATTTGGATACTTAATTAGGTATTGCATACGACTTCGCAATATACGTCATATCATAAATGACCACGTTTCTGACGGATTGAATAGGAAATGATGATAGTTTTTTCTCGCCCCTATAGTCCTCCTAAAATCAACTCTCTAATTTCTATGAAGAACAGGTGCGAGTGATAGAAGATATGTTGGTAAATATTATATACACGCACACGAGTAACAAGTTAGATTATCACACGTACACGAGTGTGTAAAAAAAAAAGTATGAACCAATTTCATTTCCACACACTATTAGCTAGCTATTTAGCTTGGTATCTGTGTTCGACTTCGATGGTAGAGGATGATAACAATGTCGATCGACCGAGAAACAATCAACTTTCAAATCAACCTTATATCACTTCTAAACAATCAAACGGTTTGAGGTCGGCATCAGTCGTCTTTTGACCAATGCCATGCATAAAAATTGAGGTTGTACTATATATAATGATAATGTCAAAGCTATAAAAAAAGGATAATATGGAATTGTTGTTGGCAATTAATAGGGCTAATACCATTGGAAATACCAACCTTTATCGAAAGTGTCATTTATATTACATAACTTTCGATATAACAATTGTATACCAACCGTTAAGTTTTCTGTTAGTGGTTAACGGAAAATAGAGTCTATGATGACATGGCAGCTGAGATGGAAAATTTTAGCAAAAAATAAATAGAAAAAATAGAAAAAGAAATCAAAAATAGAAAAAGGGAAACACCTTCCTCCTTATTCCCTATCTCTCTCGATCTCTCCACACCACCGCAGCCTCCTTTGATCTCCCCCCAAATTCTCCGCATCCTTTGCCCGCCGCCACCACATCCTCGCAGTGACTCCCACCGCCTCATCGTCCGCCACTCCCCGCCTTCCCTCAATTTCCAGTCTCTGTCATGGATCCTGGAATCTCAGTCAATCCGTAGAGCTCCACGACATTTGTTTAACGCATCTTGGCACAGATCTAGACCACCACAAGAGGAAATCCGTGGCGGTGTTCGCGCTTATTACGATTTCGCCGCTGCTCTGTTTCGCGGTGGCGATGAAGAGGAGACATAGGTGCCAGACAGAGGAAGCTCATTTCCGATTCTCGCCAGCGGTTCTGTTTCAATAGGCGGCAGAGTAATCGTTGGAAAGTACCTGGGGGAGAACGGAGTCGCCGGCGCCCTCTGATAGTGATTGATAGTATTGGGCATTTTTGGATTGAAATTGGGTTTGGGTTTTGGAAGGGGAACTAGCAATAGGAAGCGTAATATCCTTGATGCATCACTGGTTCTTCGAGTTGCAGAGATTGGAAGATCAACAATTTGGAAAATCGTTTGCTTTGTGATATTAGCTCTCTCTTTATAACTCTATATCACTATATGGTTTGGATTTCAAGATAGAAAGGCGAGGGAATTGGGGTCACTCCCTCGTTGTTGGCAGCAAATCTAGATCCAAGATGAGGTTGTTAATTAGAACGAAGATGAGGAAGACCATCTCCGACGGCAATGATGCGGTGGAGGAAGAAGACGGCGAAAGGGAGCTTGAGGATTTCTATAAAAATATCAATTATTCTATTATTAAGGAATTAATTTAGAAAGATAGAGAAAGAGTATTTAGAAAAAATTTAAAAATAAGTTAATAATATTAGTTTATTTATTTTTGAAATAAAATTAATAGTTTTAAATAGTAATTTCTTACATGGCACATATGCGGGTGACATCTAAGCGCCACATAAGCAATAGTCAAACATAAGTTGACTACCGTCAGGTCAACCGTCAATTTTAACGGTCAACAAAAATTCGCGTAACACAAATGACACAAACTCCTAATACGTTGGAATATTTTTGTGTTTATTGAAAGTACGTAATATAAATGGCACTTTCGCTAAAGTATGGTATTTCCAGTGGTATTAGCCCCAATTAATATGTTAATTTGTATCTATAATTTAGCTTAGAAGGTAGCTGGAACACGTAGATTGTTATTGATAGTGTACACTTTCGATAATTTGTATCTATAATTTGTATCCTACGTTTCTCATACGTTCAACATATTCTAACTAGGTTCGATCTCAAATTAGACCAAACCATGACCTAACCCTAACAGACACTAGCAGAGCACAACTTAGCTTAGAAGGTAGAACGCGCACAACAACAATGTGGATTGTTATTTGAAACAATGAAAACCCCACATGCTATGTGTATGTACCTATGGACTTCTATCATGTGCTACTTTCTTTTTACACATTTAGTTTGAATTAATGGTTAACACAAAGCTATGCACTACTTCTATTCTATATACCATATACCGTTCATTTCTCTACTTGCATCAAAACAGATGTAACGTTATACCCAAAACAATCGAGAAGCCAACTAGCAAATTAGGAAAAAGAGGAGTTGCTTTCATTTCAATGGGGACATTTACCTAATTTCTGTCATGAAAAGAACAGGTTATTACTTATTTACTTCCTTCTTCCTTCTACTTGGGATTGGGATAATTTAGGAGATCGATTATTTCACAAGAAGTTCACTTTGTAGTTGGCTCTGTAAATTCATTCACCATGCCCAATGTCTATACCTATTTGCATGAAAAAGTTTGATTAATGTGGTTTAGGTCTGAGACTCTGACCATTCATTCATTCTCACCAGAGTTAGGCAATGAGTTGGGTGGCTTCAGTTAATATTCTCAACCTAACACGTAACCAATAGTATAGGTCTAGTAAAGTTGACGATTGTAGTTCTATATATACCTGGTGGTGGCTATAGCTAACCGTCATCGTCCCCTGTTTTGAGCATCCAATCCCCTGTTTTCGAGCATCCAACCACCTCTCCGCAACACTAGTCCGTTTCATCTCTCTCACTCAATCAGAAGGTGCAAATCCCCTGTTTTCCCCCATTTCCTCTCCTCGATCGGAAAAATATCACCGCCGGTTTCCTTTCACCTTACCTGCTGTCTGATTCCATTCCTCCTTCTTGCAATTCACCTCCCTCTGACCTCACCACAACTTCTCAAGGGGCTGTGGGTTTCCGGGCGATATACAATTTTGGGTGATTCGTTGTCTGACGCCGGAGATGCCCTTGTTCAGTTCGATTTCGGTGGATTCGGCAAGTCACCCTGCGGGATGACCGCCGGGAAGCCAACCGGAAGATTCTCCGATGGGTTGCTTCTGATCGACAGAATCGGTGAGTACTCTCCAAACAACCACTACGTACACCATTTTAAGCTTTTATTTACGTTTTCTCAACTTTCAACCCTATTTGTTTGTGTTCCATGTTATTACCTCATAGCTTGCTTTCTGTTTCCACCCTACTCATTCAGTTAGGGTTCCTTCCTTCTTTACGTACCTACTAACTCTCCTTGTTCTTTCAAATTTTTTTTTTAACCAGCTGGGTCGGCCGGTTGGCTTCCCGACGGTCATCCCGTAGGGGTACTTGCCGTTCCCTCCAAAATCGAACTGGATAAGTGCATTTCCGGTGTCAGACAACGAATCACCGAAATTGTATATCGCCGAAAACCCACAGCCCTTGAGAAGTTGTGACGAGGTCAAAGGAAGGTGAATTGCAAGAAGGAGGAATGGAATGAGACAGCAGGTAAGGAGGAAGGAAACCGGCGGCGACATTTTCCGATCGAGGAGAGGAAATGGGGAAACAGGGGATTGGCGGGCTACTGATTGAGTGAGAGAGATGAAACGGACTAGTGCTGTAGAGAGGTGGTTTGATGCTCGAAACAGGAGATTGGATGCTCGAAACAGGGATGATTGTTAGTTGTATATATATAGAAGTATAGAATTTATACACTTGTCAACTTCACTAGAATCACCATAGAGATCACAAAGTGTTTGCTTACGTTTTAGGGTGAGAATGAAGGATTCCCATTCGCCAAAAATTGCGGTTCAGTTGTATAGTTCGGTGGATAATCTCTATGTTAGTCTTAATTATGTGTCATTAATCCTCTTTCATGTTACCAAATTTAACATAATTTTCTAGATCACAAATTATGTGATTTATCTGTCTGACATTTATTTCGTAATCGAAGTTGAAATGAAATTAATTGATCAATCAACAATTTAGAAATTGTATATGTAACACAACGACGCTATCGGCTTTACGGACACAAGGACGCTAATTACCATAAAGACGAGCATCGCTACAGCTGCTAAGGGTGACCGCTTCGTCATTTTTACACTCCGTCCTTTTGTCAAGAACTATATATTGGTTGATTTCCTTGTGTGAGAGCTAAGTATTTATAATCAAATCGTCTATCTCGACTAATGTTTTCTCTTTGAAACTTAATCAATTCATAATACAAGTTAATAGTGTTCAACTTTATATGTTAGTCTAATTAAGTTTCATTAATTCTATTTCAAGTTACCAAATGTGCCTAATAAAAACATACATACGTTGATGTTAAAGCAAGTAGTTTTTGGAATAACCCAATGAAAACAATTATGTTTTGTAAGGGAAATTTCATTAGTTCTATTTTACACATCAATATATTTCTCTTCTTCATTTACCCAACCACCGCTGTTCATCATCATCTTCAATGGAGGTTTTGTATCTGCCGATCGAATACCGGTAAGCAATCGAAGCAATTTCTGGGTTCATATATGAGAATTAGAGATTCAAAAGGGAAACTCATCGTCGAGGTGGAAGGGATAATAAGAATCATAGAGAAAATTAAGTAATTCATTTTTTTTAATATTTCGGCTAGAAAAAATAAACCTTAATAAGAAAGGGTAATTTGGTCATTTTCACATTGTTATACGGTCAATTAACATATTTTATGACAGAAGTGCATGTTTTCTTCGGTACATATTTGTTACATTTTGATAATAGAAAGCATGTTTGAAAAAGTTCAATGTGTACCTCAAAGTACCAATGCTTTAAATCATAGCATAGAACGACTCTTTGCACTGTTGTTGATATGCCGTACTTCTAGACTGGCCTCGAATCCATCCCGTTAACCAAATCTTTTTTGCTTTTGTTATATAACATAGTGAGAAATTTGTCGTTTGCCAACGTGGGGTCCGAGAGCAAAATATTTTTTTTACCCATATAAAAAATGTTCTAAAATTTATGGGGTACAAAATTCAAAACAAATAATTATATAACCACTTATCAATACAGATTTTCAAGAATTTATTTTCATGTGGTAATGTTGCTCCGCCAATGACTAATTTTTTAGAAGGTTAGCAACTAATCTCATTCCAAATATATACTTGCTGCACTACGTGCATAATTCTAAAGTTTTCAAACATCATATTTTAGAAACGTTGTTACAAGTCCAACATCGGGCATCATGGTGATAATACTGACAGCTATTCTCTTCCGTTTCTAATTTCTAGACGGTGATCCACCATGGTGCAAGGAGGATCGTTGCGATGGGGGTGTACCAAGGAGGGTGCTTGCCCGGGTTCAATAAGACGATTTTGGAACACGATCAAGGGCTGATTGTGTGCGACAAGGAACGGAATTCGTACCATGACCTACACAACAAGTTAGTGCATCAGCTGGTTCTTGAGCTTGGTAAGGGGTCCCTCACGTCCATCTCGCTTATGGCGACATATGGGACGGAATCCAGTGGATGTTTGACAATTACCGATCCCTTGGTACTTGCCTTACTCCTTTTCTTTCTACCAATCAGTTGGTATTTTGATGATTTGTGTGAGGCTTTACTAAGTTTGATAAAATTATGATTTGTGACTGACGTAGGGTTGAAGCACACAAGCTGCGCAAGATGTTGTGGAACCGTGAAGCACGTAACTTGTGGTAAACCCGATACCCTGTTCTGCAACGACCCTTACCATTACATATGGTGGTACGACTTGCATTTCATAGATCACACCTACAAGCTCATTGCGAGCAAGGTGATCCCATGCATGTATCGGGACTTGAAATGTGGGTCTCGTAACTGTACAAGCTCCTGATCCGATGGAGATCGTCTTGTTGGTGGTATCCCCAACACCTTGAGTGGTCATTTGTTGTAATGATTGTCTGTTTTTTGGTCATATTATAGTTTACATCGTTTGATTTTTGTGATATTTATTGTGTTATATAAATAAGTTATATTACTTTTTGAATAAAATATCACTTTTATCCTTTGTTTTTATTACAAATGCTTTCATTATGTAGTCGTATCATTGTTATATAACAATCAACTATTAGAAAAAGAAAGTAATATAATGAAAATCCTTGTAGGTCAATATCAATAGCATTTTTTCATAAAGCATATAAAAATTAACATAAATTTCTAGGTCACAAATTATTTGATTTTTTTGTCTGAAAGTTGTGTCATAATCAAAGTTGAAATGAAATTAATTGATCAATCAACAACGGTTATCATAATTTATATGTTATTCTAATTAAGTGTCCTTAACTCTCTTTCATGTTACCAAATGTGCCTAATAAAAACATATGTACGTTGATGTTAAAGCTAGTAATTAACATTGTTTTCTAAATCATAAACTATTTGATTTTTCTATCATAATTTTTTGTAATCGAATTAAAATAAAATTATTTGATCAATCAACAACGGGTTTCATAATTGATCATTTTTCACCTCGCTATACGACCAGTTAACAGATTTTACGACAAAAGTGAATGTCTGTTATGTTTCGATATTAAAAAAGTACGTTTGTGGAAAGGAAAAAAAAAATAGTAAAATGGTACGTTTATGCTATTAATTAACCCTTCTATTTAACACAATGAAACTTATTAATATGATTAACATATCAAAAATTGTTGTTGTACACTTGTATCTACCACATGTCCAAGTTCTCTTAAACTGCATCTATTCAGCTTTTTTATTTGGTCGGAGTTGGATATGTCAGTCAAATTGCATGTCATGAATCATGATCACCTAGGTAAACCATTTTCCTTTTTTTTTTTGGTAGAAAGTAAACCATTTTCCTTTGCATAACCACAAAATAAAACCATACATTTTTTTTAAATAGTATCAAATTTAATTACCAAATTCTCGTTCTTAATATGTAGTACAAGTACCAAGATAATCGCCGAGCACAACATTAGTGTTACATTTTTTTTATGGAAAACAAACACAACAAATTAGTTAAAAACCAGATACAAATGAGGGATCATTTTAATACGACACATAAGATCCCCCCTTCCCCTGCCTCCACAACGCTTATTGAACTTCAAATTCAAACCAGAAGCTGATGATGATCATCAATCCACAATTCACAAATCAAACCTCAATTACTTCCTGCAGACAATTCCATACCCAGCTGCAGCTCCCCTGGTGCAATCAAGGGTAGGGAAATCGACGGCGCCATTCCCCTGCTTCAAATCCTCTGCCTCGGAGAAGATGCAAGCACCACATTCCGCAGAGACAAGGCCCGAGGTTCTGTACTTGTCTTCACCTCCCATCACCGGCATCGCCACGCCGGGCCTCGCGACGTTGTTCTCGAAGTCCGGCTGGTACGTCCTGCCCAGCACTCCCTCGACACGTGGCGACAACTCGAAGAACCGGAACTGGACCTCGAGATGCGCGAAGCAGTCGTTTTCGGGGACTCGGTACTTGTGGATCCTGTCGTCTTCCTTGGTCACCGGGACGACGCTCACCAGGATCTCCGCCTTGTCCCTGATCGTCACGATGACGCTGTTCCTGGTCGAGACGCGCTCCACTCTGACGTCCCCGTCGGGGGACTGCCAGGCGGAGAGGGAGCCTTCGCTGATCGAGAGGTCTTGTCCGTTGTAGGTGAATTTCAAGTGGTCCGCCTCACCGTCCCAGACCGCGGCCCGGGTGGCCTCCAGGGTGAACCTGTGGGTTTTGGAGAGTAGGCCCAAGGACTGGATCCATGTGAAGTCGCGGGGCCGGCCCACGGGCCTGTGGCCGATGAACCGGCCGTTGATCTGGAAGCTGGGGTCGGAGACCAGGCTGAAGACCTCCCCGCTCTTTCCGTGGAAGTAGAACACCCTGCCGTCCCCGCCCACGAAGCGCGGGTCGTAGCAGGCCGATCCTGGTGCGTCGCAGTTCGGCTTGCGTTCTGTGATCGATCGAGTTAACTCGATTAGTTAATATAAGAAAGTGGTATAAGATCTATAATTAACAGTTGATTTAAGCGCAAAGTATGAGACGTACTCTTGCACTCGGACTTGCACTGTGGGTGGTCGCAATTGACATGGCAGACCTTGCCGTTGGCGTTTGGGGTGGTGGTGGAAGCGCATTCGGCGGGGCATTTGACGTAAGCGTCGGAGCATCGGGAAGCTACGGCGCACCACACGGTTTCTGCCTTGGGGTAATCGGCAGCTGAGACCATGGCCGCCGCCATCAGAATGGCGGTAACGCCAGCGATTGTGCCGAACGCCATGCTTGGTTGCTGCGAACAAGATCCGAGTTAGTGTGATTGCTGAAGACGAAGAGGAAGAAGGAGAGGATGGTGAGAGTGATTTGAGGTGTGGAATGTTTGGGAAGATGGGATGGTATTTATAGGAACAGAGGTATGTTTTAAGAACTTGTTGGAAAGATTGTTAATGTGTTTCTTTTTTGGCGGGTAATTGAAGCATTTGAACATGGGGGGCGGGCGAATTTGGAAACAGAGGGAGCGATTGATCTGCAGGAGTTCATGTTTCAGTGTATTAGTCAACGGGTGTTCAAGCCACTTTTTTGCAACAATGGTTTACTTAGCACAAAAGGGTGACAGAGAGAAAGCTTCAAGTTCTATGCTTTGCTGCCCCTGCTTTCTCTTCTTCTTTTTGGGCTATGGAATGCATAGCTGGTTTCAGAAGTGACTTACGAATTGGAAAGTTGAGGGTTTGGATGGAGTGTTCTGTTGTGCAAAACCTGACATTGTTTCCCCAAGCAAAGTGTTTGTGAGGTCAAGAAAAAAAGTTCGTTTAATTTCAAGTGTATGAGTTGAGAAAATTCTAATATAATGGTCTTGTTTAAAAGTTGTGTACATAATTTTCCAACGGCTTAAAAGTAAAGGTGGGCATTGATCGATTCAGTCAAGAATCGATCGCATCGAGATAAAGGCAGACCATGATGAAATAAAAATTGAGTATCAAACTCAGACCAAAATCATATTTGATGCATTTGGTTCGGCTCGATTCGTTCCAAATTCAATTTTGGTTCACTTTTCATTCACGCTTATGATAGTTTATAGGATGGGGGAAAAAAATTAAAATATATTCAATTCAATTTTTACTCATTTCAAATGTCTATTTGGTACAATTCAGTCTGATGTAGACTTGATCGTTGCTCAACCCTAAGTTATAAATTACTTGGGTTTTTTTTTGGTAGAAAAAATTACTTTGACAAGATGCAAAGCCCAATCAGTTTGGGCCTACAGAAGTTGTGCTTCTTCTCGAGCCCATTGCTCGTTGCCCCTTCAAAGTTCCCGCCAATAGAACAACCTCTGCTTTCTTTTCCAATATAGTTTCCCGCCAATAGACCATTATAAAAGAAACTAGCTAGAGTACTATCTTCCATTGTCTCCAAATAAACCATTGGAAGTATAGAAAGATAAAATTATTTAAAATCTACTCTTGGTCTTCTCAAAGATCTTGGCAACAACAACAACAAAAAACCCATAAATAGTACCGTTCTGTCAATTGGTTGGCTGTATTTGTCCAACATGACTAGCTAGTTCTTCAAGATAATTAAGGAGACAGACAGTTATTAAATAAGCAAGCAGCAGATCACTGTGAGCACGGCCGGATGGATGGCGATGGCCTATGGGTTGGCATTCTGCATGAAATCGGTGCAGTTTCGACATCCACAGTCGACGAATCTGCAGATGAGGCACCCGACGCAGGAACAAATTGTGCAGCCTCTGCAGTATGATGCCCTCGGACACCCTCTGTACTTCTTTCTGCTCCCCCTCTCCTCTGGATCCCCGCAAGTTATCCTGCAAATCAAATTAAACCCAAATTAATTCGTCGATTATTCGATTTATTGGAGATGTAAATAGATTAAGATCATATGCAATTGGTACCTGTCATAAGGCCTATCAGCACATTTCCAAGAAGACTTGGCGAGCAAGGCATCATGGTAGACCCTGCAGAGCTGCTTGGTCCGAAGCCGGAACCTGCGCTGCTTGCCGCAGCTGGAGCAGGGGATGAACTCGTCGCGGTGGAACTGCCGCCTCACGCACCCGCTCGCGCCGTTGGCAGCGTGCTTGTAGTACTTGTACAGCTCGGTCCTCCACATTGCCACTTTCTTTCCGTCCACCGCCACCCAGATGTGGCTCTTCCACTTGCCGTTCCCCTGCTGCCCCCTGGCGTGCTTCTCGAACTCGTACGGCGTGAATTGCTCTGCCCATTGCAAGTTAATACGCGCGACAATGCAAGAAAGTAAAGAACACACAGATTTTTTTACTACGAATTGCTGCTGCTGCAAAACGTACTGGAGCTGTCGCAGGCGTTGCAGTGGCAAGTGATGAGGAACTGGCCGGAGGAGTGGACTTTGAGGATGCCGACGCAGTCGCCGAATCGCTTGCTGGTGCAGCCGCAGTTGACTTGGATGTGGTCGGCGGCGGGGCGGCGGAAGCCGTCCATGGCTCGGAGCTGTGGCTCGAGGAAGAGGGCTTCTGAGTAGTCGACTTGGACTTCATGCATTCCTTCTTCTAGTAGTGCTGCGTTCATCTTTGAAGTGGCTTCATCGCCATCTGAAATTAATCAATCAACGATGGTTTAATTACCGTGCATTGGGGAAAAGGGTAAAGTGATTAGTGGATACATTGTGCAGATTAAGCCAATGAACGGAGAGGTTTTAGTTATGATGTTTATGCAGAGACGTTAAACCATTTCGAAACAAGTTCGAGATTGTTGATATGATTCATTGGATTGTTATAGTACCAATATATCAATTAGAAAAAAACAGAGAATTTAATTTTATCTTTACTGTACCCCATATATATTGGTGTTCCAATTAGTATCACTATGTACAAAAGATTATGAGAAGCAAATTACACCATTTTATTTGGGTTCCTCTCCACCAATGCAATACATACATTATGTTCATCAACTTAAGTGGATAATTTTAGGGTTTTTCATATCATAGCACAATTTTTTTTTTTATCATCGGTGGTTTGATTAATGTTGACCATCGTTCTCTTCTCTTTTTTAATTAAACCCTAAACACAATAACTAATTTTCATCGATATTCTCTTATGTCTACACGATTTTATCGTTTATGTAAAAATGGGTGATTTGCAAAAAGAAAATGGATTGGACTGGTTAAGTTGTTGGTTTGATTTGAAACCTAACAAGACTAGGTTTTTTCAATCGTATGAGTCGGATTTATTGTGATTCAGGTTAAATTCGAGTAATTCATCAATTTAACAGAGTGAGTTAGTCAATTGTGGGGTAGGTTTGGCTATTTATTCCAAAATCTTCTTTATTATTCTAAATGCATAAATAAGAGCATACACTATAGCTTAATGGGCTTTTCAAATATATTAATTTTCACAACATAACTATGGTGAGATTTGGAGTATATGAGACAATATGCACCGAAATACGATATTTTTGCTACAATTATTTTTAAAATTTTAAGAAAATATATTCTCTTACGAGTCTTTTTAAAACTAAAGAATAGTCAAAAATTATCTTACATAAAATAACCTGAACAAATCCATATAACAAAACTTTTTTTTTATCTCCACGATGATCATGTACCCTGAAGATGATGTTCACTTTTGACTCTCTAGAGTGTTTTTCTTTCAGAGTCGTTCTCTCCCTTATTCTTTTTCCATATATGTTGTACCCACGAAACTCATCCTCGAGTTTATCGCTTATGAGTTCGTGGTCGTTTGTGTGTCCTGCTCTTTTTAATTTCATGAAGAATATTCATCACTCTTTGAGCAAAACTAATTGAGTTCGAAAGAGACCGCAAATCAAACGATTGCCACACTAATAAAACCCAATGTACTAAGAATATGTATTATTGGGAATTCATCAAACTGTGAAGCAATAACAGAGTATATTTGATAGATTTTGCTTGAAACTTAATTCGCTAAAAAGAGAAAACTTACCTCGACCCATCGCATACCAAGAAGTTGAAAGCAAGGAACCTCTTTCTGTATTGTTTTATACGATCGTATATCTCCGACTGAACTCTCTGCAGTGTGACTTCTTGACGATGAAAAGAAATGAGAAAGACTGAAATTATTTTATCGTAAAATCCATCTTTAAATATTTTGTTTTAGTTTTCAAATGGTCTAGATTCAGTTTCCTTAATTTGCTCCATTTCCTTGCATGTTGTCCAGGTGTCTGAAATTTACTGCAGGATTTTAAAAGCAAATATTATTTTAGTGGAACATTAATTTTGTTTCCAACATATCATTTTCATTTGATTATGATAAATTTGACCCACTGTATATATTCATTCACTCTCTGAATTTACCGTAAAAGGCAATTTAAAGAGGCAATATAATTCCGTCAAAAAAAAAAAAGAGGCAATATAATTCATACTTGAAAAGGTAAAAAAAATCATGGTAACGTTGGTGTTCCCGGAGGTACAAGGCTGCTGGGGGCGAAGCCCCGTTGGCGTCAAATTAAATGCAGGTGGCCCCCAGGTTTAGTAGGACCCGCTGTCACAAAGTGGCACGTGGGGCTGAGGTTCCTGGGTATCAAAAAATAATAAAAAATAATAATAAAAAAAAATCATGGTAATACTAGGTAAGTGAAAAATAAAATTTACTATACGGTAAAAGAAAATTTGTTGAAATTAAGAAATAACGACCAGAACATTTGTACAACGCGTCTTGCCATAGTACTGTGGACAAAGACATGCAAATGGGCACTCTGATTCCCCTGCAAGTGAAATACTTTCTTTATTTTTATGATTTTTGGAAACAAAATGTACTTTTTAAAGAAATTTTTGTATAAAACTAAATTTTTTTTATCTCATAAGATCAATCTCAATATACATTGAACATGTAACTTGAGTTATTTTTATTGAGAATATTGTAAGCCTATTCACAACATACATTAGAAATATTCACAACGTTATGTGAGAATATTTACAAAGAATTTAAATGAGGATAGCCTCGATTATAGTAGATAATATATACAGGTTTCGCTGGAATTTTGGAAGAGTGAAGGATGAGGGCATTCTCTCCTTGCCCACTTTCGGCTTATCCTGCTCTCTCTGCAACAGCTTCCTTGGCCACCCAGAAAGTCACTTCCAGCACTCAACTTTCAGCTCTCCACCGTGACAGTCCTTTCGTCCAAGAGGTAACCGCAGAAATGGAACTTCCCCTTTCGTTATCTAGCCTCCTCGTCGGTCGTTCACTGTCAAATTCAGAATGTAATGGAGTTCGAACGCGTTGTTCTTAATGGTCTGGACCCAGTTGTGAATTTAGTGGCTCCGAAGCAAAAGATTGTTGCTTTGAGAGATATCTGTCTCGTCCTGGAAGCTGTAGTGTAGACCAGCTGACCAGGGATGTTTATGCGTATATGGTGTTTGTGGTTTTGTCCATGTGAATTTTAGTTTCACTAAATTTGAGGATGGTTTTGTGGTGGGTAGCTCGTTGTTTCCGGTAGAAATGGAGGAACTAAAGAGACGAATTTCCTTTAGGGAAGATTTGTTATTTAGGTTTCTGAGTTGTGCTTTGCTCAAGAGCATATATGGATTTTGTCTCAGCACCAAAAAGAAAGAACAAAAACTATACTTCCATTGTCTACTAAGTGCTTAATTGTGATGCATGGTAGCTAAATCGTTTACTGGCCTTGCGTGTTGGGAAGCAGGTTGTCCACGCAGTTGATGCACTACAGTCTGAGTTCAGAGCTGTGGATAACTTGGTGGCACGTAACTCCTTTCGTGTTCTCAAAGCTTTTCAGAATGCTCGAGTAGGATCTCATGTAAGTAACTTGAATTGAGTGCGAGTTTGATTGGTTTTTAATGCACTTTGTTGTCTTTCTCGAGACTGTCTCGAGCGGTGTACTATGTATTTTCCAGATCATCTTCTGAACTTCAGAAACTTCTCTGTCTTGTTGTCAAAAGTATAACATATGATTTCCCTAATTTTGGTGAATGCATTCTTACCTCTGGGATGACCAGTATTTGGTAAATGGGATCATATGTTTAACTATGTAGCTGTCAAGTGCCAAAGTTGTCAATCCGGTCCTTTGATTACGGAAAAAGAAATTTATGGAATAGAAAAGAAAAGAAAATAAAGTGGAAAGAAATGAACAAAGATATATGTTGCTAGGTGAAGATTAAGTAACTATTTTCACCTCAGCTATGTTTCACAGCAAGTTCCAGAAACCAATGGCAAAAGGAAAATCTTCTTCTGTTCTGGATTACTATGCAGCTGCTAATAGTAATGCTTATAATCAGCATTTTGGAGGATCAACTGGCTATGGCCATGATGAGGCTGGAGGACGAGAAGCACTGGATCAAGCTTTTGCTGAGATTGTGGGAGCTGAATTTGCAATAGTTCGGTCCCAGGTTATCTTGTCTTTCCTTCTCTTTTCAGTATTCTGCCAAATGTATCTTTCTACTGTTTTTCATTACTTTATTTCATTTTAAATATTTATTATTAATCCTCTTTCTTTCATCACTAGTTTTTCTCAGGGACCCATGCCATCACTTGTGCTTTGTTTGCATTTCTGAGGCCAGGTGATGAGGTTAGCTCTGAAGTTGAAATTTTCAGCACCTTGCTCTCTGTAGAAAAGCTTGTTTCTGTAACTTCATTATGCTGTGTGCTTAATTGAACAGCAATCTGGTTGAATTTTGTTATTTTCAGCTTTTGGCAGTTGCTGGAGCACCTTATGACACACTAGAGGAAGTCATTGGAAAGAGGGATTCTCATGGCTTGGGGTCATTGAAGGATTTTGGAGTGACATACAGAGAGCTTCCTGTATGTTTCAACTTTCCGTGGAACAAAAGTATTGAATTCAAACAAACACAAACTTAATCTCTTGCTACTGTTTCCAAGCTTGCTGAAGATGGTGGCCTTGACTGGGATGCACTTGAGAGTGCTGTGAAACCTCAAACAAAATGTGCTCTAATACAGAGATCTTGTGGCTATTCATGGCGACAAAGTTTAAGTGTGAATGATATAGGGAGGGCCATTAAGATGATCAAGGTAGGAACTTTGAAGCTTGTATCCTTACTATCAGATTTTGTTTGATGTGTTTGAAGGTTCTAAGCAAGTATGAAGTCGCCAACTATTACTTTCAGATTGCTGTTTTATGTATTGGAGTAAGGTTCCGATTCTGAACTTTTTTTTAATAGATTTTACAGTTTGTGCATGTCATTATGCTTAGTTCTGATGGTTTCCTTGTCTCAAACGATGACTTGTTGGGATGGTTGCAAGTAATTTGAGCAACAAGCTTAATTTTTTTTTTTATATGGTATACTTGCTTCATTGATTGGTAGAACCTTCCTACTTAAGCGTCACCTTATCTCTATCATTACCGACACTGAGGTGCTTTACCCTATTGCCTGGTTTACTTTGTTTTGCACTCTTCAATGTTATCTTGTTGATGCATTTGCATGCGAATTCTTGCAGATGCAGAATCCTAACTGCTTGGTCATGGTTGATAATTGCTATGGTGAATTTGTTGAAGGAATTGAACCTCCAATGGTGGTATGTACCCATTTTTCATCTGAAAAGCAAAAAGAGATATTTTCTTTACGAGCTTATTTTTCTCTGCAGGGTGCTGATTTGATGGCAGGTAGCTTGATTAAAAATCCTGGTGGGACCATAGCTCCATGTGGTGGATATGTTGCAGGGAAGCGGATGTGGGTAGAAGCAGCTGCAGCTCGCCTCTCGGCTCCGGGCCTTGGAACTGACTGTGGCTCAACACCAGGGGACATTATGCGAGCTTATTTTCAGGGCTTATACCTTTCCCCTCAAATGGTTGGTGAGGCAATAAAGGTACTCAAATTGCTCTTGCCTGTTGCTATGCCTATGCATTCTTCTGTTTGCAAGTACTGACGTGGTTTATTTTGCTCACTGTAAATAGGGAACCTTTCTGATTGCTGAAGTCATGGCATCAAAAGGATTTAAAGTGCAACCGCTACCATGTGCCAGTCGACATGATACAGTTCAAGTGAGTTCTCCAATTTGAAGTTATTGTTGTGTTGAAAACTAGTTTAGTGCCATTCCCCATAGTATGATGGATAGATGTTTTGGAGATAAATGAGTTGTCTGGCTTGGTTTTTCAGGCTGTGCAGCTGGGGAACCGTGAGCGTCTCCTTGCTTTCTGTGAGGCTGTGCAAAGAAGCTCACCGGTTGGCTCATTCACCAAACCGGTTGCTGGTTCAACGCCCGGATATGCATCAGAGGTCTGTTCATGTTATGTGTGTACTAAATCTCTTGTTGAATTGTGGTTCAGAATTAGTACCGTTGGAGTGTTGCAATTGACTACAGTATTATACTGATTGATATAGTACTGGAATTTCTGGACAGTTACGAGTCATCCCTAACATTTTTACTGGATGGTAGTAAAGGCTGTTGCAGCCAGCAAAATTGCATGTTAAGCTGCAACTAAGCATCATTTGGGTTGATGGGTTTGATAGAAGAATTCATATGTGTCTTCACGTTTTATTATGTGTTCTAACATGGTTGGAGTTCTGTTTCCTAGGTGATTTTTGCTGACGGGACTTTCATTGATGGGAGTACAAGTGAATTGTCATGCGATGGACCTCTAAGAGAACCATTTGCTGTATATTGTCAGGTCTGCACTCCATTCCGTCTGATGATGGTTGATTCAGAACAAGAAAGATCATTAAACGATTAAAAGCTTTATTCTTGTGCCACAGGGTGGTACTCACTGGACTCAATGGGGCATAGTTCTAGGTGAGGTCTTGAAGCACATTTGATCAGAAACCTGAGTTTCTAATCAATCAGTTCTTCGACAAAGCCACCAAGGGCTCGAAGTCTGAGCTTTGCATTGGAGATCAATACATTCTGCAGACTGCTGAAGAGTTTTGGGCAGCTTCTACTGCTGAGCATGCAGTCTGTAGCACCAAGTGGTTCTGATGAGGTTTAACCAAGGTTTCGGAGGTGGCAGTAGCAGAGGCAGAGATGGCGGCGCTACAAGAATTCTGGACAATCTTGCTTTGACTATTGGGATGTATTTGCGGCTGCTACTGTCTATCAAGTTTTGATGATCAATCCCGACTCTGTATATTATGTTCAGCATTCATACTGTTACACCTGTTCATCGTTCTACATGGGTTTACAATATAATCAATGCAAGTGCCATCCATTGATAATACAGCTTGTAATTATCTTATACCCATCAAACAAAGCACGATTCATTATTAGAGATTTATGAAAGCTTCAATATCCATTACATAGTTGAAAGTGAAAGAACTATGAATGACTTCTATCATGCAGCTCCTGAGTCACATACAACTTTAGACCCTTCCTGAAAACTCTTGTGTACAACGAAAACAGGTAACTTTAGGGAATGCTTGATATCTAGCGTGCTGGTTCTCCAATAAGGTTGTCAAACCGGTTTATGCCAGTGTGCCGGTTTAGCAAGTGGAATGATTCAACCGGTGGCACATATCGGTTTGTGCCGGTCCATGCCGGTCAATATTACAAATAAAATTATAAATACTCATATTGAAACATGACATTTAACGTCAATACCTAAACATTTATATTTGAATCCAACAAATAACATCAATATTTAACTTTTATACTCATAAAATAAATAATAAAATAATTTTTATCAATTAAATTCTCTAAAATAAGGTCATTTTACTTAGAGATTCGTATATCGATCATGCCGGTCATACCGGTGGTGTCACGCCGGTTTTATGACCGGTACCGATTGTACCCGGTATAACCGGTGGCACGCCGTCCGGCTGGTTCTTCATTCTCGAACCTTCTTCTGCACAAAACAAAAAAAGCAGCAGCTGTTAAGTGATCTAGCACTTGGTTCCAGTTTCAATGTTGCTTTGGTAAAAATTAAAAACACTGATCTTGATTTCGCGGTGAAGGAGTTATCTAGTTACGTAACTAGGGTACAATAAAATGGAAATCATCGTAGTGATTTTAGTTTACCTTGTCTTTCTTGTCTTCTGTGAAGCGCGTGCAGCCTCCATAGATGGCCAACCCTTGTCTCCTGTGAAGAGCTTGTAGCCTCCATAGATGGCCAACCAACAGCCAGTTAAAGAGACAATAACAAACTGCAAACTCAATAGCAACATTGCTTAGTATGCAGAACAAATGGTCATAGCAAACAAGCCTAATCACATTCAGATAGGACCAAAATTTCTGTAGTACCAAGTGTTCTGCACCAATTTAGCTGTTTACATAGAGAAAAATCAAAGTATACTACAGCTCCTGCCACTCATCCTGAATCTTCTGCATTTCAGCAGACAGAAAATAAATAAAAAAACCATGGATATCTGTCGAAAATTATGTGTTGGAACATATTAGCCGCATGATTCAATTTGGAATCAAGATGGCCTTGCCAGTTTCGCCACCATTCCATATGCTGCTATTCAACCGACAATGCCGAAATCCAAAACCAGTCTTTTCACTAACGAATGAGCGGAACAGAAGCCAATTACAACACAAAACAAAACCAAACCTATGGTCACAATCTAGTAGATTCAGCAACTAGAAATGCAAACAAGAAAGAAACTCACATGCTCTTCTTTCCACTCAGATGGGCTCAAAGGGTCCTGCCAGAAGTTCACTTTTGGTGGTCCATGAGGATCTGCAGTATTTTTGTTTTTCCATAAGAAACAAACAAAAACTACTTAAATGAATCAACAAACTAAAACCCATATAGCAGAGCACTAAAAAGAGACGATCTTTAAATTCCAAAGTCGAAGACGGCTAACATTCAACATACACTATCGGCCTTGAAACGAGAACCCAAAATATGTATATTCGACTACAGTTTCAACCCCCCGGATATTAAACGAATTAAATACAGAGGAAAATAATGTAACTCGTGAGGTTTTTCTCAGACAATCAAAGATGTAAACAAGAGAAGGCGAATAGTAGAAGAAAGGAAAGAATCGTCTATTACCACCGCCTCCGGCCATGCCACGGCGCTGGATGAGGGAAGACGCTTGAGGAGCCGGTGAAGGCAGTTTAGAAACGGTGGCAAGCCGACTGAAATTAGCCGCTTTCCGGGCTGCCGTCGCTGCCGTCCATCCCGCCATGATCGCAGAAACTACTGGCGAAGCGCAAAAGCGGTGGAGACAGGAGTGACGATACAGAATACAGAGTACTGCAGGGGAAGGAGTTTATAGAGCTAAAACGCTGCGTTTTGGTAGAAAGATCGTATCGGCCGGGGCTTACGGGTAAACTCGGGTTGGGCCGCTGGACTCGCAGACGAGCTAATACTGCCATGTTGGGCCAGATTGGGCAAATAAGCCTAAAACCAAACCTAACTTGGCAACCAAGCTTTTTCAATTTTCGCCTGATAGACGAACAGCAGTGAGCTAGCACACTGGATTTCTGCTTCCGCAGAGTTCCACAATGGCTAGGATTTCTGCTTCCGTACTTCCGCCTCGTCAAATCGGTGATTTTTTGAGGAGTTTACTTCCAATGTGGACTCAGTTTGAGTTCTTAAGTTGGCTCGTAGTATGGCTAGCGAGCCAGCTCGACTGCAGGCTTATGATAAAATCAATTTATATCTTATGAGATGGCTTCTTGATAATTCCTAGTTTTGTTAGATTATGTATCACATTGTTTGTGATGTTTAATGCGATGAGTATGTGAACAAATATGTCTCATTTATAATTCAAAAGTGAAATTATGTATGATAGATTGCTAGCTACTAATTACTATGAAATAACATTATAGGAAGGGTAAAATTGTCAAGTTCGCTCGCGCTCTGATTGATGATCTTATTAATGAGTCAAGCTCAAATTGAAATAGATTCAAACACGAGCCGAGGATTAAGTAAAGAAGTCGAGCTCAACCTCAACTTATTTTTTAACAAGCTGAGCTCAAATTAGGTCAAAACTCGGCTCGACTCACTAAGAAACAAATGCTTGGAATTAATTGTAGGTGTTGCTTTAGTTGACGTCACTCCCTTGAGTTTGGGATGTAATCTAGTCGGAGGTGTGATGTCTGTGGTTATCCCAAGAAACACTGCTATTCCTGCAAAAATGTCAAAGGATTTCACCACTAAAGATGACCGGCAAACTACTGCAGATATTAAGGTCGGTTGGTTCATTAATTTACAATTAAAAGTTAACAAAACAGCAGATGTTCATTAATAAATCAATAGTTGCCCATTAATATGAAGTGGGAATATAATTAATTTTGTTTCAGGTGTATCAAGGTGAAAGACCCCTGACCAAGGACGGTATCGAGCTCGGAGGATTTGTTATGTCGGGCATCACTCCTGCTTTAAGGTACTTTACAGAGTTACCGACTCTTTTTCGACGATTGTTGGCTCTAAATTTCGAACGAAACAACTAGTATATCGCTCTTGAAATCGAGCCAGCTAAACCATTCAACGTTCTTATGACAAACTAAAAGGATGGATTGATTAAATTTTTCAGGGGAGTTGCCAAAGGTAGATATCACGTTCGAGATCGACGAGGATGGAATACTGAAGGTGACGGCCAGGGAGAAACTCCCCACAGCAGAATCTCAGTCCCTCACCATCACCGACTACAAAGGAAATCTGACGCAACAAGAGTCAAGAGATTGAGAGGATGGTCGAGGAAGCGAAGAAGATGGTCGAGGAAGACAAGATGGCCAAGGCCCGCGTGAATGCCAGGAACGAGCTGGAGCGTTACATCTATGGCATCAGGAATGCCATCTGCAGAATCGCCGATGAAGGCAGCATGGAAATGGTGGAGAGTGCCGTGGGAGAAGCTTCTCGCTGGTACGGTGAGAATCAAGGCGCGAGCAAGGTGGATCATGAGAAGATGCTGAAGAAACTGGAAGATGTTTGGAATCCTATTGTTAACAGACTTTACCACGGAGCATAGACGAGCTGCGATTTAGCACCCTAGTTTGGTAGGCATGGCTTTGGTTCAGATCAGAACGAATATAATTCAGCTTGTTTCTATTTCATAATAACTTCCTACCATAAATGTCATTTCACAAACTTAGGATGTTGGAAATGGAAGAATTCCAGCAGATCACATTTCATCAGTTACAGGAAGTGTGTATTTGGTAACAACTAACAACGACGTATAGCTCTACAAGCTTTATGTAATATAAACTCCAGTAGATCACATTTCATCACTTACAGGCAGTCTGTACTTGATAACAACGACGTATTGCTCTACAAGCTTAGTGTATATTACATGACGGTTCGATGTTCTTAACGTTTATGGCATTGGCACAGGAAGAACAATGCTCAGAGACGGGAACGGATGAAGATCATTTTCTTCCCGGTGTGCACAGCAGCTGAATTTTTCACAGGGTACTTATCATCCGGTGCCTTCTTCACAACTCCCGACTCTATGCTTATTGCTGATGATGTCTCGCCTGATTGTCTCACCACCCCTTCCTCGCTCTTCTGCTCCGCTGCTTCCATTTTCCTCTGCTTCTCTTCCAGCATTGCTGTGACATCTTTGAGCTTGGTTTGTTGCTTTAGGGAAGGTGAGGCTGGGGAATGATCATCCCTCAATATCTCTTGCACAATCTCATATGCTCTCCTAAGACCTAAAACAAAACAAGAGAAGGCAGTATTTTGGAACAGAAATGAGTAGTTCTGGACGAAATTCGGAAACTAAGATGGATCACAGAATATCGCATTCTGTATGACTAAGAGATCATGGTTTACTAAGACCGATGAAGTATAGCTAGACCGGCGAAAAAATACCCAAGAAAAGCATACAGATACCTGACAAAGAGACAAGCAAAAATGCTCGGTATCTCAATCCCTAAAATTATGAGCATCCATCAAACAGAAAGAAACCTGTTTCTGGGGTAACTTAAACAGGAATATCGGTATCACCTAAGCAAGGGAGTTATGTGATGAGTGTGGTACCATTTACCCCAACCTACAAACTTCTCAGCATTAGCTCGTCGATTGGATATCCATAACCTTATGCCTAAAGATCAATACTCTTCTTTATAGGAGGATCATTGATAGGGACGAGCGGTGCCGGTGATTGCAACAAACATTCATATATCCAGACAATATAACTTCTGCAACAACAGGGTGAAGCAACAAGAGCAGCAATTCCACTTGCTCTGGTGAAGGGTTTAATACCAGCTTGTTATGCACACCGTTCATCATCAGAACAACTTCCAAACACCAGTCAATGCCGATAAGGCAGGGTTTAGTCGCCCCAAAAGCTGCATGTAGCAGCAGAGACAAGAACGGTTGCTTTGATCCCCAACCGGTTGTAAAGGGGAGTAGCTAAAAATTCCATACAGACAGAGCTACTGACAGAATCCATCATCATCCACCATTAACCAGTATGTGTGCTGTGTACATATGAGCAACACAAGACCAGTGGAGACAAAGAGCTAACCCTAACCTCACATAATTAACCGCACGGATGTTGGTAGTCATGAAAATCACATCACATACAAGAAAGATCAGAACTAAGGGCACAGAATCGAGCAACATGGCATGCGATTATGGTTGACTGCCAAGATAATTAAAAAAAAAAATTATCTTGACACGAACTGAAAAAGAAAACCTACCGGTGGATGCCTTCGGAGCGGCGGCGGCGGCGGAGTCGAGGCCGTACTTGGTCAGGCTGGTTACGAATCTTCCGATTCTACTCCGACGGCCGGGAAGATTTCCCGCCGCTTTAGTGGCCTCGCTCATGTGTCAAGGGCGAAGGCGGAGCGCACCTTTTCCGATTATGTTTTACGAAAGACGATCTTGATTCCAATTGAATTGTTTAATACTTATCCGCGGGAAATGGCACAGGCAGTCGGCAGATTGAAAGGGGTAAAAAATGGAAATAAATCGCTGAGAAATACAATAAATTTCAGAACCACTCAGAACCCTTACCCGCGGTTCGCTCATCCGACACAGCCGGTTTTCAGCATTTAGAACCAAGGGTGGGTGAGATGCACATAGAGCTAGGGTGTTCAAATGATTACCGTGGTAATTACTAAATCAAATAAAGCTAAATTTCATTAATTATGGAATACAATATCATAACCAAACCGTCCAAACTAATACAACAATCAAATTAACCAAACTAAAGTTAAATTGGTTTGGTTAATTGGTTAACCAGATTAACCATATAAAATCACATTATCTTTAAGTGAGAAAATTTCGGTTTAATTTATCAATTCGTAATTTATATAATGAATAAAACATAACAATCAACACATAGTTACAGTTGACCATTAACATAGATAAATGCAACTAAGACAATTATCTTACGGTTAGTATAGAAGTATCCACCTAACAAAAATTTATCACAATGGTATGGGGTTAATGAATTGTTGTGTTTGTTTGAATTGACTTAGTCTCGTAGCAATTTTTATAGGCTGAAAAGGACTTTGCTTTCAAGTTTTCATCCAACATAATGTATGAGATTTATCTAAATTAGGCGTTCATAGGTCTACACTCTACACTCTACATTTGCAAATATACATTATAAGAACAATATCAAGCTTTATATGTTATGAGTGTAAGAGTGATGAACTAGCTTTCGTGTCCTAGCGCCCAGCACGCTATTCGCATCAAAAGCTTCAACCAGTGCAATTTTAAAAACTTCACCATATTCATTTCGGTTTGGTCAGAGAAGGGACAGGAGGTTAAGTTCGACGATTCTCAGTGGATTATGGTTTTCGGGATCCCGCTACATTTGAAGAGTGTCGATCTCATTACTATGATCGGGAGTTTTTGTGGTTCGTTGGAGGAGGTGGACTGGAATCATTGGTCCGCCGATTTCGTCAGAATTAGGGTGAGGTTGTACGGCAAGCTACCGTCGACCATTCCAGTCCAGTTCGGCGGGGAGAGGTTTCCGATTCGACTTTTTTCGGCGCCCACTCCGGAAGCTTCCTCGGGCAAGGAGCTGAACCGTCCTGCTTCGTATGTTGCTCCCATGCAACCAATGCACCGTCAGCTTTTGAAGCGCCCGAGGGCGAATCAAGTGGGGGACAGCCCGAGGAGAGCCGATTCGATTACGGCGGCGGGGCCAGGTTATTCGCAGCCTGCCACGAGCGACAACAGTCTCGCTGGCATGGGCCGGCCCGTGAAGAGGATCTGGGTAAGGAAATTCGGCCCAGTCAATCGCCCGTCCCTGGGCCTTTCGCGGCCCGCAGATCGCGAGGAGGCCGAGTGGGCCTTGTCCATGCTTGGGCCCACGCCTCGAGCACCGATGGTTAGTGTGGATGCGATCAAGATTCCGTACCTGTTGTTTTCCTACTTAACGCCCAATCTTAACCCTGCCCAAAATGAGTTGGGCTGGCTATGCTCGGTCCACATTTCAGGGGGAAGGTCTACCAATTTCCTATCCACCATCTGCAACCTAACCTTACCTTTCTGTTCCATTTCCTTCGCACCCAGTTCAGCAAATTCCCTCTCCGGTGACCCCTCCGACCCTTTTCCCTCCGCCCTCACCTCTCTCCCCCCCCCCCCCCCCTTCCTCACCTCTCCCCCCTCCTCCCCCCTCAGCCTGATCCCCACCCAAACCCAACTGTTAGACAGTCCGCCTGCATCCCCTGGCTTGCTGTCCCTGACTTGTTCCAGCGTAGAGGATCTCCCTTCTCCCTCTTGTGTTCCGGACAGTCAGGTTAGGGAGAGAAGTCAAGAAGAGTTCCCTTTCGACGCCGCCACTCTCGTGGCCACCAGCATTGATTTGAGCAGATTATTCAGTATTGAGCTGGAGCCTGGAGTCGGGAATGTGGAAAAGATAATTGAAACTAATGCGACGGAGATGCACCAGAGAAAGGTCCGACATCCTAGATCCAAGCTTGAGATGGAACGGCACAGATTAGGCCCGATTGATCCGCCGGTTCCAGGCGCTCGAAGGAGCCGAAGAAGGGATGGGGAGGGATTTGTCGAATCAATCTAATGGAGTGCTCTATAATAGTGTGGAATGTGAGGGGTGCGGGCGATTATGCGAAGAGAGCCAGGATCAAGCGGTGTCTGGGATTGAGGAAGCCGAAGGTAGTTGGTCTCGTTGAGACTAAGTGGAACGCGTGCAATGGTGAGCTTATTTCGAGTATCAGCGGGAACAGGGACAGCGGTTGGGTTGCTAAAAATGCAGAAAATAGTGCCGGTGGGATTGCAATTTTCTGGGACAAGGAGATTGTGAGATCTGTGTCTTGCAGGGAGGGGCGATACCATCTGTCTGTTGACTTTCAGGAGGTGAATTCCCTAAAATCTTGGACTTTATCGGTTGTGTATGGGCCGCAGGAGAGGGAAGCTAAAATGGACTTTATCAGCGACTTATATTCCCTGTGCTCGAACGTCGTCAGACCTCTCTGTATCGCTGGAGACTTCAACCTGGTGAGAAGCCACGAGGATTACAGGGGTGGAAGGCGTTGTACGCTGCTCATGGACCAATTCAATGACGCGATCGACAGCAACCAGTTGCTGGAGTTACCCCTTGGAGGTTGCAACTTCACATGGGGCAGAGGGGATGGATCGGGGTCCCTCTCGCGCATCGATAGGGTGTTTATTAATGCGGCATTTGATATTTTGTACCCTGACTGCATGCTGACTGCTTTGGAGAGGGTTGAGTCGGATCACAATCCATTGTTGATCAAATGGGGAGTTTCTCTTAGAATTCGAAGGCCTTGGAGGTTCCTGAACATGTGGCTGGAGGACCAGAGATTCTATGAGGGCCTTGAAGAGTGGATGAAGAACAATGTGAGTGGGCAGGGTAAAGCTTTCCGGTGGGTCAAGAGGTTGCAAAATCTGAAATTGAACATCAAAGCATGGAATAAAGAGGTCTTCGGCAACGTCAATTCGAAGGTAGAGGAGGCGTTGGGTCACATCAAAGGGCTGGACACGTTAGAGGAATCTCGCAGTTTATCTGACACGGAACAAGAAACAAGGCAGAATCTGAGATCAGAATTAAGCAGACTTCTTTTTCTCCAAGAGATCCATTGGAGACAGCTTTCTAAAGAATTGTGGCTGAAGGGAGGAGACAGCAATACGGGTTTCTTCCATCGGGTTGCAAATTATAAAAGAAAGCTCAACCTGATCGATTGCATCAACATCAACGGAGTAAGGCATGAAGGGAGGGATCTTCTTGGCAGAGGCATTGTGGGATACTACCAGAACTTGTTCAAAGACCCCATTCCGAGACGTCCTTTCCCGAGGTCGCATACTGATAGGAGAATTGATGCAGCCGATGTTGATTCCCTGACCTGTTCCTTCTCTGAGCAGGAGGTTTGGGCCAGCCTTGCGGACTGTGATGGGGGTAAAGCTCCCGGGCCGGATGGGTTTTCATGGGAGTTTTATAAAAAGGCTTGGATTCTCATTCGGGAGGAATTTATGAACGCAATATCTGAATTTTATAGTACGGGTGCCCTCCCTGAGTGTGCCTCGCACTCTTTTTTATGTCTCCTCCCGAAACGCGATGCTGTGGAGGACATCAAGGATCTCCGTCCTATTAGCTTGATGGGCAGTCTGAACAAAATCATTAGCAAGGTGCTTGCCCGTCGCCTCAGCAAGGTTCTTCCCAAGATCGTGTCCCAGAATCAACATGCCTCGGTTAGAGGAAGGCAGATTTCAGAGGCTGGTCTTATCGCTTTTGAATTGTTGGATAGTCGCAGAAAGAGTCGCCAACCGGGACTTATGTTCAAGCTTGATATTGAGAAGGCGTTCGACAACGTGAGTTGGGACTGTCTGTTTAAGACTTTGTCCTCCCTCGGGTTTCCGGCGCAGTGGAATAAATGGATCAAAGGTACTATGTGTTCCCCGGTTATCTCTACTCTGATTAATGGAGAATCGAAGGGGTATTTCAAAACGCAGAAGGGGTTGCGTGAGGGCGATTCGCTCTCGCCCGGTTTGTTCACTCTTATTATGGATATCCTTTCTTTCATGTTGAGCAAACTGCAGGTGGAGGGTAAGATTAGGGGTTTCTGCATGGATGAAGTGAATGGTAATGGTGAGGTCACTCATCTTCTGTTTGCCGACGACACATTGATCTTCTGTGACGCTGCCTATGACCAAGTTCTGAATATTCTCGCAGCTTTGGTGTGCTTTCAGAGTGTTACGGGTTTGAGGATCAATCTCGAGAAATCGGTCATGATTACTGTCGGGGATGTTGCGATTCCGGAGTATTTTGCTGGCATTTTTGGGTGCAATTGGAGCGACGAGCCATCGAAGTACCTCGGTTTCCCTCTAGGCGCCAAGGTTAACGCCATATCCACTTGGGACCCAATTATCAGGAAGTTTGAGCAGAGGTTAGATGGGTGGAAGAGCAGATTTTTGTCTTTCGGTGGCCGCTTGGTGCTCACCCATAGCACCCTTTCCGGGCAGCCGGTGTACTTCTTCTCCCTTCTTCGTGCCCCTGTCAGTGTGCTGAACAGGATTGAGGCTATCCAGAGACGTTTCTTGTGGAGTGGCTCGGGGGATAATCATAAGACTCCGCTCGTCAAGTGGGAGATATGTAAAGCAAGAAAAGAGAACGGGGGCCTGGGTGTTAGAGACATGGCTTGTTGCAACAAAGCCTTGCTGTCTAAATGGCTTTGGAAATATGCTTTGGAGAGGGGGAGTTGGTGGAGACAACTCATTGAAATCAAACACAAGGCCAGCAACTCTCAGTGGCAAAGCAAGCAGTGCAGGAAGGGGTTTGGAAGCTCAGTGTGGGCTAACATTTCCAGAGAATATGGTGAGTTTTGGAAAGTTGCTGCAATTGATCCGGGGGGTGGTGCTGGAGTTTCCTTTTGGAACGACTGCTGGGTACCTCAGACGACTCTTGCGCATTCCTTCCCGAGAGTTGCCGCCGCCGCTGCTTCGCCTGAGGCCTGCCTATCTGACGTCATGATCCGAACAGGTGAGGGTTCCAATTGGAATATTGCTTGGGATATTGATTTTTCTTTAAATTTGAGGGGAGGGGCTGAGAGGGAAAGAGAGAGTTTCTTTAATTTTCTGAATTCTATTGATAAGTACAGGGTTACGTGTGGCCCAAGCAGATTGGTGTGGTGTTCTGACCCCGATTCGAGTTTTTCAGTGCGTTCCATGTACAGGATTCTGACGGATGGGCGGTTCCCAGGGGTGCCCAATTTCCCTTGCAAATCCGTTTGGAGAAAGTGCGTCCCTTCAAAGATCAACGCTTTCATGTGGCTGGTCGCGCATAAGCGGATTTTGACGCTGGACAATATCCAAAAGAGGGGCTGCCACATTGCTAACCGATGTTGTATGTGTTGTAGGGAAGAAGAGTCGGTTGATCATTTATTCTCACGTTGTGAGTTCGGGTTGGAAGTTTGGAATGAAGTTCGGAGAAAGTGCGGGGGCTCTGCTGCCCACAAAGAGCGAATCCTTGATACCATCCAAAGTTGGAAGACCGACACCCCGGATAACCCGAAGGACTGGGTCGAGTTCTGCATTCTACACGCTGTGAGTTGGCAAATATGGCTCGAGAGGAACAAGCGCGTGTTCCATGATGCTAGCAGAACCGCCAAGGAGGTCTCTTGGATTGCAATTAGGTCCACGGTGGACTGGTTAGTGACTAAAGGCAAGATCAGCAGGATCCAGGCGGCGGAGTGGCCTCGCTTTTCTAGGCCTTATTGACCCTGGGGTGGTTGTTGTGTGCCTTGTGACGTGCTGCTGTCTGCAGGGGAGGATTGCTTGCTGTCCTTCTAGTTGCTGGGTGGGAGTTTGCTTCTGGTGGGCGAGTTTCTGGTGTGCTGTCCTTTTAGTTGCTTCTGGTGGGAGGATTACTTGCTGTCCTTTGTTGCGGATGGGTTGTTGTTCGCGCCTTGGCTTCTGCTTCCCCCTCGTTTTGTGCGGGTCCTGGTCTGATGGGGGTGTTGCGGGTTAGGTTCTGACCGATTGTTTGGCCGTAGTTCGGGAGGCCCAGTGGTTTTCTTGTTCTGCTGTTCTTTGGATCTTTCTTTGTTTCCTTTGCGTTCGTTTTTTGGTTTGCTGCACCTCTGGTGCCGCTCCCTTTCTTTTTTCTTTTTTATTTTTCCTTTCACTTTTGTATTTCGGACTCCCTTTTGCTTTACCATTTATGCAATTTTCACCCTTATCAAAAAAAAAAAAAAAAGTGATGAACTTTTAACTCTTCAGTGGTTATTGAAAGTATTAAATATGTGTATATATTAGATATATGGCTAATTATTTATCTGGTTAATTTGATTTGGCTGATTAGGAGTGTCTAAATCCAAACCAAACCACCTAAACCAAACAAGCTAAAAAATTTAACCAAACCAATTATCCAAATAGTACCGGTTAAAACGGTTACCATGGTAACCACACCGTTTGAACACCACTTGATGCACGGGTAATTATTATAAACGGTCACATGTCACTTAGTACAAAACATTCACTAAAATTTAATTTTCCACGTTTCAGTAAAACACATTTGGACGAATAACAAAATGATCATTTCATCTATTTTCATTCAAAAATTCGTTAACCGAATACAATCAGCACGCCACGTAAAAAAAAAAAAAAAAATTTAGTTTATAGATTGAATTGAGTTCGTAGATTAGAAATAATACAACATTGTATCATCATATGCTTAAAAGTTCATACCAATGTGATATAACGCTGGTGCCAACGATGGTGAGATAAACATTCGCTTAAACCTATCCCCCCACTGTAATCATCTACCAGCAATAGTTGTTGAAACTGCAGGGCTGCAATTACCCTCATTTCATTTTTGTCAGTGCATGAGATCCCTTATGCAAAGTATCCTCTTGATGCGACCAAAACAACGGGGATGTCCCATTAGTTTATATCTTAGATCAACCTTACAAATTATACAGAAGCATGGAACAAAGGAACCGTATGCACAGCTGCATAGAAACAATTGGTAACAGCATCATACAACGCATATGAACCTGTCATTGCAGATTGAACTCAAGATGGTTAATAATGGATCACATCACAGACAGCCAATGTTGGAGCCATCCAAGATTCAAGAACAGTAGAAAACTTGAAGCTCGGTTCAGTAATATATACACACATAAAGAACATAGAAAAATCTCAGCATCAATAGCATCGACTGGAATAGAGGGATGGGAATGGAACTGAACAACTATCAACTAGGACATTCATAGCTCCACATGTATACTGGTTTGCTCGACTATATCGAGATGACTATATTCACGTCGAATGTGACCACCGAGCTTTCTGCAATTATTCGCACATTAACTAGCTACCCAATTACTAGTTCAGCAAGATAGGAAAAGACACCACTTCACTCGGAAAACTTAGAAGCTGACCCTCGTTCGAGTTCTCATAATTCACATAAACTACATCACACCATGATTAAAACTCTGCTGGAACACACAAGTTCAGAACATAAGTTACCCATTTCCAATCATGAAGAAAGGAGTCTAGATTTTACAGACGCAGGCCAGCAAAGAGCAGTTCCAGTTCCTCATCCTGTGAGATAGTCCTCTGAAACCATGGGAAGAACGAAGCAAGATGATCAATTATTATACATATATCCCCAATAAGAGATGCCCTGTTCAATAGAGGCAAGCACATATTTCCCCAAAAAGGAAGATGGTTACTGCAACGTTCTGAAAACCGTACCTGTGCAGATAGAAGCTGCAAAATCTTGTTGAGCACTCGCAAACGATGGGTGGCGTAACTGCTGTTAGCAGGAAGTTTATACATCCTCTTCACCTCTTCGTGAACCACCGCCTTCTTCTCCTCATTCCCCATCGTCTGCCATCTCGCCGGCGTCTGAGCAGACAGAGGAGCGGCCTCGGCGGCGGCAGAGGGGAATACGCCATCCATAACTGCGGCAACAGCACTGCTGCGTTCGAGAATCACGAAGCGAGAATCACTGCGTTAATTGAAGGGGAACGAAAACCCTAGGCAGAAGATGATGAATTCGTCATTAAGCGCGTTGGCTTCTGTTACCCGCGGTAATTTCTACGCGGCTAATCAAAGCTTTAGAATCGTGAGGAAAGAGAGAGGGGAGAAAGAAACTTACAATCGGAGATAGAGGAAAGAGCAGATTCAGAATCCAGAAGAGTGACAGCTTCGAGCTCGCCGGAGCAGTCAGGTTGCCGGCGCTACTATAAGCAGACCGGAGACCTAGATCGTACTTCCGAGTTCCGACCTTCCGCGCAGTCTTATTTTCAAGGATTAATGGCGGTCTCTCCCGCCTTCTGCACGTACGAAATAGAAAGCACGTGCGAAACCTGAGGGCTTAAACGTAAGGACGAAAGAGAATGACCAATTGATCGCTACGTATATAAAGGCCAACCGAAAAAATTAAATCAGAAAATTGAAAGAAACGAATATTAATAATATTATTTTATTATCATTTAAAAAAACCAGAGAAAAAGGGGAAAAAGAAAAACAGGTCAAGAAGAGGAGACCGGGGAGGAACGGAGGAGGAAGGCGCTCTGTTGTTTGCGATCTATCTTCTCTCTTTCCGTTTCTCTCTTCGAAAGGACTTCGCCGGTTAACCGGCAAGTACAGCTCATCGGAAGAGAGTCGAAGGAGAGGGGAATTCCGACGATAGAGTCAGACCAGCTCCTGGTGAAGGCGGCGCGGAGCGGAAGTTGGACCCGTGAAAGAAACGACCGAATTGGCCTCTCCGGCTTGCTATCCTCTCTAATCTCCCGATCGATTTGCCGATTGTGTTTGTTCGATTCGTCTGTTTGTTTATCTGCCGCCATGAACGGGAAGGCGAATGTTTCTAAAGAGCTCAATGCCAGGCACAAAAAGGTTCTTTATCCCTTATCTCGTTACATTTCCTGTACATTTCATTGTTCGTACCGTTGCTGAAAGGATCTTATTCCTTGCTCTGTGGATCCGTATCGAAGTTTCTAATTGATCTGAGCTTAGATGTCCGGTTTAGAACATGGCTCGCGGATTTGTGATTGATTTTTGATTTGATCTGGGCGTTTGCGGTTGGATTCCTGCTGTTTTCACTTGATTGTTCTTGATTGATTTGATTTCACCTGGATTGGTTAGCCGGTTGATTTATGTAATTCTACCTTTCATTTGAATCGGGTGTTGAAGAATTCATCCTCTGGTTTATTGGCTAATCTGTTGGAAATGAGCATATGACTAGATAGGTGCTTGCACCAAGGATATTAGTTCTCGAGGAATTCTCTCGAAGTTGGTGGATGTAGATTCAGCTTGTAATACTGGGCTTATAATTCTGTAGCTACCAAACCGTGGTTGATATTCTATCTAATAATCTGGAGGACTCATATTATCATTTACGAAGCTAATTTAGAAAGCTGGGACAATTCTTCTGTAGGTTTTGGGTTTAAGTAACGTGTAATACTTCTGGAATATTTGTTTAGAGTTACATTAGTTGCTCAATCCTATGCTTTGATCCACATTGCCTATGGACCGACCATTGCAAATTCGTAGTCTGGGAATTTTCCTGCCTGTTTGTTGTTAACCGGTTTCTGGTTGGATAAATACGTTAATCCCCGATTCAGCAGCTTCAAAGCTGTTTGGTAGTGCAGATTGGCAGAAATCTTACTGTTTGCCTGTTGCATTCTTTCTATGCAGCCTAAATCTGGTGAATTTAACTTGTGATTTTTTTTTTGTGGTTACCCGCCTGTGAACATCAAGTCCTGCATACAATCCACCTTCTAGTACTTTATCATGTTATTGGTGTATGGTACTTGTCAATTGTAGTTTTGTGTGTAAATTCTTGCTATTTGCCTGTGTCCAGAAGTTTTGTTTTCCTTTTTTATATTGATTGTTAATAAGTTCAGCAACTGAAGAACTAGTATTTTATGTTCTATATGATTAAAGCTAAAGTTGTATCTATGCATGCAGATCTTGGAAGGCCTGATGAAATTGCCCGAGAATAGGGAATGCGCAGACTGCAAGGCAAAGTATGCATACAGGATTTCTGTAAAAATTATTATAGTCAATTTACTTCCCCTTTCTGTTCTTAGGAAAAGTGTTTGGGTGCAGGGGTCCAAGATGGGCAAGTGTGAATTTGGGTATCTTTATATGCATGCAGTGTTCTGGGATCCACAGAAGTCTTGGAGTGCACATATCAAAGGTGATATTGAGATCTTTCATGCATCGTTGATTATGAATGGCCTTCCTGAGGCATTATGAGTAGTGGACTACTTTTGAACTTTAGGCTACCATTGTTCTGTGTCTTGAGGGATTAAACAAGTGCGAACTTTATGGATCTTTGCTGATGGGATTTAAACTTATACTAAACAATGATATATGTAAGATTGATTAGAACTGCTAGAATGTGCTGTTGGTTTAATCTCCTTATTTCGTTGAAACTCTATTTCTGCATAGTGCAAGTGTTGGTAATTGCATTGCAGTTTGGTGCCTTGTTTTGCAAATCCTGTTCTGGCCATAAAAAATCTACAACTGAATTGATGCGTCCTCCGTGTATTACTAGAATTTGGTTGTCCACCTTTAACGTATTACCATGTTAGTAAAATTTTCCTCCACCTTATCTTATTACTGTTCCAGATTCACAAAAGGGATAAAGCTGCAGGCCAATGTGTATCTATAGCTTCCTGTGATTGAATTATGTGAAATGTCTCCGTATGTTATACAATTTTGAGAGTTCAATATAATAGCCTAGTAGTATAATGCAGTCAGAATTTTAGAGATTGTTGCGCCTTATTTGGTGAGTTCAGTTTTACATTGGAAGGACCGTGGAGCAAATCTGAGAGTTTTTGTTCTTGCTGTAGGTTCGATCTGCAACCCTTGACACTTGGCTCCCAGAGCAGGTTGCATTTATCCAGTGTAAGTTATTTGGGTTTATCGGGCTTATAGTCTGATTTAAAAGTTTATTTTTCCTTTCCTATATACTTGATTAATTATGTCATCTTCTTCAGCCATGGGAAATGAGAAAGCAAATTGCTATTGGGAAGCTGAACTGCCTCCAAACTACGACAGAGTTGGAATTGAGAATTTTATTCGTGCAAAGTACGTAAGTTAACATGAGAATTGGATATCACTCATTTCTCTTAGTGTCCAGTGCTAATTCCTCTCCCCATTAAGGGTCTCTGACCTCCGGCATGATTTTGATGCTTCAGGTATGATGATAAGAGGTGGGTACCTAAGGACGGGAAAACAAAATCTCCTCCAAGACGGCAGGATGAAAGTTATTTGCAAAAGCCAAAACCAGTGGAAAGAAGTAGGCATGCGCAAACTGGCAGCTCTGAAAATCTATTCGAGGGACGGAGGAATTCACCTGCACAAAGTTCAAAAGACCGAGTTCCTGCTGCACGAATAAGTATTCCTGTACCTCCCAAAGGACCTGATCAGGTATCTCGCTTTCCTGTGTTTGTAATTCTAGTGTATGTTTCAGGATGGTTGAAAGACTTACCCCTTTTGTTAACTAACTGATAACTGTTTAAGTCAAGAGTAAAACTGTAAGAAAGTTAAAATGGGAAATTTGGACATGGTGATTCTGTTCTTACTAAGAAAAGGCTTGAATTTCTAGTGTACCTGGTGTAAAAAACTAAGTTTGATGTTTCAGCTGCTTAAAGTCAAAATGATGCTCCCATAGTGAATCAGACTTCATTTATAGGATGTAGCTAGTCACTGGAAGACTTATGAATTGATTATTGCTAAAGTGGAGGGGTAAGGTCTGCTGTTCTTTTGTAAAGGTTGTTTTAGAATGAGTCTTTGGCACGACTAACTGCTGAATAGCAGTCATGAAATGTCTTCTATTACAAAAGTTGAAGAAGCTTCTAATATTTTGCATGGCGACTCAAATACAGTAACTCTTCATAATGAAGGACACGAGGCTTGCAATTTGAAATAACAGTTATAGTAGTTGTGCCTCATGAGTCAATCATTTTAGCATTAAATTGTAACTGCTTGAACAGGTTACCCCTCCTAAGCTTGTCCAGAAAGTTGAACCTGTGACAGAGCTAGCTGAGTCCGCAAAGAAGGCAGCTGATCCTATTCCAACTGTCACTCAACCTAAGGTGGATTATGCTACTGATCTTTTCAACATGCTGTCACTAGAAGGCCCGGATGTGAACGGCTCTGAGGCACCTTCCAGTGATGATAATGGATGGGCAGGCTTTCAATGTATGTCTTCTTGCCTGGATTAATTTGAATTCACTAGCATCATTTATGACTCTGCACAATTCTAGTTATTGTATTGTTTCGGCTCGTCTTTCCTTGTGTGCTTGCAATGGTTTAAATTTGTTTCCTTGTGGTAGCTGCTGATGCTGTTGCGGCCACTGCTACTGGAGAAGTATCAGCAACTGATAAGGCTGATCCACAAAAGACCGTGGAGCCGAATAACACTCATTCCACCCCTGTTATTGAGGATTTATTTAAAGATGAACCTTCTCTACCAACATCTTCACACTCTCAGAAACCCCAGAAAGATGTTAAGACTGACATTATGAGCCTTTTTGAGAAGGTAGGTCTTCATTTTGACTTGTATAGTTCAGAACATTTGTCTAAATCTGCTATGTTATTTATGTTTATAATCGACTTGAATGTTAAATGAAAACAGTACTCAATTGGTGCTTCTAAGCTCCATCTCTTCAAAACAACTGACAATTGTGCTCATGAATATGTTGCAGTCCAATATGACCTCTCCTTTTGCTATGCATCAGCAACAAATAGCCATGCTAGCGCAGCAACAATCCCTTCTCATGGCAGCTGCAGCAAAATCAGGCGGTAGTTCTGGTTCGACCAACATTCAGCAACAAATTGCTATGCTAGCGCACCAACAATCCCTTCTCATGGCGGCTGCAGCAAAATCAGCTGATGGTTCTGGTTCAACCAACAGTCAACAACCGGGAGCCAATGGTTTTAATTCACCAGCTCAAACTTGGCCCAACATTGGGTACCAGATTCCTGGTTTAATGGGGCCTGTGGCTGCGCAAGGCGACGCACAGAAACTTATGCAGGTACTATCTTTTGATAGGGATAAATATACAAGGAGGTTCATTTATTGAGAAAGGAATAACATCGAATTTCCAAGTGGTATTAGTTGAAATTCTGATGCAGAGTTGTTTCTTTCATTATTTCAATTTTCTTCTGTCAGAGCGGTAACTTGGCAACAACAACACAGCCGATGGGAGGCTCATCACCATATCCCGGATCTAGGTAGGTACCTTCAGTTTTTCTGTGGTTTCCTAAGTCCTGTATCATTTCCTACAACCGGTAATTCTTGGATGGGCTTGTTCTGTTTGAGTAACAACGGCTTCCTAGTATCCGCAGCACCAGCATGTTGCAACCTTCATATCTTGCTTTTTCTTCAGCTAATTTGCAGAGCAGTCCCTTCAATTGTAGTCTGAGGGTAGTTGTGGTTGAACCAGATGACCTCTTATTTGTTTCTTTCTGGGATTTTCACCTAGTTGGGCTGGGGCCTGGGGTTCTGAGTTTTCTTCTTTTTATCACACCTTATGTTTCTCTGCTGGCGTAACTGTGGCGTGCAGCTTTTATAGCATGGTACAAGCAACCCCAGCTGTCAATGGGGCGAGCACAACGGCTGGGGCGAGCAAACCACAATCGGCAACTCCAGTAGTAGCATCGAGCAATTCGTCGCAGACTGGTAAAGAGTACGATTTCTCGTCTTTAACTCAAGGCATGTTCTCCAAGCATTGAGCTGTGGTTATATGATGATGATGATCACGGCCAGTCTGGCTTTGATCCGTACTCCTTAAACGCATATGCACAACCCCAAAAGTTAGAAGATTGTATTACTACACAGCAAAAATAGCAATTGGGAAGTTACAATTTTCTCCCTCTTTTTTAAAGGCATTTCTGTTGTCCTGATATCTGTATTGTTGATAAAAATGATTGTAAACTATTTTGTAGATTCTGTTCCTTCGTTTTCTTCGGCTCTGCTGGTTGGTGGGTTGGTTGGTTGGTTTGATTTTCTCATTCGTATTTTGAGTAGATTCATTCTCATTCCATTGTAACGTCCATGTATGGCTAGTTCTTCCTCCACAGCGAATCTCCAAGCTATCTACACTCTCTAGATCTCGGAGAAGAGTACTGATTTCGTTCTTAGACTGATTTCGAGTTCGAAACTGGAAGTCGCAACCACATATCTCGCGCCAACCCGAAAAATCGTGTTTTGCTGGAGCTCAGAGCTCACGGTGGTTAATTAGCATGAAGGTATATTAACCCGCCTAGATGCTTTACCATCGACGCCATCCCTCCCTCCATGATGAATCAACCGTCATTTCATTGTGTTACTAATCATGCTAACCGTGATGTCGTTGAAACTCGACATATATGAGGCCGAACCAGACCCGACTCGATCTAAACCCAACTCAAACCCGAATATCCACCCTATACCTGCCCTCAGGCGAATCTCTCCGTCTCAATCAACTTTTAATTATTTCTCCCTCACAGCTGGCAGAGAGTCCTGCTTCTTGTCCTTATGCATGCAAACTCATGTGGCCATGCAGGCTACGAAGCGAGGATCCCTCAGGCAATTCGCAAGAAAACGTGACTGCAAGCAAAAGGATAACTAATCGTTCTAACTTCGTAGTCATCATCACTAGTTGATTGGCCTCGAGGAATTAATATATCAAATAGAAAACGAAACATCTAATCAGCTAGAAAGCGACTTTTCGCGACGGCTATCCTCGATGGAATCAATGTAGGTTGAAGTTGCCGCTACCGGCCAGCCGGCCAGCTTAGCAGAGAATAATTTTCCCCCGGCCGAATTATCAAACTATTAAAAGGGTGCGCACGCTCCATTATTGATATCCATATTCGTGCAGTAATTTAACTAACCAAAAAATGGTGTCGGTTCCAGAAAACCCACCAGAGGTGTTCTCCAGAGAGATGGTGAGACCGTCTACTCGAACCCCAGAGCACCTCAGAAACCACAGCCTTTCCTTCTTCGACCAGATGGCTCCACCATTCTACGTCCCTCTTCTCTACCTCTACCCAAACCATGACGACAACAACAACAACATTCGTGATCTTGTCGAGAACAGAGCTCCTCTGCTCAAACTGTCCCTCTCGAAAGCTCTGTCCACATACTACCCGCTAGCTGGTAGTACGGGACAGGGCCTTCACGATCCATTGACGGTTCGATGTAACGACGAAGGGGCTCTCTTCCTGCAAGCACGGATGATGAGCTCGCCGCTTGCTTCGATCGTAGACGACGAGGCTCGTCTTCGCCTCCTGTTCCCCGACGATCTCGCTTTCAGGAGCACGACGGCACTGAGCACTCCCTTGGTCGTGCAGATCACTAGCTTTGAATGTGGAGGTATGGCGCTGGCCGTCTGCGCGTCGCACAAGGTCCTCGACATGTCCAGCTTCTGCTCCTTCGTCAACCACTGGGCGGCAGCAGCTTCTGCCGCCAGCAGCAGTACTGCCGCCGGTGATCGAATCGAACAGGTTCCTGTTCGATTCGATCTGGCGGCTCTGTTCCCACCGGTGGACGTAGAGGTGACGAAGACGTTCGACCCTCCGAATGTCGAAACCGTCTGCAGGCGGTTCGCCTTCGGCGGTTCCAGCATTGGAAAGCTCAAGGCTATGATGAGGAGGCACGGAATCGAGAACCCCACCAGGGTTGAGGCGGTTCTGGCACTGGTCTGTTCCAGTGCCATCTCAGCAGCAGCCAGGACCTGCTGCTGCTCATCAGACAGCAGCAGCAGGTCCCGACCGGGGTCAGCCTTTCTGACGCAAGCTGTAAACTTGCGTCCCAGATTGACCTCCCCTCCCTCGATTACAACCAGTTCCATCGGGAACCTGTCTTCGATTTTCGCGATGTTGATTGAGGCAGGGGCCGAGATGGATCTGGTTTCGTTTGTCAGCACGATCAGGAGGGTGAAAACAGAGTATTTCGAAACCTGCAGTGCAGAGTATTCCCGTGGAGAAGATTTTCGTTCTTTCATAGTAGAGAGCACGAAGGTGTTTAGGGATGCAGGCAGTAGTGAAGAAGTTGCTGCTGCGGAGCCAAGGGTGTACATCAGCTCCAGCTGGTGCAACTTCCCAGTATACGAAGCGGATTTCGGATGGGGGAAACCGGTGAGGGTGACGACTGCTGCTCAGGAGCTGAAGGATACGATTGTGCTGCTGGATACGAAAGATGGAGATGGTGTTGAAGCGTTGGTGTGTTTGGAAGAACGAGAGATGGCTGCTTTTCAATGTGACAAGATGGTTCTAGCTTTTGCTGATATCAACAACCAAGGTAGTTGATTTGTCTTGTATGAGGTTTATGGTTTTTTTAGGGTTGTTTGGATGGATCCATTGTCAATGTGGTATTAAATAACTCATTAATGATCATGTGGTAATTTAGTATTATTTTCGTGGTAATTTGATATGTGATATTTATAATATTTTATTTACCTTATCCATTCACAAGTGGTATTGACATATAGTATTTGACAATAACACAAGGATAAAACGAGTAATTTTCAAATAACACATGATTGGGGTTATTTCAAATAACTCATTTTGAGTTCATTTTTCGATAACTCACGGCCCAAATAATTTCTCTCAATTAAGTTAATTGTGAGACTTTACTTGTTTCAAAGAACTCGTTTTGAATTAATTGTAAATAACTATCCAAGTAAAGTGTTGTTAATCGAGTTATTTTCGCTCTGTTTATACCTAAAAATTAGTTTCATATAACATCGATTAATTACACGTGATTTATGAATTTATAAGGTTAGATAAATCATTGAATGACCTAATTAGGCATTATGGGTTGGGTTTTTTGCCCTAAGTGGTCTAACTCCCTCTCCCATACACAGGTGGCCGACCAGTCTCCCTTGCCTCTATGATCAGCGGCCTCCTCCACTTTGGTATGAAATATGCAGGTTTGGTAGCTAGCTAAAAGAGTATCAAGTCAGGCAAGATAGGCTTGGTACCAAGATATGCAAATGGGCTAATTATAGAGCCAATGGGGTCCCAAGCCTGCCAAGACATGAAATTTGGCTAAGTATGGAGCCAAGAGAGTATTAAGCAGGTACCAAGCAAGCAAGGCAGACTTGGTACCAAGATATGAAATTTGGCTAAGTCTGGAGTCCTGATGGCTTGGTAGCGATATATGAAATATGGCTAAATATGGATACCAAGTTGGGAAGACTAGCTTGGTGGCCAAGCAACATGGTACCAAGCCGTACCAACCAAAGAGTCGTGCAAAAACTAAATATGGATATCATGTTGGCAAAACGGACTTGGTAGTCAAGTAAGAGGATACCAAGCCGACAAGACATGTTTGGTATCTCAAACTAGCGTGTAAAGCCGAGGGCCATATGGAGACTTAGTCCCAAAACTGGCTTGGTGGCTCCCTAACAGGGTACCAAATTGGCAGAGCGGCATGGTACCAACTTGACAAGATTCCACAAACTAACTATGAAGACCAAGCTGGCAGGGTTTGTTTGGTATAGCAGGGTTGTATATCGATCCGATGAGACGGCTTGGTAGCATCTAGCAAGTAGACGAGGAGGACTTCGTGGTAAGTCATCTAAGTGAATAAGTCGACAAGATGAAACCAAGCCTCCAAGACTAAGTATGGAGTCTTGGTGGGTAAAGGGACTAAATTCTCATCCCATCGAGATGGGCAACATGGCCTAGCTAACAATACGAGAATAGCTATCCGAAGAGGCGGGCTAGGTAACGAGACGAAGATGCAACTACTTTGACACCAAATGAGGTAAGTGTGGAATTATCAAGGTTGTCAGGGTTGTAAAGGAGGCTTGGTTGGAGGGTCATGGGCTTTTTAAAGTATAGATGACTTTTCTAAATCCGTGACAATCCGCGCTCTACCCAAACGATCATGGGCTTGGGCTTGGGCTTGGGCTTGCTACCCAATAACTCGAATTATTTGAAGCATAGTACATTTTCACAAAGTAATGGTCTTTAACACCACCCACCTATATATAAACAAGAGGAGAACACGCCTCCTTAAACCTCCATTACCTTTCTACACACAAAACTCAAAACAACCACGCATCCCTATGTCCCTTCCAACTTCACACCATGATCATGTTCCCTCCGCCGAAGCTAGTAGCCGTAATATCATCCGCCGCCGTGGCCACGGTGGCCGCCGTGGCGACGATGTCATCATCAACAACTCATGATAATAATGATCACAACCTTCATCATCTCTCCCAGCTTCTGAACTTCCTCCACAGCAGCACCGCCGCCGTGTCCTCGTGGCTGACGCCTCCCTACCTCTACCTCCTCGTCAACGCCATCATCGTCTCCCTCCTCGCTTCCGCCAAGATCCACTCCAGAACCGCCGCGGCGAGTCCTGGCGACGCGGTGGACATAGGACGGCGCCGTCCACCGACGACGTTGTTGGAGACCGATGGGGGAAGTGGTAGTATTGTTGCACCACCGCCGGAGTCCGGTTCTCCGACGCCTGGAGAAGCAACCAACTTTACTCCCTCCAAAGGTATTTATTGATTAGTTTGATTGATGCCAATTTTATGAATGTGAAATTTTTTTTTCTTAACAAATCTATTTGTTACAATAGTTGGAGTAAAAAAAAAACGGATAATGAGAAAGATTTGTAAAACTATATAGAAAATTGTATTGAAAAAGTACGACGTTATGATATTTTGTATTAGAATTATGATTCACACTCTATAATTATTTACAAACTTTGATAGGAAAATTACGATACGGTTCTAATAATACTGATCAACGTTTAATATCATTCCATCACATCCTTGTTGACATTGTATTAAATTCTTTTTGTTCTAACAAATTTTGGTGTAAGTTCAATTAGATCATTATCTGAGGCGGTATCGGTGGGATTAAATTTTTGGGGGAAAAATAAATTGTATTTTTCAGGCGGCGGCAGTAAGGCGGCGGCGGCGGGGTTAGGGCGGAACGGCACGCTGGACAGCACGTGGAACATGATAAGGGAAGGGCGTCACGTGCCGATAACCAGGCACCTGAAGAAGTCGGACACGTGGAACTCGAGCCACGTGTCTCCTCCGCCGTCTTCGGCGGGAAAGGCGATGAAGAAATCCGAGACGTTCATCAGAGATGCCGGGAAAGCTGCTGGGCCGGCCGTCGCGGCGGGGAAAGTGGTGAGGAGGAGGAGGGAGCCGTCGCTGAGTCAGGAGGAGCTGAACCGGCGGGTGGAAGCGTTCATCGACAACTTCAACGAGGAGATGCGGCTGCAGCGGCAAGAGTCGCTCAATCGCTACAAGGAGTCGCTTCGAGGTGGCGAAGTTTTTTCGTTTTAGGTTTTTGACTAAGGAGGATGATTATGGCGGGTTTAGTAGCAAATTAATTAAGCTACGACGACGATGGACGATGTAAATAAATAATATTTGAAAATAATGAGCTCTTCATTTTGAGGGTTTTGTTTATAAAGCGATATTATTGACATGACCATATCTAAATGGACAACTCGGTTACTAAATAGATCATTTATATATTTATGTGATGGTTCAGAAAATCAATATAGGATCACAATAAGAGTTTGGCACTAGTGATGGCAATGGGTGGGGTGGGGTGGGGTGGTGGGGTGGGGTGGGGTGGGGTGGGGCGGGGCGGGGCGGGGCGGGTATCTCAATTTTCATGTTCTGTTCCACGCTACTATGGGTCGGGGTGGGTAAAATCCGCGCGAGTTCGAGGCGGGGCGGGTCGACCCACTCTTACATGTTGTTAAAAAAAAAATACAAGTAAATTTTACTTTTTATAATAAAACATAGGGAAAAACACTTTAAGAATGAAAAATATTGATAATAGGATGGATAATTGAGCCTAACAAGTTGAAAGATCGACTATAACTAGTTGAAGAAAAGTCAAAATAGGAAAAATATGTATAGATATTGTAAGAAATTGAGATAAAATACGTCTAGAACGGGGCGGGGCAGGGCGGATCGGAAGTAGATACCCATGCCCCGCCCCAATCTACTGCGGATCGGGTAATACCCACCCCATCGTGGATCAGGTCGGGTAATACTCGCGGGGCGGGTTGAAATTGCCATCACTATTTGGCACATTAACCTCTCACACATTCTCTTTGTCGGCCGGTATCATTCTCGTATTAGTCATTAATCACTAGATCAAACGCTTGAAAATACAAATTGTCGTCTCACTTGTTCGTAAATTAAAGTTCTGCTTAATTAGGCTAGAGTCATGAGATTTAATTTCTGCATGCCTAATGAGTATTGTTAGGTACGTACAAGGAGGACCTACGTGTTGCTTAGTAAGGGGTGTCGTAACACCTATTCGTCCGAAAATTTTGTGAATAATCTATATTTTATTGGTACAAAAAAAATTAATACGAGATTTCCGACACTGTTTTAATAATTATAACCGATACTCGTTCATTAGGCAACACCACTCTTCAACAATCCTGGATCCACCACCACTGTAAGGAGCTTGGAGTGTTCTGTTTTGCAAGTGATATCTACTACTCTCCCATTTTCTTCATGCAACAGCTTTACTCATCCATCATGCATTGACACGAGGAAAATAGATCCCCTAAATCGGGAGTCTTTGCTCAAACCAAACGGAATTCTACTTGTCCCCTCCTTAATTACCCCATAAAAAAGTTGCATATTCGACACCAGATGTCGGTTTGTGCTTCATGTTTATCCTTTTGGCCCCTACAAGCAACCACCTAATCAATGCTTATCCCTAACACCTAATTGAAACTATCCGAGTTTGGAGACGTTACTTCACCAAAACGCTTCTACGGATAATAATGTTTTCCCACCTTATTAATGTAGTCAAACCCACGATTTAAAGCATCTTATACTTTTAGGTTCCAAAACGCTTCAATATAGAATCACACTTTTGAATGCATTATAACCGATAAGTAAAACGGCTGTGCCTGAACTGGAAGCCATGCCTCTGTAATCCCTTCTGTTGGGTTTCTGCCCTTAACTGGAAAATGTTACCAATCTGTCTGAGCACAAAGAAAGCACGCCTGGGAGAGGAATTCCGTTCTGCAACCGACACTTTTGCCTGCTGCCTGGCCACCTTATCTTATCTTGCTACTTGTTAGGCGTTGCCTACTTGCCTTCTCTACGCATTCCAATACTATGAGTGACGACAATCCAAAGAGTTTGGGATAATTATTACTAGTTCTGTTCTGTCATCGGGTTCCTTCAGAAATGTCAAGGACTCAAGGACCAAAGAGGTCCACTAATCTTTAGTTCTTGAAAATGCATCTGTCGTTGCAATTAATTCGTGATACAGAAAATTAGGGAAATGCAATCAAAAGGACTGAGTATGGACATGACATTGATGTATTATATAGACCAATTTCATCCTGCTTTCCACAGAACCAAGATGGCAGGAGACAGCTGAAACTAAATCGAAATATACGTACTTCCCTATCCCCGATTGTTTACTTGAAGCTCCTGACCTGTGGCGACTCCTACATCGACATTGAAATAGGGAAGAGTCTATCCAAGAAAGTGTACACTCCCCCTCCTAACAGTAGGGCTCCGCTGATATTTTTTAAAACCGATCCCAACTTTAGGTCGAGCAAAGGCATATCACATTCTTGAAACAATAGTACAACACAAGAAACTGCAAGTAATTGAATGGGTTACCTGGTGGGGTTGATCCATGCTGAGAACTTCCGGAACGACAGTAGACTCTGCAAGAATGCTTTGGGGGTCAATGCTTGAAAAGATGTAAAAAAAAAAAGGAAACCTACAGATCGCTAAAGAAGGCAATTGCAGGAATCTGGGTAAATTTTGGAAATAATACCTGCAACGCTCCAGCAAAAGAAGCAGCAAGAAGAAGTGGAGCAACATAACCAGTTGTGTATGTCAAAAGCAGGCTGCCCCCAACTATTGGATCCTGTGTAGATAATTATTTTATCATTTGTACATGCTGAGAACGACGCTGAAATAGTTTCACAGTGAAGGGACTTGAAGGGAAGCTAGATCAACAACAAACTGACACATTGGAGCAAAGAGGTTGTTGCTTTTTTGGCCATTGTTTTACTTTTTTTCCAGATCGTCTTCGTTTGTTTGCTTCTTAACATGCTTACATTCTATTTATTCAATAAGCTCACAATCCAACTGATTATATGTAGCCAACAATTTTCAAACTGATTCCTTGCCATCACATGACGATGATATGAGCAACCACAGGTCATACACTATTCAAACTGAATCGAATCAAACTAAGTAAATGAAAAGACCCCAGTCCAATAATTCACAGATCATCATTCAATGAGTAACACATTCATGAACCACTGACCAAGTGACAAACACTCCGAGTGTTACTGAACAACCAAGGCTTAAGAAGATGTTAGTTTGCAGAAAAGAATAAGAAAAGGCAGGTAAATCAATACCAAATCAGCACAAAAAGGCCTAGAGCCCAAAATCACTTTCATACCTTAGAGGTGGCTACATATCCTAGCAAAGTTGCCAGCACAGGCGTACTGCAAGGTGATGCAGCCAATGCAAATGTGAGCCCAGCTAAATATGCTTGCACACCTGGAAAAGAAAGTTACACCACTCAGAAGTTGTAGAGAAGGCAAGAACTATTGCCCAAAGATAATGCATTTTTATCTGGAAGGAATTTGTATAGCACGTACTTGAAGGAAAATTAGCAGCAGCAGCACGAGGGTCGAAGTTGTCAAAAAAGGAAGGAAGTTGCAACTCAATCACCTATAAGCAAGGTTGAAAGTCAGCAGAGATAGTAGTTAAGAAAAGTTCATGACACATCATAACTCATCCAAAATCATATAAAATGCTAGAAGGCTATGACCAGGAAAGCTTCCATCTACACTTATGTCAAAAGGCAGATGCAACATATTGATTACCTCCAGCAGATTGAGACCCATAAATATCGCCAATCCAGAAGCTGCCAAGGGTAATCCTTGCCCTATCTGCCCATATGCCTTTCCAGCAACAGAGGCAGCTACACCTAAAAGAGCAAGCGTAGTTGCCAATCCTAAGGAGAATGCGACCGAGTCACCAATGACCTGTCCGACAAATGACTCAGTTGTTTTTAGTATAAACCAAGTGAAACTGTGCTCATATTCATGTGGTAGTGGAAAGGTCATATGCAAGAGACGGCAAAAGAAGGGAAAACTTCAAACAAAGTCCTTGCTGAGATTTCTTGAGAACCACAAACTAACTGAAAAAAGGTTGCCTTCCTGCTAAAGGCTTCCAAACCAAATCCTTTTTGCTTATTGGAAGACTGGTTCTCAGACATACTGGAACCTTCTCAATCCACACACCGACTGTCACTTAAACCTAACCATCGAAAATCTTAGCAACAAAAAAAGGAATGCCATAAACTCTTTACCTCTGTTCTGCTTTTGCCAGAGCCAAATGCTCCTGTACAATCCACAAAACTAAACATCAGATTCACCAAGCGAATCAAAATATTTTGAATTTGTGATCACATTAAGAACACGTACATCAACTGTCTCGAATAATGAACCAGTACATGCTTACCAATGTAACCAAGCGTCAAAGGTAGAACACTCAATGTACATGGAGAAAGACTAGTTACAAGTCCTGCCCCAAAAATAACAGCCAAACTGTAAAGAAGGTCAGCCGGCAACCAATGCAGACAATGAAATCCACGAACACATCCGAAAATACAAAAACACAGTGAGGGAAGAGGGCAAAGAGAAGGCTAAGTATGGAAACACCTGGTGAAGCTAAGTGCTGATAATTGGCCCTGAACAGCTTCATTAGCCTGTTGATTAGCAGAATACAGGAATCCTCCCAACCAGTCCCCAATGCTCCCATCAGCTAGAGTGTAAAGGAATGCAGCATCTTCCTGACTCAACAACAAACATTATTGATATAACTTGGAAGACACTCAGCACATGAACATAAGCTACCGAGTCCGCAAGATTGTACTAGCCTTCTGAGACTTAAGACTTAGCTGCAGCAATACCAGAGTCCAGATATGATATATTCTAAGTCTTCCCTACTCGCCCTAACAAACAAACAGCACAATTGAAGTCTGGGGAGAAACAATCCAAGAGTTTCAGTAACACTAGAAAGACTCTTACCAGTAATTTGTCCGAGGACACAGCCTTTGCATTTCCAACAGCAACCAAATTTGCAACTGAGGAAGAATTCGGGACGAGAAAGAATGAATTACAGCCAGCTACTGTAAAATGAACAAGGAAACACTCAAAGGGAATCAAAATTACCTGCAACGGAGCTCGCAATGGCTTTCTCCCGAAAGCTACTTATACCGTCGTTCTTCAACAACGACACAACGTCGCGGCGGCGAGCACACTCATCACCGGATGAACCTCCACCACTCACCCTCAGCGCGACCCTCGGCTTCCCTATCAGAAAACAATTCAATCTCGCCTGCCGACTCGCGTAACAAAGATTGACACCTCGATAGAGTTTCTCATCGCCACCAATCCAACGACTCGCACATTGGTTTACCAGCAAGCTCATCTTGCAGAATAGCAGCTGGAAGAACAGTCAACGAACTTGGCGTTTGTTTTCTGAAGGCGACGAATTGTTTGAGCCGTCCGTTGATTCGCAGAGGGCGGGAGAGATTTTTTCCGCTTTTCTCGTGATGGAGAAAGCTCGACGTATCATCACTCAAGAACTGCCACCTCCGATTAAGGGGGAAGCAGTTCACAAACCCGGAATTCAACTCATACGACGCCGTTTCTATCAGCTTGATTGCAATTTAAAAATTAGCGACAGTCGATTAATCAAAACGATCCGCCGTTTCATTGCTGCAATTGAACGCGATTTGAGGGTTTTCCTTTTTCCTCGTCAACAAGTGAAGAAATGGGTCTGTGCTGCTGACTGCTAGCAGTGTGTCATTGTTCGTCCTTGAATCTGGATGCACTGACATCTTATCGCATTCCCATTTTCGAGCACAATGTCTGCAATCCGCGAGACACAATTTCTGTTCCATGTTCTGACTTCTGAGTAGTGGTTGCTTGTCAATTTCCTGCCGTAATGTATAATCTGGGGGGAAATAGCTTGTGCTTGATTGTGCAAAATCTTACGGAAGGGATTCGAAACTACAGATATGGTGAGAGGCAGAACAAAATTGAATGTGGAATATGCTGATTTCTGATACATTTCAATGTGTATGGATCTATACTACTACTTAGTCATAGAGCTGTTTGGCAGATTGAGTTCTTTGCTTCTTGTTCTCGGACTTGGCAACTTTCTCGAAGGACTGCTCGGTCTTGGAGATGGCCTTTTCCAGGGCTTTCTTCTTGCGAACGTTCTTCGATCTCTTCATCGGCCTTCCCTTCTGTATTCTGCTCCGGACGAACATCACAACCATGGACAAATGTGAGCTAAATACACAATACTAAGCTGTCTAAAATATCTTCCTATCCTGACAAATGTTCAGTTCCAGCAACAAACAGCAATGCTTCGTCTACTGATAACTGAGTCAACAGCTTGGTGAACGACTAGCTTAGGTTCTAGCAACATGGTCTCATGCTTTCTCTAAAAAGAACCTACTTTTCTGTCGTTGGAAACAAGTTCGACCCATGAATCGATTGCAATTCCGCAGATAACAAAGGAAATTGCTTGATGATATAGTGGTGTAGAATACTAACCTATTGAGGCCACCGGCGGCAGGTCTGGAAGCTCCAGGCTCCGACGTGTCCATCGCTGCAAAGTTCCACGATTTTCCCAGAAAAGTCAGTTTACATGTTGGAATCCCGGCGGCAACACACAAATTGAGAGAACCCCAGACACACAAAGGAAAGGGGAAAAAAAAAAGAGTTGAACAGGTTCTTCAAACTCTGATCGTTAATCTACCATTGCGATTCTCGAATCAATCAAAGTCCCAATCAACCAACAAGAGACGACAAGGATACTGAACCGGATATAAGGACGGGAAGGGGATAGCTACTACCTTGAGCGGAATCTGAGACAGTAGGTTCCGTCGTGTCCATGGAATCAGCGCCAGCCTTCTTCTTCTTGTTCCTGTTTTTCGCCATGGCTGAAAGAGCTACCGCGAGGAATTGCCCGAGGGTGGATGATGGAGACTGGAGAGCGGTCAAAAATCGAACTTAAACCCTAAGCCTGGGAATGTGTCCGAAGTGTGAATCTGTTTGTGGCCTGATCTGGATGGGCCTATATGTTATGGGCTCAGCCCAGCAACTAAGCCTTGGAATTTTCCCTCTTTCTTCAAATCACCAAAAATAGTGAAATTTAAATACAATAATCTAAACAAAAAAAAATACATGATTTTAAAAAATATATAGCTATCTCCTTTGTAAAAAAAATGCGATAATTTATTCCAATAAAATATTACAAATTTAAAAGTCCAAACAAGCACAAATTGATTGAATTCAACATTGTCAAAACTCAATTTCTCCAATATTAGAGACAAAATGAATAAATGAATAATTTTACCTCAGCAATACCCATTTTCCATATTCAATTTGAGGCTCTAAATAAATAACTCGCTAGTGATCTTGTTAGTATCTCAAATGTTACAAGTTACACCACTCCCTTGACTAACAAGTAACAACTCCATGATGAAAAATATATGTATTAAACACATCTCCCAACAAATCCATTATTATTTATTTTTATAACACCCAACAAACACATTATGAAAACGGTTAACAACTATCAAATAGGATCTCCTATTGGCAAGAATATTTAAGAAATAATATTGCACAGATACTTGACAAGTGTTAATATTTGTTGGCTTGTACTAATTTTATCGAGTATCCATCGAGTTTTAAAATTTATTCACGAATTAACTAGAGTTCGGGACATAATACTATACATTAATTTCCAATGAATGAATCTCATTACTAAAATCGCTAAATCTAAATAGATAATAATCGAAGATTATATTCAATCAAAATATAAAAAAATATGTATAATATGTAAAACATATATTATATTGTAGGCTAGCATTTGTCACATATGAATATGATAGATATAACAATTTGTTTTTGTTTTTTTTATGAATCAAATTTTTAATTTTGATACACACAAAAAAAATAAAAAACACATCTAAGACTATCCACAATGGTGGACGGGAAAAAAGGAAAAAAGGATGGAAAAAGTGGGAAAAAAGGATGGGGAAGTGATAATGGTCACAATAGATGGTAGGGAAAAAAGGGTATTGGGGAGATGTTTTTTTTTTCAAAATCAATTTAGAGTTGATATTGTAACTTTATTTTGATAATTTATTCATTATTTTTATATATGTAGTATTAATTAATTAAGACGAACATTTTGATATTTTTTTTATTTGGACATAAAAAAATTTATCACTAAAATCCAATAACTCATAAAAATCCAATAAAAAACCATAAAATAATTTTTAAAAACAAAAAACAAAAAAAAAAAACCACTCACATGGTCCCCCCTTCCCTTCCTCCTTCCACCCACCTGGACCCACTTCCCCTCCTTCTTTTAACCTCTAGCGCAGGAGAAACCCTCCCTTTCTTTCCCTTTTATCCTTTTTTTCCATAATACCCACGCCTATTGTGAGCCATCTTCTCCTTTTTTCCCCTTTTATCCTCTTTTTCCCTTCTTGCTGTGGACAGTCTAAGAAAGCTGTTCTGATAACGGAATTAAGCCTCACAAGTCGCATCTGTACTGCGGCGTGCATCTCTCTCGCCTTGTCCTTGTTCACCGTGGAGCTGTCGCGACCGCCATTACTGGATCTAATCTAACTCTCTTAAACGCCTTGGATTTTCTTCCAAGTGAACTCTGATCCGACCCCAAAAAAAAAAAAACCGTCATTTCACTCCACAACTGCCTTTAGCGGACACCGGCGGACAGAGAGGGACTTCGGCACGCTTTTCTCGTACCCCAGGTTAGCAGGTTCTTTGCTCTCCCTCTCACGGAATACACTTGATCATGTCCCTTGCTGCTTTCATCTTCTTCACCGCGACGATTGTTTATCGGTGGATTCTCCCCTTTTTTCTTGGATTTACTTCGTTTATGCGCTTTCATGTTATTTTGGATGCCGAGATTGCTGGTTAAGCTGAGTACGGTGAGAGACTGATTTCGGTTTAGGTATCAGTTATCCAATCCGTGCAGTTGGAAAAGCTTGAAGGCAGCTTTTTTGCGCAGTGTGCCTGTAATGGATATTTATCGCCATCGAAAAAGTGCGATTCGCTACAAGTTCTGTCTGTGCTGGAAATTTGTCAGTATATGTGTTGTCCGTATTCAGTTTTTGCCTGACGATTTCCCTGCTCGCATTGCCTTGCAGTCTCTCCGATTTTAACTTGTTTTGTTGTGGAATGTGGATTCTGGTTATTGGCATTCGGTTTCCTTTCCTTCCTGTCAAGTTTTCTGTTGTTTGGCCATGGCTTTGCTTCCAACTGCTGATTTCCAGAACAAATTTGTATGCTGAAGTGGTAACTGAACTTGGGTTGCTTCAGTATCTGAGAATGTTTTTGAAATAACAGAGATAGGAGATTGATTATATTTTGGATTTACTTGGTGTTTTTGAGTAGGCAACAAATGTATAATTGTAAAATTTTAGCCTTTTGGACATGGTGAATAAATGAAGTAGGAACTGAATGTAACTGTAAAAATAGCCCCAACCCAGCTTTGGTCTTCTTCCTTATTATTTGAAAAATGTGATCTTGGACATTCGTAAAGTTTTAGCCTTTGGGGGATGGTGAACAAATGAAGCAGAACTGAGTGTAACTGTAAAAATGACCCCAACCCATCTTTGTTCTTCTTCCTTATTATTTGAAAAATGTGATCTTGGACTACAAAACTTCTGGTTGATCAAGAAGTTTCACCACTCCATGACCTGTTCTGTGCGGCTGTGCCAAAAACTTCCAGTTGCCTTCTTTGTTTCTTGTTAGCACTGCTGCACTATCATAGCTAGAAATAGCGGCAGCTTAATTTTCATAGTTCACAAGACCATTTCCTGCTGCCCGTATTGATTCCATTCTTGGATGTTTTAAAATAGTAGAACCCTACATCATGGCCATTCTACACACTAGGCCACGAATCCTCCCTTTGTTAAAGCAATGGCAGGCAGCAGTCAAGATCTTACTAATTAGGCACCTAGCTGATATGTTCAAACATTATCTTTTTTCATTATATAAAGTGATAGTACATATCAAATTGTTTTTCCTTTTGGGGGGTTTGGGGGATTAAGGCCTTCCCTGTCTTATGGCTAAGCACCATGCTGCAGTGTCCTCCTCTATAGGTTGTACTCAGGATTGTTTCCACTCTTGAGAACGGTGTTCACTGATATTGATCTACACTGTTTGCTCAATTGAAGTGGTGGCCTCGACTCTTATTTTAGTAGTCAGTTGTTCTCGTGAATGACACTTTACTGCAGATATATCTGTTTATCAATCTGTATTTTTTATTTTATCGTTGTCCTTGTCCTTATTCTGTTTCTGATTCTCTTTTTCTCCTTTTGCTTGCAGCTGAAGCTCCTGGATAAAAGAGCTCCCACACATGATAGCATTCTACTGAATAATTTTCCTATTATGGTAGCCATCCAACACTAGGACGTCTGAGATTCATGAATGCATAAGGGTTGGTGCCCTTTGCAGTGAGCAGGCATGAAAGTAATAAGTTTCTATAAGTGGAAGGGGATTCACGTGTCGGTTTCTCTGCTTGCGATTGTTCTTACAGCAGTTATTCTATGGACATGGGAAGAGAATCCTTTTGTTTCTACTTTGCAGTCAGCGCAAGAGCAGTTTAGAGTAATCTCTTCAGGTATGCTTCTCTGCCTATTTGTTCCTGTCAAGGTACACCAGCACAGTCAAAACTATGCCTTTTGATAAAACTGTAACTGGTGCTCTACTGAGTTGCAAGATTCTAGTGTGCTGGGTGAGAACACCATAGTCAAAGTTATGATTGCACTTAAAAATGTAAAATTACAAACTCTTAAAATTCCAATCCAAAAAACTTAAAGAGAGAACCACAGATGTAGAATTACTGCATTTTTTTGTCACTCGTACGAAGTAAAAACAATGATCCAGTAAACAAAGTGGATGAAAGAACAAATTTTCATGTCTAATGTGTATGATAATAGTATAACATCTTTGGTTTGGTTTTGAAACTACTATATTTAGTACAGAATTAGAGTGCATAGAAGACCATAAGTATGATATGCCTGGGCCTAACATTGTGTATCCTTCTAGAATCATATGATTTTGAAGTCAAAGTTAGGATTTTAACTACCTTGGATCAGACAGAAAATCAACCTTTCTGACGCCACATGGTCTGTTGGGCTTTTTGGTAGCTTCATTTATCACTGTGGCTTTTGCTACATGTGCTAACTTCATTCTAATTTGGTCTTTTCTTGTTCTGATGCTCAGGTAGCGTAGTTAACTGGCCTAGTGATGCATCCCATTCAGGTTCATTGGTGAATGTTACAAACAGTGTACAATCTTCGAATCTGAAAGGTAGAGTATTTGCAGTGGGCTTGTTTATTGTGGTGTCATTGATGAACTTTGCTCAGTTGTGGCTTTGCTTGTGATAAGAAGACCCTGATGATAACAACATCAGAATTCAGAACTTGCTTTTTAGAAGTCCCTGTCTTCGTGTATGAAGTTTATATTAGCCTTTTTTATCGCTTTGATGGATAAATGAGTGTACTCTGGCCAATATGCTTAAAGGTTTTCACTTTATCGATTACGAATTCCGAGATCCTCCCTGGCCTTACTATCCTCTAAATTCTGCTCCTTTCAATCTTTTCTGAAGATGATGCTAGCAATCAAGAGTAACCTAAAATTATCCTTTTGCCATCCGTGTCCAACTGGTTTCTGTTGAATCATTTGTCCATACTTGACAAGAAAAACTAAAGTGTACTACGATGTCCTTGGTGCCATTGAGTGTATGAACATTCGTCCTTGTTCTGCCTGTTTAAAAACTTATGTCACACGCATGATTGGATATTGATACTATATAGTTGGTTTTGCCTTTACACAAGTATATTATCCACCACCTGTGCTACTCATTATGTATGTGTGCTGCCTTTTTTCCTTCTTACCTCTCTCTCACTGCTCCCCTTCTTCTTCTTTGTTACACTTTGCAGACTGCAATTATGCTAAGGGTAGATGGATTGCAGACAGCAAAAGACCTCTATATTCCGGGTTCCAATGTAAACAATGGTTGTCGGGAATGTGGGCGTGCAGAACTTTTCCTCGAAAAGATTTTTCTTTTGAGGGGTATAGATGGCAGCCAGAACACTGCAAAACGACTGAGTTTGAGGAATCGGAGTTCCTCAAAAGGTGGACTTTCATTGCTATCAACCTCTAGGTTTTGGGGTCAAATACTTGTCTCTGCTAATTACTAGTTCATCCCATCCAGAATGCAGGACAAAACAATCGCCTTCATCGGAGACTCGCTGGGCAGACAGCAATTCCAATCATTGATGTGCATGGCATCAGGTGGAGAATGGAGGATGGATGTTGCCGACGTGGGCTATGAATTCGGTCTAGTCAAAGCGCCAGGTGCCATACGCCCTGATGGCTGGGCCTACCGCTTCACAAACACTAACACAACCATATTATACTACTGGTCTGCTAGCCTGGCTGATCTAGTCCCTGTCAACGCTACAAATCGACAGACTGACGTCCGGATGCATTTGGACCATCCACCAGCTTTCATGCGACGATACCTTCACAGATTCGATGTCCTAGTTCTCAACACTGGCCATCACTGGAACCGCGGGAAGCTCAAAGCAAACCGCTGGGTGATGTACATTAATGGGGAGCCACTCGAAGACAAAGGACTTGTCGATTTGCACGCTGCCAAGAATCTAACAGTTCGCAGTGTCGCTAGGTGGCTCGATCAGCAGCTTCCTTCACATCCTCGTAATCTCAAGGTGTTTTTCAGAACAATTTCACCGAGGCACTATCGTGATGGGGACTGGAACACTGGTGGGAATTGTAACAATACCACTCCCATGACTAGAGGGAGCAAAGTCTCGAAGGATGAGTCAAGTGATGTAGTCATTGCATCTGCTGTTGAGGGAACACGGATTAAGCTTCTGGATGTTACTGCACTATCCGAGTTGAGAGATGAGGCTCACATATCGAATTACAGCGCTAAGACTACGAACAATGTGAGCGATTGCCTGCACTGGTGCCTGCCTGGTGTTCCTGATACATGGAATGAGCTCTTGGCAGCACAGATTTAGAAGGGTCGGGTTCGGATACACTGATACCTATCATATACAGTTACACTAGACACGATTCATTTGGAAATGGGAATAGCTTTGGCCAGTCCATGTGGCGTACCATAGACCATGTTCAGTTAATTGGGAAAGAAAGCATCAACGTGGGGTGTTTTCGGCTCCTCCTTTTGGTTGGTCCTTGCAGGGATTCATCGTCGTCGGCAGCCCTCCCTATTCATCAGTAAGGATTACCCACTGAACATAAATAAACTTCACGGATGTTATTTTTCTTATTATTAACATACATACTGGGTACCATTATAGAGAACGACATAGTGTTGTGTATTCTAAGTAGCAATCAGATGTACTTTTGCTCTGGCGATGAAAAGATTGGATGTTGAAGTTTGTCCTTTTGTATAAGCAGTGTAATCTTGTTAGGAAATACCTCTTCTGATAAATAGGGGGTAGAACACAGACACCTAAGGTTAAAACTGGCAGCAGCAGGTTGCCTTGTAATTGCCCCTTCCCTTCCCTTCTTCTCTTCCTTTAAAAACCCTTTTTATTTCATGGTTTTTGAGAAAAAAAGCCTCAATTCTCATATCGAGAAGCCAAATGATGAGCCTTTTAAGACAAGTTTACTAATTGACCCTTTCAAGAGAAAGCTGCAATAAGGCTGTTACTGCTGAGAAGAAATAACAGCAGCTGGTGGGAATATCTTTCCAAAGCTGCAAAAGATGGTGTAAGAAGACTGAAGGGAGTGATTGAAAGGATTTACTTTATCTTTGATGTTCTGGGAATAGAAGGAGATAGTAAAGTACAAAAAGAAAAGGGCAAAGAGAGTCCAGCTGCAGGGATACGACATTAACAATTGCTAATTAGAACATATCCATTACACATGTTGCTGCTGCTGCTGCTGCTGCTGCTGCTGCTGGCCATCTTCTTCACATATCACTGTCATATGTAACTTCTGATACGAAACTGGAACATGTGGGGGTTGATTAGGTATCATGTTCATTCTGGGTAGGCCCTTTTCCTCTCATATCCAGTAACCTCCATGGACAAGCCAGAAAACGTCAATATATACTGTTACTTAGCAGCAGCAGCAGCTATCAGGGCCAGTTACAGACCTACACGTGGAGCGTGGTGGACTCTGAACTTGCCCTGAAAGAGAGAGAGGATTTTGGGGTTGTTGTTCCTTCTTCTTCCATTGGGCAATAAGACATTCCTCCTTTCGCATTTAAGTGGCGTAGATTGCATCAAAATGGGGCTTTGGAATTGTTTAATGGTCCATTTTCCATGGCTGATGGCTCCATGTCAAGCCGGCGGAGCAAGGAGGGACATGATTGTCATTTTGTTTCAATTCTTTGGCTTGGTACACACTCAAAAGTACTATTAGATTAGTGCTGGGAGTCAGAGTGGTGGTGATATGTTTCTCTTGATAGTATTTCACTATTGCTCATGAGGAGATGTGAGGAAAGCTGCAGAATTCATTCAGTGGTTCCTTTCATCAATCATGGATATTTGCAGGAGAATGCACTGACAAGTTCATGATCAGTGTAGGGTTTGTGAAAGTATATTTGTGTGTATAGTGGACTAGAAGTCTAAAGTCGAGTGCGATCACTACATTCTGATTCCGTAAAAAAGATGCATGGAGGTTTGCAAAGAAGGAAAAAACCCGTCAAGAAATTTAGATTTGTAAATATATTAGTGAATCGATCATATATACTTTGAAGAATACAAGAGTTATGTACAGTAGTCAGTTAGTAGACTGTGTAGGCATGCTAAATTCTAGCTCGAAGTCTTGTAAGATGGGTAGATGGAGGTGGAAGTGCTACTAGAGGCAAGGCAAGTTTTCTCTACCTCATGGTAGAGACGAAGACACGCATCGGTTGGCGATCAGAAAGGCGAGCACCAAAAACAAGTTTTAAACCTTAGAATCGCTAAGAGAAGACCAACAGATCAACACTCACACCACTTGAACTAGTCCTCGTTCGTCTTGTTGGGATTTTAGTAACAATAAAAATTAAAAGCAATGCAGTCAAAAGCGCGATTCTACCTAGAAGCGGAAAAGGGGTAAAAGCGTAAAGCGTAGAATCAAAGCGTAAAAGCGTAAGTTTTTTACGCATACTGAAAAATAACTAGAAATCTATTAAGTAGGACATATGCTATGCAAAATATGAATGCACAGAATTTAGATAAGTCAATAAATACATGCGATTCATGCCTAAAGTAGAACAACTTATAGCATCTTAATAATAAGTTTGTAAACATAAATTTTAACAATAAACCACTATTCCCACTATGCTAATGAATTTGGGAAAAGTCTAGCTGGTGAATTAGATTACTCTATTGAAGTTGAGGATGCATCCAAGTACCTTATATGTATCTTTTAATCTCAAATGTATCATATTGTTGGTGATTTACTTTTAAAATATACATTTTTTAATTAATTTCATGAAAAAATACTAATTTAGTGAGCTAAAAGCGTAAAAACGTAAAGCGTTTTGGAGAACTGGAAGCGTAAAACCGTAAGCTTTTAAGCTTTAAAGCGCAATTTAGTCCAATTTTATACACTTAAGTTTTTATATGGAAACGAAAGCGTTTTGGTGACCTAAAAGCGTAAAATCTTAAGTTTTTAAGTTTTAAAGCGCGATTTTGATTGCATTGATTAAAAGACAGAATAATAATAATAATGTCTCCCAAACTTTTGAGCAATCTGAACTAATTAAGGTCCGGGAATATTGGTGAAAAGCTTGAAATTATTATATGATTGAAATTGGGGGATAAAACGTGCAGACTACCAATTTGATGAGAAGGAGAGTGTGGTGCGATGAATGGTTTTGCTAAAGATGATTAATAATTAAGGTCAATTGGAGGCCACATTACTTCCATCATTTCAATGGCGCATAGTGAGTGCCTAGCTAGTCTAAGGTTGATTGAACTTGAACCTCCTTTTGATCATTGAGATCTGAAGTGTTAAACCCAAGAAGCATTAGTCTAGGGTTAATTACTATACTTTTGCATCCACCATATCATCCTTACAATATGAGTCCCTATATAATGGATTTCAAAAGATTGTATTTGAAATTGGTGTAATTCTAACTCAGTGTTTGATTATTAATTTTCAACTTTTTAGTATTTCAGATTTTATAAGTTTTTTGTGAATTTTTGCTATTACCAACTTTGTTTTGCCCTTATGATTTAGTACCTAAATTTTTATTTTAACCAACATATCCATATATTTTGATGGTAAAGTTATATTTTAGTACATATACTTTTTTTCTTGCGTTCTGGTACCTGGACTTTAAATTTTTTTCCAACAAGTACTACTTGATGCTAAGAGAAATTTCAAATAAGTAGTTGTTTAAATGTATTTGAAATTTATAAGTAAGATACTAGATATGTATTTGAAATTCACCAATGTATACGGTACAAATCCAAATAACATATCTAAATATTATCCAAATAAATTATTTAGTATTTGAAATGCCAAATCTCAAAATCAAATCCAAATCATCATATCCAAACGCATACAAATAAAACTGTCCTTGTTTTATGATGCGGTGCCCTTCAAAAAAACCACACTTCGATTAAAAAAAAATGGCAAGAAGAGACAGATTCTCGAAAGAGTTTTCGGACCTCAAGGACATCCAAAACCATTAATGACGGAATTATGTGTAGTTCATGGTTGGTGGGTTACAACCTCCTCCCTCAACATTTGATATTTCAAACATTGGTAATTGATAAGATGGGAAAATCTTGGTGATTTTCTTTTTCCCCAACCCACCTCAATATGAATTAAGATTTGGCCAACTGAAAATCATGAGGGTATACTGTTTTTTCATTGATCAAACAACCGTGTTTGGACAAAAACTTTCATATCCAAATCAATAATCCAAATGAAATGACCGGTTAGTTGGGAACTTTGCTTACAATCATACCTTTTACTACCCAACTCTCCAACAATGCTCGGTGGGTTATTACAAATAATGATTTTCGAGTACGAAGTTATCAACAAAAAAGATTGAGATACAACTTTCCTTAAATCTCCAAACCAAATTATTAGTCTTGGTGCAAACAAGACTTTAACAATTATTACACATTGCCTCGAATATATATAATTGAAATTATTGGTCAATGACTAACAATTATCTATATTAGTATAGTTAAAATCATATCATACTCCTAATCAAATAATCTTTAAATATATTAAAGGCCTTTGAGAAAAAAGCCCCCTCCACGTCAGCCTTAAAACCACGACCGCATCTTGCGGAATGACAAGGTTTTAGTTTTTTTTCTTTTTTTTATTTGTTGGAACCGTTCCCCTGGAAAATAGGGTTCCTAAATCCTAACCCCCCTTTTTTTTCTCAGACCACTGTATATTTGCAATTCACCAAACAAATGTATATATTGGGTTGGAATTTGGGCATTTGGCAGCGTTTTCAAAATATTTTTCCATCACATTTTGAATGATAATTATTGATTATAATTTAGAGCATCTACATTAGAATTGTATTATGACATGACATTTATTTGCAATTGTATTGATGTAGATGAAAATTGCATTTTTGCAAACTTGCAATAATACAATTATGGTTGCAAGCCAAAAGTGAATTACATTGATGTAAGTATAATGAAATTAAAAAATGAGTTGGATTACATATACTGTGAGATATGAGTAAAAATCACATAAGTAGTTAATTTTGCAATTTCATTTATGTGGATGCTCTTACAATACAAGAAGTCTAAATCCATTTTATAACAAAGTATTCCCTTACTTTACCATTATGACATTATATTTTTGCTATAAGAAATTAGATATATGATCAATAGAACATCTACCCCTATGCATTGTAGATTTTTATGTGACCAATTTTATCGATATTTCTTGACACTTTAAATGTTATGGATTTCAAATACATAGTAAATATTGTAATTGTGAAAATAGCATTATAAGTTACTTGCAAAAGATTATAATTAGAAGAATGTGGGACTTTCATCCTTGGCTTCTACATACAAATAAATTTGGACCTTTTTATTATTTTTAAGATAAAAATACCATAACCATCAATTAAAAATTAATGAATTTAGATGTTAATGAATATGTTCATAAATTACATGACACAAAGTATACTATAATTACCACCTGCCCAAAGGGCAGGGTTCAAGCTAGTCATATATAAATACAACATATAATATACGATCGAATTAACTAAAAGATCCAAATGGAGGCTCCTAATATTTGGAGACTCTTTTTCTGATGGCCTCCCAACACACCCTCTTTGTCCACCCATGAGAAGAAGTAGTTTCAAATTTTCATTCATGTATATGTACATTATAGTATGAGGTACTATGAAGTTACTCGTGTAATATAACTTTGAGATGTTTTGGAGTGAAATGAGTAAGTTTTTGTAAGACTTCGAAACTTGCACGCAATGAAAGTGAAATCGTGTAGAGATCAGTAAGAAAAAGAACGAAATGCCAGCTATTACATACATCTAGCCTCTAAGGCTGCAAATGAGTCAAACTGCTCGCGAGCAACTCGGTGTTCGAATCGAAAAAAATCTCGTTCGACACTCGAATCATTAATTAACAAGCCGGCTCGCGAGCCGTCTCGTTAGTAAACGAGCCAAGTTTGAGCTAGACCATACTCAGCTTGATAAGCTCGAGAGCTAGTTTGACTCGGTGGCTTGTTGAACTAAGCTCGCGAGCTTACTTGTTTAGAGCTTGTGGAATGATTAATTACTCTTTTGAACATGAACATTATCTTGTTAATACGGATGTGTATTAAAGTTAGCTATTATTTATAGTTTCTAGTGTTCTTTTTTTCATTTAAATTCTTATGTTTACACATTTTTCAGCAAAAAAAGATTTCAAATCGAGCTCATCTTGAGCCGAGCTTGTACTCAGCTTGCCAAGATGTGTTAATGAGTATTTACCGAGCTCTACCGAGTTGAACTCAAGCTATATTATTTTTAATCGATCCGAGTTCGAGCTGGATTATTAAAATTCGAGTTCGAGCCGAGCTCGAGCTGAAGATTTTATAAACGAACCGAGCTCAAACTAAACAAAATCTTAACTCAACTCGACTCGTTTGCAGCCCTACATACATCATCATCGAATTAACTAATTTTTTTTGTGTGGAGAAAAGCGAATTAACTAATTGATTGTCAACATCTAAATACCTTTTGACCTTTTTTAAACCACGACCACAATTCAAGCCAATTCAAATAAATTTCAGAAATTTGCTCATAAATAAAAGGAATTAATTCAGAAAAGGTTCAAAATACAATATGCAGTCAACTTTCAACCTCAATTTTTTTTTTTGATAATTCGAAAAAGAAAGGACCTCAAAAAGTTTTGGAAATAATAGGTACCGTTACCAACCACAAAGTATTAATAAAGTCCTCCGTGGCCTTATCCCTCCCCTAAGGGCTTTCTAATCCGTTTCTTGTCCCAACCCCACACCCAATTGTCCCATCCACCAAAGAAAATTAGGGGCCAAAGATCCAATTCCATAAAATTCTTTTGGTTAGATGAAATTTAGTTTAAATAATTTTGGGGTTTAGATTGAGTAATAGTTTTAAAGTTTTGGATTGAATTGTGTCCCTTGGAACTTTTAGGTTCACCTCTTACACTATAAAATATTATTTAGCTAATAATTCACCTTCGATATTAGGATTCTTCTAACTCGATCGACCATCAAGATTAAATAAGTCGAGGAAGGAACAAATATAAATTATATAAAAGTACAAAAGAATGTTTCTGTAGAATTTATATGGTTCGTTTCATATCAATCGAGTCGTTGTCCTCCTGACTTGATCTCAAATTATAAATTTATTTCTCAGATAAGTTTTTTAGTTTTTTTCCTAGAACCCCTCGAGGCACATTACACTTCCTCGCTTTGGTGGTAGCGAAATCAAATCACACTTATGACGCTCTATCCCCATAAGGGCAGGAAACTCATCAATGTTGGGAGCTTGATAAATGCATGGTGAAAAATATATCCCCCATTTAATAGTCAACTACCTAAAAATTATTGGTATCAACTCGATTAAGAAAATATGAAAACCCGCAGAACTATATTAATGAAAAAGGTTCAAGGACTTCCATAGTACGTGTTTTATACCTCACGGACCTAAAAAGACCATTAACTCATAAGCTTGTTATGTAAAAAGAAAAACTAAATTTTTTAAAATGACATTGATGCAAAACTCATTGTGTCGATTTGTGAGGTGCCGTCGAAAAATTGACTGCACATGTATTTTGTCCCACATTACCGTAAATTACACTTGATTTCGTGCTATATTTATCACTCCATAAATCATATGCTATATTTGTCAATAAGAGTCAAATATTGTATCTTTTTTTTTGGGTATTAGACTATCAGTCCATTTTTCTTATCTACATATATGGCATCTTATTGATAACATAAATTACGTGATCAATGTGTTAGTAGCGCATAGTTAAGTTAAGTGACCATTTAATTAATTTGACCACGCCTCCTAATCATATCGCCGGTGAGGGGCTTTTATGGCCATTCCCTTTCCCACGTGACCTTACCTTTGTCACAATTGTTTTTTTTTTCTCTCCAGAATTACCATAACAATTCAGTATTAACAGATAAATTTTCAATTATCTGTACCATTTTATAATTAATTGTTTTTGTTTGAGAGTAAATCCATTATATTATAATGAATTCAAAACATATTAATTAACAGAAGCCGTTTCATTAAAATTCAAATTAGGAAGAAAAAAAAGGAGCTAATAAGTTTGAATTTTTCTCCACTCTCAGTCAGTGGACAGCAACAAACAAACAGAAAATAATAATATAACGTTGGAGGCAACCAAACCAGACGTACCCAGAAAGAAAAGAAAAGGAAAAACAAAAAACAAAACGAAAAATTACAACAGCTGCAGAAAAGAAAGGAGGACGAGAGGGAAGAAGAAGAAAGAAGAGAGGGAGAGAGAAAGAAAGAGAGAAACCATTAACAAAAACAAAAACAAAAACAAAAAAATCCTCAGAAACTTGAAATTTTCGAACCAGAAGAACCTACCCTCCTTCTTCTTCTTCTTCTCTCTCTCTCTCTCGCCGGTGGTGGAGCTCCGGCTTGCATTTCTGTTTCCCCCTTTCTTTTGGTTTTTGGTTTTGCTTCCCTTACAAACAGCCTTAACGGCTTCTTTCGTCCAAGCAATCTTCGACCCTACACCCGTGCCTTGCCTGCTTTTTTGGTTCAGGAAACATTACTATATTCAAACATTTGTCTGCGTCGATTGGGAGCGACGCAAGAAACAAATTTCCGGCGGGGTGCTGAACCATTTCTCCGCGTTCGTTTTTTTTGTTGGGGGTTCTCTGCCAAATTACCTTTTGCTGTTGCTGTTGTTGTTCAAGTCTTCTGGGTTCCGTTGTGGTTGTCTGGGTTCTGAATCTCGCGTCCCCTTTCTTTTTTACCCACTCGTCGGGCATCGACATTTCTCTCAGCTCTCACCGGAAAATTTAGCGCCGTGGTTCCTCTTTCTCCCGATTCATTTCCCTTTTTAAACCTCTGGGTTTGGACAAGGTGGCCGCTTATTCGGACCGGAGTTCCGAGTTTGCGGTGGCGGAAACTGTAAGTGCCTTTTTTTTATAGCGTCATTTCAATTTTTGAATTGTGTTCATCAAATTTATTTTTTTGAATTGTGTTTTCGAAGATTGAACTCTTCGGGTTTCTCAGAGGTTTCTGTTGTGGTTCCATTTCTTTCTTCCTAGGTAGTTTTCGGATCAGTAATTTTGAAGTTTGCACAATTTTGTTGTTGTTTAAACTTTCTAATCCAGACTAGGGTTCCAGGACTGTTTGTTTTCTTTTACCTTTTTGGCGAGAATGGCGCGACCTTTATGTTGAATCTCGATCTCTTTGAGCTGTTGAATTATATCTCATTTTCCACTTTTGGGGAAACTGCTGATTTGAAATAAATGAAGGGGGATTTTGACTTGTGAAGCCCACATCTGATTTTGTGTCGGGAATAATCAATATCTGGGTTCTTTCGATTCCATTAGATCATTGACTTGAGGGTATGGACTGAAATGGTTGCTTTGCCCTTTCTCCATTTATGTTTTCAGGTGGTTTGAAGTTGGAATAGGGTAGTTCACCTCATAGTTTAAAATGATGTTATCAGCATCCTCTCCTCCGGTGACGAGGAGCTCCCTTGAGGAGATGCTGGAATCGCTAAGGCAGCGCGATGAGGCATTGGAGAGAGCCAAGGACCTGCCTCCAGCTTTGCCTGCTCGACCCACTTCTAGGGCAAGGCTTCCTTCTGCACGCCTTTCGCTGCCCACAGACTTCAAAGTTGGTGCCAATGGTCAGTTAGCAGGCAAGGTAGAGAGTATCTTAGAGAGCAAGATAGAGAGTGTTGTTTTAGGGAGCAAATTATTAGTAAGTGTCGATGACAACAAAGTGGAGGAACCCAAGAGGAAGGAGCTGGAGAGCAGGATGGGAAGTTTTGGAAGCAGGAAAATGAGGAAGGTCATGGACTCTGCCGACTCAAATCCGTACGTTAAAGAAATGAATCAACAACGAAGGGGTTCTTCTGTAAGTTCGATACCTATTATTAACGAGGTGGAATTGGAAGATAACATTGGCTACTTTATTAGGAAGGTAAGTTACAAACAGAGTTATTTTTAGAAAAGCTGTTCTCAGTTGATATATTTCCATTTTCATTTTGAAGTATTTATTAGTTGTTTTTCTTTGTTTTGTTTCACTCATTGCAAGCGCCTGCTGTGTCACGATATGTTGAGGCATGACTGAATTCGGTATCAATGCCACTTGAGTATTGCATCATATTTTTGTGTTCAATTGTTTTGCCAATTGCGTCATGCAACACTATTAAGTTGGAATTTCACATTATAAACTAGTTTTACTCATGTTGACAGCGTGGTGTTTGAATTTCTATTTATAATCATGAAGTTGATCTCATAGATAAAATGAATTTTATTAGGTGATTGAACTGATGGGACTTGGGAGACACAAATATGAAACAGTTGTAGGAATTGGCTTATTTATAGTGGTTTTGCAAGAAAATTGCACTGTAGTTTTACCCTTGAGCTGTTCCTATTTTGTTCGTATATTGTACATGCTCTATGACAAGGTTATGCTCTTTGTTGATTGTGCATGGAAATGCTCTTTGTTGATCCATGCAATTCCAATAATGTCGAGACTATTTTGTTTCAGAAACTAAGTGTTTGGTGTCAACTGTCAACTGGGCTGTGGGCTTCTGGAAAGATACAGTCAACTTCAGGAGATGAAACATCTGTTACACTTGCAAATGGAAATGTGAGTGCCTTATCGTATATACTGTTTATCTCTTATCCCAATTTTTGTCTTCAAAATGTAAGTTCATACTCGTCTATGCTCTTGTTCCCCCTTCCCTTGTTGAATGCGAAGGGTAGTGCTATTTTGTCGATTCAACACAGCTTAATATTCTGCATTGTATCATTGCAACAGGTTGTAAACGTGCCACCAGGGCAGCTTTTACCTGCAAACCCAGAGATTCTTGATGGTGTAGACGATCTTATGCAACTTAGTTATTTGAATGAGCCATCCGTTCTTCACAACCTTAAGTACCGATATACTGAGGATATGATCTATGTATGTCTAATAGAAATCATTTATTTTTGCGACATCTTTGTGAGCCATTTTTAACTTGTTTAGTGTTTCTCAAACAGAGTAAGGCGGGGCCAGTTTTAATCTCTGTCAACCCATTCAAAGATGTCCCACTGTATGGAGATAATGCTATGGCTGCTTACAAGCAGAAGGATATGGACTGGCCTCATGTTTATGCCCTAGTAGATGCTGCTTACGAGGAGATGATGAGAGGTGAAAGCACATAGATTTCTCATTTACCTTTTCTGTTTGTTGCCAGCTTCTGCTGGAAGGCCCTATCCATCATCTTTTTTCTCTTATATTTGGACTGTGTCCCCTCTCTTGCAGATGGAAAGAATCAATCCATTATTATAAGGTTAGGGAACTTTACCAGAATCCTCAAGCGTTTTTTGTTTGAGGTTACTTTTTCCCCACTGTTTAAAACTTTTGTTCTAGTGAAGAATAATTTGTGATGTTGATTCCTACAGCGGAGAAAGTGGAGCAGGTAAGACTGAGACGGCAAAGTATGCGATGAAGTATTTGGCTGCCCTTGGTGGTGGTGCTGGTGGTATGGAGCTAGAAATGCTTCAAACTAATTGTGTTCTCGAAGCATTTGGGAATGCTAAGACCCTGCGTAACAAAAATTCGAGCAGATTCGTAAGATTTTCTCCATTTAAGTTTGTTTAAACTTTGGAGCTGTCCTAAAATTTTTTCATGATGATGCATTTTATGTTAACATAGCTCATTATGGATGCAGGGAAAGTTGATTGAAATTCATTTTACTTCATTAGGAAAGATATCTGGCGCTAAAATTCAAACATGTAAGCTTGTGTTCGTTCAATAAATTTTTGCTCTTTCTTAAGGAAAGTTTTGCTGATTTTGTGTACAACCTAACTGGGTATATTGGTTTTCAATGTGAATTTCATGCTAATGTTGATTGACGTGGAATTATTCTCTATAGTCCTGCTAGAAAAGGTAAATTTATCCTTCTGCATTTAGTTTTGGACGCCAATTATTAAGTTGTGCAATTCTGATATTAGCATTCTTCTTTGAGCAGTCAAGAGTGGTTCAGGTCGGCGATGGTGAAAGATCATATCATATCTTTTATCAACTATGTTCTGGTGCATCATCTCTCCTCAGAGGTACTGTTTATGATTTATGAGAAATGCATTTGTCAGTTGAATACATGTTCGTTTTATTCGGAAACTTTGTCAGTTGAATACATGTTCGTTTTATTCGGAAACTTTGTCAGATTAGGTAAACCCTGACTCTGAGTTATGTCTTCTCTTTTGGAGCTTCAATTACTTCTGGCAGTACAGCTAGTTTCATTAGTTCTAATATGTTTGGTTGACTACTTCTACTTGGGATGGCAAATTTTAAATTGAGTTCTAATATAAGGACTGTAGTCCTATTAGCTTATCAAGGTAGTTTGTCTTTATGTGCATGACGGGGCACTTCTGATTCAACATGTATAATCTTTCATGCTTGATGTGGCACTTAGAAGGGAGAAATCCTAAAATTTGATTCTTTCTTCACAACTTGATCTTCTTTTGGGAATATAGTTATTTCTCAAGTAATACTCATAGGCAACCTCATGAGTTATGGTAATCCTTCTTTTCAGAGAAACTAAATCTTAAAGCAGCCTCAGAGTACAAGTATCTTAATCAGAGTGAGTGCTTTGAAATTGATGGTGTTGATGATGCCCTCAAGTTTCAGAAACTCCAGGTAATACAAGAAATTTGATAGTGTACTCTCTGCACATAGAAACCCCCCTTTTCTCTTTCCCTCTTTGACGGTGGGTGTGTGCTGGTGCCAGGAAGCCTTTGACATGTTGAGAATTTGCAAAGAAGATCAATCTCAAGTGTTTGAAATTCTTGCTGCAATATTGTGGCTCGGGAATATTAAATTCCAAACTATTGACAATGAGAACCACGTGGAGGTGTTGGCGGATGAAGGTAGGGAATTTCAGTCTTGGGTTCTTCCACTTTATTTGTTCATCCTCTGTCAACTTTATGTGGTGTAATTGTATGCTATTTGTGTCACTTTCAGCTACTTCGGTAATCTATTTGGCTTTGTTGGCTGATTCGATGGATAAATTTCCACTCCATATTTCATAGGGTTTGACTAATTTCCTTGTGGATTTGGTTGGTACAAATGAGTTGATGTACTCTGTGGGTTCGAACACACACTGTTAGCACTTCATCTACACCAGCCACCGTCTATACTGCCTTACCCTGTCTTGCTGTTTTGATAGAACACATGAGTATTCTTATCAAACCCACAGTAACTTTCCCTATCTTGTGAAGGATTCCTTTTTCACATGAGCGAAGTTTGTGCGCTGAGGAAATAAGTAATTTATATGTGGAAGGTTTACAGGCCAATTGATAATGAATTCAAATTGTCAGTTGCTTTGAGCTCAACCCACTTTATATATACTATATAGCCAGCCCTCATGACTACTGCTAATGCAAGAGCTTAATGAACTCACATTTTTACTAAGAATAGTTATCTAACAGGGAATAAGGTTAGAGTGGACCATGGTTGTCCTGTAATTCAGTGACACAATATTTTCTTCCACTAACAAAGGGATACACTATTAGCAGACTGATACTGACTCCAAAGCTTTTCCTTTGTTCAGCTCTAGCTAATGCTTCCAAGTTGATGAAATGCACCGCCCAGGGCCTGATGGTTGCATTGTCAACCCATAAAATTCGCGCAGGGAGTGATAACATTTCTAAGATAAAAACATTGCAGCAGGCAAGTTCAGTCCAAAACGTTTACATTTTCTACCTTCTATCTCAAGTTATCAGAATACTTTCCATTGGACTAACCACATTATTACTTGATAATTGCTTTTCAGGCAATCGATGCTAGAGATGCATTGGCGAAGTTTATGTACGGGAACTTGTTTGATTGGCTTATGGAACAGATCAATAAGTTGCTTGATGGAAACCAAAATAGTTGGGGGTCTATAAATATCCTTGATATTTATGGGTTTGAGTCATTTAAGGTATAGGTTTGGGCTCCCCTATTCTCGAAGTGATATTTATCCCTTTAATCATGTTGATGACTTTGGTCTTCTATTTTTCAGAAGAACAGCTTTGAACAATTTTGTATAAATTACGCAAATGAGAGGCTGCAACAACATTTCAACAGACACTTGCTTAAACTAGAGCAAGAGGTAACTGCAAACTATTTACCTGGATCAACCATTTTTGTTCAGTTATAGTAATTCACAGTGGATAGAGAGCATACCTTAGTAAAATGATTCAGAAATAATTTCTTACTCTGAGGGTTCTAACTCTGTTTAATGTTATTATCTTGCAACTGTTGTACAAACGGGTAAATATCTTTTCTTCTATGTAATTGATATTCTGCATGTTGATGATCATCAGTCTTTCACCTAACTTCATAAATAGAACACATAGGTAATCTAGTAGGCGAATTTGTAAATTAGGCTAGAAAGTGGAAGTATCGGTTGTGAGTATAGAGGAACACGTTTAGGCTATGAACCTTTTTAGTCGGGCTATATCACCCTTATCCAAAAAAAGCTAAATATCGTTTATCTAACTTCTCACTGACATGATCTGATAAGTTGGGGGCCACAATTTTATGCTTATTGGTTCCAGGAGTATGCTGAAGATGGAATTGATTGGGCTAAGGTTGATTTTGAAGATAACCAAGAGTGCTTGGATCTTTTTGAGAAGGTACTTTGTTACTGTATCCTCCGCCTGCTTGTTGCGTCTGACTTTTGAGTTTTAAATGCATTCTCCGTAAATCATCCATATGGATTGAGCCTTCAGTTAACCATCCTATTGTATCCAAAGTGAACAGAATCAGATTAGTTAGAAACTACTATCATCTTGTTTTTTGGTTTCAGGGGTTAAATTTTGGTGCTCTTATCCATTAGTCAGTGATGATAAGCATGAGAGTTCACTTTTTTGTTATTTTTGTTGGCAGAAACCTATTGGGTTGTTATCTTTGCTTGATGAGGAATCAAATTTTCCAAATGCCACTGACTTGACGTTGGCCAATAAGTTGAATAAGCATTTGAATATCAACCCTTTCTTCAAAGGTCAACGAGGTAGAGCTTTTGGCGTACGTCACTATGCTGGGGAGGTCAGTATACTGTGCTCCATTCTCTCTCTCTCTCTCTCTCTCTCTCTCTCTCTCTCTCTCTCTCTCTCTCTCTCTCTCTCTCTCTTTGTGTGTCGGTGGGTGTATCTGTGTGTGTCTGGATAAGTGCAGTGTAAGCTCACTAATATCTCCTATCTATTATCAGTCATTTTATGTGGTAACTACCAAGAGCTCACTCAAGATCACAAGTCTACTACCCAATGAGCCATTTTCATCCGTTGTTGTTTCAGATATAGACTGTAATTACCAAGATATTTTTCACACTTAAGCAGTGGGCGAATCTTTCCTTCTCTTTCACTGTGGCGTATTCTTCCCCACACACCACTTCTTCCCTCTTCAAGCATATTTGTTATAATCTTTTGTTGAAGTTGGTATAACACATCCTACAGAAGCTAACTAGCTATTTCCTGTTGCTCTGCATTCTTTCTAACATCTTGTTGTATTTCTCCAGCTGTGAAGGTTCCCTGGTTCTAATTGTTATCCTAACGTTGTGAAATCTTGAAATTGTTCAGGTTGTGTATGATACGAATGGATTCATGGAAAAGAACCGAGACCCACTGCACTCTGACTTCATCCAGCTACTATCTTCAAGCAACTGCAAGCTTCTTCAATCATTTGCTTCACGAAAGCCTGATCAAACTCTTAAATCACTAAGAAATTCAGTATCACAACTAAGTGGACTGGAATCTTCAACACAAAGTGTTGGAACAAAGTTCAAGGTAAAGAAATATTTCTTGCATTTTGATCACAAATGAATGTATAGTCTTAACAATGTTCCAATCGTCATTCGAAAAAGTTCCATTCAGCTATTAAATGTTGCAAAGTCTTTTGGGTAAGTTATTTCTTCTAAGAAGGAAATCATACTTGGTGAATGGTGAGTGCAGCACTGATATACATACTGATCTTGATTCTTTTTATTATCCTTTTTGGGTCAGCTTTGGTTGATGGCAGATTGATGTGGTTCTGTTCTGATTCTGGTCGCATGATAACATGCTTTCTCTAACATATGCAGGCTCAACTCTTTAAACTCATGCATCATTTGGAGAACACAACTCCTCACTTTATTCGCTGCTTAAAGCCAAACAGAAAGCAGCTTCCTGGTGTGTACGAGGAGGATCTTGTTCTACAACAACTCCTATGTTGTGGAATTATGGAGGTAATGAGGATTGCAAGAGCTGGTTATCCTTCTCGAAAGACACATCAAGACTTTGCTGGGAGGTATCAAATTATAATGACGGACATGCACTCTTTGACGGTTCTGTCTTCCTTAATGATTTAAACTGTGCAATTCTAAAGCTGTAAATTCTTTTATATAGGTATGCTTTGCTCCTTCCTGAGCGAAGTGAACATTTGGACCCATTGAGCATTTCTGTTGCCATCCTTAAACAGCTCAATGTTCTCCCTGAAATGTACCAAGTTGGCTGCACCAAAGTTTATCTTCGCACTGCCCAGGTACATAAAAAAAATTCTTGACGGTATTATCTGTTTGATTAGTTTGTGCCATATATAGTTGTTTAATATCTACTATACAATTTGTAGAACTTTTGAATGTTGCTTGTAGGGTCTTTCGGTTGCTTAAGAAACTTTATGACCTATTATCATTTTAGAATGCTTTACCTGTGAATAATCATCTTTGGGCTTCCTCAAGATAGTTCTGTTGTAGATGTACTTGTTCTTTTCCTTCGAATCGTTTCCCCCCCGGTTTCCGAACACTGAGGACAAAGCAGTTCTGTGGTTGATGAGTGGGGAGGCAACACTTTGTTAGAGCTTGTTGAACATGCAAGTTGTTACTGACCAAACCTTAAAGTTGAGTTATTTTGAGAGGATTGTTAGATGTTCGGGACCATATGGAGCTAAAAATGTAATGCGGAGGTTCAACCTACACTAGTGGCAATTTGGTTACCTAGCTGGTTCAACCTGATTTGTTTTGAACTTTATGTCATTGATATGAGCTCGGATTAATGATTTGTTGATGGTTTGATATGAGCATATGGGATGTTGATTGCTAATGCTAGTTGCTTCATTTCATCTGTTACTGCCTTTCAGATTGCCAGATTAGAGGAGCAGAGGACAAAAGCTCTGCAAGGCATAATTACTGTCCAGAACTGCTTTCGAGGTTCCAAGACTCGCCGTCATTTCCATGAGCTGATAGATGGTGCAACAACCCTACAATCATGTAATCCAAATGGCTTTAATATATTCATAGTTGAGAGTAGAGGATGCATATTCATCATTATCTTACCCTTTGATCTTCAGCATTTATTTTCCTATTAGTAATTTTAATAGTTGTTCTCTTTCTACAACTTAAAGATTAAGACTCTTGGGCTGTTTGTTTGCTCTGTCTGTGTGTGTTTCATTGTGCACTGTGTAGGGCTCTCTATCTATCTATGTTGCAATTCCTTCTTTTTAAATTAATTTATGAATTGAGATCACCCTTATAAAAAAATTTATCGGGAATTGGATAACTAATAACTGTAATATCAAATGATTGAGATCGCTTTTCCTAATTGCAGTTGTTCGTGGAGAAAATGTGAGAAGGAAATTTGATTCTATGTCAAAGACATATGACGTCAACACTCTCCCAGTAGTTAACGAGCAGTTGGCTGCCATAATATGTTTGCAATCAGGTGAGGCATCCCAGTGGTCTTTGCTATTCGTGGTGTATTTATCCTTTTTTTCCCTACATTCATTGTTCTTATCATCCTCTTTTATCCACAGCAATCCGTGGGTGGTTGACACGGAAGCAACTTAATGACAAGTATAAGTTGAGGCAGTCAAGCCAGGATAATACAGACTCAAGAAGAAAGCCAGGGAGAAAAATTTCTGAAGTAAAGGTAATTCTTCGTTGAGAGAATTTATACTCTCAAAAGAACTCTCTTTAGCTGCAGTAGGCACTGGCATAAGTGATTGAACCCATTGAGTTTGCCATGCCTTTGTATATACCCTTAGGTGAAGTGAAATTATTGACAGCCTGCACTTTTCTCTTTCCCATGTATATACCTTTTGGCACAAGAAAGAAAATATAGTTTGTTGATCGTGATCTAATTGCTCGGTTGAGCAGGTCATGCCACAGGAGCAGATTGAGGAGCTTCAGATTACACTATTGGCAGAACTCCAGAAGAGGGTTGCTAAGGCAGAACAGAATTTGGTACAAAAAGATGAGGAAAATGCAGCACTGAGAGAGCAGGTAGAAGAGTTCGGGAAAAAGTGGTCTGAATACGAATCAAAGATGAAAACCATGGAAGAGACATGGCAAATGCAGATGACATCATTGCAGGTAACCCTCTTGTTGCTTGTTCAGCAAAATACAACTGGGTTTTGCAACCATTGCTAAATGACAATTAAAGAATCTGTTGTTTATACTTTATATCATCCTACAAGTATTCGGTATTCCCTTGATTTGAGATGGAGACCTCTGAGAGTTGGATGTAATGACCCATTTTTCCTTGGTTAAATTCTCCCTGGTGTGATTGGTGGGTGACAAGCTTTATAGTGGTGCTGTCAAGCATGCATGTAACTAGTGCCATGTTTTGCAAGAAGTTGAACTAATTGTTTTTGCCATCATATCTAAAGCCAAAAATATACCTTGTTCAACTGACTGTGCAGGCAAGTCTTGCTGCAGCGAGAAAGAGTCTTGCTGCTGATAACCTGACTCTTCATCAGCAATCACCTCACCACTACTATGATTCAGAGGATTATCCTTCCATTGGCTCTCAGACCCCTGGTGGAAGCACACCAAGAAAGATTCCTAATTCCATGCCGGATCTTAGAATGGCTAAAGAACAGCCTATTAACGGTGGCAGAACTAATCCTGTAACCACTTTACTGATGGAATTCGAGCAGCAGACCCAGAATTTTGAAAGCAACTGTAAAGCCATAGTTGAGGTGGGTTCAGGGAATTCATCAGGTTCTATCTTAAATCCTGAAGAAGCACTTCGAAGACTGAGAAATCAGTTCGAGATATGGAAGAAGAACTACAAGGCCAAACTGCGAGAGGCAAAGACTAGGCTCCAGAAACTTAGCCATGGCGAGAACCACAGGGGCCGCAGGGGTTGGTGGGGCAAAATTGGTGCCAAAATGTTGACATAGAAAACAAAGGTCAATGTCCAAGGCAGAAAAAATGGAAGAAGAAACATTTGCCCTCAAAGATGGCTGCTTGCTCTTTGATTCTCTTTGCATTCTGGTTAAAGCAAGCACCTTGCCATGAATGCAGAGAATGTTTGTAGCTTGTGGTTAAACTGCCTGGTGGTGGTGGTGCAAGGATTCATCATAATCCTGTGAATAGACATAGATTGTAGTAGGTACCTCATCTCCCTTTTCTCTTGTGTTATAAGCCAAGGTTATTCTCTGTATATCCTGCTTTCTAAATTGTAATGTAAAGAAAACATGGTGCGGCTCAGAACTCTGCTACTGAATGAAAGATGAAAAGTTTCCATATTCCTTGTCATTTGGTTTGGAATTCATCCACCCTGTAAATCCCTTTTGTTTGATGCTTCAGGGGCTTGTTTGGTTCATGGATTGTGATTGTTCCAGAATTCATCATTTTGCAACAACAACAAAAAAATACTTCACTGTCCAAACCACCTCTCAATCTCCATATTTGTTTTCAAATACTGCACATGAAGAAGAAAAGGCATAGGCAGAGAAGTTGTTTCAATTTACATTAAACCTCCATATGCAAAGGTTACACACAAATGGTAGTAAAAGTTCCATAAAAATCTACAAGTGGCAGGGGAATCAAATTCTAGGGCATTATCTTCACGATCCAGGGACAAATTTGGTGGCAAAGACCCAGGCATTGTTGGCAACAGGATCATCAAGATGGTCCAACAAATTCTCCAAGGGACCCTTCCCAGTGACAATAGCCTGAACAAAGAAACCAAACATGGAGAACATGGCAAGCCTGCCATTCTTGATCTCCTTCACCTTGAGCTCCGCGAAGGTGACCGGGTCATCAGCGAGCCCCAGCGGGTCGAAGTACTGCCCACCGGGGTAAAGCTCGTTGCCTTCTCCAACTCCAGGCAGGCCATTGATGCGAAATCCTTCCACGAGTCCCATCAGGACGACCTGGAATCCTAATACAGCAAGGATACTCTGAGCGTGGACCAGGTTCGGGTTTCCTAGGTAGTCCAGCCCGCCTTCTGAGAAGATTTGAGCTCCAGCTTTGAACCATACTGGCTCCTTGAAGTCCACGCTCACCCATTTCTCCAGGACCTCTGGCGTGATGCAGCCCAAGGCTCCAAGCATCGCCCACCTTCCATGGATAACCTTCCAAAGGGTCAATCACCAAGCAGTAAGTTTCATATTTCATCTTATGCAATGAAGTCAAATGCGCTTTAAAACTTAAAGGCGTATACTTTAACAGTTCTAAGTCAGCACAACGCTTCTAAGTAGAATCACACTTTTTTCCTTACTATTGTTGTCAAAATCGTATTTTAAAACTTAAAAGTTTAGACTTCCATATCACCAAAACGCTTCCACGTAAAATCGTGCTTAGTGATGATTAGTTACCTCAAGAGCCCTGTTTCTGGCGAAGGCTTCTGGATCAGCAGACAAACCAGCAGTGTCCCAGCCATAATCACCTGGGAATTCCCCAGTAAGATATGAAGGAGTCTGAGCTGAGAAAGGTCCCAAGTATTTCACTCTGTCAGGTCCATACCACAAATCATTTCCCTGTCAACACAATCACAATTCATCAAAATCAACACAAACCTAATTGAGCTGATTCATGAGAGAATTTGATACGAAATGGAAAAAAAGGGTATTACCATGATGTACTTGGCATTCCCCATGGAGACTACATCTCTAAAAGGGTTTGCGTTTTGGCCCCTCTGTCCCAGAAATGGAGATGGGTTCAGCACGGTTCTGGAGGCAGCCATAATTGTGGAAGCAGCCATGGTTCAAAACGAGGCTCTTGCTCTGTGTTTGCCACCAATTGAAGTTCCTTTCGACAGAGAGCGAGAGCGAGAGCGAGAGAGAGAGAGAGAGAGAGAGAGAGCTTCAGCCGTGGAATGGAACTGTGTAGAGACTCTGTTTATATATGAGATGGGACATGGAGAATCAAAGGTGGGTAAACAAGTGGTGGAGGAAGGGGAAGGAGGCGAGGAGAGAGCCAGAGAGGAGCGTGATGTTGAAGGGGGAAGCAGCCAATGAGGAGGCTGCAAAGGATTTGAAGTATCTGCCACCTCATCTCCTTCTATCCACATATTTATCTCCCACTCTGCGTACTAACCAGCCCAGCCCAGCCCATCTTTAGTTCCAGATACGGCCCAAAGGGCTCCGGATAGTATAACAACAGCTCCTCTGTTGTTACTGTAACAACATGATTCATTAAGGGTAATAGGGTAATTTAACATAAAAAAAAATAAACAAAATTATTTAATTCATCTCCGTGCCGCGATTTCCCCTTCCCCGATTCGGGATTCTCCTTCGCCTCCGCCCAGCTTTTCTCCTCCGCCTCACTTTTCTTTTCGTCCACACTCGGCGGCCGGCGCAAGTGGAACTTGGAGACGACTCCGGTCGAGCTAGTTGTGGGAGAGTTACTCCTCCGTATCCCTATACGCCAACTCATCTGGATCTGTCCCCGAACAGCCGGTGGTCGATTTCATGGATCCTGACGCTTGCGATAGGGTTATAGTCCATCACCAGCTTAAGGCGATGTCGGAGGGATCGGAAGAGGAGGGCGAATCGGAGGAGGAGGAGTCGTCGGAGGGATCGGAGGAGGAGGGCGAATCGGAGTAGGAAACCATTAAACCAGAGGTATATTTAGGACCGCGGGAGGGTATTGATAGTTATCCAGAGAACAAATACGGGAAGAGATCCTGTAAATGCTGCCAAATGCTTCGAGAACGAGAGTTCAAACCCAAGGAAGACGATTCCAATTATTTATATGACAAGGACGATTTTGAGGGCGACGACGAACTTAAGCTGCGGGTCATCCATCACAGGAGGAAGAAGTGGATCACCGGTGTAAGAAGTGGATCACCGGTCGAGCTGCGACCCCCCGAGAAATTGGCGGCTACATGCCGTGCGTCTTCTACTATCCTCAGAGGTCCAGCGAGTCAGAAAAATCCGGAGATAGACATCCTCAAATCCTCACTCGTCGAGCCCCTCACGCGCTTCTACCCGCTGGCCGGGAGGCTGGGCGAAGCCGATTCGATCCCGGCCGTCCATTGCAACGACGCGGGCGTCCCGTTCTCGGTCGCGAAAGTCGTCGACGGTGGCCCCTTGGTCGCGTTTCTCGGTACGGCTCCCGAGCCCGACTCGCTCGCCCAGTTTCTCCCTTTCCCGGCGGACCAGCTCAGCACGGCGGCAGCGATCGAATGCGCCCCACAGACGGCACTTCCCTGATTTTCTGCTAACATTTCTAAATGCTTTGCCCTGCTAAACTAAGAGCCCTTATTAGACTACTTTTCTAGCTCAAACAACAGACGAGTCAACAAGTAAACAGACTAAACCAAGTATACGACACAGTTCTATCTAAAAGCACAGCAATTTACTTCACATGACTCCCACGAGAGTCTTTTATTCTAACAGGTTGCTAATACAAATCTAAAAACACAACTACTTTGTGTTTTATTCTAAAAACAAACCACAAAAAGCATACCACAAATCTCCTAATACAAACCATAAATCTCCTAAAAGATACGAGAAATACTATAAAGCAAACCACAAATATTTTAAAGTACACCAAAAACCTTCTAATGCAAACCACAAAGCGATAAAACAACCCACAAAAAGCATACAAAAAACTTCCTAATGCAAACCACACGTCTCCTGAAACATACCCGAAACGCCATAAATCAAACCACAAAATTTTCAAAAGCACACCAAAAACCTCATAATATAAACCACAAACACCGTAAAGCAAACCACACAAAGCAAATCAGAAACCTCTTAATGCATACCACAAATCCCCTAAAACAAACCAGAAACCCCACAAAGCAAACCACAACATTTGTGAAAACACACCATAAACCTCCTAATGCAAACCACAAACACAGTAAATCAAACCACAAAAAAGCAAACCATACACGTCCCAATGCACCCCACAAATATATTAAAACAAGCCAGAAATCTCACAATACAAACCACAAAGTTTTTGAAAACAAACCAGAAACTTCTCAATGCAAACCACAAACACGATAAAGCAAACCAGAAACTTCTTAATGCAAACCACAAACACGATAAAGCAAACCACAAAAAGCATACAAAAATATGAGAAACCAAACCATAAATCTCACAATGCTAACCATAACATCAGGTGATCGTTGGGCGTTGACCGGTCAGCGAAGACCGTTGACCGGTCAACGAAAATCGTTGACCAAACTCCGATGACCGTCAGTTACCAGATTCCGGCGCCGATAGGCATATTCCGGCCCCGATGACTAGATTCCGACGCCGGTAAGCATATTCCGACCACGGTGAGCATATTCCGGCGACTGTGGCATATTCCGATGACAAAATAGCATATTCCGGCGACGAAAAGCATATTCCGGTGACCGACGACCATTTTCCGGCGACCGATGACAGAATTCCGGCGACCAAAATTTTGGGCCGAAAAAATAAAAAAAATATTTTTTTTGATTTTTTAATTTTTTTTATTATTTAAACATATTTTTTATAATGACAATTATACCCCTGCTTTGATTTTACACTAGGTCAACTCATCTAATAAAAAGTCATCACAACCCTAGCTTCCTATTGGTTGGAGACTAGTGTTGTTACAATAACAACACAAGGAGTGTTGTTATAGTATCTAGTCCCGGCCCAAAGGATACATTAACGGTCCAGTCATTCACGGCCCAAAGAAAACCGACACGTGGCAGTAGCTTTATCTCGCATTTTAAGCATCCGGTCCAGTGGACGTTGTCACCTCAAATGAAACTGTATGCAGGCTGGTGGTAGGCCAGATACACACTGCTAACTCTTCAGAAAGAGTTGTATCTTTCTGACTAGCTCTTTCACAAGCAAGTTGGCGAATCATACCGATCCTAGTTGTACTTCTGATATATATTTGGTTAAATCGCATCTGCATTTAGGTTCGTTGACACTACTTCGGACTTCGGAGACAAAATTTGAGCATCATTTGTTCGGTTTTACCAGATACAACACTACGAGCACAACAAATGTGCCGCTCTCAGTTTTTAGTACCGTGGCTGGAATTCGAGATCAACACATGATCAGCCGCACTCCATTCCCACAGCTAGAATCAGCAACAGGGTCCTTCATTCTTCTCGGGTTTCACCTTCGTAAGGCCCCATAGTTCCTTGTTACCTGCAAGCAAACGAACTTGGTTAAACAGCCAGACATGTTTCCCCTTATCGACGACTTCTCCCTTCTGACGAACTAGAAGTATCAGCTGACTGATTGTCCCTTGCAGACGGCATGTGAATTCTCAGAAATGAAGGACATTCAGAAGATGACTAACCCGTGTTTGGGACTTGTTCAATTGCTTAGTCCTGTCATCTTCATCATCATCGTCATCTTCATCATCTTTGCTCATTAGCATTCTCTTGATCCCTGCCGGGCTGTCTGCTTTCCTTCCACGTTTTGATGTTGCAGTCCCTCTACCCCTTCCTCTTGGTGCTGCCGCTCTTTTCCGCCCTTTGCCTCTGACCGGTTCATCATCGTCCTTCGCATATAAAAGTAAGTCAGCACCAAATAATATGATGATTGCAAGATAAATGGATCAACCAGCCTTTGAAGCATGCTTCAAACATTCAATAACCTAGATCCAACATGGCAATGTATGATACAAGCACCTGTTGGCATACCTCACTATCGTTAATTTCTTGTACTTCTGCCTCTTCACTAGAAGCGGAATTCACGTCTTCATCCACGTCAGCAATGCTTCTCACTGCAGCAGTTGCTGCAGCTGAAGCAGATCTGTAGTGGATAAACCAAAAATTAAAGGGAAAAACTAAACTTAGTTCATTCTAGTTACTCCAAACATAAACTCTAGGAAAAGTATAGCAAAATTCAGGGAGCACGAACGAATAATAAACCTTTGTGACTGCCGAAAACCTAGAGCAGAATCAAGAGTTGTCTGCTTCAAACTACTTGTAGAGCCTCTGCCTCTACCCCTTCCTCTTGTGGAAGTCTTGCTCTTGCTGGCTTCTGAAGCTTTACGAGTAGTAGTCCCTTTCCTGCCCCTGGCTGTAGACTTTGCCCCAGATACCTGGGTTGTTTCTTCATCATCACTAAAGGAAACCTCATTTCCCATTCCTGGTGCAGTTGTACTTCTGAAATCCTGAACAAATAGCAAAGATGTATAGACAGGTCCAAAAAAAAACTAGTAGAATAAAATAAAAACAGTAGAATAATTTGCATTATTACCTCCGTTGACTGTGCACTAGTTGAGGACATAAGATTATCATGGGGCTGCTGAGACCTCGACTTTACACGTTCCTAAAGCAAATATGTTCCAGCATAATCATGAGATAAAGAATTCACACAGTTACACATGTACAGATTATAAGATCATGCACAAGAATTAGGGGCATAATAGATGGACAAGTCATAGAGAAGCTGGCGAAACTTCTTCCTATGAAACATGCCGAACAAAAGGACTCCAAGGACCATTAACAACACAACTCTAAGTGATTAACCTATACACTCTGAGTTCTGTACTTCGGAGTCAATCCCAATGGAAGACAAAATAGAAAACAAGATAACAAAAGATATAACCCAGGCAAATCACGAATAATCTGTTGAGACATGTCCACCAATATCAACTTATGACGCCTCAACACGCAACTATCAACTAAATGACCCCTTTGAACTATGTAAATTTAATCACAGAAGGAACAGACAAACGACACAGAGGGAAACATCAAACTTAATTTAACAGTACCAGTGCAATCAGAAAATATGTAATGAAGTTTATAGAACTTCCTTGCCTCTAAGCATTCTCCAACTTTAAGAATGAGATCATCCTCTTCAAATTTTTCGCCGTCTGTATCCTTGGCAAGTTTACTCTGAGTAGCCAGCAAAAAAATCATTGTAAGTACCAATCTATCAATATAAGGATAACCTTGTGGAGGAACACTACACTGACAGATGTTACAAGAAAAACCAATCATATATCCGACCATAGACTCTTGAGCATTGTGGTCCAAGAATGATGAGAAAAAGATGCTATGGACTATAACTCTAAAATTGAATCTTGAACAGGTATGGATACATACACGTGTTTCTTGGATATTGTGTTGCACGCATGTATAGAAAGCCATTTTGTCATCTTTATTAACAAAATTGTGCAGTGCAATATCCAAGTCGTTGACAGGAAGGATCTCCATTTTCTGGTGAAGAAAAGAAGATATGAGTCAGACTACCCAAACTACCAACAGTGAAACCCCTCTGGAACTATGAAGATTTGCATGATCAGATGCTTGAAATTACTTATCATAAGTCATGGTATATTAATGAGATTAGGAAAACAGATATGGCCAATACATTTTAAACATGAAAGGAAAAGTTAAAAAAAAAAATTAGTGGCTAGTTACCAGATTACTTTCAGCTACTAGAGCCTCTATGTTTTGCTGATTTAATTCTTCTGGACGAAGGCGCTCAGCATCACTTATTACAGCTGCAATTGGTCCATATACAAATATGTTACACAACCATTACAAATTCAATGAGATATAAACTGTATGAGAGATAGTGGCCCACAAAACTTGTTCTTTCCCCCCCCCCCCCCCCCCCCCCCCCCTTTATGTGAATGATACTAGCCAAGAGATCCAACACCAGAGAACACAGTATCTAGGAGTAGCTGATCAAGCACCATGGACGCAATCACAAGAGGTCAGCATGCCAAGACTGAACAATAAAACAAGGAAATGAGGATAGTTACACTCATTCCGACCCTTCTTCGAAGCCTTTGAGAAAATAAGAATATCTTGAGGATTAGCAACCTGAAAAACATTTTTGGAAAAAAGAAGTCAATGCTCAAATGCTAACTGGATAAATGTGCAGTAGCTAAAGGGCTGAAGTTACCTTTCCGACATACTTCTGCCCAAATCGCTGAGGATTTATTGTCATAAATCCAGAATAATCCACCTGCAAAAGTAACTAAAAGGCTCAAATGACTCATGCTGCTACCATATGTATCTTACTATGGCTCTATTTTTCCCTAATTCTTTCAGAAGGATGGGATGAGAGGCTGCTTGGTAAGGTGGTCAGAGAAAGAGAATATGACATACAGCAGTATATTTTAAATCAACAATTGTCAGCAGCTCAAATAAGCAATGGACTCTAAAGGAAGAAAAAAGGTCTGTGTGTACTTTGACAAGAGAAAATATTGTTTCGCACAAATATGTATTGCGGAACCTATTTGTACATACTGCCTAATCGGGTATGAGGTGCTCATAATGAAGATGTCTTTCAAAATTGGTTCAATGATATGAAGGTGATAACATACAAGCTCATTCATGCTGCAAAGGTAATCGTGAGGCAAGACCAAGAGAAACTAACAGGCACATGCCCTGAGAGCTGACAGCTCGAGGTATAGGTGCTGCAAAATTCATAGCAAAATACAAAACCTAGATACATGAAAAACTTTACCTTGACTCTGACCAGTGGAAGCTTGAGCTCAGATCTGCCAATGGCATTTCGCGTAGACTTATCTATCAGAGTACTGACCTGGAAAATTCCAGAAGTCACAATTACCACAGTTACCCAAACATTTTCATTGCTGGAACAAAAGAGTCATTTGAAGACCGAAAGGAACTGGCAAAAAAAAAAGTACTGTGTTTTTTCAATTTTAGAAGGCATAGTATACCACTTTGTCCAAATGTTCAAGAATTGAGTTTTGGTCATTTGGGTCGATATCCTCTTCTTCCTTCAGCACGATCTGCATTACATGGAATAGCATGTTGAAAAATGTTGTTTATGGGTAACCAAAAAGGGAAACCTTGATCAAATTACCTCACTGTACTCAAAGGGCCTCACTGATGTCAGAGGTATCTTGGTTGGACGATATTGATTTCCCTAATGGTAAGAGATAAGAAAGCAGAGTGAAGAAGCAATGAAGCATTGAGGTATGAAATCTGAAATCTGCAGATTGAAGAAAATGAATGCATTTTCCACTCCTAACACCACCTTAATTTCTAGAAGCAGAACATGCTTAGGCTTTGATTCTCCATCAATCAGTGATGTTGCTACTGAAGAACCCGGTTGTGTGATGTGAAATCCCATGCCTGGAACTTCCTTAAGAAAATAAAAATCCATTTCCAGTTAGCTAGGAAATGAAAATATGACTTGAATTGAGTGGCATGAAGAGCTGAGAATGGCACCTGGGGATCAACTAGACATTCATGTTCATGGCCCCACACAATGAAGTCCAGAAACCTTGGCAGAAAGTGTTCATTTATTGCATTCTTTGGGTTCGTCTTCACCCTGTAGATTACAGCTGCTGAGTTAGTTTCAGAAGAAGGTTTGAGCTAATATAGGCATCGTGACTTTAATCCAACAAAGATAGAATGTAACAGGAACTTTCGATTTCGCAACCATGGTATTCTATAGTTCGGCAGGATATATATATAATAAGTGCGAGAAAGACTATGGAAGAAGAGAAATAGATTTCTTCATTCAGGCATGACAAGTACGAAATAGCGCACATAACCACACAGGGACTGTCACAACATGCAAACAGTAGCACACCCTCATTAAGACAGCATCTTTATCCAAGGAAGGTGTAGACCCTTATGAGCTTCAATGCATGACAGCTAACCTGTTCTGATGAAGTACCAGGATATTAAACCAATCAGAAACCTCGCAACCTTCTTGAACTTCAGGCCTCATCCATTGTACAGCATGTGGAGTCTGAAGGAAAAATAAAAGTACGTAACACATTCAGGTACCCTTGATATTGGAAGTTGATAAGAAGGCAAATTTTTAATATGAATCACCTGAAACATCCTATTCAGCCGCTCGTCCCTAATGTTCCCAAGCCCATACAAAGCAACATTCGTCGAACCCTATCAATGAAAATCACACATTATTCATGCTATAAGTATGAGAAAAGGAATGACATTATTATAGACAGAAATAGTCACATACTGACCTTCTTTATAAGGATGGGATACAGTGTTATTTGACCAACCCCTGAACCCTCAAGAATCATTTTCCCAAAGTAGTTCACGAGATTGCAGGCTGACAGGATATCAATTGCAGATAGGTTGTCCTGTCACCATGACCATGAAAACTAAATAAACAATAATTTCAGACACTATATTATACAAACATAACAAATAAACATTTAGAGAAGATAACAATAGGCGAATTTAGCTTAAGCTTCAAAATTCCAAGATGTAATCTTCATTTGGCCGTTGAGATTAAAGTAGCAGTGGCACTATTATGTCCAGAAATAAAAATAAGGCACACCATAATGCGTCGATACAGCCAACTAATTAGAACAAAGTACAAGTATATGCCCGACGCCAAAATTTCCACAAACCAACATGATTCGGTAAACAAGAAGATGATGCGGAAGTTAACATCCATGATGCACTTGCACCTTACGGTTCCTCAAAAACAAAAGATGCATCAAGAAAGGTACATACCACACCAGCAGGGTCATCATGATTTCCATGAATGCTAAACACTGGAAGACCAATATTGAAGTGAGGATCTTCATAGTTTACGTGGCCAAATCTGTCAAAAACAAACAAGAGAAACAATGAAAAATTGAATTCATTAAGAGTTCATGGGAACTAAAGAGCGGATAAGTTCTCACAGATTCGCAAAATTCACGGTCTGATCGCTGACAACTTGAAACTGCACTGGTCGATCATTCAAACAATGCCGACGGAGGATCTCAATGGCCCTAACTAATGTTGTTCTTGAGGGCTTGTTTTCGTGAAAAAGGTCCCCACCAAGGAGCACAAGGTCAACCTGTTATCAGATAGGACATACAGATGTAGCACTCTCAGCATCTTTATTCACCTATACGACGGCCAAACAAATAAAAAAGGCAACGCTTTCTTTACATGAACTCCAGAATACCTATCTTCTCCTTATCCTCATACGTAAACCGATAACATGAAGGTTCAAGAGTACACAATTTTAAGGCTTCCATATATGTTCTCAATTTTAAGGCTTCTTTTTATGCCTCATCAGCAACATAAGAGATGTACAGTAGAGACACTGTGGTGTGAAGCAAAAGATGAGTACCAAACAGTTAAAATTCCAACCTGCTTTTCATCCGCTATTTTGCATATCTCCTCAAATGCTAGGAAAGAATCATGCCTCCGTACTTCATCCTTCTCCATGTAACCGAGATGGCAGTCCGTCGCCACAAGCACCCGAAGAGTGTTCGAATTATCCTCCCTGGAAAAAACATCCATTTATCATCACTAGCTGACATACACTCACTTTTTCCCCAACATCAACCTAAATTAGGGATTTCCTTCTATTAGATGATCACCTCAAACCAAAACAGCTCACTGTGTAGCAGGAATAGGAGAAAGAAGCAACAAAGAGAATAACTTACCTTGGCAGGTCTCCCATGTCGCCCAAATAGGAGCTAGTGAAAAGAGCCAATCGCTGGAACCGTTCCTTGACTTACTGCTAAGCGGGAAGTTGATAGAATCAGCGAACCTGCTTGGAGTTCAATCAAGGTATCAGGTAGCGCAGAAAGCTGGAAACAAGTAAGAACAAGGTTCAGAGCTTCTTGCGGTTCGCGAAGTAGAGGACCTCATTCGATTCCATAGATACAGTCCAATTTTCTCAGCAAACAAATGCGAGCGTAGACGGGGGTCGTACAGTAGAAGTTTACCTCTTTGACTGGCTGCGACGGAAGCAAACGCTAGAGAGTGAAGGGGAAGGGGGATTTTTGTGATGGCGGGGAATTTCAAAACCCTGGCGACCTGACAGAGAAAGAATGGAGTGGGAAGGAGAAGGTGGTCTGGGATTTTGTACCGGCGTTTTTTTTCTCCTTCTTCTCTCGCTTTACCCATATGATTAACCGGACCGATCGGTCGAACCCAACGGCGGGTAAGAAACAATAAGACATATTCAAAGCCAGCGGGAAGGGAAGCCATTGCCTTGCTTGCCGCCAACTCCATTACCCACAATAATTTTAGCTTTAGGCCACCATTTTTTTCTCTTCACCCTTCACGATCTCCATTCCTTTCCTTTACCCCCACGAACCCTTTTTCCCTCTCCGCAAAATATCCCAAGCTCTGCGCGCGGAGGGAAAGGGAAGGAAAATCGCAAGAAAATCCAAAGAGGAAAGTGAAGGAAAATCTCCCCTCCTTTGCCGACGGCAGGGGAGACATTTCTAAGAAAACAGAGGCCGGGGACAACATACATTCCTTCCCATGGCGCCGAGCCTACGGGCCTGCTTCCGCGGCAGCAAGAGCTCCTCCGACCTCAAAAGAGACCATCTTTCCGCCTCAACCGCATCCCAGACCATCGAAGCTTCGGCGGAGGAGCATCGCCGCGGCCCTGTTCTAGTGGAGCTTTTCTCCTCGCAGGGATGCGCGACCTCGCCGGAGGCAGAGGTGCTGCTGTCGAGGCTCGGGAGAGGGGATTTCGCGCTGGAAGCACCCGTGATCGTGTTGACGTTCCATGTGGATTATTGGGATCACGCCGGCTGGAAAGATCCCTACGGTTCCAGCCAGTGGACGGTCCGGCAGAAGGATTACATTGAGTCTCTGAACCTCGACACCATGTTCACGCCACAGGTCGTCGTCCAAGGAAGGTCTCATTGCGCGGGGAACGAGGAGGAGTCATTGCTCTCTGCCATCATGAGCGCCCAGAGGTTCCCTTCCCCTGCTTTTCAGGTCATCACTTCCCCTGCCTTTTCCCACCCTCTGTTTCTTCGTTTCTTGGTTTAGGAATTAGTATCCAGAGAAATCCATCCGAATTGGATTTTCGTATTGAGGGGAGGTTTCAATCTGAAATCTTTCTCGACAATTTGAGTCAGAGATCCTAGGTATTGACATTATGCTATTAGAATCGCGCTTTTACATTTCTAGATCACCAAAATGCTTCTGTTCGTAGAATCGTGCTTTTCACTCACCATTGTAGTTAAAATCTACGCATTAAACCTTAAAAGTTCACATTTTTATACTTCTAAATTAGCGAAACGCTTCTACATTGCGCGATTTTAACTGCATTGATTGACATTGTTGATGATTTCTGAAACAGGCGACGTTTCAGAAGCCGTCGCCGGAGACGCTGCTGGTGTCGTTGTCGGGGCCGTTGAGGAGCAAGATTGACGGGGAAGGGGTGAACGTGATGGTGGCGCTGTACGAGAGCGGGCTGGTGATGGACTGCGAGGGCGGGGAGAACTTAGGCATGGTACTGGCGAATGACTACGTGGTGAGGAGGCTGGAGAAGGTTGCGACAGTGAAGGATATCTCGGCCAAGAAAGTGGTGACGGCGGGTGCTCAGTTCTCCCTGTGGGAAGGTTTCAACGGCAGTAAATGTGGGGTGGCCGTGTTTCTGCAGAACAACCAGCACCAGATTTTCGGGTCTCAGAACTTTCCCCTGCCGGATTCCATATGAATAAAGAGTTGAGTTCTTCTTCGTGTATGAAAAAAAAGGGTGTTGTAATCTTCATCTGATTTTTGAGGCTCTCTTATGCACAGCCTGATGTCTTCAGATATAAAATTCTCTTCCATTGATTCGTGTGAAATGAGATTTATGCTGAATGTCTGATTGCTTTCACTGAGATTTCTGAATTGTCTACATTGAAGGATTCACCTTCGTTTCCTTTTCAAAAAGAAGACAACTTCTTCAGGATGAATACGCTGCTGGCTCCGACTTTGCTGTCTGGCCAAGTGCTTTTCCCTCCGCTCTTTCTGAAAAAGAAGAAACACCCAAATGAGAAATTCTTGTGGCAGGCAGCTGATCCAAATGGGATCTTCATATTTTTTTATGCATATAGAGTATCATAAGAACACAACCCTCAATATCCTCTCTACCATTACTTGCTCATTTTGTTCTTCAAACTGCATCCATTCCCACATTGTCAAACCCAAGAACCCAACTTTATCACTTCGTATTGAATACCAAGTAATTAAGAAGCAAAAGGAATAATGTTATAGTGAAGATTTACAAGCTCAGGAACACACTCCATTCCTCCTTTAACCTTCAAGCTCATGATTTTGAACTCATCTCTGCAGTTCTGCAGCTCCCCTGCAGCTTGCTTCTCATTGTTGCTCTCTGGCTGCTCCGCAAACTTGAGCACTGCTGGAACTTGAGTGAGAATGGTGGGCGAATATAGCAGCTCTTTGGGGCAGTCGGTTGGAACCAAGGTTGTCAACCCGCGGGTCGACCCACTTTGACCCTGACCCGGTGAGAAAAACGGGCCGCACGCACCCGTCGGGCCGAACGCTACAAGGTGCCGGGTTGGAGGTCAAATGGTGTCATTTTTTTCATTGGTTTATGAAATGCGCCTATTTTCCGATTTTTCTTTTCGCCCAGCTCAATTTTTGGAATGCTAAGTTGAACATTTGAATATTTATGTTATATAAGTGTGTGTGAATTTTCACTATATGTTGGATCTATATACGATATGTTATTTTGGTGTAATATTATATGCTATAACTCATATGTTCGATAAGATTTGATATAATTTATGAGGATAGGTAGAATATAATGACTTTTTCCATATTTCCGGGCCAAACCGGGCTAAAACGGTTGACCCATTAACCCTTGACCCACTAGCTCGACCAGGTCCGGATCAACCCGCGGGTTGACAACCTTGGTTGGAACTGAACGTAGTTTCAACATAAGGGGAGGAAGATCATTATAACACTAAACAAAGAAATTTACTTTAACTCAATAACTCATTAAGTAATAGTTAATGAACGAATTCCTTCATTAAAGGGTCGATTCTAAAATTCATAAGCTTAGTAGTTAAGTCCTTGAGAATACATATTGAAGGACCGATATTCATATCTAAGGATGCGTGTCATGATGGAACAAAAAAACTTCGAAATGGTCACCTATCAAATTTAACATTTTGTACCTTTCGGGAACATCTCAGCATCAAATTAACATTGGAATTCCCCAAAGTCGAGGGCATCTTCCATGTCAAAATAGTATGAAGAGTAAAGAACACATCATGAAGACAGAGTACGAAAGGGCCAAGCTAAGCTGTTGATTGTGATGCTGCATACTGTTCGTTTAATGCTTGGGTGGAAATTGAAGGAGGGATTGATATTTAGCAAGGTCGCCATATTGAATGTTTATTAATGGCGGGAAACCAGAATTAGGTTTTAAGAAAAACCCAACTACCAGGAAGGCGCATTTACAATTGTCGGCTAGGTTGGTTAGTTGGGTTGGTCGAGTAATGACAAGTTCGTGTTCTCATTGTTTTCTGGTCATGGTAATCCTTCAGGGAGACAGAGGAGATCACAGGAGCTGGAGTAAGTAAAGCACACTCAGAACTCAGAAGAAGAGATGGTAACTGGAATGGGCGATGAAAAGAACTGTGACGTGACAGCCAAGGCAGAAATTAAGCACCGGCATGTTATAAATCCTCCAGACGCCCATTTCTTCTCTGATCACTGCAAACATACAAACTCTCGACGAAATGGAAGGCATCTCCGCCGCCGTATGCGCCAAAATGAAACGCTACTGGAAGCGGCAGGGCTACCACCGCATCTCCGGCGGTTCTTCCGCCAGGATACGGCGGGCAGAGCTCGGCGGTGGGAGGCGGCGGAGGAGGAGGATGTCGTGGCGGATCAAGATCAAGCCGAAGATCAAGCTCAATTCCCTCGTCAAGCCTAACAAGTTCGTGGTCTGGCTCCGGGACGCCTATGTCAGGATGATGCTTGGATTCGCCAACTCCGCCGCCGGCGGGATGGTCGGGGACGGCGTCTCGTCGTTGGGGAGGAAGGCGGTTAAGGAGTACGAAGAGAAGGCGGTGATCCTCGAGATCTACAAGTCGCTTGTCTTGGCTCCGTCGAATCGCCATCACTGAGTTGGGATTCAGATTAATTAGTTCAGATCATCAAGAACAGAGCTTCTGCTCTGTTCGTTGTTCAATTGATGTAATGTAACATGCAATAACTAGAGCAAACATTGGGCTCAACTTTCTCCATCAAACTATTACTACTACTGTCTTCATTACTCTTTGCTTTTTCGTAATGAAATGGCCATGGATCTTTGGCTTTGGGAAGAAAAAACAGGAACAAGAAATTCAGAATCTGGTGGTGGTGGGACCATAACAGCTTAACCCCATTACCCTGTCGAAAGAGGACTCTGTTTTCTTCAGAGCTCCACCGATGTTCGCCATCTCCCCAGCTGAAGCAGAGGATGAAGCAGGGGAAAGGTTTCTAGCGGAGACGAGGGACCTGAGTTTGGAGTTGGCGTGGTGGTGGATTGATCTCATGGCGTGATTCCATCGGCATATCCCTTGATCTTTAAGTGCCTCCACCGCCCCGATGCTCGCCGCCACCATCCAGGCTTTGCTCGCCGCTGCTGCTGAACTCATATTTGATCCGTCTCTGTTTTCAGGTCGATGCTCTGCTTTTTGTTAAAAGGTCGTTGATGGCTGGTGAGGGACAGGGAGACCTATATATATATAGGTGGAAGAAAGGGTGAAGATTTTTCTAGTAGCTTGGGGAGTGAACTCCGGTTAGCCGGTGGATTTGGGAAGTGGGGAGAAGGCAAAAACTATGGGCAGGAAATGGTGCAATCCATGGTATTGGCGTATTCTGGTTCCAAGCCACTTTCCGTTCCTTTTGTTTCCCCTGGTTTCAGCTAGTCATATGAAGAAATAATACCTTAGATCCTTGTTTTTTGTAAATTTGATTCTAACGGCTGAGAAAACCATGCGACCCAAGATTGCTTCATACCTGTAAGCCGCAATCAGCGATCGAATTGCAGACTGCAGAACTATATATAACTAAAGAATGAGGCGACTAACCACTGCGTCGCATCCTGTTGTGAGGAAATGTAGATGCGAAAAACAACAGCGAGGATTCGATCAATACACGTTCTAGAAGGGAGACAGCATCTATGGCGACGGCGGGAGAATGGCATGCATACATTTTGCCATTCAAATACCTGACCCGAGCTTCCAATTTTTGTACAACAGCATCTAGTGCTGATCTAATATGCTGTTAAAGTTGTGTATCAGTAGCAGCGAATGCTACAGAAGCAGGAAGGACGAAGGAAGCACACAGCATCCATTTCCCAGGGGCGACAAGCCGAACCTTCCGCATTTCAACATTAACTCCCACCTCTCCCAGCGCCATTCTTATCCGCTGTTGGGTCCACAATAAAATGCCATGCAAGCAAATTCATCAGCAAGGAATAGACGGATAATCATAATACAATACAACGTTCCCCTTTTATCTTTCTGCAGCAATAGATGAACACACCTCGTGGAAGTCGAATTCGGGATCTTTAGCTTTGGAGAATCCATAGACATGGATCGTCGGGAAAGTATAATCTTCTCTCAAGCTTGTATCACGGAATACACCCCTGAAAGCATCTGGCAAAATACATGGACACACACAAACATTCTGAAGCGCAACTCGGAGTTATATGGTTTCCAGCGCTCAACTTGATAAATGATACACTGTAAGTGTACTTGAACAATGGATTGAAGAAAAATACTGAAGTGCTTGTAACAAGGTTAAAGGGAATGTGTAGTAACAAACCTAGATATTCCGCTGCATCTTTTGGCAAGTTCATCACCACCTGTGTGATTGACTGAGCTTTCTCACTCTTAAACATAGCATCAATGAACCTTCTCCCATCCATGTTGAAAACCTAGAAGAATGAGAAATTCATCTTCCATTGAGTGAGAAGTAATAATAATTGCAACTATTTCATGGATTTTCACAAGATCAAACTACATATTGCTAGAAAGCGCTTTAGAAATTTGGGAAGCAACCCCCATCCCATTTGAAAAAGGTGTTCCTTTACTGTCCAATTTGTCCGCAAGACAAGACGCTGTTCAAAGATGTCATTCATCTAATCAAAGCTCTAGGAGACATTGCCAAAAGCATAGTCTTATAAAAACCAAAAACAAAACAAAAGATGCCATGTCTATCATTAAACAAATAAAAAATGACACAGAATCAGCAACCAACATTTTGAACTGCTGCAGTTTCCAGAGTCTTCCAACAACTTTGGAAGGGGAAATATTAGTATATTACTAGGTTAATTGATGAATGGGGGTCAATTATGCCGTACCTTAATCCTCTTCTCAAGCTTGTTGAGGACACTATTCCTGTCCAAGTAATCAACCGCATAAGGGTTCAAGTCATTTGCATAAACCCGTCTTACTATCCTTGCAGCAGATACAGCTAATGGACCAACACCAGAGAAGACGTCACCTGTCCAGTGAAAATTAAGTATTGTGAATGGAAGTCCATCAGTACAAGGAATGGAATTCAAATCGGTAAAACTGTTACAACAGAAATGTGACAACAGGGCATGCTCGGGACTGGAAGTTGACATAAAATGTTTCATAAGTATTTCTACTCTGTATCCATTTCATAATTTAAAATAAAATGCCCTTACAGAGGCCAGCAGACCCAGGTAATCAAGAATAAGCCCGACTCTGAGAAATGGAAAGAAAATTGTAATGTGCTTTGGATTTTTATATAAGAATTAAGACATACAAACAACATCTTTGTGTGTAAATCCCTGCAGAAGTCTTTGTCTTTCAGTTGCAAGCCGAGAGTTCCAATACCTGCATAAAAATGGAAGGGTGTTACCTGTCTTGGTATATTCGCTTCTAACTTGATGATTAAGATGAGAACCATGGTGGAGACCCTTTAAAAAACTATTGTTTCTGAATTCTGCAGAAAAGTGTAATACAGTATGCAGCATAGCATTCAATGGCAAGAGAAAATCAAGAAAATGTTTTAGTAGTAAAGAGTAAATGTCAAGATGATACATGGAGCAATACTTATGACCCCTTTGGAAGCTCATGAAAATTCATACCCATAGACTAAAATGAGTACAAGAATTTCAATTCGACTTTATTGATTCACAGAGACACAATTGATGCCCCCTAAATACAAACAGGAATATAGAAGCTGCTGTAACATATAGTTTACAAATCAAGCACACACTATAAATGCCCACAATTGTATGTAGTTTCTCAAATCACAAAAACACTTACGAAAGAACTATTATGATTAGGAAAAACATTAAACCTGTACAATTTTGAAGAGAGCAAGAAATCTTACACTGTTGCTAAGTCAAGATGGAATTTCAATCCATTCTCAACTACCATCGTCACAAGAGAGCGATTCCCTGCTAAAACTTCTAGCTGCATTGTTCTGTAGTCACTATGTATGGCATCAATCTTATTCACTACTGTTTGTATCTTTGGTTTGTTCTTATCCAGAATAGCCTGTAGAACACGGCAAATTTGAGAAAAGATTGGACTGTTACCCCATTCCATATATAGCATCAATACACTAAATAAGGAAGTACATATAAGATTGATCACCTTTGCTATAACCTTCTTATACGGTAGATGTTCGTCTTTCAGGTTCAAATGTGCAATATGCCCTACTGTTTCAAATGCAGATGGAATAATCATATCCTTTGGCAGCAAGGCCTCCAAAATCTGCAGAAAGTTGGTCATTAGAGCTTCCCAGGGTCTGGCACTCCTACCAGTTACCATGCCTCGAGCTATCATCTAGGAATGCCCGATGAGAAAAATTAGATAGCTTAATGCAAGCTTACAGAAACTGAAAACCTCTTCATTGGATAGGTTTAATGAATACACATGCATACAAACGCTCTGCAGTAGTAGAACTTGAAGTATAGGCATTGATGTTGATTTTTAATTCGATTAATATTTTATTGGAAGCTTAACTCTATGCATCCTGCCTTGTCTGGTTTGAATAACTCATATCATATCTAAAGGAAGCTGAACTGATCCATGGACAACAACTAACACGGGTCAGCCTGATCAGCTGACATCTCTAGTATTGAAGGAAGTGAAACTTTCAAAGAATATGCTTGGGTACCTCATTCATAAGCCAGTAATCATAGAACAAAGTGAGCTTGCATCTAACAAGCTCAAAGGAATGTACTAAGTTCTCGATCATAGCTTCCTCCAACGCAGCCTGAAAGATGTACAAAGACAACATGCTATCAATTTTGGCATCATCTTATTAAAATTAGAGAACAGTTTACACCAATTGATTAAATTTTGGCACCATCTTATAAAACATTAGAAGAATCCCATGGAGGAACTGGGACAGAAGCACTCCACTGCCATTTATAGTAATGTACAATCAAAACAATGACTCACTGAGTTCAAATGAAAGCAACCTTGACAGCTTGGGGCAACTCTTCCAATGTTTTGTCAGCATATCTCTCATCCAAAAGCAAAAGCCTCGTTGAACCCATCCATCTCTTCCTTCCTTTAAACTCATCACCTAACAATCCCTTCCACTCGTCTCCATTGCCTTCTTCAACAACCTCCACCACTGCAAACTCATTGCTCCCATGCCTTCCCTCTCCATCGCCATCTCCACCTCTGCCTCCTTCCTTCTGTTTCATCTTCTTCTTCTTAGGCCTTGAAATCTTTGCCAAGTTCCTAAACTTAACAAAACCCTTCGCATTAAATTCAGTTGCCAATCTCTCCCTGTACAGAACAGGACTCAATTCCTCACCATCTGTCTCGGCCTTCCCATAAATCCTCCTCTGCAGTGAAGTGAGCTTACCGGCTTCTTCATCTCCGCTCCCACTATGAGACTCTCCTAACAAAGGGACAACTTCCTCTTCCACTTCGTCTCCTGGAACTCTGGCAATGTTGCGAATTCTAGGCCAATTCAACAAATGCCCTCGAATTCTACTCTCAAGAACAAAACAGTATTGGGAAGGAACCCGAACTGCTGCTATGTCGAACACCCTAGTAAAAGACTCTTTATCAATCACACTATCACCGTCCTCTTCTTCCTCTTCCTTGCGCTTACACTGATAAGAACGATGTTCCTGCTCTTGCTGCCAACCCGAAGGTGGGAGATTACCCTTTAAAAGAGATGGTCCATAAGGAAGGGTATCGGTATCGGTTCTGGAGCAGAGAGCAACATGACTGGAGAAAGCAAGTCTGGGGAAGTGGCAGAAATGGTTTGTTGTCGGAAAAATGGCTAAACAAAAGGGAGAAGTGGGGCCAAGTATGAACTTGGAAACCATGGGACGGAAGTTCATGCTTCCTTAAGCTTCATGGAAAAAGTATGGTGGATGAAGAGGCAAGGGACAGATTCAGTGTTTCTGACATACCCAAACTGAGATCCAACAGTGCGAGATTCTCATAAGTAATCACTGGAATAATTGCAATAAACAGGCTGTACATAGACTACAAACTTCCAGAACTGCAGCTGGCATGAGCCAGTCACTACTCAAACTGAAAGATTACATAACAAATCAAAGTTAGTAGATACATACATAAAACACCTATATATGAAGTATGAATACACGTCAATACTCATTCAACCCAAAAATCAAACAACTTTGAAGCAATATGATAATAGACTTGAACCAAACAACCAAGACCAAGAAATTTTGCTTCTGATTACTGCTACAGACAAGCCCACTGCCCACCACTTTCAGGTCAATTCTCCAATATTTCGGCTGCATATTTCCCCGCAGCTCTATGATAACTCAGTGAAGTTCTATGATATTCTCAGTGAGGAATTGAAGCGAAATCCGCTATGACCAATGACTCCTCAAACAAAGCAGACACAAATGAAAGAACCATATGCAAGCAAATCAACGAAGTTCCTGTTCGTGTACAGGGAGCGACGCATTAGACTAGAAGAGTGGAAAGGGACTTACCCTTGGTCGTGTTCCTTCTCCCAACTCCCAAGCGATAGAGAAGAGAAATCCAGTCGAGGCGCCAACCGTCGAAGAAGAGATGAGTAGCAGAGATGCTATTAGGCTGAAACAGCAAATAACCAAATGTGCTTAACTGCGCGGGCCGTTATTAACAGAAAAACTGGACGGGCCGGACTACAAGCCCATATCTAGGCCCATCCAGAAGGCCCGGAGCTGACTGATATTTACGTGCAGCGCCACACAAATCTCATCCATTTTACGATTCACCAGCCTTCCCGTAACAAAATCCACGAACTCCGGCGACACTTCCCAAGAAAAAGGGCGGAGAAAGAAAGATGGGGATTTCGCCGTCGAAACAGGCGGAAACCACTCTCAGTAGCTCGTCGGCGTTCACCGCCGCCTGCGAATCGGCGTATTCCCACTGCCTTTCCTTAACCCAGCACGCCTTCCCAGGCGTCCTTCCCTACCAACTCCCGACTGCCTCCGATCAAATCCACTCCACCCTCACCACCACTAACAAAATCCCACTCATCGTCAATTGGGTCCCCACGCCGCCGACCCAGGCCCAAGTGGACTCAGCTCTGAAGGTCGTTGAAACCTTCCGACGAGCCCCTAAGAACCCGGCCCAACAGGAGGCGGAGGCGCCGGAGGAAGAGCCGATGACGCTGGGAGCGGAGGAGTTTAAGCAGTGGGCGGTGGTGCTGTTCGCGGATGCCGTGGCGGACAAGGCTGGGAAGGCTCTCCTGCAGCGTGTGCCGATTGGAGTCGCCGGGATAGTTGGGATTGGGGCGGTGGCGAGGCCAGGGAAGAATTTGGTAGGGGCGGCGATTGGACTCTACGCGCTCGGGGTCGTGACTTCCGTGTACCTGAGTTTGTCCGGTTAAACGTCCGTTTGTTTGTGTCAGTAGCCAGCCAATAACTAGTCGACACATGTCTCTTCTTGTGATAATTTTTAATATTTTATAGTGAATCAACGTCGTCGATTAAAATATGAGGCTCAGGCTATACCGCCATTTCCTGTAATCCAATCAAACGGAGCCGCCGGCCGAGATAAATGCAATAACCTAGTGGCGAACCGTAAGCAACCGAGTAAAAGAAAGAAGTGCTCTGATAACATAGTAATGATGAAAAGCTGACCACCGAATTCGAAATGACTTTAGCAGCAAGTAATGTGAAATGCAGCATAACTCGCACTTGGCTCAACACGGTTCGCCAAAGATCTAAACCAGTGATCGTTCACTACCTCGATTTGATGTATCAAATCACAGCGAGAAAGCTCCAGCACAGCCCGGAGCTTTCTGGTGCCAACTACATCCTACCCAATAGAACCCAAGAGCGAAAAATTGGTAGTGCAGAAGCTGCAGCAGCAGCGAAGCTCAAGCCACAAGGGCAAAATGTGCAGTTTCGAAGTTCAGTTCGAGCTAACACGCGCTTTGCCTATCCAACAGAACTCAACAAGTTATGGAAAAGGCATTCTTCTCTCTCCTGATCTGGTATTTGAAAGAACGATACTGATGTTAGAAAACCTGGCAGGCAGATTTCAGTTGTTGATCCTCTCGAAGAAGTACAAGTAGCCCATGTCCTTTGGCGGGTTTACAGAGACTCCGACCTTGGTATCGTTGAAAATCACCCATCTTCCCTCCTTGAGAACATGAGCAACGTAATGCCCGCATTGTGTTGAGGTTCCAATGTGTGAAATTATTCCAAAGAGTCGGTATTCTGCAAGCAAGGAAGGGAGCCATCAGTTGAACATCCCCTAAAAATTACCCATCGTGACAAGGCATCAAATTGACATGAAAAAAAATTCAGTCAAGCTTCAATACGGGATGACATAAGCGTGTAAAACTGTAAATGCACACGGAATCAAGCAGCAAAACTATGAGGAAGAAGGTTAAGGGACTAACTCCCTCCTCCATCAGGCAGTCCAGCAGTGGTATCTGTTGTAGGTGTACTGCTTGAGGTAGTAGTATCCATGTCAGATGAGCCAGAGCCACCAGGATTGTTGAATATCCAATCTGTAGCTTTCTCAATGTCACCACCCTGAGAATTTGAACAGATAAAAGAGAAGGTACTTAATGATCCAGACCTACCTTGTGAACAAAAGTAATTCAGCCTCTTCAAAAAACAGTGTCGAAGCATAAAAATATTACCGAAGCTTTCAGTGCCTTCTTAGCCACTTCTTCTTCAAATCCAAATGAGATCAGGGTCTGAACTGCCGACTGATCAACAACTTCAGCTCCTCCTTGTGAACCTTTAGAAATTGGAGCCTCGATATCTGTAACACAAGTCATGTCACATTAATGGGAAAATTACTCTTCACCCAAGGAAGTGTTGCTCCACCAATCAAATCATACATATACCTGGGTCATCCATATGAGAGAGCAACCAATTCATTGCCTCTTCTACGCCTGCATTTAGTGTGTTTATTGCAGCCTTTTGACAAGGAATATGGCCAAACCCCATTGACATAAGCTGCGCAACAATATCATCGTTGGCTGCAACTTCATTTGATTCTTCCTCAGTCTCGGGGCCTATGCATCACGAAAAATGACGTATAAGGAAAAACTAGATCAGCTCAAGTTCCCATGCTGTATAGCAATAGGTAACTCCTTAAAATACTGTGCTCTCCTAAAATCCAATCAATAATAGATGGTTAACAACAGTATGATCTGAGCATAGCTAACAGTAACAAGAGCCGATTAAGTATAATTGAACTTGGTATGACCAACATCAGCAAAAATAAAATAAAAGGAAAGCAGAGCAGAGCAAGATACAGGAAGAGGCATACCACCATCTGGCAATAGCTCCTCCCCAGGTTGAAGGCCCTTGCTTCTCATGTGACTTATATCGATAATGTCAGGAACATCAATATACACATCTGCATGGACAAAATTGATGTGAAAAGATAAGGGAACCAGTAATTAAAGGGTGAAATTTTTTTCAAATCAATAAAATGACATAATTGTACCTAGCTTTTTGGGAACCCATCCCTCCTCCATAACAAATTTGCGCATGTGCAACACCAAGTAATCAGGAAACGAAGTTAGACCAGCTTTCCTGCAACAGGAGATAAAAAGATACTTTAGCCAGAAAATCCACAAAGAAGTCATCAAGATTATTTTTAAAAATGTATCAGGAAGAGTCGGGAACCAGAGAAAATAGCTTACTTTATAGCCATGGTCTTCGCCCTCAAAGCAGTGCTGTAAAAATCCTGTATCTCCTCTGGAGCTGAAAAGTTAGCCAGGCATGCTTCTAAAGGTACCCGTGGGCGTACAATTTCGTTGCTGGATCTGACAAAATTAGATACTCTAAGCACAAATCTTACAACTATAGAAGAACAGACGACACAAGGACAGTGCATAAACTTACACATCTTTCCCTTCAGAACCTTTCTGTGCTTTCTGGAAGGCTTCTAATTCTCCTGCATCCAAAAATGTTAAACTCATCAGGTAAAAGGGCTTATAGATGCAAACCAGAGAAAGAAAAAAAAATATTACCTTTATTTGTAGCTTCATGCAAGGGAATATTCAAAGATAGAATGTAATCATGCCTTCGGTTATAAGCAACCTTCCCAGAAGTACATTGTATACGCTCTTCAATACCAAACTTAAAACTCCTTGAAGGATCGGCATCAGGTTTCGCAACATTCCCATGCTCAACTTGGTCAAGGAAGTGTAGGAAGAATTCCAATGCATCCTACAATAATAATCAGAATCAGCACTTTACGAATATGTTCATGGACACGAAACATTTCATATATAACAGCCCATATATAGACCATTGTTATAAATATGAGTTCCCATCTTCCCAATCACGTCATCGAATTAAACAAACAAAAAATTGGTTTACTAGATAACGATGATGCTCCCACCAGGAAAAAGAAATAACAACAATCACGAGTATCTAACTACAACACAAAGGTGTGCGTTGAAGCAATTTATCTAAACCGGAAGAACTTAGAAATATCAAATGAGTACAAATAAAAGATGCATATATAGTTAATCATTCCTAAAACAATTTAACAACATAGTCAGCCTCTGCAAGAGGTAGATAGCTCCAATGCAAGGCAACTCTTCCCCAGGGCCAACCACCACTACATGCAGCTGATAGTTATAAAGTGGGAGTCTCGCAAAAAGTAAGACCTTTCGAATTTTCAGCAGACAGAGTTCCAGAATTTTGTTGGAGTTTCATAAGAACTGATACCCAACCATATTCCACGTGAATACAAATCAAGAATTACAGTAAGCATACCTGCTGCCTCATTGAAGAAAACTCAGGATGGCTTGCAGCAATGACCGCTTTGAACATGCGAGGAGGTATTCCTTCTTGTTTCTAACATTGCCAAATGGGGGGGAAAAGAGTGAAACAAGGAAGAGAGAACAATAGCTCTCGCAATGGTAACAATCACTAATAGAGCTGTGATGGATCACATGCAAATGAAACGTACCGTACTGGTGGATGTTGCAGATTCAGCAACATCAACTGCCTGAGTTACAAAGAACAAAACGGAGAGATCAGAGAGAAACTATGAGTATATTAATATCAAATAGCTTCAACTTTACATACCTCCGGTGCAGGAACGGAATATTTTCCAGACAGTAAACCATGTCCCAGCTTCGTGCTGCAATATGACAGATGCATTAACATACACATTCCCAATACATTTCATCAATAAAATAACCTATCTTAACACAATGTCAGCCAAATTACATCGAAACTACACGTGGACATGTCACAAGATTTCATAAACGATGGATGCAGAGATCAAAAGGTATTCGTGACTGCCAATCATATACTGGAGTAGAAGTCATATGAGCACCAATAAATATTTAAAGCTAAGGATCAAATATGTGATTAATATAAGTCATGATAGATTAAGCTGCCTTTTTGTCTGCGGTTGGGGGGAAAAAAAGACAGTTTTGACCTACAAATCAACCACCCCTTTGTGGCATTGCAGGTAAATATAATTCTTATACCCTTTATTGTCAAACACAATTGTCAAATCGCCTCATTTCAAATTGAAAAATCATTATTGCACCTTGGAACAAATCGAAACCAGATGCCATACAGCTACAAAACCAAAAACAAATGACTTAGGCTAGGAATAGAAGGTTTCACTTTCATCCCAAACAAACAGACTCATTATGCTCCCAGTTACAGGAAACAATGTGTTTATTAACACCATAGCTAACCACCCTCCTGAGAAAAAATTGGGTCCAGAGAAAATGTGGCAAGTATAAATGTACAGGTGCTTACAGCTGCATATTCAAGTCCACCGTTGGATCAGCAGGAGCAGCCTCAAACGCTACTTTCAAAGCTTGATTCTTGTAGAATCTGTAATGTAGTCACAAACTAATGAAAGAACAGTGGAAATCAAATATGAAAGAGGGTACTTTTCAGGTTGCCACAATTAAACACTAACCGTGAACTGAAGGACTGTGTAGAGAACACAACTTGCATAGTTGCTGCCATGTAGCAGCTGTCAGCAGAACAACAGTTTAGTATGAAAACCATCTCCAACTGAGTTGCCGATAACACAGCTTAACTAATAAAAGAAAAACTTACCTATTACCGAGATTCACAAGTCCTGTATAACCTGGACCAAAGATAGGTTCTAAATCCTGCCCACTTTCTTGAATTCGATTCCAATCGAAATTGATATTCTGGTCAAGTTCCCTTTCAGCAGTCGTCATTTCAGTCTGAACAAAAGAAACCGAAACATAAGCTTTAGCCAAACACGTGAATAGGTGCGATAGCTATAGAACAGTATGGACTTGATTATATAATATTCGACCAACTAGGCCCGGAAACAACTGGATAAATACTATCATGTCCAAACAAATTCTGGATTCAAATATGATAAAAACAAATGTCATGCTCAGAGTTAATTACTAAAAGTAAGCAGATCCTTACCTTCTTTAAGGATGAAAAATCAATTCCAAAAAAGGATAAATGTTGCGCCAAAAGTGGGTCCAAAACACTGTCATCCTCAGGATAAGAGAAAACATCTGAGCTGCCACAATTCGTTAACCATCATTAGTTTAAAGAAAAGTCAAGTGTCAAAACAAATATTGAACATCTAATGCAAGCAGTGCTAGCCATTCAAATCACTCCTGGCTGTCTCGATGAATCCAAGTGATTGCCGTGTTTTCTCAAGTATAATAGGTGACTCCTTCAAATACGAATACTTATTGCAGTTCTGGGAGAAGGTTGACCTCTATGATGACTAGTGCTGATCATTGTTAGGATCATCCTAATCAACTGGGGTGGGTGGGGGGGGGGGGGGGGGGGGAATCCTGCCTTTCGCCAGCTGCTACAAGACGCAGCTAATTTCATGCTCCCACATTTTAAATTTATTAGGTTATATAGAACAAGGAAGCAACCATGAAGTTACATTATACAGGCCAGAGACTCAATGAAAAACATCTTTTCACTTGCACCCTGACCCCAAAACTGAATTCACAGTCTGCCACTCTTCGTCCCTCCAATGATATCGTCATTTCTGAACCAACTCCTCACTCATCTCTTTCTTAATCTCCTTGTAAATTGTAATCATATATCTTATTAAGGTGGTCACTATTTCATTGATCGTAACAAACTAGATGAGTTCCTATTTAGCACAATTCACAAACAAACAAGAAAACAAAAGCAAGAGTGAAAAGAAAATGCAATTTTAGGACATTACAACCAAGGATCACTGACAAACTAAGGAAGCAACCATGAAGTTACATTATACAGGCCAGAGCAGACTCAATGTAAAACATCTTTTCACTTGCACCCCTGAACCCAAAACTGAATTCACAGTCTGCCACTCTTCGTCCCTCCAATGATATCGTCATTTCTGAACCAACTCCTCACTCATCTCTTTCTTAATCTCCTTGTAAATTGTAATCATATATCTTATTAAGGTGGTCACTATTTCATTGATCGTAACAAACTAGATGAGTTCCTATTTAGCACAATTCACAAACAAACAAGAAAACAAAAGCAAGAGTGAAAAGAAAATGCAATTTTAGGACATTACAACCAAGGATCACTGACAAACTAAGGAGTTCAATACAAGGTAATTACTGTGTTTTTCAAAACACAAGTAGCCATTACCTGCTGCTTCCAAGTCTGAAGTTATTGTCCCCAGTTTAACAGCAAGAGGATGGCCTGTCTCCTTGTAGTGATCAATCGCATGGTTGTTACCACCAGTTCCATCCCAATTTCTCCGGCCACAAAGGATGAATCCGTCAGTAAGATTCAGCCAAAGATTATCCCTCTTCTCACATTTGACACATTTCCAACCAGCCGGTGGAATAACGACTCCATTGTTAATCTGTTTCAAATCCATTGCATGTGCACTAACTTTCTTTGTATCTGCAGTCCAAGCAGCAAGTTGCTCCTTCCGCTCTGCACCTTCAGCCCTTAAAATCGCATCAGCAGCAAGTCTCACCTGCAGAAGTGCAAGAGAATAATACCATATTAGGTCTTCAAACTAGGACTCAAATCCATAGTTGACAAAACCCCTGAACCATATAAAAACTACCACCTTCTCTGGTAACTCCACAGAAGGGAATGGAAAGGTCACATGTCCGGGAAGTACTACTATGCTGTAAGTTTCTTCATATTCAACTTCATTGTTGTCAAAACCCCCTTCAGTACCTATAAACAAGTAAGAGATTCGTCAGCATCCACAAACCATCTAAATCCTAGCTACTCGAGACAAAAATGAATTCGGAGATAGAAGCATCATAGGAGTAGGAAAAGTAATGCTGATATTTGATACCTATGGCAAGAAGGGTTGGCTTCTTTGAAGGCCTATCTTCAGGAATCAACTTTCTGGTCTCCTTTATGTGCAAATAAACAGGGTTTCCCGTCTTCTCATAGTTCCAACCCACACAATCTTTCCCGAAAGCAAGAAACGTGTTCATGTCAATGTACAGCCCCCCTTCTGATCTCTACAGCATAATAACAGAATCACAGACAAAATTCAGCAATTTACACAAATCATAGTACTTAACAGTTAACACAATCAACTATCCTTCATGATCGGCCCTTAAATCATGTGACAAAGCAGATTGAGACCCCAAATATATCTCCCTTCTATTTCACTACTTGGCTTAGTAATCCAGCAGCACTCATCGCCAAAGGAGGAAAAGAGAGCTCCAATAAGCCATGCAGATTGTTGGAGACGTCAGGAATTCTACTCAGTGTTCTTAGAAAATATCCAGATATCAAAAGCAACTGAAGCAGAGAAATTGCAGGAGAGCCATTAGAAGTATAGCTGTGGCAACAATGACAGCACTCGTAGCAAATAAAATGGAGTGAGCTGAGGTTTCCCGTATCAAGCAAACACTAATTTCTCTTTAAACCAAGTCTCGATCACAAGCCATTCCACCTAAAAGTTCTTCCCCGCTCGCTTCCGAGAGAACCAAACAAGAACGATGAAGAAATGGGCGAGGAACGAAAGAAAAAGAAGACTAACCGGGTTATCAAACGAGATGCAGCACTCTGATTTGTAGACGCGGTTCGTCGGCTCCGGTATGCGCACACGAGAGAGGTTGGATCGGAGCAGCTCCTGAGCATTGGCCGTCTCCATCGCAGTGGCGTGTGTCGAAGGGCAAACTTTCAGTAAGAAGAATCCGCAGCAGGAAGAAAGGAATTCTGCTTGAAGCCAAGCTTTAATGGCTTCCGCTTCTAAATTGGCCCCCCTCCTATGGGTTTCCGCTTTCTTCTTTCCCGTTCTTTGTTGCTTTCGTTTATGGTGCCTTCTTCCTTTCTCACTTCTCCTCTTCTTGATACAGAGCTACAGTCGTCTCTTCGTCAATCCTCGAGCTTTATATGAGCAAGACTGCCATTTTCAATCGGCGAAGAACGCAACCCTGACGGGTACCAGATCGGGTCGGGCTGGATAGTTAGCGTGCCTTATTTGTTACATGGGCCAACCGATCCATTACCTAAATTGGTTTTCAATGGTCCATACCAGAGTTGTGGGCTTTCAGTAATTCACTGGAACATATTTTGGCCCATCCGTCACTTGGAAATCTGTTTATTTTATCATATAAAAATTGGGTAAATTGCAAGATGAGTTACTGAAATTATTAAAAATGTTCACGTTTGGTCACTGAAAATATTTAATCTCAATAATTGCCACTAAGTTAATTTAACATTCATGTTAGGTCACTCTTCGTCCGGCTTCGTTAATGGATCCCATTAAGTGCTGACATGGCAAACGAAATCCCCTAGTCAGCCGGATTTAACTTAACAAAAATAAAATCCGACCCGCCACATCGTCAAAACCAACACAACACATGACCCAACTCGAACCTTCTTCCCACCTCCTCCCGCAAACCTCCCCCAACTCCATCGCCAAAACCCCTGTCTCATCTTCGCACCGGTCACCAATGGGGAACCATCTCGACTTCTCCCAACTAGTCTCCTCGCCCGGATTTCCATCAACGTCTCCCTAGCCAGGGTCCTAAATTTAGTTTTACATTTTTCTTTATATTAATTGTTACTCATCACTCGCCAAAATTTAATTTATCGGACTGCGAAGAGTAGTTAGACAAAACTTGTGAAATTTTGTCATACTACATAATAAAATTGAGAGAAAGTTTTAGTGTTTTCCAAACTGTCATTAGAGTTAGTGTGAAAGAACGAGACATGATAGTTGTAACGTTTGATTAAAGAAGAGGGGCAAAATAAGACTTTCGCATGAAGTCGTTGAGGCTCGAACACCTCGGCATTGAATTGCAATGTTTCTATTGTTACATCTTGAATACAAGTTCAAGTGATAGAAGGTAGAGTTGGAAGAAAGCAAAGAGATGGAGAATCGGCCAAGTAATAGAAGGTAGAGAGAGCAGAGAAGGGAATCTCACACATTGAGAGGGAGAGCCTGTTGGAGCCAGTATAGTACTTGTCATGGCATGGCCTAGTCGCATGGATCGCAACTATCGAGGACTCGAGGTCCAGTCCCTGCCATTCCCCAACCCGACCCACAAAGTCGGCTTCATTAGTACTACTTCTACTTCACACAAAAAAGATATTTAAAAAATATGACCTATGTCACATAAGCTCCACTAAAATTGTATGCATCTAAGCTCAGATTGGCGTTTATATGCTTCCCTTCCTTCCTTTCTTTCTTTCTTTTTCCATTTTTCGTCCAAGAAAAATGTTAGTTTTTCTTATTTTTAATATAATTAGTTTTTTATTTCCAATAAAATGTCATCCAATTTTTATTAAAATATTCTATAACTTTTTTTCTCAATATATCAATCAATTATCAAGCCCTATGTTTTATTTTAACTTTGAAAATATGATTTTATGGCTAATATTTTATGTCAATTTTGTGAAGCAAATAGTTAAGAAAAAATTATTTTCTTACATTGTTTGAGAATGAAGACATATAAAAAACAACCTTTTATTATTTTCATTGACATAAAAACATTATAGATAATCAACATAAAAAAACAAGTTAAAAAATCTAAACAATGATTAAAGACGAGATAAAAAGACTCTAAACAATCATTATCTATATACTTCTCCCATCCTTCTATTGAATTATCTTCTCTTCCCTGTTCTTTTTGGCTCTCTGCCTTCTCTTCATACTTGTGTGTCACCTAATAGGCTAATACTCTAGAACATCTAGGGTTTGCTCTCTCCCCTTTTCCCCTCCATTATAAAACCAACATTTTCGTTACAAAATTGACGACCAACCTCCGTTAATCGAAGTTCTTCCCTTCCTGCATGACAAGTAAGTCGCTCAATTTACACATTTGATGAAGTGGATTCGCCTGTCGAGCGCTGACAAAACCAACGACCTCCCTCCCAACGTGATCGAGCGTATCCTCATCTTCCTGCCCGTCAAAGACGCAGCCAAAACCGCAACATTGTCGACACATTGGAGGCACGAGAGGAAAGACATTCCTCAACTCAATTTCAATTCTGATTTCGATCGAATCCATGAAGTGAGAAAATACGCGCCCAATGTAAACGAAGTAGTTTGAGGATTTACAAAGCCCTGATGACCTATGACGGGCCGTTCGCCAAAGTCGTCCTCGCGATCCCAGGATTGAATCTTATTCACGAAATATTTGATTATCTACCTCTCCAACAAAGGGGTCAAGGAATTCGTCCTCCGCTTCAGTGACGAATTGGACGGCTACCTACTTTGGAAGATGAACTAAATGATGAAGATATTGTTAAGTGATTAACTAAATGAAGAGTTGAGAATTCCTTCTCAACAAAAAGAAAAGGACAAATAATTTGTCTGGACTACTGTTATTTCATTATACATTGAAACTTATAGTGGCGTTGGGCTAAATTACACGTTTGGTCACTCAATTTATACAAATCTTTCATGTTTGTCACCCAAATTATTTTTCTTTCTTATTCGCCACTAACTTTACGAATTGTTTCACCGTTAGTCACCAGACGTCCAATCTTGTTAAAACCATCCAACATGGCAGTCAACTAAACCCTTTGACCGTTAGTTTGATGGCGTTGTATTAAAAAAATAAATGTGACATTGCTTGAGGAATATGGATAAAAGAACTCCATCAATTTCAACTGAATTAACTTACCAATGTCATCCAAATTAGTGTTTTGACTCCAATTAAATCAAACACCAGTTTGTATCAACTGGCACGGGCAAAATAGTATCAGTAATATATATGTGGACATATGGGTCAATCAACATAAAAGATTTGGTTGGTTTGTACCAGTTTGAATTAAATTATCAATGTCATCCAAATTGATGTTTTGACTCCAATTAGATCAAACACTAGTTTGTATCAACTGGTGCGGGAAAAATAGTATCAACAATATATATGTGGACATATGGGTCAATTAACATAAAAGATTTGGTTGGTTTGATCTAGTTTAAATTAACTTATCAATGTCATCCAAATTGATGTTTTGACTCCAATTAGATCAAACACCACTTCTTTCTCTCTCTATTTCAAATTTCTCTGACATCTCTCTAACTTCTCTTTTACATTTTCCAGAGGGGGTGCCGTCCGCTTCACCTATGTAACCGACGGTAACCCTTTGCCATCTTTATTGCTTTTATTTTTTATCTTCTTTGTGCTGCTGTCTTTTCCAACCCCCCCCCCCCTCCCTAGTGGAGTTTCCATTTCTGTTTTGCCCTCTCTCTTTTGTGGATTTTGCTATGAATTTATCTTTGGAGATGTTTTTTCTCCCACGCTTCAGATCTGTTGTCAAATCTTGAGGTTGGGCCAGTGTGCAAAGGGATTGTTTATACAATTTACAACTTTTCTTTTGACATTTGCACGACAAAGCTATGCCATGATGAGATTCCCACCGCACCCCAACTTTTGCTCAATAAATCCCACATGAGTTGAATTTGCACGACAAAGCTATGCCATGATGGCGACTTCAATTAATTTATCAACAAGTGATTGTACTATATCAATATTTATGAATGAGTCGATTTAAGTGTATGTAAATTGACCATCAAGTTTGAGAATCAACTTCCAAGTAGCTTCATCCCCCCCCCCCCCCTTGGGCTAGTAGTTTGATTTTCATTACAAAAATTTGAAAATTGGTGCTGAGTTAGTCTAGATAATCAAAATTCGGGTAATTTATAAGTATTATTATCCGTGTAATGTTAAAATCAAATATAGCCTTTGGCTTCGAATAGAATAATGAAACATGCCATCCGAAAAACAAAATTCTCTCCACGATTTCCCCCACCAAATTAGCTTCGCCTTCCCTAAATCCTCGCTCCGTCGCATCACCCTCCACCGTCCATATTCCCCGGCGCTCTGCGAGCGGTTGCCTCTACCCATCGCTCTAATTAAAACATCCACGTTAAATGCACTTGCTGTCGGAGACGGTCCCCCAAAAACTAATACGGCAGCTGCCACCACCAAAACGACAGACGGCAGGAATGCGAAGCTGATCATCAGGAAGAAGTAAAAGGACGTGACAAGAACCATAACTTCATATGGTTCCTGTCATCTAAGAGATTATTGTCCGGTGGAATTGGTCAAGGGCGGCGGCGTTGGAGGGGATCGTTGGTCGTCATTCGGTGAAATATTCAAGCGATGGAAGATGATGATCAGAGAGACGGGGTGTTGTTGTCATCGTATCCTTCTAATTCTACGACGGCGTCTACCACCGCCACCACGACGGCGACGAGTACCACGATGCCGTCGCCGGACTGCGGCAGAGGAGGGAAGCCCAAGAAAGGATTGAAACGGTTCCCTCGTGTATTGAAAGCCATTCTCTTCGAGACATCGCTGGTATAATTACATTAATCTTTAATTTCTTTATTATTATCTCTATGAATCGATAAATCATTAATTGATTTAAATTTATCGATTGATCGATCATTCAAGCTAGGATAAGTAAGTAATTTACATTGTCTTCGAAACAAGGGTAATGTCTTGATAATGAGAAGCCCAAGAAAGGATTGAAACGATTCCCTCGTGTATTGAAAGCCATTCTCTTCGAGACATCGCTGGTATAATTACATTAATCTTTAATTTCTTTATTATTATCTCTATGAATCGATAAATCATTAATTGATTTAAATTTATCGATTGATCGATCATTCAAGCTAGGATAAGTAAGTAATTTACATTGTCTTCGAAACAAGGGTAATGTCTTGATAATGAGAAATTATCAAGTGCATGAGGAAGATCTTGGGAAAATGATGTTTTAGAAGAACTCGGTTATTAGTTAATTGCCTAGTTATTTGTTGTGTTCATTTGGTTGTGGATTTCTTGGTTGTAAGTTTGAAAGCAAATCAGATTGACATGAACTATGATAATTTCGATGTCAAATTGATTTTTCAACTTAAATAGTTTTTATTCTGGTTTAAATAGTAAAACAAATCAGGAATCAGAAAGCCAAAATCGTATTATAATCATTGTAAGCGGGGAACAATTTCGTTTTGTCGAGTTGTTCATGTCGCGAAATGAAATCGATATATAGTTTATCCGTTTGTGAGGCTTTTAACTGTTTAGGATTTTGTTTTTTTCCTTCTCCTAAATGGTTGGTTAACTGAACCGAACCGAACCGAACCAAATCAACATCCCTTTCATCAGCTCTTAATTATTTACTTTTGGCCTGCAGGCGAAGAAAATCCGGAAGAGAAAAAACGCACAGAAAGGAGGAGGTGGCAACATCTACGTCACGACACCTGGCAACGCGGACCCCACCAACCCACTCAGCGAACAAGACCCACCACTCCAAAACGGCGTCGTGGAACTCCCTCCAGGACTCCTCCTCAATTCGTCAACCCCGTCGCTGACCGCCGCCGTCAGCAGCGTCTCCTCCTCCTCCTCCGCCGCCCTCTCCAACTCCACCTTCGCCACCAGCAGCAGCAACAACTCCTCCACCAACTCCCGCTCCTCCACCGCCAACACCACCCTGCAGCCGCTCGACGGGGAGATCATCCTCCTGCAGGATCATCAGCCGAGCGACGGGAAGGGCGGCAGTCCTACCGCGGCGGCGGCGGCGGCGGGGAAGGGGAGGTACAGCTCCAACGTGGGGCTGTGCTTGGTTCTGGTGAGCCTGGTGGTGCTGGTTTTCTGGGGGAAGATCTGCGCGATTATTTTCACGTCCACGTGGCTGTTCTTCGTGCCGCATTGCATCCCGGGGACCGTGTCGAGGATCGGGGCGTTGTACTGTAGGAAGATCGAGCCGGAGGAGTACAGGAAGAGTAAGGTGGTGGTTGTGGAAGGATTCGTTGAACGGAATCGGAACCGTTGCCGGCGGTGGGTCGGCGGGCTCAAAGGAAGGCGAGGATCGAATGACGAGTGAGATATATAACTCGCGGACGTGCTTTATATGTTGGAGGGATTTTGAAATGTTGTAATTAATTAACCTTGTGTTTTCATCAAGTTAGGCGATGAAACTGTGTAAATTTATAAAACATAGTGACACGTTTTATTACACTATCAAATGTAAAAGAAATTAATTAATTAATTAAGGATTTATGCTAATTCAATTTTGTGATGATTAGTGATCATACGTACTGTATCATGTATGAGTCTCTACTAGCTAGTTTTTGCCTTTATCGAAAATATCACTCAATCATCCCAAGAAGATTCTCTAACAATTGTATTAACGTTTACCTAAAAATTCTCAACTATTAATTTGAATTGTGGCTATGCCATAGTTTCAAGCAAACACACCGATTATTTGGCTAATATTTATCGACTAGTGATGTAATAATTATAAGTACGTAGATGATTGAGGACGTAGTAAAACACTCCGCCGCATTTTAATAGAAAATGAGATATTACCCAGTTAGCACTGGAACGAAAAAAGACGAAGAGTGCTGGAAGCAAGCATATCTCATTTGCTATTCTTACCATGGTTTCAGAGTAGGACTTGACTGTGACCCGAAGAGGTCCACCCCTAGCTAACCCCGACGCCACTAATGATTAATATCCAAATTATTGGAATTAGATATTGTACTAACCATGTAGAAGGTTGCTAATAAGCAGTGGCGGACCCAGGATTGTTGAATAGGGGTGTCACCTAATGAACGAGTATCGATTATAATTATTAAAGTGGTGTCGGAAATCTCGTATTAAATTTTTTTTGTACCAAAAAAATATAGGTTCTTCACAAAATTTTCGGGCAAAAGGGCGCAACACCTAGGTCCGCCCCTGCTAATAAGTAATAACTATGAATTCTTGACCCTTAGTAATTCAGTTGTATTATTGTCCCACCAACATATGTGCTTGATTAGCACCCTTAAACAAACCAATAATTTATATTTTATTGGCAATAAGTCAGCAAAACCCAATTTCTAAAAGGAGTCCCGTTCCACCAACCGTATCAAAGATAGACCTAAGCCGGCTAAGCGTATCAAAGACATATATATGCATAGTAGATATTAAGTTAGAACACTTTATTGTATGCAAACAAAACTAATGGGTCCATAAAAAAAAAAAAGCATTACTAATGGGACAAGACATGGCCAGAAACCCTTCCATTAATTAATATGGGTTCCTATTCGTTCATAGGGTTATCTGATTTGTAGGGAATTGGGATTAAACAGAGATCATGTTTCCTCTTCAACGTCGCACCGAGACGTTCGGACATGTCCAGATTCTCCAGTGACTTTCCATCACCAGACTTCCAGTCAAAGTGGTAGAGCAGGTTAGCCAGGGGAAGTTCCACGCTGGCCATCCCATATGCTATACCGGGACACATTCTTCTCCCGGCGCCAAATGGAATGAACTCGAGATTTTTTCCGTAGTAATCCACTACGGAATCCAAGAACCTCTCCGGTACGAACCGGTCCGGATCGGTCCAGTACTCGGGATCTCTTCCCATGGCCCAAGCGTTGATGATGACCTTGGTATTGCACGGAATGTCGTACCCGTCAATCTTACAGTGTTCCAGGTTTTGCCTCGGCAACAACAACGGAACGGGCGGGCGCAGTCTCATGACTTCTTTTATCACCAGTTTCAAGTACTTCAACTCGCCCAGACATTCTTCTTTGACGGAACCTGTTTTTCCAAACACCCTCCTTACTTCGGTCTGTGCTTTTTTCAAAGCTCCTCGGTTTCTCAGCAGCTCCGACATCACCCATTCTACTATTCCGGAAGAAGTATCAGTTCCAGCGGTGAATATATCCTACAAAGAAATTAAAAATCAAATTGAATGTTTCAATATCACAGTCATATCTTCACGAAAATTTAGTTGAGAGAGTATAATATATTTTACCATAATAACGGCCTTGAGACTGTCATCAGCATACGGGAAGTCAATCAGCCCTTCCTCCTGAGCCGTCAACAAAACATCGACAAGATCTTGTTGTTGATGACGATGATCATCATGACGACCTCCTTCTTCTGCTTCACGGTTCCTTATGCTTCTCCTAGCGCGATGGTTGGCAATGATCTTATCAACAATCCGGTCAAGTTTCCGACGAATCCTGAGCAGTCTAGCCTCCAGCCCGCTGAGGAGGTGAGGCCACGTGGCGGAAGGGAACAGGTCCGGCAGGCTGAACCCTCCGGAGGCCTCCAGGCTCTGCCTGGCTACATCCAAGAACTCCTCCATCTCATCCCTCCGTAGCTTCTCTCCGAACGCGGCCCTCGCCGTGACGGTATTGGTCAATGACTTGATGGTCCGGCTGAGATTGATAACCGGGCTCGGCCCATGGGCCTGGGAGGTAATGGACCGGACCATCTCCGCGTTCTCCTGTTCTCTAATGGGCCGGTACGACCCGACCTGCTTGGAGCTGAGGAGCTCCAGGGTGCAGATCCGCCGCAGCTGCCGCCAGTACTCGCCGTAGGGGGCGAAGGCCACGTCGGTGGAGTTGTGGCACATGACTTTGAAGGCGAGGAGGGAAGGGCGGTTGGCGAAGTTGACGTCGTGGGTTTTCACCACGTGTCTCGCGGCCTCGGGGGACGAGACGACGAGCTTTCCGACCTCGCCGAGCTGGAGGTGCATGAGCGGGCCGTGGACGGCGGCGAGGTCGCGGAGGCGGCGGTGGGGGAGCGGGTGGAGGAGCTGGTGCATGCTGCTTATGATTGGCAGCTTCCACGGGCCCGGCGGGAGGTTTGGATGGGCTCCGGCGGCGGAGTTGTTGGTTCTTCTTCTTCGGAGTAGCCGCCACGTGGCGACGGCGAGGAGGAGGAGGGTAAGGAAGGAAGCTTGGATGGAATCAATAACCAGCTTCATTGGGAAAATAAATTAAAGGTTATTTAAGAATGTGGATATCCTGAAACTTGAGATTATATAATCGGTGGAGGAGTTAGGTTGTAGGTAGGGGTGGGCATTGGGTGGGTCGGGTGGATTTTGACCATAAAATGTACCCACCCGCGCTTAAACGGATTGATAATTTTTAACCCACCACCCACCCACATTTAGTCTCGGGTTGGGTCGGGCGGATGGTGGATGATGCGGGTGGGTTTGTGGGTTCACCCACATCACAATGTATATAATATAAAGGAGTCAACTTGACATGATAATAGGTGAAGAGAATCATCAAGGGAAACAAGAAGTTGAAATAGGGCGAAAAATGTCGAATTAGTTCTTAACTTGGATAGAAATTCTATTATGAAAGAGTTTTCTACAGATTGAGACGATTATTAGGTGCAAGGAACTAATGAAAATAATTCCACAAAGGAAAGAGCGGTGATCTAAGCACAAGAATTAGAGGAAAAAGTAAAGGGAAGGAGAGGGGATCTCTATTTGGAAGGTTGGCTTTGAGATTCAAACTCCAGGAGTAGTCCGAGTTTATATCTAACGTCTCCACTCTCCTCTCTCTAGCGCCAACGAATTTGATCTTTTTGCTGTTGGGTTGAGCGGGTCACCCGCACACTCACCCACAACCCACCCACTACCCGGCGGATGGCTCCCAGCGCAACCCGTCACCCACCCACAGACCCACCCACTTAACCAAATTCGGGTCAAATGCGGGTGGGTCGGCCCAAACCCGCGGATGATTCGCCCGCATGCCCAGTCCTAGTTGTAGGCACGGGGTATAGACCGGTAAAATTACGTGTAAAATTCGTAACAAGTTGAGGAAATAAAATAATCGGCAAGGTTAGCTCCTCTCAATAATCTGTTTACGTGGGTTTCCATCATTCAGATTTCGTGCCGGATTCCTGACTCAACCACCGTATATAATTATCATCGACGACGTCAGGCGGCGGAAATGTTAGGACAGGCTGGTTTGTCGGGAAGCAACTATGGAATAATCGGTTTTCTTGTACATATAATGATCGGTTTGTTAAGGAGAATCTTCAGGCGTCAACCTCATGGAGGGGGCAGTGAGCAGTTGGAGAGACCAAGAGAGTTTGGTGAAATATATAATAAGGGGTGAGGATAAGAGTAGAAGAAAAATAAGCTTAAATAATGAAAGTTGAGAAAGAAAATTTCTCTTTTTCATTGAGATTTTATAATGAGTGATTCTTGCTATTTGAGTTTTAGAATTTATTCTAGATGTATATCATTGAAAAAACGTTATGTCATCAATACCTATATTTATGTGAATAAGTGCTTGATCTAGTGATAATATATATAATTTAAAACCTGAAAGTTTTAGGTTCGAATATCTTCGATAGCACCTTAAAAAATTTAATTTATATCATCCTTATGTATAAAAAAAGAATACCCATATTTATAGAATTACTACTGAAATAGTTATCTAGTAGGGGTGTGGATAGGTGCACTAAATGTAAGTCAAACGGTCTTGGGATCAATCCATGTAGTTGAATCATTGATTCCCCTTTTTTCCTCGTTCTGACATTTTTTTTTTAAGTGTGAGTCTAAATTCAGATATTGCATTAAAGTTGCGTCATGCGGTGTGTTAGTCATTTGGAGTGAACGAAACAATATATATAATTTTTAGAGGTATTAAAATTTCTTCTATATGCTTGTGAAATGTTGTAATAAATAACTTTGGGGTTTCATCAATATGGTAATTACTGACGCAAAAATTCACGGTAGATATATTAATAAGAGCACTTTAATGATAGCAAACCTTACTAATGTACGAGACATTACCAAAAACCTTCCATTATGGTTTCCTACTAGTCGATAGGGTTATCAGGTTTGTAGGGAATTGGGATTAAACAGAGATCATGTTTCTTCTTCATCGTTGCACCAAAACGTTCGGACATGTCTAGATTTTCCAGAGGGTTTCCATCACCCGACTTCCAGTCAAAATGGTATAGCAGACTAGCCAGGGGAAGTTCCACGTTGGCAATCCCGAATGCGATACCGGGGCACATTCTTCTCCCCGCGCCAAACGGAATGAACTCTAGATTGCTTCCATGATAATCCACCGACGATGATGATGACTCTGGTACAACACGGAATGTCGTGAGGTGGTGCATGTTGCCGATGAACGGCAGCTTCCGCGGGCCCGGCGGGAGGTTCGGGTGGGCTGCGGCGGCGGAGTTGGTTCTTCTTCTGAGTAGCCGCCACGTGGCGACGGCGAGGAGGAGGAGGAGGAGGGTCGTGATCGTGAGGGAGGAACTAGGAAGCTTGGATGGGATCCATAACTAGCTCCTTTGCTAAAATACGGGTTTCCTATGGTATTCTTGAATCTGAGATGATATATATGATATATCATCGACGTGAGCTTGCGGAAATGTTAATTGTTAAGATGGCTGGTTTTGTCGGAAAGCAATTATGGAATCGGCTTCTTTGAGCAAAGAATGACCCGTTTGTTAAAAGAATCTCCATGCGTCAACTTCAGGAGGGTAAGCGAGCAGGTGGAGAAACCAAGAAATTAGGTTTGGGTATATAATAAGGGATGGGGATAAGAGTAGATGAAAATAAGCTAAAATAAGCCCTCGACTTGGGATAACGTTATGTCAGCAAAAGAATTATAAAGAATGCCCATAGAAAACAGTTATCTGATAGGGATCATTAATTCAGTTGAATTCTCCTCTTTTTCTCGTTCTGACATCTCTCATTTATATGAGTCTAAATTCAGTGGTTGCATTAAAATCTTGTTATGCATATGTAGTGTGTTGGTAATTTTGAAGCGAATGAAACTGTTTGTGTCTGGATAGTACCAGGCGATTTTGTGAGACTTCACGGGTCTTGTGCGGCTTTGATGGTCGAGGGCGGTCTCCGAAACCCTGCAAGAAAGGTCCTTACTCCTTAGGAGAATCCTGGGACCTCCTCCGATGCTAAAATTAGAGAGAGAAGTGAGTGAATGTAAATAAGAGAGACAGTGGAGTAAGTGAAGTTACCATCAATATGTGACCCTTTGAGGGCTATTTATACTAACGCTGGCTCAAGTGATGACATTTAATGCCCTGTCGGGCATCTAGGGACGCCTCCGGGTTCAATAAATACGATATCAGAGGTTTTTCGTTTGTCAGTCTCCGTACTGGGGAGTTGGGAGTCCGTTAGGCCCTTGTGTCGGGCGTCCTTCCGTGTTATATTTGGAAGCAATGTCGGACGGTCTCGTCGTTAGCTCACCGCCACCGACAGGCTCTCTTACGCGACCCGGGCTCGTCTATTCCTGGGCTTTGGTGCTCGTGGGCTTGAGGGCCCAAACGTCGTGATGATTTGCCCAACAGTAACAATATGATTTTTATTTTGTAGAGGTATTAAAATTTGTTTCATCTGCTCGCGTTACAATATCATCCAAACGATTTGAGGTGATTGGCGTCAGAGTATATAAATTCTTCCATACATACATTTACATTACAACAATTGGTGCGGATTTGGGGATGGTTGATGGTTTTGTTTCTTGGGTTTTCCCCCTTCGTGTATAGGTTTTATTTGGAGCAATCGTTAACCAATATAAAATCACACAAAAATTTTCTCATTGTCAAACATATTTACACAAGGTACATCAATGAGTACTATATACTCCAAGAAATTCAATGTTATCATTAGCTAGATAACGTTAATTAGTTAGTCTTAAATGTGTCTTACTGTTGTGACTCGGACTCTCCCTTTCAACATTTCAATCCCTCGACGTCGGACTTCTCGAACCCACCAAGTTGGCAAGATACGAAGGCTTGTTGTTGGTGACAACGTTGGGAAGCTTCTCCGACACCTTGGCGTCTTCTTTCTGTATCTCGTCCCCGCTACCGTTGCCGTCGTCCCCGTCGTTGTCGTTCCCGTCGTCCCACCCCATGAAGTCCAGCAACGTCATCGGCGACGATCCTTCCATCGACGACCTGTCCTTCTCGTCGTACGACGGCGTGCCGGCCTGCGAAAACGGGCCGCTCTTCGGCCCAACTTGGGACGGGTTCCTGGCGCAGTGATCTGCGTACAGCACGTCTTCGATACGGGACAGCACCGTGAACGCCAAGCTCTCCAGGATTCTCGAGTAGCTCTCCAAGATCGCCTGCCCTACATCCTGAATTCCCCAACAAAAACGCGTTAGTACGTGATATAAAATTTATTATCGAACATTTTCTAACAAATCGAGTGTAGTTCCTGACATAGTCTCAGAGCCCTATTGTGTTCGAATTTCGATAACTCTCATTTGTTAAACACATAATATTCAGATCAATGCAAACTTTAAGCTCTTACGACTGGACAGTTGTTTTTATTTGAGGGGCGCGTTTGTATGTGATATATATATATAAGATTAATTACTGAACTTTTTCCAATAACTCGAGTTATTAGAACCAATTGATTCTTAACACCAGGAATCAGTTGATCCTAATAACTGGAGTTGTTGGAAGATGTTCAATTATAGAACTTATATATACTATTTATTAACATGCCCCTCAAACGAAAACCAACATTTTACGAATTTTAAGTTTGCAGATACGATGAGAATATCCCATGCTTAAACAAATGGAGTTTAACGAAATTCTAGCAAAAGACCGTTCGGTCACATACGACTATGATATCATGTCATAAACCAACTGGTTCCAATAACTCGAGTTATTGAGACCAACTGGTTTATAACCCGCTTGAAAGATGGATGGTGGTTTCTGACCCGGTTCGATTCGATCTTGCTGATGTCGAGAGCGGACTGCGGGATGCCAGGGAACCTCTGCTTCATGATGAGCAGTATGGTCTCTGCTCTGTCCTCAAACTGTTCCCTCTTCTCCCAGCTAACCGCCGATCCCCAAGCCGATTTCCCGTCTTTCTGGTTCATCTTCCGCTTCCATATCACGATGGACGCTTCGATCCTGTCTTTCAGGTCCAGGATCTTGTGCTCGTTCGCCAAATCCATGGTCGACAAGAACTGGTCCGGGTCGAAGAACTCCACCGTAATGCTCTTGTAGATCACGTCCCCCAGGCTCGCTCTCCCATTCTGCCCACCCGACCAGAAAAAAAATTTTAAGAAGAGAAGAACAGTACGTGCATGGATTGGTACGTACGTCTGCATGCATGCATGCATGGGATTCCAGAATGAAAGTACGTACGTACCTTGGGAAGGGCTTCGATGTAGCTTTCGGGAATCTCCATTTCCGACAAAACCTGCGCGTTGATGGCCTGGGCGGCTTTCAGGACCTGGTTGACGGAATCCTTCTGTGCCTGCAGGAATTTTCTGGAAGCTTCCGAGAGGCCGTTGGTTGGGACTTTGGCTGTGGGAAGCCACCATTTCTCTTCTTTTCTCTTGGGTCCTTTCTCTGAATCGGGTGCGTCTCTTGATACGTACGTGAACTCGCTCTGTTCCTTGAAGTTATCTAGAGTACCCTGACAGTAAAAAACAAAAAAAGGGTTTTAGTTTTGATAAATAATTAAATAGCTACATGCATGCATGAAGTAAAAAAAAAAAAATTAAAGAAAAAACTTTGTTCTTTTTCTTGTATTTCAATCTTACGACGAGCATGCCATCGAGCTTTCGTAAGGCTGGGATGTTCATGTGAAGGTCGTTCCTCTGTCGCGTTATCATTACCTGCACGTGACAATTCAACATTTTTAAAACAATTTGGACGAATTGTTGGAAGAGAGAATCAATTTTTTTTTTCTTCTGTGAGTGCGGAATTAGACGCGAATTAACCTCCACGTTGCCCTGTTGGGCAGCGACGAATTCGACGATGTGATCCGTGACGGATAACAGCAGGTCGATTTCTCTCCTCCACCTCGTTTTCCTCTCGTTCGACATCGGCTCCAGACGCCACTGCTCTCCGAAAACCGAAGCTACATGATATTCGTAACAACACGATTAAACGAACGTATAGAACAACATTCTCATGCATCGGATCGCATCAAAATTCGAAGATATAGCCATTTGATTAGGGTTATAATCCACCTGCAAGATTCGTGATGGCATTGGACAATGCCAAAGCCGAAGAAACACCCTTTCCTCCTCCCGACATGTCCTCTCCCAGCAACAACTTCGCAAACCTTTCCTTCATTTGGTCCATTTCTGTACCCAAAAAAAAAAAAAAACACACACACACAACGTAATTAATGAGCCATGCATGCAGCGAGGATAGGAGCAAAATTAGAACAAAGAAGATTCTACGTAATCTTGCCATGAGTTTTCTCCTTGAGGAGTTGAGCGACGACGTCGAGATCTTTGCTCATCATCTTGGACTTGGAACCCTTGTCGTTGCGGCTGATGGCGCGGCCGATGGCGGCCGCGGCCACGGCGACGCGGGACGGCTGTTTCTCGATGCGATGGGTGGTGGCGGCGCCATCTTTGGCGTCGTCGGCGGGTGCTTTGTTTTTGGATGAAGTGATTATGATGGGAGCGTCGTCGTCGTCATCGTCGTCGTAGCTCGAGGTTTCGTCGAGGCTCATGCTCTTGGAGTGCTTGGCTCCGCCGCCGGAGTTGTCGTACAATCCCCTGAAATTGAACAGCCTTGACCTAAGGCTTTCCTTCTCCTGTTCCACAACCATGTCTCATGAAATTGTGGGGGTGTTCTTGTTTTTTTTTTTGGTTTGTTTTTTTGGATGGGAGATATGAACAAGAACACAATAGCTAAAACCCAATGAATGGAAGGGAGGGAAGGTATGGAAAAAGGATTGTTTTTTTCTTCTTCTTCTTCTTCTTTTGTCTAAAAACCTTTGTAATGGTGTTTTAGACAAAGAAAAAGAGATCTTTTTTTTCCCTTTCTTCTTCTTCCAAAAGTGGTGTGGTGTTAGAGAACAAGTTTGAGATGGTGATGAGTGATCATTATGGGTAAAATTTGCAAATGACATTGTACAGAATTTTGGCCACAAAATTCTTTGATGTTGTTTGCTAAACTATTTTAAGTACGGGCTCGTTTTTTCATATCTTTATTTTTCTCATTGATTGAATAATTTTGCTGAATTCGTAATGGTAAAAGAACAATGTGACATGCTTGACATTTTCTCGACATTTTGAATTATTGGGACGGTTGATTTTTTTTACAGTCAAACCTAAATAAAAAATTTAAACTGACGAAAGTACTCATAAAATGTATTCATTTCGACTATTTTAGACATGGAAGTGTTCTGTACAAAAAGGGAAGTCCGTCATGGAATGTGCTATTTGAAAACTAACGATGATATCGTTCCGAAAACCATTTTTAGGGGAATGGTTTTAGGTTTTTGTTTGAGTTGAGAGTTGTAATGAAACGGAAACAAGAAAAGGTGTACAAACAAAATATTGTCTTCTACATATAAACAGAAGCAAAATCGCTCCTTCATTGTCTGTGTCAACAAATGAGGCCAAATTGTATTTCCTGATAAAGTCAACCGGTCAATTAGCAATTAGATATTACATTGACTTGGCTTTCACGTAATGTGATTGACTTTGGTTGATTTCAACGACTTTGTCCGGCAGATAGAGGGCAAAGCGCGTTACTGGACTAAACTAAGCGACTCCACATCATCAACGGGATTGCGAGGGTGCTTCTCTACCTTCATCAGAATTCTGAGGCTGAGAATCATACACAGAGATCTGAGAGCTAGCAACGCTGTTGCTTGATCACGAGATGAACCCCAAAATATCAGACTTTGGCATGGCCAGGAGCTTTGCAGGGGACGAACGTAGGGCGAACGCCAACAGAATCGTCGGACCATAGTAAAATCTCAAGACAGAATGAGGAGGGGCTTCCTATCGAGCAGTCAATAATGTAATGGTGATCTCATTGGTAGAAGATTCTTGCTCAAACACTTTCCTTTCTGTGAAAAACCCAGGCTCTGTTGGTTCAGGCAGCAGAATATCGCTGCTCAACATCAAGACCACATTCGACATGTTAGGCCTGTCTTCAGGACCTTGCTGAACACACAGCAAAGCGACGTGGATACACCTCACTACTTCTGATAGCACCCACGATGAATCCTTTACAGTTTCATCCATCACTTCTTCAGGCTTCCCTTCTTTGTAAAGCCTCCACGCCTGCAGAGAAGAAAACCCAAAAAAGAGATTCAGAAAGTTGGCTCGTCATGGAGAAGGAGGAGATCTTTGGTTTATGGAGAAAGCTAACATGGCCTAGAAGGTTGTGGTTGTGATCCTCGTGATAAAACCCTCTGTTTCTCTTCCCACATATGATCTCCAGTACCAGGACTCCGTAGCTGAACACGTCTGATTTAATCGAGAACTGTCCATCGATGGCGTACTCCGGAGACATGTATCCACTGCAACATGGAATGAAGGATAAGGCAGAGTTAGAAGAGAACTCCCTGTCCAGAGATTGGTCTTTTTGGTACTTGGAAACTTTCTACTTACTATGTTCCAACCACCCTTCTCGTGTTTCCTTGGGTTTGATTACCACCGAAGATCCTGGCCATGCCGAAATCTGAGATTTTGGGGTTCATGTTATAATCCAACAGTACATTGCTCGCCTTAAGGTCTCTGTGAATGATTCTCAGCCTGGAATCTTGATGCAGATACAGCAAACCCCGAGCAATACCGTTTATGATTTGGAATCGCATCGGCCAATCCAGTAGCTTCCTCTGCTTTTGATCTGTAATGTAGATTATATTACGCAAGACCAGTTATAATTATGATGAAAGTTAATACTTGAGCCACAGGGAAACAACAGCAAAGCTGTGAAAAATGTAACTGTACCAAAAATGAAGGCATCCAAGCCTTTGTTGGGCATGTATTCATAGATCAAAACCTTCTCTTCTTTCTCAATGCAACAGCCCAAGAGCTTCACGAGGTTTCGGTGTTGGAGTTTTGCAATGGTTTTGACTTCGTTCTTGAACTCATCGAGTCCTTGTGTGGAATCCTTCGATAGCCTCTTCACCGCCATCTCTTGTCCATCTTTAAACACACCCTGGAAACATAATTCCCATAATTGATACCCTTTTTTACTTCAGAAATATTTTCCCCACAAAAATTGGAATACTGAAAAGCTGCATACCTTGTACACTGGTCCAAATCCACCTTCTCCAAGCTTTCTGCTTTCAGAGAAAAGGTCAGTGGCAGTGGCTATCGTCGAGAAATCAAACAAGGGCAGCTCGAGATCGTGCTCTCGAGATACATCCACCGTGAGGTCTCTTGCTTGTGTCGTCACGATGCTTGCTGCAAAGCAAGAACCATATAACTCAACAAAGAGCACCAACAGTGATCAAGAGGAGCAGAACTTTGAATTGACAAAGTACCTTGTCTCTTAAGCCTTTTCCTTCTGAAACGCAAGATCAAGAAGAGGCCAAGAACCCCAATCCCTGCCGCCAGTAGACACACAGCTATGATCCATAATCTGGTCTTTCTCTTTGAGCCGCCACTTGACACTGTCACCATCCCAAATTCCCAATCAGATATTCAGAAACAAGCCCAGAAATTGTTCCTATCATGCAAATTATTGCTGTGCATGTACTGCCAACGGAACTACACTAGATTTGGCCCTTTTCATCGTCAATTGAAGTTGTATGTAACAATCAAACGTTTCTGAAAGTGACAAATTTGGCGCGCAGTTAATTTTTCTGTATGTGACAACTTCAGCAAGACAGCATGCTCGTTCTCAATCCTTCAAAGTTGAAAACTTTTATGACTTCGATGCAAAACCAGCAGGAAAGTGTGCAGGGGAAGAAAAGGCATACCCAAATCAGAAGCTGCAAGCCGGATGAAGAAATCCTGACCATCCTCCGTATAGTGTCTAACATCAACAAGATCACCAAACCAAAGCAAGCACCCACTTCCATCACTGACATTCAGTGCAGAGTAAGCCGTACACGAGCAATCCCTCAAACAAGTCGCCTCGCATTCCCCCAAATCCATACTCGAATTGTACGACGACGTGTTCGTATCAGGCAGCTTCACACTCACAATCCTCTGAAACCCTTCGCCGACACCACAAACCGAATCATTCCGCCTCACGCACCCGCCGGCCCAGTCCCCTGAATCCCAATCCCGCCGCGACCTCGGCTCGAACCCGATCAGGCAACCGCATGGCGGCGAATTGTTGATGTTGCAGCTCCCGTACGGGCCGCAGAGCCCGTACCGGTCACAATTGTCCATCTGGGCCGTCAGATAGAGGTTCCATGTCCGGCTACTGGCGGTCCAAGTGAATCGCTGCAGAATCCCTTCGTTGTCCAGCACCATGCGGGAAATCACCGATTTGTCGGCGAGATCGAAGCGGTAGAAGATTTGATCGGAGTTGTAGACGAACTCGTAGGTGTAGATTGGGTTGGGCCTCAAGTTGGGCATCCCGCTGAATCGGAGCCCGTTCCATGGGCCGGACCGGAACACGATGGTCTGGGCTTTCCGGATGAAGATTTGCGGGTACCCGTCGGGTTCGAGCCGGGTCGTGCAGTCGCCGGGAGACGGGTCGCCGGGGGATTTCCATGAGGTGAGGTACCGGTCCCGGCCGGTTTCTCGGTTGTGCCCGAATTCGAGTCCTGGGAGGATCGTGTCGCTCAAGTAGTCGAAGCTCTGCCAGAGGTAATCGCCGGAGTTGGAGTTGGATTCTCTGACAACTAGGTTTCCGGAGTCGAGAAGCTGGGCGAGCGGATTTCGACCCGGGTTGGGTGGTTTTGTGCTATTGGTAGACCAAACGACTGTGGTTGAGGAGTTGAGGAGACGGAGGGTACCGTCGGCGGCGAGTTGGAGGACGCCGGAGGAATCGGTGAGAGGGGAATTTCGGTTGGCGACCCAGACGACGGATTGCTTGGAGAAATTGTACCAGATTCCGAGGTAGCGGAGATTCGTTGATGATGGTGAGCTAGGGGTGAAGAAACCGAGCTCGAAGCTGCCGCCAGCGGAGACGAGGGTCTGGCTCTGGTTGTCGGCGATGGATTGGTTGATGGCCAAAGTGTCGGCGGCGAGAGTGGAAGGTGAGAAGAACGGGAGGAGGAGAAGGGCAACAAGGAAAAGGAGAAAGTCGGAGCCTTTCATGGATGGGGAAGATGATCAAGTCGAAAGCTTCATACTTTCGTTGTTTGCCCGCATCATTGAAGGAGAAACAGGGGAGTGGATGGATTTGGTGGGAAGGATCGAGGGGAGGAGAAGAATGTCTAATAGTCGTTGCCATGAATAAATTACATTACTGATGGGACCCTGTTGATCTAGAAACTTTTGACTCTGGTTTCCGAAGATTGATTTATTGATTTCAGGGGAGAAGAAGAGGGAAGGAGACGGGTCAAGGACTTCAACGTAGTTCAATGTTGCGCCACTGCTACGTCACGCCGTCGTCTACTTCCCGGATGAAGATTACGGCGCGGCGGCGCTACCACGAAGAATCCATGGTTTGAAAACGATGCAACAGTGATCTTAGCAAAATGATTGTGTCTGCAGTGACATGCTCGCTAACTGTTCGAAGAATTGCCTGAACGAGAAGATTGGTAAATGGTTATGACTTATGACTGCTCGTTTCCCTGATGGGTTGATTGCTTAGAAAGACGCAGTAGTGGAGGTTAAGATATTTTATAGATCTATACATCAAATGCAAAGACATGAACGAGGAACTAAGCCTCTGGCATCAAAATGTCATAAAATCAGTAAGTTATCTTTGCATTATCTCCACTTGCCTTCTGCATCATCTTGCTTCTATTTCAGTTATACTAATATCTGCTGAATACTTGTTTGTTGAAGATTTGGCAACTTCTACAAAATCTCTTTCACCGTAGAACCCTGGTTCTTTAGGTTGAGGCAAGTCGCCTTCACAGCTCAACATAAGAACCACAGATGACATGTTAGGCCTGTCCTCTGGACTTCTTTGAATGCATAGAAGAGCAATGTTGACTGACCGGAACACTTGTTCGAGGTCGCATGAATTTCTTACTGCTTCATCTATCACTTCCTCGTACTTTCCTTCCTGATATAGCTTCCATGCCTGAACCAAATGAAATAGCATCGTCATCATGTGTCATAGGAATTATTTGAGCTGTGAAGATATATTTGAATTCTGAGTGAAACTTACATGGCCAAGAAGGTTGAGTTGGTGATCTGGATGAGAGAAACCTCTGTTCCTTTTACCACTCACAATCTCTAGCACCATCACCCCAAAACTGAAAACATCCGACTTCACTGAGTAGATGCCGTCGATTGCATACTCCGGTGACATGTAACCACTGTCATGAAATACCCCATGAGTTTTAAGTCTTAAAAGCCTCTGACTTTACATTCATGATTGAAAGAAAGCATCAACAGGTTGGTGGATGTATACACTTACTATGTGCCAACCACCTTCCTGGTGTTTGTTTTGCTATCACTCTCTGAAAAGCTTCTTGCCAATCCGAAATCTGAAATTTTGGGGTTCATCTCAAAATCCAGTAGGATGTTGCCGGCTTTTAGATCCCGATGGATTATTCTGAGTCTTGAATCTTGGTGGAGGTACAGGATTCCGCGAGCAATCCCATTGATGATCTGGTACCGGGTAGGCCAATCCAGTAACATGCTCTGATTTTCATCTGCAGGTCATTGCTTACCCAGTCAGTCCACTATATTTTCACATTCACACATTAAGTAAGCACAAAAGGGCAGAATCCATTACTGAAAATGAAGTAGTCCAAGCTTTTGTTAGGCATAAGCTCGTAGACCAAAATCATCTCTTCTTCCTGAATGCAGCATCCTAAGAGCTTCACAAGATTCCTGTGCTGAAGTTTGGCAATGTGCTTGGCCTCGTTCTTGAACTCACCGAGTCCTTGTTTCGACTCCTTTGATAGCCTCTTCACTGCTATTTCTTGTCCATCTTTCAGTACTCCCTGTAAAATGGTTTTGATAAGACTTAAGCCACTTCCCATCTCAGTTCTCGAAGTTCATCGATACATCCACTGACTGATCGGCTTGCTCATCAAGTTCTTATCTTACCTTATAGACAGGTCCAAAACCTCCTTCTCCAACTACATTGCTAAGTGAGAAGTTATTTGTGGCTACAGAAATTGCAGCTATATCAAACAGTGGCAGTTCCAAATCATCCTTTTCTGCACCGAACCTTGCATTGTCTTCTGGATCACCTCTCGTTTCTCCTGAGATATAGGAAAAACAACCATCTCTCTCATAAACTAGAATCTCCAAGCTATCATCTATCTAACAACACTTAGTGGATGCATTTCGGGATTGAGGACCACTATTGAAGTTATATGTATGAACTTCAAACAGTTAGAAGACTTACTCTGCCTTTTCTGCCTCAAATGCCGCAGAAAGAAGACTAAGGCTAGACATATTAGCAGCAGCCCTGTTGATAACACAACGCTCAGTACGATGACTTGCTTCCTCGTTCTGGATTTGGAATTCGTCTCTGAATTCCCAGTTGCTTCTACATGGAGCAGCCAGAAAAGAGGGATAAAACTTTGAATTAGTAAAGTGTATACACAGACAGTTTCTTTTGGATAATTAAGTTCAGGTTCCTTACCTATCTCAGAAGCAGCCATTCTTATGTAGATATCTTGTCCACTGTCCTCTAGCTCTCTTATATCAATCAACTCACTAAACCAAAGCAAACACCCACTTCCTCCATTCCTGATATCAATATTAGCATAGGCTGTACAATTGCAGCTCCTCAAGCAATTTCCCCTGCACTCTTCGAGACTCATACTCACGTTGAACCACGATCTACGCGTTTCAGGCAGCTTAACTCCAGAGTACTTCACAAACCCATCCCCAGAGCAGTTCAGTGCAGTCTGCCTAACACAGCCATTAGACCAGTTCACCAATTCCCACTCATTAGGAACCTTAGGCTCAAACCCTCTCAAGCAATTGCAAACAGGGGAGCTTCGAATGTTGCATCTACCGTACGCGCCACAGAGCGCATATCGATCGCAGAAATCCATTTGAGCCGTGACATAAACCACCCAGCCTTGTGTATCTCCAGACCATGTCAGCCTCTGAATCACCCCATTCTGATTCAACACCAGCCTCGACACGGTCGAAGTGTTGTCCAGTAGGTAGCTGTAATAGATCTCCTGATCGCTAACAACGAACTGAAACATGTAAATTGGGTTTGGCCTCAGGTATGGCGTCCCACTGAACCTCAACCCATTCCAAGGTCCTGTTCGATAACGCTCCGTCGAGCCTTCACGCTGGATGATCTCAGGGTACCCTCTGGGGTCAATCCTGTACGTGAAACCACCGCTGGAAGGATCATCAGCTGCCTTGGAAGATGTCAGGTAGCGATCAAATCCTGTTCTTCTGTCTAATCCAAGCTTCATACCTGGCAGCAGTGTATCACACGGATAATCGAAGCTCTGCCATAAGAAGTTGTCATCATCCCCTGCCTCCCTCACAACCAAGTTGCCCGAATCCAGAAGCTGCGCGACTGGGTTCCGAGCTGGTCTCGATGAGTTGGAAGACCAGATTGATGAACCCCCATTGTTGAGATTGTAAACCAGAGCGAGATTCCCCTGGCTGTTAACCGTGAGAAGCCCGGTTGACCCGTTGATCGGGTTGTCTCTGTTCGCAACCCAAACCACTGCTTGGCCAGGTATGTTGCGATACCAGATGCCCAAGTAACGATTCGTTGAACTGTTGCGTGGACTGAAAAATCCCAGCACAAATGTGTCGCCGGCGGAGACTATGGTGTCACCGTCTGCAATGGGCTGAGATGAATTGAATGTATCTACCGCCGTCGATTGCGTTATTGTCAGAAAAACAGAGGAACAGAAAAACAGAGCATGCGCCCAGCAGCAACCCATTGATGATGAATTGCTGATCGGAATTCTGCAATGGCCATACGGGATGAGAGAAAATGATCTAAGGGAGCTGCGAGTCCATGAAGTCAACAGCTTGATGCACCATTCAAAATAGTAATTATTGGAGAGGGTGATCCAATTCAACGGATTCAATCCCCTCCTTTTGCAAGTCATCGGTACCATTACTTTAATGTTCGTGTGAAAACAGGGGTTGTCCTTTTGGTATTCATGACCCTGCAGCCACTTCTTTTTCTGCTTTCAGGACGAAGCAGCCAATTTTGTTTACAATTTGTGCTTATTTGTTAAATGGGGATGTAGGAGAAATGGTCAAAATATGATCTGGAAGACAAGGATGTGTACAAGATGCGACAGAGCAGAAATTCCTCGCCGTGCTTGAAGAGATAACGACGTTCAAAGATGAAAAAGAAAGACTACCAGACGCAGGATTTTCTTCCCAAGAAACTTCCTTTTAGATTTGATGACCCGGTTTTAGCAAAGTGTTTGGTGAAGTGGTACGATTCTGGGCCACATCTTCTTCCTCTGCTATGGCCCATGGCCAGGAAGGGAAGCTCCCTTTTCTGAACGTGCCGAATTGTCAATACTTTAGTTCTTGTGTGGCTCCAATGCAGTCTAACTATTTTGTTCAATAAATTCGCAGATGAGTTGGTCGAAAATCTTGGACTCAACGATATAATACCGACTAAAATTTGCACAACTGGTAGTTATGGTCATCATTTCACTGAATCATTTTTTCCCCCAAGCAAACTAAATCGAAATATAATCACCGAAAATGAGCAGTTAGGATCTAAGAAGGTACATCGTTAACTTACAATCCGTGAGCATGTTCGCAGGACCCCTAAGAACGACCGTGTCTGGAAGCCGCATAACCATATGATACCACGACGGAAACAAGCACCCCAAGCACCAAGGAGAATAGCTGAAAGTTAGCCAGCAGCTCGCCACGAACCCTGCTGGCAGCTGATCCACAAGCAATTTGATCTCCTGTGAGCTGACAACCGTCAGGCATCATCGGGCCGTAGAGGCTGAAGGCTGTCTGATAGAACCACAAGCCTTGGAGAGTGATGGCAATGCCGTTGGTCAAGTCGACTGGAAAGCTCGTCGGGAGGAGTGCTCCAGCCACGGAGGAGACCACGCATAGTCCTATCAGGAGGACGAGGATCAGGTGATAGTAACCTTCGAGGCCCTTATGGCTTGTCGAGTGGAAGTAGAACAGCAGGTACTCTGCACAAAATGCAGTGGCGGCTATCAAGCAAAGGGCTCCTTCTGGTAATGGTAGAAACCTGAACATGCAATTCAATCACCAAAGGATAAGTTTGAAAACCAACAGTAATCAGGAGATGGCTAAAATTGAAATATTAGCCACAGCAAAAGTACAGGGTAAACCAAGACAAGTACTGCTCCTAGTTTATTTTGCACCCATCAAACCAAAATTGAGATCTCAAAACCTTACGGATCAGAATGTACATGAAACTACATACTAAACAACTTGAAAATGTTCCATTTGAATGTCAATTCTACTCTACTTTTACCTGCAATTTCATGTTTATGCCATTTGCTGCTAAATAAAAAAACTGATTGTTTTCGGACACCAAGAAGGCAAGAACGATGCTTTATTTAGTCGAAGTATGAGTGAGCCTGCCTGTCAAACAGAAACAATGACTGCGAAATTCTGCTCTTTCATTTTTTGTCCTCTCTCACCTTTCTTAAGGAGTGGGGTTAAATGACACACACAATCACTGGCACATTCCCAGCCAACAAAGTTCCATCCAGATTTGCAAAAAATGAAGGGGTTAAAGAAAAACCACTAACCTTGTTTTCTCTGATAGCAAGGCGACAACACCAAGGATGAAGAACATCAGCAACATCCCTGAATGCTCAAAATTGTTCAGGTGACTAGGATTCAGCACTCCATTGACGAAAAACCTGAGGTGTGTGGAGTACAATAGCTCAATACATAGGTCTATTAAGGATCCGATCACGATGACGTAGAGCTCCAAGTGCTTCAACTTCCCTTCAAAACCTGGGACAGGATTCCAAACTCGAACTCGGAAAGACTTTGGATTGGAGACGTAGCGAACCAGAGAACACCATGTGTGCCATACACCAATGATCAAGAATAGTGACCCAGGTACAACATGACCCTTGAAAGAACCCATTTGTCCAGTTTACAAATGCTGGTTTGTCTATGACTACAATATCGAACCCTTTGTCAACTCCACAAATTACACTATGCCAAGTTGATTCAACAAACCTGGAACCTCGTCTGAAAGTATAAACAAAAGTTCGTTAGCAGTTGAACTTCATGCTTTTCTTTTCTGGACAAACACTTCAGAATTTTAAGCTCCAATATTGCGATTTTCATCGTTGAAGAGCTCTTCAAAGAAGATGTCAGCATAGAAATCAAAGTAAATAACTCATTGACCCGGTGCCAGACATTGGTAAGTAAAACAGAAAGACCTACTCTGCATAACTCAAACCTCATGAATGCATTAGAATTTTAAAGGCATAGGCAAACAAACAGCCAACACCATCAGAACCTATTCCAGTTATCCATGGAGTGAAAACACTTCGAAAGATAAGAAGGCAGTATCACGAGCACAATATCTATCCATGATTTTCTCAAAGTCTACTTTTCATTGGAACTGTTTGCTGCCAAAAGGGGAGAATGGGAGGTCCATTTTTTCCCCAGCAGCTGAAGTTCTCATCTTTCATATATGCTCTTGAAGTTAGAGATGTCCACCCACAAACCCAAGCACAATAACCCAAATCTTGGTCCAATCTTGAAGATATAGAACTGCATACAAGATCCTATTTGAACTATTCTTCGCAGGACTCATCTTACCATAGATGAAACTGAACAATTCCAACCCTCTTGAATTCTAAAGGTGGCGAACTATACCGAGCAGGTTCCTAGTAGAAAATCCAGCTGCGTCCATTGAAAAATACAAGCTTGTTTATGTTTCCAAAGGAGCTGGCACTAGTTCGCACAATCAGAGAGTCAAGAAGAAGACTAGCAATTCAGCTGATCAGTTAAACTTAAACCCCATATTTCCAAATAAGTTCCATTCACAATCAGTTCAGACCGATGGCCAAACAAACAAACATACAAATCGAGCATCTGGAGAAAGAAGCAAAACAAATCGAACCATAAGGACATATAATCAGAAATTGGCCATGGCAGAACACGAACCCGGAAGCTGAAAGGTGGCCGGTGGAATGAACAGAGACGGAATTCCAGATCAAAAGAGACAGAAAGCCAAGCCTCAGCCGGCGACAATGCCGCCTAAACAAAACGACCGGGAGAGCAAACCGAGAAATTGTTTGTAGTCGGGAACAGATTGGCAAGACACCGACTTGCAGTGGGAACGGTTTAATTATTTGTTAATTCCCTGCTTTTATTTCATCCGCCGAGTCGGAGGGAGGCAGCCGCGGAAAACCGGCGGCGGAGGTTGCGTTTCAGCAAGCCGGCGGGAAGAGGAAAATCCGATCTAATAGTCCACCGAAGTATCGACTCGCTTCTGGAGAGCCAGCCAGCCATGACCATGACAGGTCAAGTTTGGATGGATGCAGCCAGTACTCGTTTCACGACCAAGAGTCCCTGACCGTTGACTTTGTCCTAATCGCAAACCGTTTGTGGACTGATTGTCTGAACTAGGGGTGTGCAACGGTTCGGTTCGGTCCGGACCAAACTCATGAGAACCGCGGTCCATTAGTGAAAGACATGTTAGGACCAAGGACCGGACCATTCTTGAATTTGGTCCATTTGGTCCGGTTCGGTCCGGTCCAAATATGAGCTCGGTCCACCATTTCTTCAGTAATTATAAAATTCATGAGGACCAAGGACCGGACCACATTTTACTCGGTCTGGTCCGGTCCGGTCTTAACAACGGTTTGGTCCGGTGTGGTCCGGTACGAACCGGACCATTGCACACCCCTAGTCTGAACTAAGAAATGCTAAGTTTTTTTTAGCCCAAGTGAAAGCCCAAGAGAGCATTGGTGGATATGGGCCTCTAGGCCCAAGGGCCAAGGCCAGTCACGCGGCTGGTCTTTTTCTGTCTCGTCTCTTCTCCCGCGAAACGGTTCCAAAACAAAGAATGGATCTCCTCTACAATGCATACTCCAAATCCGACGACGACGATGAGCCGCGGCGGCGACCGGAACCCAAGCGGCCTAAAATCTTCACTCCTCCGTCTCATCACCAACTCCAGCCCCAATTTTCAGGTTTAGGGCACCCTCCTCCGGTGAAGCGTCTCAGAACTGAAACAGTCGTCAACGTTCAAACAGATGCTCCGGCTCCGGGAAGATACATATCCAAGCGGGAGCGAGCTCTCTTGAGTAAGAGTGCCCCGGTTGCTGAACAGTCCCTTGTTGATGATAATCAGGATCAGAACCCTGATGCTCTCACTTCCCCTGGTACTGTGACTTTACACTTTGGACGGGTGGGTTTCCGGTTTCTGCTTGCTCAAGAATGTCTTAATTTTCCCTGTTTGATGTGTTGTTGATGAGGTAATGTTTACTTGATATCCTTTAGTTGTTGAATTATGAGATTAGCTGGCAAAAGAAGTTGATTGAAACACAGTCTCGTGTTGATATTTGGTGTTAGAGGCTTTTCAAGTTTGTTTGTTGTTTGCATGTTTACATTGTTGGAACATAGAAGTAATCGGGAAAAGTTTCTATCTTGCCGAAGTTTTGATGTCATTTTGTTCTGCTGTTGGTGCTTGTTGCATTATCTCTTATTGGTGGGGGGAGGAAAAGTTTTGTACGTGGCAGAACTGAATCCAGAGTTGAGTGATATTAGGGACTACCAAAACTGTTAGTCTTGCTTAGATCGCTTACGTTGTGTATCATGTCGAACTGCAAGGAGCTGACAGCTCAAGAAGCTAGTATGTTTTGCATCGCCTATTGAAGTTGATGTGGATCTGTTGTAAAATGACGCTGTAGCTTAACAATCCTTTAGAACTCAATATGTTTGTAGTTTTCAACTTATGGTGCTGTATGCTTTTTTTCTTAATTACCTACATTCTTGATTCTCCTTTCATACCCTTATCTTCTTCATATTTCACTTATGGTTTGCATCTTTTTCTAGCTCATGTATTTTCTTTCCTGTCTCGTCAGTTCGAGTAAGTATCAAGGATTCAGATTTACCCTATGATATCGTATCAACCTTGAGAAACCCGAGTGATCGTGCAAAGCTAAGCCAAATACCTGAAAGGATGTCCATAGCTCTTAACAGCCATAAAAATGCAGTCAATGCTCTCAATTGGTCGTCCAACCATGGTATGCTTTTTTTTCCACTTATGTTCTCCCCTCATTTATTCATCTTGTTTTTGTAACCCAATATTTTAACCGCAACTCGCATATCATAGTGAGCTTTATGTGATTTTGTAATTTCTGCAACTTTATTCATCTGTAATTGAGTTGGATGTAGGTTTGAGTTTGAAAATTAGGTAATGCAACAACTGTTGGTTTCACTACCCTAATTTGCTGGGATGTTGTTGGCCCTGTTGACGTCTTTGCTATAGTCAATCTACAGGTCATCTTCTTGCATCTGCTGGGATGGATCACACTCTCTGCATGTGGAATGTCTGGAGCAGAAGCCAGAAAACAGCTCATACATTTAGATTCCACAGTGCAGCAGTAAAAGATGCACGATGGTCCCCTCATGGATTCACTGTACTTTCCTGTGGGTACGACTGTTCTTCCAGGTTGATTGACGTGGAGAAGGGAATACAGACTCAGGTCTTTCAGGAAGATCAGGCAGTTCTGATTGTGAAGTTCCATCCACAGAATTCAAACCTCTTCCTTTCTGGAGGCTCAGCTGGAAAAATAAGATTATGGGATATTAGGACAGGGAATGTTGTCCATGAATACAAGCGAGGTCCCGGTCCGATTCTTGATGTTGATTTTACAAGAAATGGGAAGCAGTTTATCTCGTCTAGTGATGTCTCTGGATCCAACGTCACTGAAAATGCAATTATTGTTTGGGATGTTTCACGAGAGGTGCCATTGTCAAACCAGGTAAAATAGGCAGCATCAGCATCTTTGTTTTTTTTACAAGTGACGAGGAGGCAGCTTCTTTTCTTAACCGTAGACATCATGTTATTACCAAATTATGTTTGCTTAATTATTGATTTAATTAATCATGTGCAATTTCTCTATGATTACAGTGAAATCTATATAGATGCAGAATTAGATGAAAGGTTATCTGATAGAAGAACAGCAGTTATCGTAACTTAACTTAGATTCGACTCGACCTGTAGACGGTGATACCGCCCCTTTCGGAGACGTGATCTTCTCTTATTCACTTGTGCTGGTGGCGGAGAGGTCGGCGCCTGTGTTCTGGCTCTGGGGGGGGGTTCCCTTTCTCAATTATGACGTACTAGGTTAGGTTGCCATCTAGGTCTCGGTCAGGTTGCAGGAAGAGTAGCCCCAGTAGTATAGCCCACTATACCGGCAGGCCAAGCTGTAAACTTGCAGTAGCATAGGTAAATTGCACAGCCAACTGCATATGGTGTTTGGACAGCTTGACTATGAGAACCATGATGACCATGGTACTACTGTATTGGTATAGCACAAAACAGGATTCAATCAATTTTTATGTGTTTGTACTTTGTATATACATGTCCTTGTTACTCTGCCATTTTATCATTATTCATCTCTTTTTTACTTGTACAGGATTAATTTTGCATAAAACTGTTTCGTTGTGTATAAGTAACATAGTTTTACAGAACTTTGATTATATACAATATGATGCTCGGAGATTAGATTTCCTGCGTGCCAAGTTTCTAACTTGGAAGCTTATTATAAAATGGGATGGTTATCTTAAAAATGCGGTGGTCATTTAAGTAAAACTTGGCCCTGCCATCTTGAGGCACAAAGGTCAGGAAGAAGCAGTGAAGATATGTTTTTCACTGAGATGCTGAACTTTCCTGTGTCCTTGTGGCTGCCCTTACAAATTCTTTCCTTTCCTGCTATGTGACTCGCATATTCACTAAAGTTATTGAATTGATCGGAAGATGGTTTTTCCAAATCATGACATCCCTCAGTTCCACAGAGACGTTTTAGGGACATTGTTCGATAAACATTCTTCGTTGGTTTCTGAACTTTCTATGTTCATGTTTTCTTTTTCCTTTTTACCAGGTTTATGTCGAAGCCTTTACCTGCCCCTGCATCAGGACACATCCATATGATCCATCATTCATCGCCCAATCCAATGGGGATTACATTGCAATTTTCTCTTTGAAACCCCCTTTCAAGCTAGACAAATACCGAAGGTACAAAAGTCACGGGGTGTCTGGATTTCCCATCAAGTGCGATTACAGTTTGGACGGCGAGAAGATAGCCTCAGGCTCCTCAGATGGCTCGATATACTTCTACAGCTACAGGTCATCAGAGCTTATCAGGAAAATAAAAGCATACGACCAACCCTGTACGGGCGTTGCTTTCCATCCAGTCATGCCGAATGTGATTGCTTCATGCAGTTGGGATGGAAAGATCTCAATCTTTGAGTGATGTAGTTCGTTCCTATTACTCCTTCATTATTGTCACAGCAGCTGGAAAGGGTGGTGAGAAGCAATCTGGCCCAGGTGATGCATTCTTCATGTTATGAAACTCTCGTTTTCCAAATTCTCTGTGTTGTTGCTTTCATTCATGCAGGGAGCCTGGAAAGTTTCATGTGGGTTGTAGCCCCAGACAGTAAGATGTGGGTAATGCTGAATAATTTGGAGTGTGGTCGAGTGACCATCACTTTGGTGCAGGGTTGGGAGACAAAAGGTTGAATTGATGGTGGGGTGAGACAGTTACAGGTTTACACCTTCCATTATTCGCATGCGTGCAGTAGGGGCTCACTACTTAGAACCAATGGCTTTCTTGTATGTATGTGTGTGTGACTGTGTGGTTTGTTAGTTTACTCTCCTTTTTTTCATGTCAGCAGTGGAACCTGAGAAAGTGAAATGTGATTTTTGGCTTTGGGTTTGACAGTACTTTCAGGAAAGGGGAAGGAGGGTGGAAAGAATGGAAGGCGATAGGCATTGAAACTGTGAGTCCACATCATTAGCTTGCTGGCTGGCTTGGTTTCCACTCTGAATGGTCACTATCTCATTTTTGTGGAGAAACATAACCTGAAATATCTCTTCTTTTTTGCCGTATGGATAAGCCCTAGCATTAGCCCTAGCTTGTCATGGAACTGCATTCTGATTGAATATCATGGATGACTTTCTTTACTTGATAACTGATTGAAGTTGATGACTTCATGAGCTCTTGCTGTTGTGTCTTTGTTTTGGAACCATCAGGCGTTGTCTGTCACTACTCACCAGTAACATATAGAATTGTCCAGAAGCATTGTTTTGGATGTAAGAACTGGAATTTCTACTCTATGTTCATAGGCTTTAGTCTAGGCCTTGTTTGTGAGAATTGAACAGCAAGGAGAAAAAGCCTGCAATTATGGGCGATAATTGTACGTGGGAGTTGGGGGACAGAGTGTGTCCTGTGCCAGTACAGATGAATAAGACAGTGCCAAGCTTGGAAAACTCTTTATGGCCAGGCCCTGGCCGTTGAGGTCCAAACCAAAAACAGTGACTTTTTTCCCCTGTAACAATTTAACCCAGTTTTGGTGTTTGTGGTCACAGCATGAACGTGCTCACAGTGTGCATGGTCGTAGGATCGCGTGTTGGGCGCTCCACAGCCGTTTCCATTGAACGACCGTCGAGTCTCCAACACGTGATCTGACAGCTGGAGCCCTTGCGAGCACATTTTCGTAGGCACTCTGTGAGCACTATAGTCGGATTGAATTTATCTTACATGGCATGAATTACTACAATCATAGTCACTAAGTCACGCCTTTCGCAGATATTGCTATTGGAAAACAAATTTAATTGTCTGTCTGCAACCAAAATGAAAAAGATAATCATGGTCCAATCGTCGATGTGGTAAGAGCTTTTAAGTAATTCAGATCTATGCACTTTGATATTGTCATCTTATCGTCGGCAATACTAAATCGATGGTTTATCGATCAGTCTGAGAACTTATATTTGTATCTCAATTGATTGTGTTTGTTGTGCATGTCAAGGAAGTTCATTTGGCGAACGGATTAGGAATTTGATCTACCCGAACAAAAAGGTTAACCAGCTGGATCACCCTTATCACAATTCCACTCAACTTTTGCGAATTTTTAACACGTAGAAATATCATGAAAACTTTTTCTAGCACACCATCATCCTTTTAGTACTATGCACACAATCTTTCAAGCATTGCATCATAAGTTCATAACTATCTGTAAAAGGAAAGAAGAAAAAACAAAGAACTTCTAGTTTCAACCTTCAATCATAGTAATATAGAGACCAAATTTTTCCTTATTTTTTGTTCATCATCTACTTATCCGTCGACAATGTTCAAGAAATACGTCGAGAGCTCAGAGCCCTAGTTAGTGCCTAGCACATACAAGATCCATTCACCTTGGAGTAGTTAGTTTACATCATCATAAAGATGGCATGCATAATGGAATCAAATCAAAGCTTGCTTTTGTACAGATCGAGAGCACTTCAATCCAATGAGGAGGTTTCCATTACGGGTTGGGTTCACCAACTTGGGTTGCGAAGTGTACGAAATGCTTGTGCAAAATGCAGTAATGCAAATGCCAATCCAAGATGGCCACAGAAAAGAAGACGTCGAATCTGTCAAAAGCACACCACATTTGACAAAATGGCAACCCCATAATGGTGAAGGGCCCTAGCTAGCTAGCTAGTTAGCCATGATAATACGTCTACAATATTGCTTACTCGTTAACTAAACAAAACCCTAATATAGTATTCAACAGTTTTCCATCAATGAAGGGCAGAAAGGCAGGGTGGTGGAGGGGCTACCTCACTCACTTTCCATTGGAGGAGCAGAGAAAGAGATGAGACTAGAAAGCATAATAAGAGGAAGAGAAGATAGAGGGATGGTGGGTGGGTGGGTGGGGTGGGGTGAGGGTTATTGAGGGTTCTCAACTGATCTGACAGTTTCGAGCATCTGAGGGCGGTCTTTCAATTGGACTCGACTCACGCATGATGACGACGATACAGTCGATCTCGAGATCATCTGATCAGAAGCATTCATCAAACATCATTGTATTTGCCTTATCATTTAGTTCATGCGGCCTCATGCATCGAGTACTGGATTGTTAGGATTTTTCATAACTATAGAGAGGAAACTTCGTACCGGGTTATTTAGGGTCACAAATTTTTTGATTCCACAAAAGACATACTGACTCTAATCTTCATTATCGAGTGTGTACAACTTAATCAAATTATTTTTTTTGTACAATATTAATATTACGAATTTACGAAGTAACGGTGATTTGACTGAAGTAGAGGAAGAAGAGTAGAGGGTGTGAGGACAAAATGGTAGAGAAGAATAAAATATTAGGGCAACGACATAATTATGGAGGGTGTGTAGTTCTTTCTAAGCTTAAATAAAATATCGTACATTGTTTAATATTATAGTTGTACATTACATGAGCTATGGAGGTCAAGATTGGAGGAGGAGGGGGACAAGGCCACACCACTCTTTCCCTTTTTAGATGAGACTTTGGTGGTCTATATAATTGGAACCCCCAACCCACCCATGCATTTTGTTCCAATAAAGCCTCCCACCTTCCAACTCCACCTCCTATGGTCATCAATATACGCAAGTTTCTTAGGTCGTATTAATTCGTTGCAACATATTCGAGAGTCTCAAGCTCAAAGGTTTCATGTTGAAATGAGTGCCTAACTCAGAGGTCTCATGCTGAAATTATGAAAATGTCGACTTCGGAGAGCATATGTAAATTTCCAAATTCACGAGGTTGGTTTTCATTTGGAGGACATGTGAGAAAATAATATGACATATGTTCTTAAACCCTCTAATAACATGAGTTATTGAGATGTATTGATTCTTCACACATACTAAGCATCAGCCATATTGTAAGGCCATTCTGAAAATTCATGAATAGACTAAGCATTTGACCTAGCTATGGATGGATGGGATTAGAAGGAAAGTTTGCACCATGAATTGATTAGGCTTTGCCGTAGACCAAATCTAAAAGCACATAGGGTATTGATATCACATCCAACCACTACTAGATTCATCTTCATGGATTACATCCCTTGTATACTTAAATTTAGGTTTCTACTTTTAGCATAATACACTAACTAATTGGGTCTTAGGTTATGAACATCTTGTGTTCATCATTTTCCAATCTTAAGGGATGGATCATACATATCGTGTTTCGGGCATCCAATTGAGAATGTTGGAATGCTTTAAGTGATCTGATTGTCGAGCGTACAAGTGGTAATTACAAGAGTCTCGTTGTCTGTGGCAGTAACTAGCACATATGATGCTAGTGAACTACGTTATAACATGTATATTTAGTTTTCTTACTCTGTCGATTCATTGTCGACGGTAACAGATAAGGCAATGCAATGCATCATCAATAAAGAAAAACGTAGTTTAATTAATATATCAACATAGCTAGCTAGCTAGGGTAGCACAATCAAGAGGAAGCCAACAGAAGCAAATAGGCATTTAGAGAACATGAATGGTCCACAAATGTCTAATGGAAAAACTTATATAAATGTGCTATGCTATCTCTTTGACTCTTTCTCCTCCTATGGCCATTTTTAAGTGAGGAACTCACTTTTATATAATGCAACTCATAGCTAGCTACCTATATATAATTTGGATCCTCATATAATGGATTTTTTCAAAACATATCCTGTTTATTGATAAATAAATTAATTAATTATTCAAATGGATAGACTATATATATATATATATATATATATATATATATATTCATTCAAACTTCCATATGACTATGTTCCCCACTTTCCTTGGTCTTAAGACTATACACCACACCCTTTCCTCCATCTACAGAATCTAGCACACACTCCACACCACCTGTCTCTTTTTGTCTGGCCATTAACTTAATTTCTTCCCACAAATAACAGAGAAGAAGAGAACAAGTCAATTAAGTTAATTCAACGAGGAAATTAAATATATAATTTTGGTCAATGAAGTGCTTGCATAGTAGTCTTATCCTGATGCATAGTAGTCCATGATCGAATGTTGATCATGGAGAAGAGGGTTGATAATCTATATATCCTTAAGTCACTATATCCAATCCAATGTTTACTCAATATATTCCTATTATAATCTGCGGTTAGATGTCCAATGTGGCATGACCTCTTGAATTTCACATAGTTCGATTGATAAAATGTTAAGCGCATTTGAAAAAACGGATCGAACCATATCGTACAAGCTGTTCACCCTCCTCCCTGACGATATAATTCACCACCTTCTTCCATAATGTATAGCTAGGTAACTCACCAATTATATGCCTCAATAGCATTACCTAGTGAAGCAACAAGGCAAAGACCAATGATGCAAGGTGTAAAGGGCTTGGGGGATCATGAACAAACAAGAATGAAGCAACAAGGCAAAGATTGTGGCTGATTCATATGGCAAATTGGATGGAATCATCATTATGTATCAGAAAAAAAGTAAAAGTAGAGAGCAAAAGGATCATGTCTGAAATGTACACTGTGCCCTTATAACTGTGCCTGCAATTATATACTCTCTTTAAGTCTAGAGAGAGAGAGAGAGAGAATGTGCAGAATATGCAATGTACTTGTGGAGAAACCGAGTGTGTTGGTCTTGGCCAGGACCCACTGGCCGGCCCAACCGGCGACAAGAAACAATGGGCTCAAAGATTTACAGTCTTCAGCAAAACGGATGGGGTGCAAATTGGGCAATTATGTGACCAAAAGTAGACATGCTCAAAAAAATATTCTTTATGGTAATCACTAGCTTGATTGTTATGTACATCTTCCCCAAATTATTTGTTTTGTAGATAAGTTGATGGAACATTCTTTGACTTTTAACACATCTGCAGATACAATTATGCTTGGTAGAATCAAAAATTTGTTGTCCTAGAAAGGACCTTGGATTTAATAAGTTAGGGGTCGTCTGGACGATGGATTAAATAAATGAGGCAATTTCAGTTAATGCCGATTTATATTGGTTTTTCATCTGTGCTGGACACGTTCTACATGATACCTTTAATTCCTGCTATCTGGTCTCATAAAAAAGTTATAGGGAAGAACGACCTCGAGGCAAAAATATCCTTAATGTTAAGTTAAATCTTTCATCTAAGAAGCTAGCACTGGCACATGTGTTTCGAGCGGAAATAAGTCAGTCTTGTGTAGTTGTGTGGGATTTGAGCTAGTCTCATGCCTCACCCCTCCTCGAGAAGAGACGAAATTATCTTATAATCTATGTGACTCAATTTTCCTCTCTCAGGTGTTGTTACCTGAATGTCATGTACTCGATAATCCAATTCATTTTTAGATTTACTAAAAAATTATGTAATCTTTAGAACATGACTTTCCTCAAAATCTCTATTATTTTGTGATAATACTCATTATAGTATAATACCCTAACTAAGATCGTATGTTTGTACCATAATCAATGTATTTCTATTATCGACTAATATCTCCAAAACTCAAAAACTTTGATTTGAGTACCAAATCCAGCATCCTAATCCATCACCCAAAC